GACTAGCATAGTATGGCGATAACAGATAGGCCTGGCGCAGATTGATGTAGTAGATACTCTCTCGGGTGACCATGTAAATAACAAAACCNTGGAGACTCTCGTCAGCTATGTATCAGAAAGCTTGATCGGATGTCTTACCAAAGAAGAGGTAGGCACAACCAGTGTGCGCAAACATCTTGTAGTAGTTGTTCGTTACGTTTCCCAGTGTAAGAATGTCGAGTTGCGATTTGCCTCCACCGCCTGTGATGTTGATCGGAAACAGAACGGGGAAGGTGATACAACAGCCGACTAGACAAGTAATGACAGCCATCTTCAGGAGTCGCAGGAAAAGGTAACCGTCCAGAGAGTGATGGTTGAGAACATAACTATCGGGTACGTTGAAGAAGTTACCAAACCAACCGAGGAGTTTGTCCGGCAGTCTGGGCGATCGTTCGCGCTCCTGTATGCTGCCTAGGAAGGTTCTCGGGCGATAATTTCTTGGGAACCATCTTCTGAAGATCAAGAATAGTGCGAACCAGACCAATGCTACCAGAGCAACTGGAGCCAGGGTAGAAAGAAGACCGGTAGCAGAAGACGACACATTCTGCGCGCTGCCAACGTTAGGGTCGTCGTTTGCGTTCTGGCGAATTAATAGAGTCAGACTTGTCGCTAGAACCATGTTGTTTTGTGGTCGAGGTACCGTAGCTGATGTTGCCGCCATATTGACGGGACTATTCTGCTCGAGAGCAGTAACTGTGTCTGAGTAGCAAGCTCAAGTTCAGAGCAGAGTGGAAACAGAAGAAGCACACGCAAGGGGCAGACCGCCTCTGATATCAGGGTCCTTTTTAAGGGGTGTCTTGACAGGGAATGGCGCTAAAAAATGTGTCCAGCCTGTCGTGCGCTTCACCTTGGAAACAGCCTTGCATCAGACTGATCGCTGCGGGATGACGCTGGCGGCACTGATATCAGGAACGAACAAAGCATGGAAGACTGGGTATCGCTCGAGATATAGCCTGAATTTGGTCTCACTGGTCGCGCCTTGGTTCTGCTTGTGATTTCAGCTGTTGAACATGTCATACAGCGAGCAGAATCGTGCAACGAGAATCGTCGCTGTGGCTGTCGTGCGCGCATCGACCTAGCCACGCATGGAGCTCTTAGGAGAGGGAAATTGCAGTTGTGGTGGCAGAGTCGCCAAAATGATAATGATCCCAGCCACCATTTGCGGTCCGCAAAACTCTAAATATCCTGCTTCGTTTCATATGACAACGGGTGTTCTGAATGTCAGTATTGGCGAGTCTGGCCATTCTACGCGTAGCAACGAAAGACTGTCCCTGGTGCTAGTTGGACCTACATCAACAGAACCTGCTCTGATCATGAACGGTGACTCTCCATACAGTGGTCAAACCCCATCAGTAAACAGATCGGCCACATCAAGGTTCACCGTCGAATCCCAGGGTCTCGAAAAGAAGTGGATCTTGGGATCAAGGCTTCGGGAGCGAGCAAGAGAGCCATCGTTCATCCAGACCGACAGCGAACTTTAACAGAATGACAGCTCGAGTTTTCTCGGCCAAATCGCGACAAGATTTTGTGTATGAAGAAAAGGTTATGCGTTGTCTCTGTGAAACTACCACTGATTATACAAAATTGAGTCTGTACCCCATATCGCGTGCCCGAATCCCGACCTGTCCTGAACTCCTGTATGTGCCAATGATTATACGTGCCTGATAACATACAACCCGAGTGCCTCATAGTCATCGTTCGCTCCTTTCTCAGATCATGACGTCTCCTGCTTCTTAAGAAGGGGCGGCGGTCCGGTGCCGCTTCTAGCTCTTCTTTCGCGCTCGCCGACGCCAGGTTCAGGAACCTTGATGTTGAGACGCTTCTTGTTGGTGAAGCGCTCGCCAGTACCACGTACCCACTCGTCCTCGGCATCTTTGCCAAGCCAGTATCTCTTTCCGACCGAAGTCATGATGCGACCAAGACGGCCCTTCCAGCCTTCACCCTCCTCGCGACCCTCACGGAAAGGGTTCTCTGCCAGATCGGTACGCTCGGAGCCGCCGTGCAAGCCGAAGTTGTTGGATGAGGTCATGAGGATGTGTTGGCGCAGTACAGCACGAGCGTATGCCATGACCACCAGGCAGAAGTAGATGCGGATGGTCCAGAGCGCACAGATGACAGTAATGCTAGCAATGCTACCAGATTGGAAAACTGCGTGTCCAAGTGCGGAACCATCGTTGATGCCGGCAGCGACGGCGTTTTGTCCAGGCATGGCAGGAGTTGCGACAACCTCGACGCGAGTGGCGTTGACTTCAGGGCTTGTGAAGCCTGCGGTGTCGTTCATCATCTTTCCACCAGGAAGCTTGCTGTCGTCGCCAACCACAGGGTCGTTGATGTGACGGGCAAGCATCAAGAACCAAGTAGTGCCGAAGAGGGCAGTGTAGGAGGCGTTGATCAAGGAGTCGAGTACATAGAGCCAGGCGAGCGAAAGACATTGCAATGGGCTTTGGCGCTTGATGTGTGGTGAGAGATAGCAGAGGGCGCCGAGCACGCCGATCGAGTAGATGTACATGGTGAGTTGCAGCCAGGAGAGGTGGTAGCCGGTGAGAATGGCAAGAAGGCCGTAGATTCCTGACACCTTGTTGATGAGCAGCGTCAGGGCGATTATCTCAGTTCCGGTGCGCAGCGATATCAGGTACAGGAATGTNCTACTCGTCGTCAGTATACACGCAGTCGCAACATGCTTGTCAAGACGCACCTTAGGCCGCAGCATGCGGAAGATGGCGGGGAGCGCCATGGTTGCTATCCCAGGGAGATGTGCTGAGATAATAGGTGGCGCAAAGGTTGCTCGAGGTGCTGCTCAATTCAGTGTCCTCGAGAAAGTGGTCGGTGGTAGTTGGATGGTAGAAGAGTGAATTCGAGAGTCGGCGCTGAGGCTTTGGACGCCGGGACTGCCGGCCAGAGAAATTGCGACGAGAAAACGGACCGCAGGCGCCAATTTGCTTTACCTACCTTCTAAACATGCAACTCGTTTCTATTGTGATACTACTCAGTTCAGACGTAGATGATCTTCTCTGTGTATACGATGAGAAGATATCGTTCTGGGAGTGTGCTGTGTGGATTGTTGATGGTTGTCATTGGGAGCAAACCATTACACAGTCACACCGTCGCGACGATCATGTTCGAGGCCAAGAGCGTACTCGGATCCCTATCTCAACAAAGATCACCTGTCAAGCGTTCATAAAACCTCAGGTTTCTGGGTAATCATTCGAGTTGTGGTATTCTACTGTGTTCCGAGATAGCAGTTCTTCTAAACTATGGTTGTCAGGAGCACCCTGTCTTCAACTGTCAACAACGATACCATCACCACCATACGTGTCAGGGATATAGGTACCAAGGCCACGTGAGAAGAATCTCACCAAAGAGATCGCTGTGGTAACGTGTTTCTTTTCAAGTGTATTGAACGTGCTTTTGCTCTCATATTACCACATCAGCAAAGCATCGACCCAAATCTGTGTCAATCCCAGCAAAGCTGCGACAGACGAAGTAGGATCGCAAACATTGATCCAAAAACGGAGGGGTTGTAAGAGGCACCGAATCATCGAGATCCTCGGGCAGAAAGACGGAGAGGCAAGACATGCAGATATGTTTATGTACATGGAGCTATCTTTTATTCCAAAAGCCGGCCAACCGCTCAAAAAACGCCGTGCTGCATGCAGAATACTGTACAAGAAAGGAACAAAATTTGAGGGAAAACTAAAGGTATCTTTGGGAAGGGAAAACGGCGTCGAACAAGAACAAAGACAAGACGGTCAAAGCCGGAAGATTTAGCAGGCGCAGCTCGAGTTGTCAGTCGTAGGGCCTGGGTTGATGTTTACATCGATCACNTGCAAGAGGAGGTTAGCGGATCTGGTCAGAATTTCATCTTGGCAAGTGGACGTACTTTGGTTGGGTGTCTGGTTCTGCTCACTCTCCATACCAGGCAGTGCTTGTGCTATCCTCTTGAACAAAGGCTTCACGTTGTGTCCGACCTTGGCGCTTGTCTCGATAAACATGAGATTGTGCTTCTTGGCCTCTTCCTCTCCTTGCTGGGTGGTGACCTCGCGCTTGTCGTTCAAATCGGTCTTGTTGCCGACGAGGACGATGATGACATCGGAGCCACGCTCGCCGCGAACGTCGTCGACCCACTTGCGGGTTTGCTGGAAGGACTTGGCCGAGGTGATGTCGTAAACGACGACGGCAACACTGCTGTCGCGGATGTATGAGGGAATCAGACTACGAAAACGCTCTTGTCCAGCGGTGTCCCAGAGCTGTAGGCGTACGGTGCGGTCCTCGAGGTACATTGTCNNTGCGGAGAGGTGTAAGCACGAGTGTTGGTTTGCAATATGGAGATCGATAGTAGCAACCTTTGACAGGAAATCGATTCCGATGGTGGCTTGGTAGGTGTTGTCGAACGAGTCGTACATGAAGCGGGTGATCAAAGACGTCTTGCCGACTGAGGAGGTTAAGTATCAGCAGTGTAGATGGAGAGGCGATAGAAAACATAGCATACCGCTCTGCTCGCCGAGGAAGACCAGCCTGTGATATGCACGTCAGCATGTGCATGTATCGATTGGAACGGTTATGAGCTACTTGAACTTCTTCAGCGGGTTCGTGTAGGATGCTGGTTGAGCCATGGTGACGGGTTTTGACTTGGTGAGTGTTGGAGAAGCGGGACAGCAGACGAGTGCGCTTGTACAGAGCAGAGGGACAGTGGCACTATGGACAGTTCTGCAGGAAAGCGACTCTTGTATTATTCAGGAGATTGACATGCGGACTCGCGCGAGCTGCGACCCTCGATATGTCTCCACATACAAAGGACCGTGCTGCTGGCCGGAAAGGGCTTCGCCGAGGCCTGAGGGCCAAGCCTTTCAGAAGCCCTAGCGCTTGCTTGCGGAGAAAGTCCCCAGCGAGATTTGGCTGTCAGAAAAATTACTGGCGTCTATTCTGCTTTTCCAATCGACATTATCTTGTTCACGACAACCATGGCTCCCGTCGCCGAGAAGGTTCAAGCAGCGCCTGCAACGCACAAGCAGCCCTCTCGTAAGGGCAAGAAGGCATGGCGCAAGAACGTCGATATTACCGAGCTGCAAGAAGGCGTTGAAGATGTCCGCGAGCAGATCATTCAAGNNGGTGCGACTCACCAGAATATCTTATAACGATCCACAAACTGACGCTGTCACAGTGGTGTTCTGACCGAGAGACCCGCCGAGGAGCTTTTCGTTACAGACATCAAGGGCGCCGACGATGTCCAAGCCGACTTCAACAAGCGCCACAAGCCTCTCAAGGCCGACCAAATTATTGCACAACGTTCAAAGGTCCCCGCAGTAGACACCAGGAAACGCAAGTCGGATGGTATCGCAACTGGAAGCAGCAAGCGCAACAAGAACGGCACCTACGTTTCACACAAGGACCTTCAACACCTGCGCAGCGTCGCAAACTCTGGCGGTGCCCAATCCGATATTATCAAGGCCACCGAGAGCGCAGACCACGACCCATGGGGCACGGAACCCCTGCCGCAGGACCCTAGATTCTCTTTCATCCCCGAGAAGAAGGCCAAGGTTGCTCCCAAGACTCTGAAGTACGCTCCTATCTCGCTGGCCGCCAATGGCAAGCCTTTCGCCGCCGTGCCCAAACCTTCTGCTGGAAAGAGTTACAACCCGACGTTCGAGGACTGGGAGGCACACGTTACAAAGGTTGGCGAGCGTGAGGTTGCCGCAGAACGCAAGCGCCTGCAAGAGGCACAAGAGGAACACGACCGTCTGGAGAAAGCTCTTGCGGAGGCCGCAAGACCCGAGCCATCGACCGACGACGAGTACCAATCAGCATACGAGAGTGAGTGGGAGGGTATTCAGAGTGAGGCCGAGGATTCTGGAGCCGTCACCAAGAAGCGCCCGGAGAGAAAGACACCATCTCAAAGAAACAAGATCAAGAGAAGAAAGGAGCTGGAACACCAGGCCAAATGGGACAAGCAAATGAAGAAAAAGGAAGAGCAACTAGAACGTGTCAAGGAGATCGCTCTCCAACTTGCCGAGAAGGAGCGTCTCCTCGCGGAGCAAAAGGCTCTGCAGCCTGCTAGCACTGGCGTGGAGATCGAAGCCGAGATCAACGACGAGGATGAGAGCGAGGTGTTGCGCCGTCGCAACCTTGGCAAGCATGCGTAAGTTTTGTGCATCTGTTGACCGAGTCTTCCCAATTACTAACGATGATTATAGTNNGTCCCTGATGCCCCTCTTGAGGTTGTCCTCGCAGATGAGCTCCAGGATACGCTTCGTGCGTTGCGCCCTGAGGGCAATCTTCTCAAAGACCGCTACAGAAATCTGTTGCTGAATGGCAAGATGGAGTCTCGTCGTACCATGCAACACAAGAAGCCCAAGAGGGAAGTCACCGAGAAGTGGAGTTACAAGGACTGGAAGCTACGCTAGATGCATTGCAGTCCTTTGGATCTGCTGCTGTGGGCCAGCAGGTTTGGTGTGATTCTCATTTTCTTGATACCAGTGGCGTGCCGGATTTCTTTGTTGCATCTGCCTGGCGTTGGGGCTAAATAGAGTATAGGGCATGGAAGGATTTTTGATGAGATATACAAAGGAGAAAATGGCACCGCAGGTTAATGTCAAGCAAGATGCTGATTGTATTGTCATTCGGTAAGAGTGCTGTTTGTCTGTCACTTGCCAGTAGATCATAGGAGGGCCGTGTGAGACGTCTGATGTTGCCAACAAAGGTATTGTCCTCGCTGGTCGTGTGTTCAGAGGGCCTCGGCATCAAGATGTTGTGGAGAACAAGCGCGGCTTGCTTGCTCACTGCTGGTGAACAACCAATCTGCGCGCATCTGCAGCCAATCAGTCCATCAACCCAATCACCATGGCCGACACTGAAGATCGCGCGCCCAGCGACACCAAGGCAGAGGCACCCCAAGCCACGCCGGCAGACCAGACTGCACCTCCCACGGGCGACGACATCGAAGCATCCATCGACGCCGAAATGTCGCAACCAGCCGACACCAGTAGCCACACCATGGACAACAGCAGCGCTACCGCCAACATCAACATGGACGGCGCCAGCGACGAACCTCCAACTGTGCCTCAGATCGAGACGAGGATGCCGGCGAAGAAGGACGTCGCGTTGCGGGACTTCTTGGGCAAGATGGATGAATATGCGCCAATCGTGAGTCTGCTTTCAACTCGCGTCGCAACACGCTGCAACCCTCGTCACTCTCACTAACACTGGCTCTTCGTCAGANTCCCAGACGCAGTCACAAACTACTACCTCACACTCGCCGGTCTGCCCCCACCACCCGCAACTCCACCTCACCTGGCACGTCTCCTCGCGCTCGCTGCTCAAAAGTTCATTGCCGACATTGCCGCAGACGCATACCAGTACTCGCGCATCCGATCCACCAACACCACATCTAATAACCCCTTGACTGGACTTGGTGGTGCAGCAGGCTTTGGTATGATGCCCACAGAGGAGGGCGGTGCTAAGGGCAAGGGCAAGGACGCCGGAAAAGGTGCTCAGTTGGGAGGCCCTCGTCCGGGCTATGGCGGCGGTGGTGTGGGAACCTCAGGCGGCAGGACTGTGCTGACCATGGAAGACCTGGGCATGGCTGTTGGCGAGTACGGCGTCAACGTCAAGAGAGGCGAGTTCTACAGGTAATCTTCTTGAAAACTACGAGACATATGGGCAGGCGTTCTTCTGGGTTGGGACATTGGTGGCAGACTTGCACGCATTCTTACGAAAAGACGAAGAGGTCATTTATCCAAGGGGAAAGGCGTTTAGGGGCGGGTTGGGACATGCATCACTCGATAGATGAGACTGTACCATAAGGACAAAGGATCATAGTCATAAGCGATCCAAAATTGACAAGACTTCAGAACATCTGTTCATGGATGTGGAAGGTGATTATCACAATGAGGTCGCCAAAATGCGCCTCCCGACTTTGATATTTTGTACATGAAAACCCAGGAAACGCCAGTATTTGAATGAGATGATGCGGCTTCGTCGACAATATGCGTTTACTTGTTCTTGGAGTGCTTGTAGGTGAAACGCTTTCTCGTCCTGCAGCACGTCAGCAGCAGTCCATGGCGACCAATTTCTAGCAGGGCTACGCACGATGAGAACTCTCCAAGCTTGTGACCGACCATGTCCTCGGTGATTCTGACATCGTTGTAGATCTTGCCGTTGTGAACCTGGAAAATCAAGCCGACAAAGTTGGGCAGGATGGTGGCACCGCGTGCTTGGGTCTTGATTGGAGGGGCACGCTCGCCAGGCTTTGGGCGGACAATGGGCAACCTGTATATCTATTCGTCAGAGCTGGTTCCAGAAGTCTTGCGCGCGAGTCCATGTGTCCAGAAAGTTTGCGACAGAGGGTAGGCAAAAGTTGATTCGGGAGGTGCTTACGGGACAATGTGTGGGCCNTGGGAGAGCAGTTAGTCTTTGTGTATACACTAAAGAGATTCAGAATTACCCTTCCACACAGAGCGAGCGCCCTGCAGTATCGTTGTTGGCCTCATGATGTGCTGAGTATAATCTAGGCTCGGAGGTGTCTGCCGTCTTGAATATGCATCTCTCTCGTCCGCCAATCCCCGAAGCACAGACCACATCTCGTCTCATACGCGCTGCACGTCGACCATCTTTGTGCAGGCAGCAGTTTGTGTTTGCCTTCGAGTGTTGGCGAAAGGACGAGAAGGAGGCCTGACAAGGAGAGTGAAGGGTGTTGTGTCTTTTGCCATCTTTCCAAAGGCCGAAATCTTCACGACTTGTTCTCTTCCACCTTTTACCTTTACACCTCCGAGAGGCCAATATCAAGATGCCTGCTAATTCTGGTAAATTCTTATCAAAAAGATCAAATGGACATGACTGACAAGTTTACAGCCGCGGATACGATCCGTATCATGGTCTCAACCGACAACCATGTCGGATATGGAGAACGTGATCCAAATCGCGGCGACGATTCCTGGACCACTTTCGACGAGATCATGACAATAGCTCGAGAACGAGATGTCGACATGGTGCTTCTGGCTGGCGACTTGTTCCACGACAACAAACCATCTCGCAAGGCCATGTATCATGTCATGTCGTCTCTTCGCAAGAATTGTTTCGGCGAGAAACCCTGTGAGCTCGAGATGCTCAGCGATGCCTCGGAAGCCTTCCAGGGCGCCTTCAATCACGTCAACTACGAAGACCCCGACATCAATGTTGCAATCCCAGTCTTCTCAATCCATGGAAACCACGACGATCCTACTGGAGACGGTCACCTGGCATCCTTGGATCTGCTGCAGATGGCTGGCATGGTCAACTACTACGGCCGCACTCCCGAATCTGACAACATTGTCATCAAGCCTGTGCTACTACAGAAAGGTCGTACCAAGCTCGCCCTATATGGCATGAGCAATGTTCGTGATGAGCGAATGTTCCGCACATTCAGAGACCAGAAAGTCAAGTTCTACCAACCCGGCACGCAGACAGGAGATTGGTTCAACCTCATGAGCGTCCATCAGAATCATCATGCATACACCGAGACTGGCTATCTTCCTGAGAACTTCCTTCCTTCTTTCATGGACTTGGTTATCTGGGGACATGAGCATGAATGTCTGATCAACCCTCGATACAATCCGGAGCAGACTTTCCATGTCATGCAACCTGGTTCATCAGTCGCCACATCTCTTATGCCAGGCGAAGCTGTGCCAAAGCATGTCGCGATCCTCAGTATCACTGGCAAAGAGTTCAAGTCTGAGCCAATCCGCCTGAAGACGGTTCGACCATTCGTGATGAGAGAGATCAGTCTTCAAGATGATGCTCATATGAGGAAGGTTGCCATGAAGGACGACAATCGCGCCGAAATCACTCGCTATCTCACAACAGTTGTCGAAGACATGATCAGAGAAGCTCGCCAAACCTGGCGCGAGGCTCAGGAAGGAGACACTGACGAGCATCAGAAACCCGAGTTGCCTTTAATTCGTCTTCGCGTTGAGTACTCAGCTCCTGAGGGTGGTCGCTTTGACTGCGAGAACCCCCAACGCTTCTCGAACCGCTTCTTGGAGAAAGTGGCAAACGTCAATGATGTAGTCCAGTTTCATCGCAAGAAGACTGGCACTAGCAGAAAGAAAGAACAACCTGATATGCCCGAGGAAGCCGTCCTGCAACAGCTTACTCTCGACACTGTCAAGGTGGAGAAGCTTGTCAAGGAGTTTCTCACAGCTCAGTCTCTCACAATCCTTCCTCAAAATGCTTTCGGCGATGCCGTCAGTCAGTTCGTCAACAAGGACGACAAGCACGCTATGGAAGCTTTCGTGAACGACAGTCTTGCAAGTCAGTTGAAGCATCTTCTGGGTGACGCAAGTGTAGAAGACGAGGATATGGCTGAGGCAATGGAGGGAGTCAAGACGAAACTGGAAGAGTCATGGGCACAAGGCACGTTGAAGCGTACCGTCAGAAAGGACAAGCTGAAACCCAAGCCAGCCAATTGGGACTCGGACTTGGATGGAGAATGGGCAGCGCAACCAGGTGCACTTGTCCGTTCTGACGAAGAAGCGGCGGACGAGGAGGAGGCAACTCAGCCGAAAGCCAAAGCTACCCGCGGTAGAGGAGGCAAGGCTGTTGGAACCACACGCAAGACAGCCGCAGCCACGAAGAAAGCAGCACCCGCCAAGAAGACAACAACTCGCACAAAAAAAAGCACCAATTGAAGAGGAGTCGGATGAAGAGGACGATGTCATCATGCTCGACGATGATGATCAGGACGAAATGCCTGATGTGAACGACGACGAAGATGACGACGATGATTTGTTCGTCAAACAAGCACCCAAAAGAGAGCACCCGCAAAGGCTGCAGCCAAGTCAACTTCGAAGCGTGCTGCATCCCCTCCAAAGCGCAAAGCACCTGCTCGCAGCACGGCAGCAAAGGCCAAACAGACGACTCTGAGCTTTTCTCAGACCCCTGCGCCATCGCAACCACGTAGCACTGCGACTCGTGCTGGTCGCAAGACCGCAGGACCTGTAAGTTCTGTCCATGAGATGGATTGTGTCCAGACTGCTAACGAGATTACAGAGTGAAGATGAAATTTCTGATGATGATGATGATGCCTTCGAACCTCCTCCCACAGCGTCTCGTTCTGCAGCACGTCGCAAGTTCTAAGACTTCGAACACCGTCGTCTTTGAAGTTTGAAAGTCTCAACTCTTGCTGACAGAAGGCTCTGATGGGAAAGAAAACACTTGTGCATTTTTAAGAGGAGCATCAATATGGGATTGCTGGTTCTGACATGACGAAAGCATAGCGTAATGGAGTTTAGGGGTATGGCTGGGATGATGATTTGCTCTGACACACTTTTTAGCTCTTTTCCAAGCATCGAGGGAAAGCGATAAGGCCCTGAGATCTCCAGACCCGGTTCTGTGGTTCTGGGAAGGGGTCATCGACGTCGCTGTCACAATATCTGGGGTAGGTATACAGAGAGAAGGAGCTATCAACCCCATTCGGGAAATGCGCATCCTCTTTTTCGTCGAATCTTCCGTTCAACTGGCAGCTATGATGCTGGAAAGAACGTCCAACGTCCTGCTCTCTTACCCCATGTTCTCCTGACTCTTGCTTCTCCATCTCACACGACACACTCTTCCATCAGCACCCTTTCTCCCACCGCACTCACACTCATTTGATCTCACGACAATACCATTCCACCCCCACTCTTCTTGGATCACCCACTTCAACTGCTGCTAAGCAATAATACACCTCCGAACCCAGATCGATACCAACCCATCGACGGTACGCCCATCATCACGTCCATACCCCATCCCGCATTGCATCAAGGCTGACACTCATCCAACAAGAAGCTCACGAGCATCGTCCTTCTTTCCACCCATATCCCCATCGTCTCGTTCAACATCAAGTATTGTTTGATGCCAATGGCCCACAACATCGCCCGCAAGGCATACTCAGCAGAACAACTCTTGGCCCTGCGCCATTCAGCATCGGATGAGACGGCTATCCAGATCGAAGCCAAGGCCCAGGATGGAGCCATCAAAGGTGTGTCGATATCCGCTTCCCAGCTCCGACTCTTGGCTTTGTTGTTGCTCTCCATCAACCAGCATCAATACCCTTCCGCTTGATCACCACCAACATTCATTGCTCTCATCATCCATCCATTCATTCATTCATGCATACATCCAACCAACTTTAGTCATTCATTACCATGCATTCTTTCTTCACTCCACCAAAGACAAGCCTACCATTTAATCCTTCATTTTCCCACCACGAGAGATTTGCGAGTCGGCTGGTGGCCGACACTCCATCACCTTGTCGACAGAGTCGCTTTGCAAAACCAGATTGGCTAACAGACGATCTTGCAGACCATGTTGTCCGCAACGCACGTTCCTTTGCTGCGCGCTCATCGCGTTCGCTCGCCACGTCTGACACTCTGCACCCTCCTCCTACGGAGACACGCCAATTCAGCGCACCCGTCTTGACCGAAATTGATCCAAACAACCAGAACTTGCGCCCTGGACTGGCTGCCAACCGTTACCGCCCCTCTCCGACTCCATCACTGAAGAAGCGCAAGGCCGAGCAAATTCTTAACGACCATGGCTCTCCTCCTGGACTTCGCGTCACCGCTGGAGGTCGCATCGTTCCCAGTGATCAGTCTCCGCTGTGCAGTCCTCGCTATGGCTACAGTGCGATCAAGAAGAACGGCATGCTCATCAAGTTCGGTCCCAACTTTCCAGCTCCTCCTGGCGGCATTCCCATGCAGAGGATGGGCTTGCCCAATGGCTTCGTAGCTCAAGATCCCGACGGCAGACTTTGTCAGATGGTCGATGGCAAGTTCCTGCCCGTTGATGATGTCGACGGCATTCCTCAACTCTACATTGCCGCTCCCAACTTGACTGGCAGCACCGGATTCCCTGCCGGCGAAAAGGATGACGCTACTGGCAGTACGCCGTTCAACAACTCGACCAGACAGCAGCAATCCAGCCAGAGCTTCGACAATGTCCCTCCAACTGGTCCAGCACTCAAGCAGACTACCATGAAGCCGCCAGTCATCAGCAGCACTGTGCAGATCCAAGCTCTGGAGAAGCAATACACCAAGCTGGAGCAGGAGTCGAAGGATCTTGACAAGGTCGAAGTCTTGCAACGCAGCTCGATGAGTTCCAAGACATACGCTCAGCTCGTCCAGAACCGTCGTGATCTCGTCGGCCGTATGAACGCGATTCGTGTCAGCATCAAGTCTCTGCGTGAAGCAAAGTCCTCTGCCGACCACTCGCCTCAAGCTGTTTCTCAGCTGATGCAGTCCCAGTTCGGCATGCCACCTTACGGACCAGCAGCTATGATGGGACCAGCAGGACCCATTCCTGATTGGACCTTCGACGGCATCGGTCCCGAGGCTCACAACATGCCTCACTTCCACGGTGCTCCCATGCCTCACGGAATGGGGTATTATGGCCCACCACCTCCTGGTTATCCTGGTGCCATGGCTCCGTACCCAGGCATGTTCGGCACAATGCCGCCTATGTTCAACATGATGGGAATGCCTCCTGTCGACGCATTCGGCAACTTCATCCCGAACGCCACCAACATGGATTCTCAGGCCTTCTCCAACGGCAGCCCACCTGCTACACACGCCAACACAGCGCACGAAACCGGACCAGGCAACGATAGAGCAACTGAGAAGACCACCACGTCACAGCAGGAGTCTACACGCAGAACCCATGCCTTGCAGATCAAGAACCCAGAGAACAAGTCCGAGTCGAGCCAAAAGTCGGCCCTCAACCCCATGAGCCCCAGCTACCAGCCTGCCGGCAAATCTACGCCTGCATCCAAGATTGTCTCGACTCGTGCCGCCTCTCCATCGCCTGCTCTTGCTGAGGCTGTCAGGCAGCACAATGCTTGGNTGACCGAGTCGGCCAACGCCTCCACCACCAATCTCAACTCTGCGGGTTCTCAGCGCAAGCTTCGTTATGAATCATCCTCGTCGAGCTATGCCACTGCCGACTTCTTTCCCAACAACCCTCGTGATCACTCTATGAGGAAAGATGCTTATCCTGTCGCACACGATCGCAATGCCAGCCGCAACAAGTTGGCAGAACGTCCCTCTGCGTCAAATGAGCAGCCCGTCACCCCAGACAAGGAGAACCAGGATCCAGGATGGAACTTCGCTCCTGTTACCAGTGTCACGACACCACCAACCATGCGTGATCAGACCGTTGACCAGCCAAGCACTCTAGAGATCGGCAGCATGGATCCTGTTCAGAACCGCTCCGAAATGAACGTGAGCCCAAAGAACCGTCGTTCAGACTACCCTTTGAGCTACAAATCCGTCAGCGAGGTCACAACGCTGGGATCAGGTCTTCCTTCTCCTGCCATCGGCTCCTCTCAAGATTCGCAGTTGCAACAATCCAAGCCTGCTCCTTGCTCAAAGGAACCTCTTGGTCCCGAGGTAACCACCTACATGGACGGCTTCAAGGCTGGCAAGGCTCGCTTGCCTGTCGGTCTTGAGAAGAGCGGCCTCTGGCTCGACGGCTATTGTGCTGGTTTGCTCAACTCAGCCCAGCCAACTCCCGCTCCAATCCCGTCCAGGGCCCCAGCTCCATCTCACGCTGGTCCAGTCATCGTCAAGCCCTATCTGCCATCAGGACAAAAGGACATCGTTTCTCAGCGTGCTGTGCCTGCCATCAATGTCAACGCCACGTCAATGAACCCTCTGAAGGATGTCATCTTCTCGGCTCAGAACGAGAACGCTGTCCTTACTCCGGATCCCAATGGGCCTTGCGTCAACGACATGGCCGCCTTGCATCTCGGAAGCTGGGCAAAGACTCATCAAGGACCCGCAGCCGCCGAGTCTGATGCTGTTCTTGCCTCTGTTCGCAATCGCGAGACAGTGTTGCCTGAGCGTACCTCTTCTGCTGTGCAACGTCAAGCCTCAACATCGGCTGAGCACAACCGAACCGTCATGCCAACGGACCAGACAAGCAGTGCCATGATGGAGCGTGAGAGAGCGTACATGCCTCAAGACCGCCGTGCCACGTCTGCACAGATGCAAACAACTGGTGGTTCTCCAACAGCCTACTTTCAGCGGGTCTACCCAGCTCATCGCGTCATGAGCTCGCAGCTCGAGTGGAAGTCAGGCTCTTCCATCGCGCAGGTTGCTGGACTGGCCACTGGCTACTTTGCACAGTACGACGGTACGAGAACAGGTGCCAACACTATTGGAGACAGACAGCCGCTGACTCAGATGTCTGGCAACACAGGCATGACGACCCACGACACCATGTCAGGAGCATTGCCCGAGAAGCAGCCCGGCATGTCGGCCAGATTCACCGAAGGATCCATGACTGCCGATGTCAAGACAGGCAGCCCATCGTCGTCACCTGGCAAGAGATCGTCCACCAAGGGCTCTCCGGCCAAGGTCAAGTTTGCACAGATTGCTGGCAGAGCTGGAATCAAAGTGCGCAGCGTGAGCAGAGACGAGCAGGAGAGCGAGCCCAGCAGCCCTCAAGAGAAGCGTCGCTGGAGAGACGTTTGGACAAAGAGGTTCACTGAGACCGGCGTCCGCGAAGGTGAACAGAAGCAAGGCGGTCGTCCTTGATTCGGCGAAGGAGACTTCTTGGACATACTTGACTGGTTGGTACATTATACCTTGGCATCAGCTTTGCTTGCTATGAGAGCGAGACTGCAGTGAGCATATTATATGGCATGAGATTGATTGATGGACTTCGGAGCCCGATCGGCACGAGCAGGATTAACTCGAGGCATGTTTTTGATTGAGTTTTATAACTGACAGCATATTCAGAAGAAGCAGAGGATACACCGGGACTGTTGGAGGATAAGCAGAGTATAATTGCTTTAGATATGTTCAGACGAATGCATGACTTCTTTTCCTTGCAAACGTTCTTGATGTGTGCTTGCAGCTTGACATGTTGATGCAGAAGTGAGAGCGAGCAAGTGAGTTGTATGGACATCATCATGGTTGTTGGACCGTGCACGGCGGAGAGCTGTTTGGAACGTCCGGCCGGCGACAGCTGCGACCATCAATCATCATCATCCAGGCAGTCAACGCCATCATCTTTCAAATCAACTCTTGCGCCTTCTCTCCATCTCGTACTCTGCCGACCACCCAAGCCTCATCAGACCAACCAACTCTCACACAGAAACAGCCATCATGGTGCGTCACGAAAGCAGCGCTTCCGTTGACGAAACAGACATACAGCTAACACAGCATCCTCACACCAGTCGCTCCGCATCGTCCCTCACAAGGGCCACGCCCAACAGACCGCCCTCGCTCCCTCGGCACCCTCCGCCCCCGGTGTCCACGACACCCTTCGCTCCAACCAATCCCTCAACACACCACACAACGCCTCGCCCGCCTTCAGCGCCGTCGCTTCGTCACACCCACTCGAGGCACGTCTCTCCAACTGGCGCTCGACCCAAGACACACTCAAGATGAGCATGCTGCGCCGCGAGTTCGGCATTGCCGAGCCCATCCGCCGCGGCATGGAAGTCAAGATCTGTCAAGAAGGAGAGTGGAGGCCCGCGGTCCTTGGATACAAGGGCGAAGGCGTGCACGAGGAGATTTTGAGTGGAAGGGACAGCAGTGTTGATTGGGAGGATGTGTTTAATGGTGAGTTTTTCTCGTGCAAGGGCGTGGGAAGGCGAGATGAACAGAGGGAAATGCTAATGATGATGGTACAGNGCAACGAGACACAGAATGCGCCCGACTTCCACTCGGAGATGGAGAACAGACTCAAGATGAACTGGTAAAGGAGGACCTGGTCATACGCCACGACACAACAGACGAGTCGGGTCATCCCAAGGCATCGGTACTTTAAGTGTGAAAGAAGAGACACAGAGGCATGGCGAGAGAAGAGGATTACTGGGTCCCATCACCCTGTACAACATCCATTGCCATGAGCTCCTCTAATCGAGACCATAGTATTGAACTCGAGAGGCAGGACTTGCACCAAGACACAGGAGGAGAAAGGCATAAGCATCATCTTGTACTTGAACCAGCATCAGTAATGAAAACAACGAAACACATTTACAAGACCGTATATGTCATCGCGGGCTGATATCTCATCCAACCACTCCCTCGAATGTCCCTTTGGCTACGCCTATACACTATGGATACACGGTCCCAAAAACCCTTGAATCATAACCCTTGAGAAACATTCATCATATCGTCAACACATAAGCCTCATTCTTTCAATTTCCTCTATAATGCAATCTGAAAAAAAAACCAAGGTATAGACAAGAACGGTTACGCTGAATTCCCTACATGCATACAAGAAAGACTCAAAGATATGGACATGAAAAGGAAACGCTCCGTAACCAGAAAAGAAAGAGCGAAAAATTGGGGGTGCAATATATGTCTAAGAGGGCAAAAAAACACAAGGACGAAAACCCCACCCCTTTTCCTTTCCGCCCTTCCAGACTCGTATATCGAAAGTTGGTCCTTTACACCGTGTGATGAAAACGCCAATGTACAAGAGAAGAGAAAGAGAGAAAAGTATGAGAACAAGCGGAGTATGTGGAAGGGCGAGAAAGGAGAAGGGGAGGAGTATGGCGAGGGGGTATCAGAGTGAAGAAGAAGAAGATGGGAAAGAAGAAGAAAGAATAGAGAAATCACTGGATGATGCATCGGCAGCCAGCTGTTGGCTCGTCACCATCGCCCCGCGAGCGAGGCCTGACACCGCCACCACCGCTGCTTTTGCCCTTTGCTGACTTTGCATTCTCTTCGTCGTCGATGACTTCCTGGGGTTTGACGCTCATATGTACGACATTTGGTGCAGAGTCGCTGAATCGACATTCTATACTCGGTTAGCGCTGGAAACAGACAAAGTCGTTATGACCGGGTTGAGAGATACCTTTGAGCGGTAGTTTGTCGTCGAGGAAACGTCCAAAGTGGATTAATCGAATTGCTGCAGGAGACGAAGGTCTTGGCTCCCATTCNTGGAATCACGATGGTGTCAGTGATTGGTTCACCGTCAGCACAGATAGTCGAAATATGTTACCTTCTCTCCAGTCTCGCCAGATCAGCTCTTTCAAAGTATAGACGCTGATGACGAAAGGATCGAATTCACCAGTCTCGTTCTCGGCCGTGACATTGCGCTTTGTCAGATACTTCTGATCTATACGGTAGGGATGGCGTGTACCAGTGCTGCTCAGCAGCAAATTTATCGTAATGACAGGACCGCTGGGAGGGCCAAAGCCAGGCGTCGTGGGCATCGGAGTGGGCAAGTCGGTAGAGGGGCCTATGGGCTCGGTCGTCTCGCGGCGAACGAATGCAGGAGAAGGCATCTCGAGCGGTGTTGGCGGTAGAGGATCGGTGCCTTCATCTACGAATCGCGGTTGATCTGTGATTTGAGGGGCTTCGACTTCCGAGGCGGTGGGAGCGGCGAAGAAAGAAGGTTGTTGCAACTCGGATGATGGTTGTGCATGGATGGGGTGAGCGAGAACGGCCGACGTCGCTGTTGCCGTCGCATGCGTGTCTGTGTGAGGGTCCATATTTCCTCTTTATGCAAAGACTCGATCCGGAGCTTATAGTATACAGAGTGGTTGGTGTGGACTCGGGCGTGGACTCGACGGGTGGGCGGTTGAGTCAGGCCAAGGCAGGATTCGACGAAGACAAGGCGGCCTTGAGAGGCGACAGAGTGGTCAAGCAGCAGAAAACGAGCGTGGTTTACTCTGTTGCACTGCAGATCCGATGGAACAATATGAGAGGGTGGTGATGAGTGTGCGACGATTGCGACGACGACGACGACGACAACGACAACGACGACGACAACGACAACGACGCACATGACGGCCGCCGCAACAACCCCAGACTCCACCCAAACCGCCCTCCCGAGTCCCGAGTGCTCCTTCCACCCAAAACTCTATTCGGCCCTCTGCGCCCTTTCCAGACCACTCCTCTTTGCGCTGCTGAGACTTCAGACAAGCCATCTAGAAAGTCCAATTACACATTTATATACAACCTACATCTCCTTCTCTGCTCCAACGTCAAGTGCCCATACGTGTGCTGGGCTCCACTTTTTACGCTATCGATCGTCCTCAGCCCTCCACGACGTCTACTCCGACCACTCCACATAGTGGCTGCCCTGCTCCACTCGCACTCCAGACATCTCCTGCTTCACTCCCAGCATACTAACCTTGCCCATGCTGCCATCTGTCTCGCCCTCGATCTTCCAACCAGACAAGAGCTTCTTCAGCTCCTCAACCACCTCTTCCCTGTCTTCGATCAACAGAGCAACTGCATCATATCCTCCAGCCCCGGGCACCACTCCGCCAACCACGCCCTCAACCTCGCTACATGCGTCCAGCAGTTTCGTCTGTGCCGGTGGCTCAATCGGAACTCCGCTTTGCTTGCTCATCTCGCGGATGCCCTGTCTGATCGCCTGAATGCCTTGTCTGAGTTCCGAGTAGTTCTTTGATCCACTCTCAGCCAACTTGACCAGCTCCTGTGACAATCCCTCGTTGACGTTTTGCAATCCCTCCCACACTTTTTCTGCTTCCGCTCCAGTATCTTTTCTCCACGCAAGCACCTGCTTGACCATGCCAGGCGTTTGACTGCCACAGCTAACGTCGCACATGACCAATCTGATGCCCTGTGGTACCTTGACCTGGTCCTTGACAATCTCAGTATCCCATTGACCGTTGGCACCGTCCTCGTTGACAATGTCTACCAGCTGTCTGGCAAACTGCGGCGTACCCGGTTCTCCGTGTGCTGACAGAATTGATGGCGAGAATCTTCGGTATAGACAGCTGCCATAGACTGCAGAAGCCACATCGAAGCCAGAGCCCACCTTACCCTGAGCAGCACAATGCGCTGCTTGTGCCAAGTTGTGTAGTTTGCGCTTCCCAGCTTCAGTGGTCAAGTCAAAAACTTCTTGAGGTAGGTAGTAGCTGAGCACGGCAGCCGTGAATGCAGTGACCAGAGCAGCCGAGGATCCTAGTCCAGTCTTGTTGGCTTCCGATAGAGGGACACCAAAATCATGGAATCTTGCACCAGTCAACGACGCCGAAGATGTAGAGTAGTAGTCGTTGTCTGCCAGGATGGTAATTGATGAAGGCGAGATATTGGACGACCCAACACTGGAGATGTAGCTTAGTGCATAAGCCAGAGCTGTCTCCACGAATGGATTGCGGTTCAGCTTCAAGTCAGCGTTCCTAGAGGTTCAAGTGTGTCAGTCAGTCGTGTCTTGCTAGAACTCCAATGAACTTTGTTGTGCATAGAGTGCCATCAGGAGCTCCCACGAGCATTCCACCAAAGGTTGTGCACGAAGCAATCTGTATGTCCTCTTCGATCTCGGAGACACTCTTCCGAGGCACCTCGTCTCAGATAATTATTGAGAGCCCGGCAACTCGGTACAGACGCTTTCCGTCCCACGGTCTCTTGCTCGTGCAGCCTCTCTTATTTTGCACTGATAACATGGATAAAAGAGCTTTACCACTTACACTCTCAATTGGGTCACTTTGACGCCCCCGTCTTGATCGGCCAAGCGGTAACCATATTCCCAGACCGCATGCTGGAATTGAGGTGAATTGACTGTGATCTCAGAGAAGGTGACCCCCGAGCTTGATGCAACGGGCTTCACACAGACATGGATACGAGCATCCAGGCCAAAGACAAGGCCATTGTACTTTCTGTCGAGCACGAGATAACCGCCGGCCAGCAAGACTTTGCCAGGCGCAGACACAGCGACAGCACTTGGACTCATGGTCGTTTCGAACGATGCAGGGTGAATCTTTATGAGAAGCGATGCGGATCGATCGTCTGGGTGACGGGAAAGCTGAGCAGCAACAGCAGAAGTGGCTAGACAACAGACCAAGACAGCGTGCAACTAGAGCAAGCGACCCCTCCTCTTCCGCTCAGGGAAACAATTCTAAAACCCTTGTCCCTCCTGAACACCGCACGACAGCAGGAGACGCGGTACTGCAATCTTACTTTTGCTGCGAAAAGTACACGGCTCGATTGAATAAGGCCGGGGCAGGGACACCAGTCAGCAGACCAGAGTGAAGAGGGAATTGACGATGAAGAGCCGGCTGGTGGTGGTCGTTGTGGAAGCTTCTCGTCGAGTAGAGAATCGAGCAATCGGGGTCTGCGGTGCGCAGACGGTTCCGAGAGTTTCCTTTGACCGTTGGACGGAAGCTGCGGGAGAATGTGCTAGCGGCCGGTTTGACGGCGTGGCCAAGTAGGGTGAGCTATTGAGCACTGCTTAGTGTAAAATACAGACAACCATGTAGAATAGAGCCGTTTTGAAACATGATCTTACCATCTTGAGCACAGGTGCGCATGCTGGCCCTGCTGTTTAGCAGCGTCAAAAGTTCGTCCGAGTCTCCGACCCAAGTTCGTGAACGAAGTCCGATGGACGCGACAAGCTCCCACAATCCATCCGTTATCGTCATCCATAATTCGGTTGCCTGAACATTTTCGCCAGGCAAAACCAGTCATAGTCAGCTTCTCATTCTCTGGCTTTATCAGATCTTCTTTCGCGCTTGGGTTTTGGTGCGATTTCAATTCTATCTTTGCGCTTCTCTCGTAACATTCATCGACTATCACGCCACCAAGGTATTTTGTACCTTCCGCACTGCATTTTCGCGTGTCCTCTGCCGATCAAGCAATCGTCAGATGAACTTGCAATAATTCTTTTTGAGAACTACCTGGTATGTCATTTCAGTCTTGTGTCTCTTACTATTCATTTTGTCTTCAATCTCATCCATCCATCACTGGATTTGGCTAAAAGCATGGTCCAATGGCGAGTTTCTAACCATCAATCCAGTCTCATATTTCCAACTTGAGGGGTCTCAATCACCGTCTCGATGGTGTTCGTTAAGCCCACTGTCGGAATCTCTCGTCTTGCTGGTACAGCATTCAAATCTNTTACCCACGGATACGCTCAGACTGTCGTCGCCGCTTCTCAATCTTCCTACGCCTCGCAGAACACCGGTGTTACACCACTCGCAAGCAACTGGATACATCGCATTGGCGGTAACACTAGCACATCTCAAGTACAACATGTGCCGACACACGCAAGCACCCAGGCAGCCCGTCAGGACAACATCAACAATGACGGTCTAGCCCAATATTACGAGGCGTGGCACAAGCACCACAAGAATGGCGACCTCCGCGAATGGCAACAGTTTCAGTTCCAGAAGTTGATCGGATACTCGGGCGCAGGAGCTGCTGAGAGCAAGGAGGCGGACGATGTGCAAGAAAGCAGCGCAATCGAGGAGGTGGATGAGAGCCTGGAAGATGCGCCACAACGAGGAAACTTGAAGCGTGCATACACGACCAGCGCTGTCGACAACTTTGGAAAGGCCATCGACAACCAGGAAGCTGCCGCTATTGCATTTGCACAAGTCAACGAGGCGATCGCCGAGGAGATCAGCAAGACCAAGCAAGAGGTTGAGGCTTCTATCGGCGCCGCGATTGAGGAAGACGCTGTTTCAGAGAAGACCATCACAGCTGCTCGCGATGTTCGGGAAGAGTTGTCCACTCCTATCCTTGACCACACTGCTGCTGCGCCCGTGTCAGAGTTCGATGCGTACACACAGGAACTAGAATTGATGCTTCGCGACAAGCAGTATTCGCGCATCCCGAGTATCTTCGAGTCGATGCTATACGCTGGCATCAGACAACCCCCGCCCTCTGCTTACCGTGCTCTGATGATCTCTGCCATTGAGCTTACCACTGGCAAGCACCAAAAGGTACCCAAAGCTTTGGAAGTCTACTCGGACATGCTCCGTCGCAGAGTAGTCCCGGATGCAGAAACTTATGCTGCTCTTATCAATGTTCTGGCAACCAGAGCTCTGGAGGCTTCAGCTACCAAGAAGGTTCTTGAAGAGAAACGCGTACGTTATGGTGGCATGGAGGCCGAGGACAGCTTCCTCTTCCACTCGGATGCGCTGGAATATGCCATCTTCGCAGAGGACGAGTCTTTGAACATCGCCTTGACCACCTTCAACTCTGCTTCAACAAAGATCGACTTTTCAACCACATCTTACAGTCTTCTGATTCACGCATGCGCCAAGCAAGGACGCGTTTCTGACATGTCGCGCTTGTTTGAGCATATGTCCAGCAAAGATGTCGTGCCAAACGCGAACATCTTCCCGGCCATGATCAACGCATTTGCGCTTGCAGGAGACTTGCGCAACGCCGTGGACTGCTACGAAAACTACAAGAAGCTGGCCATTGAAAACGATGCTGGCATGAACCACATGTCAAGAATGGACGAAGCTGTTTACTCTTCTTTGGTCAAGGCGTATGCTGCTTGCCAGCACTTGACTGGTGGTCAAAAGTTCCTGCGCGAGATCGAGTCTCAGGAGCAGAATGCCTTCAAGCGTCAAGCCATCAGAGACACTGTTTTCGTCGAGTCCTTCCTTCCTCTTTCGATCCAGGCTGGCGACTTCAAGGAAGCTTCCACCATCCTCTCTAGCATATCGAGTGCCGCTTCCGTTCATGCTTTGAACTCTATTATCATGGCCGCTGCCGATGTCAACAATTCAATCGAGGGTACCAAGGCTTTCAATGCTCTTGCTGCACTCGGTGCTGATTTGGCCCCTTCCTCCATGGCAATGCTCGCGATGCACGTCCGCAATGCAAACCTCGATGCAGCTGAGCCCTACTGGCGTGTGCTCGAGAACTCCATGGCTACTCCGGCCTCCATTGAGCCGGCCACTATGCGTGCTCTTGCTCTCATCAGTATTGGTTTTGCTACCCGTGGTATTGCGCAGACTCGTCACATGTTGAGCCGTATAAGAGATGCTCAAAACTCAGCATCTGCCAACAGCGAGATCGCCGAAAAGATCGAGGACGTTATTGAGATTCTTGGCAACTTTGCTCTAAAGAAGAACAACAATATGCTCGAGATCGGCGCCAGCATCGAGCTTCTCCGTATGATGGTCGACAATGGTGCTCTGGTCAACCCAATCGCCGAACATATTGTAGCTTCCTTCGGCCCTCAGGAAATCTCGCAGCTCAACGCTGGTGACATTGGTCTTCTGACTAAGATTCAGTCGCGCATGATCCTGGACGAGTCTGCTCCCGAGGTTGCTGGCGATTCTAGATTCGCTTGCCTTCTTGAGAACATCGTCGCTCGCGCCGTCCTTCCCGATGTCTCCACCGAGAATTTGATTGAGAAGACCCTGATCAACCTGGACCGCAGTGATCTCAGTCGCCTCTGGAACAACTACCGCTATCCCGTTCTCCCTTCGCCTGTCTACCCACCTGTCGTCAACTTCAACGCTTTCCCTCAAGCACCTGTCTCTCCTGTTTTCGATGACGCGTTCGACCCTTATGCCAGCAGGACTGATAACAAGGCCTCGGTCGCGATTACCGACTTACTTGAAAAGCCCCATGGAAGGTCTGCAACCAACTTGAACGAGGCTCTGGCCAAGTTCCGCAACATCCGTCGTGCTGGTCGTGTCCCGAGGTTCTTTGCTTACTCAAAGCTCATCACGGCTGCCGCTAAGGAAAACCAATTCAACCTCTGCCGCGACATTCTCGAAATGGCCAAGCAGGACGTACCTTTCCTCTCTCAGTACCGCGTGGTTAGGTTTGGATGGATTTCGATTCTCGATTCTATGCTGTCAGCTTGCCTGAGCGTTGGCCGCCGCGATCTCGCCGCTCAGTACCACCAAGACTTGCTTGACATGGGTGCTTCTCCTTCTGCTAACACATACGGACTGTACATCACAACCCTTAAGGAGAACACCAAGACTTTTGATGAAGCTACTGAAGCAGTCAAAATCTTCTTGCGTGCCAAAGCTGAGGGTGTTGAGCCAACTTCCTTCCTATACAATGCGTTGATTGGCAAGCTTGGTAAAGCCCGAAGAATTGACGATTGCCTCTTCTACTTTGCTGAGATGCGCAACCTTGGTATTCGCCCTACTTCTGTCACCTACGGCACCATCGTCAATGCTCTGTGCCGTGTCAGTGACGAGAAGTTCGCCGAGGAGATCTTTGAGGAGATGGAGGCTTGTGCCAACTACAAGCCCCGTCCTGCACCTTACCACAGTTTGATGCAGTACTTCCTGACCACCAAGCGCGACCGTAGCAAGGTGCTGAGCTACTACGAGCGCATGCGTTCGAAGGGTATTCAGCCTACAATGCACACTTACAAGCTTCTAATCGACACTCACGCTACTCTTGAACCCCTGCACATGGCCGAGGCTGAGACCGTCCTTGCTGAGATGCGTGCTGCTGGCGAGAAGCCTGAGGCCGTTCACTACGCTGCGCTGATCCACGCCAAGGGTTGCGTGCAGCACGACATGGCTGGTGCTCGTGCTCTTTTCGACACTGTTGCCTTGGACTCCAAGGTCAGGCTTCAGCCTTGCGTCTATCAAGCCATGTTCGAGTCTCTCGTTGCAAACCGTCAAGTCGCCGATGCCGAGCCTTTGCTCGCTCACATGGCTTCTCGTAGAGTCGAGATGACTCCTTACATTGCCAACGCCTTAATTCATGGCTGGGCACTGGAGAAGAATAGCGTACGTGCTCGCCAGGCGTTCGATCGTGTGAACTTCGCCGACCGTGAGCCCAGCACTTACGAAGCCATGGTTCGTGCTCACCTTGCTGTCGAAGACCGCGAGGGTGCTCAGGCCGTCGTTGGCGAGGCTCTTAGCAGAGGTTACCCCACTGCTGTCGCCAACAAGATTGTTGAGCTCATCAGTGGTGGCAGACCATAGTCTGTCCTTAACACTTGTTCAGAGAATCTTTCACTTCGAATTTTTCTTTAGCGTTTTGGAGCGAATCATTACGAAGAACACGATCACAGGGAATGGAAAGGCGTCGAGGGTTTGTGATTGAAGCATGGCGTAAGGGATGGGCTGGTTTCGGTGTTCAGCGATGGGTTTTTGGTTTGTTGTCATTGTACAAAGATATCCGGGAGCAAGGAAGGCAAAAAAGTTGTCTGTCCCCTCTCATGCGTTTGTGGGTTTGGCTCGGCTGCGTTTTGATTTTTTTTTACATACATCTCCTCTCTGCCGGATTGTCTGACACCACATACTCTGAAAGAACTTGGGTATGTGGTTAGATCTGGGTGCTCTTCAATGAGCCAATTCAAAAGAAATACTTCCAAATCTTTTAGCTCTGCTTTTGGTGTCCGCGTATGGTGCTGCCTCTGTGTCAGAGTATACATTTTTACTCTAGCATCTTGGGAACCGTAAGACTCTTGTTGCAATTGCCTTGCTGCATACTAAAAAGTGGTTCGGTGCTACAACACGCCACCCTCATTCTCACGATTATGGATAGTGGATTCAAGAGCTATGGAGACGTAGAGTTGCTGTCTGATCCCAAGACCCAGGCACGGAGATACCCTACGACATCGTCTCTGCACGGGTATTGCCCCTTTTAAGAAAGCCTTTTGCATTTCTGTGACCACAGAACAATGATTCTGTAGCACATGGGACATCGAGATACACATGCCCATATTTCGGGACCGACGAGTACTTGTCAGGGTCAAGATATGCTCGACGTGCTTGTGATCACAGCAAAGTGGCGAAAAAAAAGATATCACGCGGCGGGTAGGATTCGAACCCACGATGTCTGCATCTTCCTCCATCCAGCCTCTCCAACGGAGAGCTGTAGACGGTGAAAAGGCTTATGTTTGCAAGACACGCTGATGCAAGCGTCTTGACCACTAGACTACCGCCGCTTGATGTTGGAAAGTCGAGAGGGCAAGATCGAATGTAAAGGTTGATAGATGACGGAAGTTTGAGAGTAGAGTAGGCAGGTGCGTGTCACATGTGCAGGCAGCACATTTCGCGATCTTGCTGGAAAGAGTTCAATACCTAGAGATGAATGCTCCTTGCACATCTTACCCTGCTCATTGCATCAAAAACTGCAAAAACGCCTTTGCAATCACGGCGCCTCCATGAGTCTCTCCCACCCTCTTGATGCCATCTTCGTAAATCTCGTCATTGAAAACACCGGCATCATGTCTCGCCGTCAAGATATGCGTCACCATTTCCCTGTTGAACTCTGGGTGTCCTTGCACAGAGATCAAGCGTCCCTTGGCATACATACCCTGATTTTCACAGCGATCCGTGTGTGCCAATGGAAGAACCCCTTCTGGGTATGAATATACCATATCTTGATGCATTTGGTGTATACTCTGTTTGCTTCTGTGTCAGTGGATTTCCGGAGAGAAAGATAGCAAAGAAATGCCAGTCCTTACCAAAGAGTCAACGCCGAAGATTTCTTTGCCTTGGGAGGTGAGTTCAAGAGGTGTGACGCTGACTTCCCAGCCGTGGGTGCCGCGAGCCACTTTGGCACCTAGAGAGCGTCCGACGATTTGGTGGCCGAAGCAAATGCCCAAGACACGGATACGGGAGCCAGAGGCGAGGATCTGTTTTGTAAAGTCGACCAATTTTAGGATCCAGGGGTCATTGTCGAAGGAGTTGTATNNTCTATGGCAAAGTTAGTTTATTGGTTCATCTGAAAGTACAACGCCTCCTGGTCTGTCCATTGTGACCACTTCTGGAAATATCATTCCTCTCGGAGAACACAAATACCAGACGAAGGAAACCAAACACTTACTGCTTCCCGTCATCAACACAGCATCTACCTTGTCCAAGTCCTCGGGATACTCTTGCTTGTCGACGACATCATAACTCGTGCATTCCACCTGCACTTCTTCTCCACTCTCCGTCAATTCTTGACCGGCTTGTTTCAAGAGTGCAGTAAAGATATCGCCGTAGCTGCCGTATTTGTTGAGTACCTTGTCTAGCGGTGTATCACACTCGAGGATGGCTATGCGAAGGGTAGGCATCTTTTTCTTGCTTTTGTATTTGGTTGAAGATTGCGAGAGTGGCGAATTCTTGATGGTTGGTGTGAGATTTGCAGAGTGGTTGTCTTTGTTGAGTATTCAGAGGGAGATGGAAGGAAAAAGTTGATATCTTGGATGGTCGTGAGTTGGGTAGGTAGTACGTCGTTGTGTGGACTTGGTCAATGCACGGCTGGAGATCCACACTCCGACGTCGCTACTCGAGGGAAGAGGTCCCTTATCTATCGCATAATGTCTAATCACTAGAATTGTCCCATGGATTACTACGTGGTGAAGTCTACCAGATACGTTGTCATCGTCGTGTGCATGCGAAGATGGGATACATGTACACGGCAAGTTGTCTTGAAAATGATCATGTCGTTTATTGTTTTTCCCTTAACCTCTATAAGAGACCAAAACCGAAGATCCCTCAGCTACCTAACACCAAACATTCAAAAGCAAACTACTGTTACAAAAATCGTGGGGGTATAGGCGTGAAACTTTTTACATCCTCTTGCCAGCCTCCTCCATCATGCGGCCGTACTTCTTCAGGCGGATGGCGTTGACGGAAATGAAGCCAGTGGTGTCCTCGGGGCGGAAGTCGCCAATGACGTCCATGGAGGACTCGTCCATGTCGTAGAGCTTCTCGGTGTCGGACCAGCGGCCGAGAACGCTGAAGGAGCCCTTGTAGACGCGGCAGCGAACGGCACCGTTGACGCTGTCTTGCGAGGCGGCAACGCACTGGAGGAGGAACTTGCACTCGGGGGAGAAGTAGAGACCGTTGTAGAGGATCNNTGTGTGATGATACGGTCAGTCAAGTGTCTGGGAGAAGGGAGAGTTGGATGCAAAACGTACCTTGGCGTAGTTGAAGGTCAGGAACTGGTCACGGAGAGCGCGAACCTCACGGTCCATGGTCAAACCCTCAAGATCGATGTGAGCGGAGCGCAGGCAGGTAAGACCGGGAGTCTCGTAGCAGCCACGGGACTTGAGACCAATGAAGCGGTTCTCGACAATGTCGATACGGCCAACACCGTGCTTGCGGGCAATGGCGTTGACGGCCAGGAAGAGCTCGGTAGCATCGGTGACAGTCTTGCCGCCAGGAAGCTCGACCTTGACGGGGAGACCCTTCTCGAAGTGTAGGACAAAGTCCTCGGGCTGCTCGGGAGCCTTGGTGGGGTCGACGGTCAGCTTCCACATGTCCTCAGGAGGAGTGACGTTGGGGTCCTCGAGGATGCCGGCCTCGTAACTGCAGTGGGCCAAGTTCTCGTCCATGCTCCAAGGCTTGCTCTTTGTGCTGGTGACGGGAATGCCAGACTGCTCGGCGTAGTCGAGGAGATCCTGGCGACCCTTGAAGCGGTTGTAGAAGACGGGGTCGCGCCATGGGGCAATGACCTCAATGGTGGGCTGAAGGGCGTAGAAGGCAAGCTCGAAGCGGACCTGGTCGTTGCCCTTACCGGTGCAGCCGTGGGAAACAGCGAAACAGCCCTCCTTCTGAGCTACGGCGATCTGGGCGCGGGCAATGACGGGACGAGCGAGAGAAGTACCTAGNCGGCGGGTCAGAACATGGCTCTCTATATAGCGAATGCTGTACATACCCAAAAGGTAGACGTTCTCGTAGATGGCGTTGGACTGTACAGCGGGCCAGCACAGCTCCTCGACAAACTCCTTGCGGAGGTCCTCAATGTAGCACTTCTCAGCACCAATCTTGAGGGCCTTCTCGCGGGCAGCGTCAAAGTCCTCCTCCTGACCGACGTCGGCCATGAAGCAGATGACGCCGTAGCCCTGGTCCAGCAGGTACTTGAGGATACATGAGGTATCGAGACCGCCAGAGTAGGCGAGACAGACCTGTACACACGGGTCAATTTGGATGCTACAGATAGCACACAGCGTACACGATTGCCTACCTTTTGCTTGACCATGTTGATGGATGTGATGTGAATTGATAGAAGTGTGAGATGGAGGAAGGGAAGAGTGGTTCAGGAGAGGCAGTTTAAGAAAGATGGAGAATGGCTGGTGAGTCAATGGCCAGGAAAAAGTGAGCTCCACGTTGGCGCGCCAGCTGCTCGTTTCTAGTCAGTTATCGCGCGTATCGCAGCGCTGATCCACTGCTTTTTGGTTGCTGTGACTGTTTGCTGGCACTAAAACCGCTCCCCCAGCTCCGTCACCGGCCCTTTCGCCGACTTTCCCCGCGCTTGGCGACTTAAGGCCGTCGAAAACCATGACAAGCCATGAGTCAGGTCCATGCCCTTCTCAACCACAACCTTTGCCAACAAGATCCCGTTGTCCCAAAGTAAAGCCGTCTGCATGTGGCTTGCTTGCTCGGCCTCCAACCCTTGAGGTATTATTCGAATTCAGCTGTGTTTGAAGAGTAGAAGGAAATATTGTAATTTTCTGGTCCTATTATTGTCCCTGTACATTGGACGACTGACCGCCGGAATACGTCTGGCCTTCTCTCCTTCCGCATCGTCTCTCTTGGACAGCAATTGCAATCCAGCCTATAGACAAGATCGTACTGTACATCTTCCCATTGTCGAGCCACATCCACAAATCAGAACTTGTACTTGGAACCGGATGCTTCGATTTGCGAGCCACGTTCAATGTCGTGATCTGAAGGTGGGTGTTGGTCGAAGCTGTACTTGACATCGCCTCGCTCGAGGTCAGACGCAGCATCGAAGCTCGACTTCGACTCCCGAGAGCTATCGCTGGGTCGACGCTTCTGCAGCTTGCGACTGTGGCGTCTCTCGTTACTCTCGTTGCTTGACGATCGTGTTCGCGCGTGTTGACCTGCTATAGTGTGCGCAGATTCCTTGGCTGCGGCCTCAGCGTCCAGTGTTCCTGGCTTGAGTACAGCAAAGCCTGAATTCACCGCGCGTAGCACAGTCGGATCTGGACGTGTGTACGAAACACTTGAACCACGACGAGTTTTGGATTCCGAGGCGGGTGTCTTAGGCTCGGGGATCTCGACATCCGGATGTTTCTCTGACACGGGGGTAGTGAAAGGATTGAGTCCGCTGTTGGAACCGGACGAACCAGGGCGTGGCGGTGTCTGTGAGCGCGGATGAGAAAAGTTGTGTACCTCGCCTGCTGCCAAAGGTGACGAAGTCCAGTCGCCAGAGGTACCGGTGCGGCGACTTCTAGGTACCAAACGCCCTGTCTCGGCAACTTGTGACATGCGGTGAGTCTGAAGAGCGTCGTCAAATGCCGGATTACCACTTGAGTGGACGGGTGGTGGTCTTGTAATGTCCAGATAAGACGCTGGCAGTTCGTTGCTTCCATTACTGCCACCTCTAGATGATCCTGACGAAGAGCTATGATGGCTGACGATTCTGGCGGGATCTNNATAGCACACCATTAGTATTTGCATCATCGAGTCCTGATTGCGACACGTACCGGTTGGCATGCCAGTGGGAACTCTGGTCTCGAGAGTATGCGCGTTGCGGAAGTGTTTTGAGCTGCTGCCTTCGTATCTCTGGTATGAGTGTGGAGGGTAGCGGCGAGAAGCCGAAGCAACAGGCTCGGGAAGGAAATTTGGGTTGCTCCCTATGCTGCCGCCACATATCGAACGATCCGCTGACAGTGTCTGACTTGGCTCCCTCGAGGAAGATGCGATAGAGGCATTGAAAGGTGAAGTCTCGGTGCCATTGTTCGTCAGAGTCATCGCAACATCTGTCAATGAGCCTTGCCGGCTTTGCTGTGGAATGGGCCTATAGGCCGACAGGGAACTTGAGGAGGGTTCACGTATGCTTGGAGCTGGTGTGTTATTACGAGAGATCCAGACTCCATCAACCTCGATACCACTTTCAATTGCTCGGATGCCAAATGGGATGCTTGGCCCGTCGTCCATCAGACGTTTTTTCTGGACCATAGCCTCTTTGGCTGACTTTTTCTTTTGCTTTCCTTTTTGCTTCTTTGGACCTTTGCGCATACTTAAGCTGCGGATGATACTCTTTTCACGATTAATTGGTTGAGGACCAGCTCTCTCATATTGGCGAAGTTTATGATGCGTGTACCACAGTTTGAGACAGCCGGCGAGGATGGTGAGGACNCTGATGATTTAGTCAGTATTAGTCGATGGGCAGCTGAGAGCCAGTGTACATACAATAAGACACGCGAGAACCTATCACATGTTAGCAGAAGCTCGGTAATGGTTGTATGGAGCGCATACAAAGGTCATCTTCTCCCATAGTGCCCAGCCGACAAAGAACACTTTTCCCATCTTGGGGGTGTCGGTCAAGTTTTGGAGTGGGAAAATGTAGCGAGCGACGAGAATTAGAGTAGGAGGTCGCGATTTAGGATGAATAAGTGAGCGAGTGTGGTGAATGGTTGTTCCAGTGCAGCGTTTGTTTTGTGGTTTGTATCAATAGGGAAGGTGCGAATTTTGTTGAATGGCAGCTTCCTTGCAAGATTCGATATGGTAGTATAGCGGCCAGCCACAGACAGAAGGATGTAAGAAGTAAGAAGAGAGAAACAAAGTCAGCTTAGCGAAGGACAGCGGATTATCTGATAGGTGCTAGGCACGTCACTCCACGGCTACACACAGCAGGATCGGGGCCTGCTTCTAAAGGCAAGGAAAGAAGAACACAACCAAGAACCAGTCGGAGGGAAGGGAGGGACTCTGTCCCATCATTATACATGCTACCGCTACCTTCACGTGCCGCTGTCTTGGGAAGATCGATCCATCTCCACTAAGAATAGAGAAGAGAAATCAATAGGGCCAGGCAGCCTCTCGGCCCATACCACACACTGGAGGTTCNCATACGGCGCCTGTGCGAGGATGCACGTTTCCTTGGGATTTCNNTGCGACCGACCCGCCGTCGTGCATGTGGTTGCAATCGAGTTGGCGCTTCGCTGAGTCCTGGCAAATGGATGGGAGCACAAGCTCGTCACCGCCTGCTTGGGTGCTTCTNTTGTCCTCGCATGTTGTCAGNCGCAGGCGAGTTCGCTCNTTGTAGTGTCTCCTTTTACAAGATACCTTGCAGGATAGCTTNGATGCAGACGGTCGAAGATGCTTCTCATCAGACGTGAAACGTCGGATCGCTCGGAGACTNCTTGATAAACCCGTNTGTCCCGCGTTTGAGAACGACGGCACAGACGCGACCGATGCGCCATGCAGAGGTCATTGTTGCGCACTGCAGTCGAACTGGCCAAAGGGCAGAAACGTGCGCCTCGGAAGTAACATGCTGGGGTGCCACCAGGGTTCAGAGGAGGAGCAATGGTTGTTCATTGACGCGGACTTGTACAGACCCTGACGTTTGCCTGCAGCATGATCTCCAATCCCAAGAATGCAATTGTTCTGTTCTTAGGATACGCGAGGATATGCTACGGCAGCTCACATGCATACTAAGGAGGAAAGGAAAAACATCAGACACATTCGGATGCCACTAAGGTTCATCTTGATGAGTATCGATACCAAGAACGATGCAGGTATTGTGTGATGTTCGTATTGAATTCTCGCTCTGCATACCAAGACTCATTCTGGCAATACCAAGACCAACAGACAGAAACACGACCACAGGTTTCCAAATGTGCTAGAAAAGCTTTCTCCGTGTGTCACCGAAGCCTCTGATCTCTACTAGTCCATGTGGTCATTCGGTAGACAGACTCCAAGGGCGACCATGCGGAGGTTTAGGGCGCGCGTTGGAGCGCGTTACCCTAGGGCGCCAATCGCTGCGAAAGCTAGGGAGGAGTCTTCTGACCCTGATGGCAGAGTCGCTTGCGCAAGATTGAGCGGGATGTCCGTCTTCGGCTTGTGTCTGTTCAAGCACAGACCGAAACTGACACTTCTCCTTAGTCACATAGCTTCCACGAGCCGACCCCTCACTTCTGAGCCGGGGCAAGTCACTCATACCTATCACTCTTGTACCTGGCATCATGTAGCTTCGCGAGTTCTTGAATATCTGTATTGTCACATTCACATTCACGATGGCTGCTTCATCTTCATCAAAACTACTTTCACGACAGGGATCCAAATTAATCCACCAGCGTCTCTTCCACACAACACGCAGACGAGATGTAGTCAAACCATTTCTGTTAGCGGATATTGGCGAGGGAACTCGAGAATGTCAGATCATCCAATGGTTTGTGCAGCCAGGTGCTCGCGTGGAGCAATTCGATAAACTCTGCGAAGTACAGTCGGACAAGACAGCATCTGATGTAGCATATTCTGGAAAACATCCCTTCTGATCATTATAACTGACATGTGATAGANTCACATCACCCTTTGATGGAGTTATCAAAAAGTTGTACTATGAGGCAGATGATATGGCTCTCGTCGGANAAGGTAGATCCACGTAGACTTCCTCTATGTCCGTATTCACGCTGATGTTTATTTAGCCATTGTTGGACATCGATATACAAAGCGACATCCCGCCTGAGAGCGAAGCACTTATCGAAAACCCCAGCGGTGAGAAGGTCGATGTTCCACAGAAGGAAGCATCACAACCCCAGACCCCACAGCATGAGGCTCAGAGTGTGGAGAAGGAAGAAGTACAAGGCCCTTTGAGCAGGACGAAGAATCACGATAAAGGTCTGGCGACACCTGCTGTACGACATCTCATCAAGGAACACAATGTTAAGGTTGAAGATATTGAAGGAAGCGGTAAGGACGGTAGAGTGTTGAAGGAAGACGTCCATCGCCACGTCTCACGGACCACTCAGAAGTCAACGCAACAGGAGTCGGCAAAGGATCAGAAGAAGCCTCTAACAACAGTGCAATCCGCCATGTTCAAGACCATGACTCGATCGCTCACGATACCACACTTCTTGTATTCGAACACAGTGGACACTGGCAATTTAAACAGGTTCCGTGTGAAGATCAACAGCACGCGAGAGGCTGGAAACAAACTAACGCCGCTGCCTTTCATACTCAAAGCGATTTCACTTGCGATGGCACATCATCCATTACTCAACGCCTGGTTGGACACGTCAGATCCCCAGAAACCCGAGTTGAGTTACAAGGCGGCACATGACTTTGGAATCGCAGTTGATACTCCTTCCGGTCTGCTGGTTCCGGTCATCAGAAATGTCGAATCACAGAGTGTAGGATCCATTGCAGAGCAAATCAAGGTTATATCAGGCAAAGCACGCGAGGGCAAGTTGGGTTCGAAAGACCTCCAAGGACCGACATTCTCAGTGTCGAACATCGGGTCTATCGGTGGTGGTGTTGTTGCACCGATTATCGTGGAACCTCAGGTGGCCATTGTGGGGATTGGAAGAGCTAAAGTGGTACCAGGATTCGACGAGCAAGGGAACTTGGTCAAGAAGGAAGAAATGGTGTTGAGCTGGAGTGCGGATCATCGAGTCGTGGATGGAGCCGAGTGTGCCAGATGCGCTGAAAGAGTGAACTGGTATCTGCAGAACATGGAGGCGTGGGTGCTAGAAATGAAGTAGACCCGAGAGATACGAATGCCCGGTCGAACATTCAAAGTTCCAGACTCACCATTAACACAACGTCGTGGATGCAAGATGTCGTTGTAGCAAACATATGTTGGCTGTGAGCACAACGAACTTGTTCAATCGAAACTTGATGATCAACCCAACACGCCAGAGCGGAAAATATGGGCTTGATGAAATATGCAAAAAGGTAAGGTAGGAGAACATCAAGAGCTTGCCGGGTGACGTGACGGGACGCGTTTTTAGCGCAGCACCGAACCTTATCCACGACCTTATTTTGCCGAAGACCCAACCTCCTCTCATAGCACACCCATTAGATGGACCAACCTTCCACTTTACGCAGTCGCATCCTTCTGTATGCTTTCATGAAACGGTGGAGCATACTGTGACTCTGTGATGATCACACTCTGCATGAAAGTACGCCTGGTCGAGTCCACATGACCAATCACAGCTTGCGACCTCGTCACGACACCTGACTTAATCAAGAAGCAACAAAGACGAAGGAAGAGCTGAGCGTCAGCCTCAAGTAGCCCCATCAATGTAAGCGTACGATGATTAGGCCTTTTGACTTCGCATACAAAACCTTTCTGTCTTCTTTTCTTCACTATGTGCGAACCCTTCCTCTTGTCTCTGGCACTAAGTTGAGCTTGTGTTGGTGATGAGTCAAGACTTGTGACGAATAGCTGCCTAGAATCGAGATTGGTGATGCCCTTTCGACAGCTGACCCAGGGAGAAACACCAAATCATGCACGAGCTGCCTACGGAACTGCAAACCAGCCTGCACTCCTGGAGAGGCAGTGTCCGCCTATCACGAGGCGATGATCCCGATCAGGCACAGGCACCTCATTCACCAACAAGGCCGAATGACTCTTTGAACAGGCTGCGACAGACCTTTTCATCTCTTATATTGGTATGTTTCCGCCTTTCTTCCAATCTCCTCTCTTCGTCCATTGCATCGTCTCTCTCCAGAACTACAGTCGAAACAAGAGCCATGGACGAAGAAGCAGCGACCGAAACTGATCCTTTGCTGTCAAAGTATCCAGCTACATCTCGTCGCCGCTTTGACAATGCCACACCGAGATCCGACCCAGTTCCAATTGCGCCTCAACCAACGCCAAACAACAATGATCCAGACACGGACGGTGAGCCTCTTTCTCAGCAGGATGTCTATACTCTTCTCGGTATGGCTCCTCCCACAGCAAACAACACAACACCTCGTCACCTCGAATCCGCTCATGGCTTTTACGGCCAGCTTGTGAAGAGCGAGCGTCGCGCAGCACATCACTACCGCCTCTACGATGTCGCAATATTCTTCCTCATGATCGTCCAGCTCTGTATCTCGGCTGTATTTGTTGTACTTGGCTCATTGCCTAACCTCGATCGTCATCATGTGGCTGTCGCGTCCCTGGGCGCAATCGGTACTGTAGTCGCAGGAATGCTGGCGCTGATGAAAGGCCAAGGACTACCGAATCGCCTTCGCATGGAGCGTGATGCTTTGAGAAGAGTGGTGTTCGAGACGGAAGAGCTGTACTGGGATGCCAGGGCTGGTAGAGAGGTGGATTTTGCTGATGTCGAGAGGCTGAGAGATGCATATGTTGCTGTGGTGGAAGATGCGAGGAAGAATCATCCTGATGTGTGGACTTCGAGTCCAGTACCTGTGCGGGTCAAGACGGGGTTGAGTGGAAAAGGAATGCAACTTCCAGGAGCGGCGCAGATTGCGAAGTTGTGAGCAGCAAAGGGTATTTGTAAGCTGGTGCATCTTGTTTGCTAGGTATTCAATACATAGACATAGATTCAAATCACTTCATGTGAAGGAAAACTAGACTGATATTATCACATCTGTTTCAAACAACCACTGAGACTGACCCATAATTTTACGCATCACATTGAAGAGCAAAATCTTTTGACTGGTTCATGATACAGACCGGATGAGTTCATATCGAGAACAATGACCTCAAAACGCACACTAAAGAGATAGCAGAAAAGCCAAGCATCAATTTGGATTAGTATCCTTTCGCGACCAAATGAGACGGAGAGTCGAAGGAAAGACCTCCGGCGTCTATTTAGAGGCATTTCTGTCAGTCAGGTGGTGTGGAGTGGAGTGCTATCAGTGAAGTTGCGGCGGAGTCGGAGGAGCGGTCAAGGCGCATGACGGATTTGGAGTGTTTGCTTTGTTTGCACCTGTGACAAGGCGTATTCGAAGGGTCTTATCACACTCGAGCTCGCTGCCGCTGTATACCGTTTATACCAAATAGTGCAACCATGTTCTCTTCGCAGCTGGGTCGCGCCGCCCGTGTCGGCACCCAGTCAGCCAGCATATCTACATCGACCTGCGCCGTCGCCCACCGCGTATCCTCGGCTGCTTGCCCGACTCTTCTTTCGCGCCAACGCCGACTCTCGTCAAGCAAGGCTTCATGCCCGCCCAACGGTGATTCGAACCGCTCCCGTCAACCTGCTGCCGCAACCAAGCCCGACCTACCGTCTTCTCGCCCGGCAAAGTCGCGCTCTTCTAGCAGTCAAAAGTCCAGCTCCTCCAGTCGCAATGTCAAGGCCGCCAAGGATGAATCTTTCGCGAACCTGCCCAGCGTGCCCTCGACTGAGCACATTCTCCCTCAAGGTGTGTATCTAGCATACAGACGAAGACCGAAGGCTCCTACTCACACTCTCTTACAGNAGCTCACCCTCTCATCTTTCTTCAGTCTCCACCGTCCACTCAGCCTGGGCACAGCCATCCCGCCCGCTGCCGACATGACGGCCTTTAACACCATCTTCGAGCCCAAGTCGAAGCAGCAAAAGACGAACCAGGACGTCATCTTCACCCTTTCCAACGCAATCGACGGCATCGAAAGCAAGCAAAGAGACGCGGACTTGGGCTGGGAAATCATCCAGGAGTCGTCATCCAACTCAGATGTGAAGCACTTGGACGGCGTGCCACGCTCAAGATCGCTGGAGGATTTGGTCGCACAGTTGAAGCCTTTCACTGCTCCTCCGCCACCCGCTCCCGTCAACATTGAGCAACAACAGCGCAAGGCCCGCGCTACTCCCGCTCCCACCGTCAGCCAGAAACACTTCAAGACCACCATCACTGTCACAGAAAACAAGCGTTCGGACGGCGTCACTTTCTACACTGCCTCGGCCACCCCTCCAGAGCCCGCTGCCATCAAGGAAGCCCCCTCATCCACCTCGACCACCCCCTTCAAGGACCGCCTGCGAAACCGCGAGCTGAATTTCATGGAGAAAGAGCTCGAACAACAAAAGAGCGACATTTCCATCTTGGAAGGCGAGAACAGCAAGGGAGAGATGCATGCCATTTCGGTCAAGAGACAGCGCAAGCTGAAGATGAAGAAGCACAAGTACAAGAAGCTGATGAAGCGCACGAGAAACTTGAGACGCAGGTTGGATAGAAACTAGAGTGCTCCTTCGATTTTTCTGTTCTCCTTTCCCACCAGATTTCCTCGTTTCTCATGCATATCATCGGCGTTTGAGATTGATCTTTACAAACTTGATGCCCCACCCACATTTTTCCACCTCACCTGTAGCAATAACATCGTTTTTCACAACATCTTGATCTTCCATTTTGATCTAACCCCCGCACCTGAAGAAGGCGCGGATTCCGCAGTTGCTGCAGCGATTGGAGCATGGTCCTTTCTTGCAGGTGCATCCCAGAATTGTGGCCTCCATGCTGACCCATCACACATCTGCAATCTTTCACGCGACACTTCCGATCAGTCACGAACCCAAGTATCTAGCACGAGTCGGTTTATCTGGAGCCTTGTGCCCACACATTCAAGTCTGATACGTGCACCATTACAGTTCCAGTCACTGGCCTGACAAGCCTTTGAGATGCAAACTTGCTCAGGGGGTGGGTGAAAGATGCGTCGGCCCTGCTCTCGAGCCAAGTTATCGATGTCAGCCTGCTCTAAGAGTTCCTCATAACGGAGGGGATTGGATTTTGACAGTGGTGACGCAGTTTTCAATGCAAATCTCTATCCTCTCAATCTACCCCTTCGATCTCTTCTTTGCATGAATGATGTGCCAACAAAGTGCTTCCCAAGATGAACAGACTTCCGCGCGTCAATCTGCTTTCTGTCCCGATGCGATTTCGATTTTAATCGGTGCTGTCAGTGTGGTCAAGCAAGCCACACGAGGGGCCATCTCCAATTCCATCAAGTAGACGTCTGCTCTGATGGCCAAATGGTTATTTTCGAGTCTCTGAATGATGTCTTGCCTTCTCTGCAGAGAGGCCAATCTTCCACCGACATCAGACGTCGACGAGTCACTGATGAATCTTTTGCCAATGGGTCGTGTCATGGGCTTGACCACAACGACAAGTCCTTTTGGTTGAACTTTGTCATTACGTCGANNGGCATCGGTGTCTTGGTGANNGTCTGACTCTTTGGACCAGTTGGATTCGTTGGTGATGTGGATTGTGGAGATGATTTTGCGGTAGGAGTATATTTCTCGAGTGATCTCGGGGCAGACTTTTAGGAGGGCTGGGACGCCGTTGGTGATGATGTTGTGGTCGTCGCTGAGGGCGTGGTCGTAGATCATGTTCCGTAGTTCGAAGGGCAGGGATTTGATGTTTGCCATGGTTGTGGAGTTGGATGTTAGGTGATGAGAGGCGTAGATGATGGAGTTATGAGCGTGTACGATGATGAGTGAGTATATTGTGATGGTATCGGATAGAGTGTGTGAAGCTGGGAGAAAAAAAAACGTGGAAGTAGAGAGCTGGACTTTGTATCGCACAGTAGAGTCACAAGGCAGATTACTCATAGCTGGCAAGAACGCTGTCGGTATCTGTCCTCACTAGGCTGAAGTCATCCATTCCATGAGGCACAATTTTGTATCTTACAGACGGACCTCAAATCATCTCATGTTCACGTGGTTTTGGTCGTCTCTCTGGATGCAAGCTGGATTCAAATACGACTGTGCATTTTCATGGCTAGACTATCGCTCAGTATTGCTAGAAGAGAGTCGGGATGATGAGTCTCAGCATATAGTAAAGTCTGATACTCGCGTCTGTACATGACCTGGTAAAATCATTGCAGTCACCAGACAACATTGTGCTTTTGATCCCTAGCTCCAGATCTGTGTGCGACTCTCGCTTGTTCACCAAGACTTGGACTTTCTCGAATTCGAGCTAGATTGTGACTCGTCCTGGTGTCTTGGTGGTATACATCGGTCCTCTTATGTTGTAAGATTGAGCGAGATCGCATGATGTTCTTCCATGCCTTCCAAAGGTGGCAACACTGCTTCTGGACGAATTGTAGCTGGACGCGCCGTAGCTGGATACATCGTAGTTGGACGCAAAATCGAAAGTAGATGGACCGTTGGTTGGTTCGGCTTCGAGCGTTCCGTAAGCAGGAGGATCATCTCAACGATCATAGGTAGGAATAGGCAAATCGGGTTGCTGAGTCTCGGTAACCTCTGTCTCCTCGTGAGCTGCATCGTTTGCAACGTTTTCGTGAATCGGGCGAGCAAAGCCAGGTTCGAGGATACGCTCTGGTATGGTTTCCTCGTGCGTGAACAATACAGGTTCGTCTTCTTCAGACTTGTAATCCTCGCTTACGGTTTCCCCATAGATTGCAGAAAGCAACTTGTCTCCCGAAGAGCCTGAGAACACCCAGAATGAATGTTTCGAGATTGATCTCAAAACTCCGCAAGCCTCTGCTACACGGCAGCATATCAGACCCAAGCAGATCGCTAGTACATATGTCCAGCTTAGCGGTCCCTGTTGGTGAGATAACGAAAATGGATGGTTGCTTGTATCGACCTGGGCTCCGTCGGAGAAGGTTGATGGCCCAGCTCCATGATCGCTAGGATAACCCAACGAGGCCCTATATCTCTCGAGAGTTATCATATCGATATCGACCATACGGGAGGGTGCCGAGGTCGCTAGATACCAGCCTCTTTGGTGTTCCCACTCGCAAGGACCCAGATTGACCCACGTCGACAACACAATTTCGAAACCTTTCCCGGGGTGGTTATACGTTGCCAGTGTGAATTCCGAAAGGCAGCACACGCATTTTGTTGCGCTATCAAGTTCATATCCTACGGGACGCTCAAGGTGTTCTTCCGCCAGCTTGGCTACAGATCTGTCAACGGTTCGTTCAATTTTGTCATGTACTAAAGACTCTCGAAAGTGACTACACCATCGGCAAGGTTGTTGGGCGCACGTTGCTAGTTTGTCGAGCTTACGGTAGACATGATGCATCTGATGACTGATGAACATGTGCTGCTCTGTCTGCATCATAAAGTTGCCGTTGACGATTCTTGGTCTGACTCTGCATTTCGCGATCTGAGGCATTTTCTTCATCAACACCCCAAGTCCATACTGTGGGGGTTCAACTGTCCAGTCCGTTTTTAGGGAAAGGTTCCGGAGTGCTGCGTCGCAGGTGTATCCCTGACGATGCATGTTCATTACCTCCTGCACCTCGCTGAAGGACAACTTGTACTGCGGTGCGATCTTGATCTGGTATATTTGTGATGACTGCATGTTGTAACTCGTCGTAGATTGTTGTTAGCTTGATAGAGAGAGGAGACATCGCAACGGAGAGCTGAGGTCAGTAGAAGGTCAATGACCTCAAATCAACGCTGGAAACTCACTGGAAACTCAAAAGCAGATGGAAAGAGCATACCTAGAAGCTGTCACAAGATCTCTCCAGCAGCTACCTTGCGTCTGTACTCCGTATTCGTTCCTTTCCATCACGTCGTGTATTCCTCGATAACTCAGGCTCTGTGAGCACGCGAATCATGTATCAAGATGATGAACAGGATGGCTCAAAGAATCTCATTGGCTCCGGCGGGCTGCTTTGGTAGGTGCGACTAAACTGTCATAACTTGTCGCAATTGCATAGCAACAATGCAAGTCACATCTTCGATGGACGTATCGCCCCTTCTCATGGCGAAAGACAAAGGAGATCTTGCTTGGACGCGCCGTCGTCGAATGTTGCCTATGGCTTTATGCATGCATAAGGTTTTATGGATCTCCACAGTGCTCTACGCCACACGGAGATAGCGGCCGAACGTTCAATGTCATGATCATGTTCACCTCGGCAAGTGCAACACCTCATCTTGTGTCACTCAAATACTCAAACGAACAGAAATAGCATACCTACTTGAGGACAAGAGTTGATTCGTACATCCAGGACTGCTAAAACGCGAAAAAACCCGTGCTGCAGTCACACATCTGAACGACATCAATCGCCGTCAGCTATGTGTCACTGAATCATGCTTGAGATAACAACAACATATCTCAGATACTCAACTCAAGGCAACAGATTGTCCATGCATGCATTCAACCAGACCGCTGTCGGATATTGATTGTGGTTGACTCCACATATGACACCAGAGAGTTGTCGGTCATTCAATACAGCTTCGAACGAGAGGTTACATCAAGAGTGCTTCAACCTGACGAAGGATCGAGACACATATCTGGACTTGCGACCATGGATAACTCGACAAACTATGGCAGTATTGCCGAGAAGGGCGAGCTCTACAGTGCGCCACCGAGTCGAAGAGAAGGACCACTTCCACACTTGGCGGACTGGATGTGCTTTCTGTCAGACGACATTCCCGTCTCAGCACTCTCGATTCCCGGAACTCACGATAGTTCCGCATTTATGAGTACATGGCCTTTTGTTTCGACTCAGACATTGACTATCGCGCAACAATTGGATGCTGGAGTCCGATACTTTGATCTTCGATGTGGCATCATCAAAGATGAAGTCCAGATGGTACACGGCAGAGCAGTCCTCGGTCTCAAGTTCTCTGATCTCCTTGTCTCAATGTACACCTTCCTCCAGAAACATCCAAAAGAAGGCATCATTATACAATTGAAGCAAGACCGCAAAGACGAAGCCTCAACACGACCCTTCTCCCAACTAGTCCTCGATCTCATGCACCAAAACTCCAAATACTGGCGCTTGGAAACCACAACACCCACTCTAGGCGAACTACGCGGACGCATCCAACTACTGCGCCGCTTCTCAACCTTCCAACACCAACAATACACATCAGGCATCGACATCACCAGATGGCCAGACAACCCACCTTTGCCATTCACAATCCGCACGACCGTAGGCGTGCACCTTACAATCCAAGACCACTACTCCTTCTCCACACCCGAAAACCTACCCTCCTTGGTCGCGAAGAAAGGCGGCGATGTAGCCTCAATGCTCATGCGTGCCTCCCGCGACACCGAGCCCTGGCACTGGTACATCAACTTCAGCTCCGCCTTTGAATTCAACATCTACTACCAAATCCCACCCAAAGACATTGCTGTAGGCGGCTACTCGGTGTTCAGATGGGTGGAAGGGATAAATTTGCGTTTGTGCAACTTTCTGAAACAGAGATTGGGTGATGTGGACGAGCCGCAGAGGTTCGGAGTCGTGGTTATGGATTTTGTGGAGAAGCCGGCGAGTGAGTTGGTCAAGACTGTCGTGGAGGCTAACTTTGTGGTGCCGGTGGAGAGGAGAGGGNGGTTGGCTGGTAGGAGCTCAGAGACGATGGTGTTGGGCTTGGTGATGGGTCTGGTATTCTTGGCTTGGGCATTGTTTGAGTGGCATATGGGCAGATTCGATCAGGTTGATGGACGCTGGTGTTCAATGGTTGAGCGTGCTTGCTTTTCGGGATCCTCCTATGAGGCAGTAGCTTGACTCGAGACAGTAGGATTACATGAGTTGTACACAAGCATGCATCACTATCAACGAAACTGTAATCTTACCTTCCGAACTAAGTTGTGCCCAACAAGCAAGCAAGAATCCAAAAAACCGAGAAACCAAAGTTTATCATCAACCAGAATCGAACCCGCAGCCCAGCCAAGAAAATAACGAAAGTTGTGGAGTCTGCAGTTGTCATCACCATTACTCTTTACTGTCTTTGTCTATAGTCGGACCTGGCAACTCAAAGGTATGTCTGGCGGTGTACTGTACCAATATTTGATCAAGTCTTGCACATTGTGGGGTGTTTGTTGGAACAGTGCAACTGCCTGACAGAACAGGTGCTGCTCGCCGAGCGTACTTTATTTTCTCGCTCTGTTCTAATCTACGTGGGCAGAAGACGCGCTAGTCATGATGTATCGTGGTGGGTGTGGTATAAGTGGCTCCTTTGATTGTTTCGGTCCTTTCTCTGCCCAATGGTCGGATCTCCACCTGACATCAGAATGCCGTTCGCGGAGATCAAGACATTGATGAAGTGAGTTTTGTGTTAGTCTTTCGATGGGCCTTGGCTGTAAGGGCTGTGGACATTACTGCCTGTGTTGTATGGACTCGGTTGATCGCTGGCTGGAGCATACGGACTGGGATGGTTGCTTGTGTATGAGCTAGCCTGGTTGCTCACAAGACTGTGCGGCGATGGCTGCAGAGTTCGAGAATCACTGCTGGTCTGATTGAGTGACGGGTCATGTGAGAGATGCATGCCATCCAATTGATTGTCAACGTTCCGATTGTCGAAATGTGGTGACCGAGTCGACCTTTCTGGCATCCGCTGTGCATTCTCCATGACTCTTTCTTTGGGCCAGCGAAGAAACTCTGTCCATTCGTCACCAAGGATGATATCGATTCGTGCAATGATGACTTCGGCCAGACCTCTAAGGTGCCATGGCCGTGGGTTCATGCTCGTCAGAACAGCCCAGTATGCTAGGATAATGAGAGCAATAGGTCGTCGCTCAATCAACATGTCTTTGAAAACTGTGGGTAGTCCCACAGCCCACTGATCGATGAGATGCGCAGACGTTGGATAATCGTCTAAGTGTTGTGATGAAGTGCCAATGAATGTAAAGATGTCTTCGGTCGTCTCCAGACAACACCTACGTCGATTTGCGTCGTCTTGACCGAAGGCTAGAGACCGAACCATTGAGTAGGTGGGAAATTCTGAGGCAAGTGTGGTACGAATTCGATCCTGTTTACTTGACTCTTTCATAAAGAGCTTGTTGAGCCAAGTCTGAGTCAGGTAAGGCCAATATGGCGAAACAACAAGCTTAACGCCTCGGCTCAGTTGAAAGCACTCAACGATCTTGTCAATAGGATCTGTGTCATCATGGTGAGGATTGAGCATGTACTCAGCCAGACCAAACGCACTGGTGTGGCTTGAGAACATCATAGCGGCTAGAGCATCCTCCTGACGCAAGTTCGCGATGACGGGCTGAACTTTTTGAATGGCAACGCCTTGAAGATAGCAAGCTCTGTCAAATAGTTCAGACCTAGTTCGATCCTGTGAGTAGAGGTGCAAAGCTGAAATGGCCATAAAGTTGTGCATGAGGAATTCATAGAAAAGGGCTTGCTCTAAGACTTTCTCAAAGACGTCAGCTCGAAGTTGGGGATCTGGAACCAAAGAAGCACTGTAGTGGTAGATGAAGTGATGATACAGCTCCAAGTCTAGAAGACATAGCGGCTGAGTCGAGGGTTGAATGATTGGCGGAGTGCCGAGAGGAGTTGATAGATGCGAGACAAGGCTCTGACGTGGACTGGCGGGTTGGGAGGCTGCTTGGGGAGCAAAACTGCAGGGGATGTCCAGACGTTGGCAATTGGCGCATTGTGGTTTAACCTCATTGCACTTTNNGTATGTGAGTATTCTCACAAAAAAATTGCGTCATCAGAGAATTACCTTGATGTGGCGAGTCTTGCACTGAGAGCATCCATTACGAGATTTGCGATGAGAGCGTCTCATCGAGGCTGGTTTCGTGTCCAGGGTGGGCAATGGCTGTCGGTCTCTTCGCGTATCTGGACAAGGGGGCGTCGTATACCACAAGATGGGCGAGTCGGAAGATACAAGACGGTCGAGAAGTTCAACACGGCTGCAAGGTCAAGACTAGATGTCAGTTGGCTCGATTGAGAGATTTGGGAGGCTGGTGGAAATACGAGGTCGAATACGGTCTGGATACGGCGCACGAAGAGATGAAGGTGACGAGAGCCGGATGCCAAGGCCAGGGCTCAGTTTGGGTTTTGGCTCGGATGCATTTGCTCGTGACAAGAACATTTCCATTCTGTTCATAGCGACATGGCATCAACCGACGCGCCCTCGACAGGCGGAGTGCACCATCAACTGCCCTTTCCATTCTCAAACCAGGACGACTCGACACCAGCTCCGCTTCTACTCACTCAAGGTGCTGAAGCTCTGGTGTACCGCACCACTTTCCTCACATCATCGACTGCATGCGCACTCAAGTACCGACCGGCGAAGCCATGGAGACACCGTACCTTGGACATGCGATTGACCCGTCAACGAATCCTTGCTGAGGCTAGGGTACTGACTCGCTGTCGCCGCGAAGGTGTCGCTGTACCCGCCGTCTTGGGACTTGACTGGGAGCGTGGATGGCTCGCACAAGAGTGGATCTATGGCAATACGGTCCGTAGAGTCTTGGATTGGGTACACAGAGAGAGCGGACTGCCCACCAACGAGAAAGAGCAACAAGTACACGACCTGTTGCGGAGAATTGGCCATGCCCTCGGTCGTCTCCACGACAGAGGCCTGGTCCACGGCGACTTGACAACCAGCAACCTGATGCTGCGACCCGCCGAGACCGACATCAGTGATGAGGACATGCAGGTCGGAAAAGCCGTTCGCATTGCCAACACCAATGGAGAAGTCGTCCTTATTGACTTTGGTCTCGCTCAGCAGACAGTACAAGAGGAGGACAAGGCCGTCGATCTATACGTCCTCGAACGAGCTTTCGCTTCGACACATCCCGAGGTGGAGCAAGACTTTGGCCATCTGCTGCAAGCCTATGGCCAGAGCTACAAGGGTGCCAAGACGGTGCTCAAGAGACTGGAAGACGTGCGCATGAGAGGCAGAAAGAAGAGCATGCTGGGTTGATCTCTAGCTACTGACTCTCTTTGGCTACCTGCTGCAACACCTTGACATACTCTTCGACTTCTTTGCAGCCTTCGAGCGTAAAGTCGCGTCTCTTGCCCTCGAAAACCACATACGGCACGGCGTCCACTCCGTTGCCCGCTTGCTCTCGGATCAGCATCTTGACATCCATCAACCCTTCATCCTCATCTTCGGCAATACTCTTTGCCTCTGTCTCGCCGAGCCCTGCCTCGGTCAATGCTCTCATCAGAGTTTCCGTGGCACTAGGGTGTTTCTCCTCCTCGAAGTACTGCTTGTATAGGCTGTCGACAACCTTCTCCGCTACATCGGCGCCTTTGGTCTCTTGGACGAGCTGAATGACGCGGTGCGCTTGGAGTGTGTTGCCTACTCTTCCACCAAACTTGTACGCAATGCCCTCAGCTTTGCCATATGCTGTCATGAGCACTACGTATTTGCGCATATGCTCTTCATCTCCGTTGAACCTGGCGTCGCGATACCAGGCGTATTTGTCTTCGCCCTCTTGCGGCGCGTTAGGATATAGCTGGTAGGGGAGATATTTGACCGTGAACGTCACTCCTGGCTCGGTAGATCGGACCTGTGCAAGCGCTTTTGCGAGTCGCCTCCTAGCGAGATAGGTCNNCTGCCATCGTGTCAGATCAGTATCAAAGGGTCGGCGGATCGGCTGAGCAGACCATGGACAGATGGTATCTAGTGTGAACGATATCTGAGATTCGTAACCCATGGTGACGACAATTCCACAAAGCTGGTTTTTCGAATGACGCTGACTCGTGCTATTTCATGTAACCACCTAACGATGACCCACAAGCCGAGAGAGTATGGCAGTCGAGGTGAGCGGGCAGACGTTTAGATACCAGCCCCTCCAACGACCCCGCCATCGGCATCAAGAAGCTTTCAAGCTTGGCGTCATGGATGAGTGGAGGGTCCTCGGGTTCTGAGAACCTCCTGATCTCGTCTATGCCAGTCCTTCAGACACCCTTCTACTCAAGTAGGGTCACACACATCCCAGCATTCCATCCTTGCTCCCATGACTATGCTTGCTTTCGGCTTCGGCTTCCATGTGATTTCTTTCAAGGCACACCGTTGCTCAACTCAACGCCAGCGTTGACGTTTCCCAGCCTGCATGAACAGCGTCCGCAGCCTCCAAAACGGTCGCTGACGGTAGAAATATTGTAAGTCGAGTCTGCCAATGTGCCGTGCTATATAAGATCAGGGCCGCAGGATGCAGGTACGTTTGTTCTCAGCTTCTTGTACACCTGAACAGCACGCCACATACAACGATATTCACCAATACTCTTCACTGCAATACCATATCAACAAGCCGATCAGCGACTGGTCTCGTCGTCGGTTGATCTTTAATCCCCTTCGAGTCTATCTTGCTTTGGTACTGGGTCTGCCCTGATCATATCTCACTACCTACCAACATGAAGGGAACAGTCAGCATCCTGCTGGCCACGGCAGCTTTCAGTACCGCTCAGATCATCAACAATGGCAATGGAACCTACACCTGCGCTCTTGCATCGGGTGCATACTGTGTATCATCTTCTCTCGAGAGCAACATGATCATTCGCTGCAACAATGGTGTTGGCTATGCCAGCAACTGCGATGACCGGCTCGCCGACAAGACTCCTCTTGGCTCATCTTACTCGCCCTGCTGGCAGGCCTCGAGCAGATCTGGCAACGCACAGTGTTCGAAGAATGGCATCATCTATCCAGATGGCAACAACACAACACCTTACCCAGTCCCGAACTACCAGACTATCAGTGCCAGTATTTCTAGTGCTGCCACAGCGACCACGCAAGCAACCAAGTGGCCGTACGTTGCCAACTTCACTACAAGCACGACGACCTCGACATCTACAAACACACACACTACGACCGTTTACATCTCAGCCGTTCCTCAGGCCGCATATGCGAACTCGTCATCTCCTTACTATGGCAATGCGACTCTGGACGGAAGCGCCGAACTTGCGGCCGCTGCCACCTCGACAACAGCAGCAGTGCCTTACCTTCCGTACTTCCCAGCCGTTGTCCTCCCCACTTCCACCCAATACACAACGGACATAATCTACAGCTACACAACCGTGTGTCCAGCTGGAGCAACAATCACCGACTCCGCAGGCTCTGAAGCCGTGCTGGCAACCNCCTCGACCATCACTTTGACCACCACTTCTCGCAGCACAATCACCGCAACTGCAATTGTCTCTTTGCACTCGCCCGTTTTTGCGTTCGATGCTTCCAGTACTTCAGCAACCAGCGAATATGCACCTGTGGTTACTGCCGTCGCCGCTGCTCCTTATGCCTGGAGCAATGGAACATGGAGTAATGCTACTACTTTGGCTGTTGTGGGTACTGCTGCACCTGCTCCTGCGGCTTCGGCGTCAGCTTATCTTCCAACATGGAATGAGACTATGGTGCCGTACACAGGAACTGCGGGCAAGACCGGTGCTTCGTTCGCTGCCGCTCTTGTTGCCTTGATGGCTTTGGTGTAAAAAGACGTCGGAGACTGGCTTTCTGGGCTAACAGAAGCCTGGTTGCTTCTTGAGTAAACATGAGCTGGATCTCATGGAAATGGTTTGGGCGCTGGGTTTTCGTCCTTTATGTAGAATAAATAGTATACAATATGCAAATAGATCAACCTTGACAGACTTTTTCCTGATTACTCCTTCACTGCTCTCACTTTGATATCGATGTGACTAACACTGGGGCAATCGCTCTTACCTACCAAGAATAGATCTCGATCCGGAATCCCGGGTAGAAACCTCTCAATGGCCACAAGAGACGACCCGAGAAACAAAGCGATGGAGGAAGCCAGTCAATACTGCTACCGTCTTGACCCTGCCCACAACTACGATCCCATTGGTATCCAAATTTGTCCAACATATTGGGCTCTCTGCCGGAGGACGTTCTAGATCATTTTCGTCAGCAGTGTTTATACGTAGTGCGTGCTTGAATCCAATGTGAATCCATCACTTTTCTATTGGAAAGAATAACACGGGAGCATTCAATGCGACACGAGCCAGTAGTTTCGATCAAAAACAGGTCGCGCGTCAAGAGATTTCAAATGTCTTTTTCAAGAATGGTAGACCAACGAACAGACGTTCTCCATGTGTATCATTACCACTATCTATCGTTTCCACGAAATTAATCTAGAACTCTCCCTGAGCATCCGAGACGAACGGAACGATAGGTATCTACAAAACAGACAACAGATATGTACAAGGCTCTCTTTCTCCCACTCAAGAGTCAGGGGCACCAGGCAGTGCAGTTACATCGCCATAGCTAGTATGCACTCCATTAGCCTCAGCAGAATCCGCATCCGGGCGTCGTGTAATGCGGAACATCATGTCAGTGTGCAAGAAAAAGCCTACACATCGCTCGACAAATGGCTTAGACAGACTGGCGGGCTGGAGTTCGTAGCGGACAAGAGTCTTGTGATGATGGTCAGTAAATCATGGTCAAAAAAGANCATTGGTGGGAGAGTAGAGCACTTGCCTCGATGATACCCTTGTTCAACTCCATGGTCGCAACACCTCTGCCCAGACATCCAAAACGTCCATATCCAAATACCAAGCCTACAGTCTCTGACATCCTGTCCACACGCTTCTTCTCAGTCTCGGAAGCATCGCGGAGGAGCCATCGCTCTGGTCTGAAGATCTCGGGGTCCACGCCATAGATCTCCTTGTCACGTTGCATACCCCAAGAGTTCCAGGCAATTTGTGTACCGCCCTTGACAAACTTGCCATCAATGGTCACGCCCTCTGGCGGCACAGCTTTGGCAAGTAAACCCGTGACTGGAGGATACATACGCAAGCCTTCCTTGATACACGCCTGCAAGTACGGCAATGCACGAGCTTCAACATCGCGAACCACAGGTCTAGAAATCTTTCCTGCTGCCATGGCATTCTTGAATTCCTGCACCAGACGCGAATGAACATGTGGTGTGGTGGCGATAAAATGCATAGTCATGCGTATGGCCGATGCAGTACTATCGCTTCCAGCAGTAATCTGCGTCAACGTTTCGGATTCGAGTTGTTCTTGAGTGAGTCCGCGTTTGATGAATGAGCCCAGCATATCGTGACGCACGACTGGCTTCTCACCGAATCGTTCGTCGACGCGCTCTTTGGCGAAGCCCATTACGCGACCTAGACCGCGTTTGTCTGTTGACTTGGGCATGACGTGTTTGAGCAGAGGCAAGCGGAGGATCTTTTGGAGTTCGGGGTATGCGCCAAAGACTATGATGGCGGGGAGAAATTCTTGGAGGTTGTCAATGTAGCCAAAGGGGTCGTCGTCGTGTTTTAGAAAGCCGAATTCTTGTCCAAAGGCAATGCTTGAGATGACGTCTAGAGTAAAGTAGGAGTAAAGGCGAGATATGTCGACCGGGCGATACTCCTTTTCCGAAGACACATACTTGGAGTCGATGAGGTCGAAGAGTTGCAATAAACGGTAGTCGACATCGTTTTCCATGTGAAGGTTCTCCTTGCCTGAGTATCCAGTCGACATGCGATTGCGAAGATCTGCATGGACTCCTTCATCAATCACGGATGTGATGTTGTCTCTGGTCGGATGCAATCGCAAGGCTGTGTACCATTCGCTGCGGACAAANGGACTACGCACAGCATGCATGCGTTTATACAGCTCAGGGTCGGTGGTAATGAGCATGTTGGGCGACACTCGGGCAGTCGGCCCNTGTCCTACAGTCAGCATGATGGTACAAATCAAAGCACGAAGTATGCTAAGTGCTGTCGCAATTGGTTGGGCCGGACGACATGTGTTCTCCCTTGACAACAAGAGAATCATTGCCACCTCTTATTGAGTTGTGAAATAGAGACGACGAAAGACAGCGCGAGATGGAAGAGTGCGGCGACATGCCTACTGACCATACTTGTCATTCACTGCTGTAAACGCAAAGTTCATCTTCCCAGAGCCATTGGCTCTTAGCAGCCACAACCTTGAGAATCCTGCTACCCATGGTCCCTTGAATTCGCTCAATGCCCAATACTGTTGAACAGTACGGACTGCATAGAGAAACAAAAGACTCAACCCTACAATCAAGGCGACAGGTAACATGGTCGGCAGGCACCAGTGGGACAGTACAGATACTCGTCTCACGAACGAGAGTTGATATTCTTTTCGAGCCTACTGCAGTAGCCCGGATTTTTGATGGTGCACACACCGTGTTCGAGGACCCGCCGTCTTGGGATTCTTCTTGGCCAGTAAGAGGTCAAAGCAATGTCGCTCGCTTCCTTTAGACTTGCAGGATTCAGACCTTGAAATGCGTCGATCGTGCTGGCGGCGTTGTTCTTGGGCAGGAGCAGGGATGCAGCAGAGGTGAGAAACCAAAGAGCGGTCGGGTTAGAAGGATTGAAGCATCTCGGCGCAAAAAGGGAGCACCGAATATACATTTTACCAGCCTAGTCTCGATTATATAGGACCAGCGAAGCATAGGACCTCGGAATGACTCCTTGAGCCAGCCCGGATATCGTACTCCAGGGTTTGAGGTGGACTCTGGTGGCTTGTGGACTACCTTATGACACGCGAAGCGATGTCTGCAATGAACCGATCATCAGCTGTCGTGGCGCCGCAAGTGCATGCGCCAATGCATGTTCTAGCATGATAAGCGGACGATCGTCCCTGTCACTGGTCTGAGTGTCCAGTCTGGCTGTGTGAGCTGCAACCACTCCATGTCTCGCTGATGCAGGGCCAGACGGGTTGTCGTTGCGAGCTGAGAAGGAATGTGGCACTTTTGACTCTCGCTTGTGCAGACACCGCAAGACTCGTGTCCAGTCGGAGCTCAATAACGGCTGACACGCGAGATAGGGATCCGCAAAGGGAGGGAGGAGTAAGTCAGCATTCGATGGCCTATTAGTTGAGAAGCTCCACAGCAATCAAGTCGAGGATCCCATCAGAACTCAAGTTGTCAAGGTGGTGGGCTCAAAGTCCAAGCGCGACAAGGACTCGGCACGGCTCGAAGGCGCGAAACGAGCGTCTCGAAAGCGAACAAAGCTCCCGCAATCCACGGACCCCCGGCGAGTCAGGGGACCAGGTGCCACATCGCGAGCATTCTCGTTAAGATCAAATCGCGATAGCGTCGGCAGTTGTTCTCTGATCCTTCCATCCTTCTTTTTCTCAAATATTAATTCCCAAATCATCAACGGCGAGAACCATCTTTCCGAGTCCATCTCCAGCTTCGAATGCATACGACAATTCGATAGACCCAAAGCCCTTTGGCCGCGTGCTTTAAGGGACTGGAATAGTAACGCCTGTTCTGCAAGGGCTGCAAGTCCAACACGTGGGCTGGGTGCACGATTCGAACTTGTGTTCCATCATGGCCGACGAGCCTTCAGAGGGAGAGAGCATCAGTCTCAACCATGCCAGAGAGCAAACTCTTGAGGCCGATGTAAGTGACACCACCAAAAAAATCATCAAGGAGATGGTCATTGATTGCTTTGATAATGTAGNNTCGTGGAGCGATACTGATTCTGCACTTGGTGATGATACGTGAGTTCACTCCCTCCTCTTCCCTTCTTAACACCCATACAAGTGCAAGAAACTGATGGCATCAACAGTCNAAAGCACAACCACATCATTAAGCGAATCGATATACAGCTATCGCCAGGAACACGGCCGTACATATCATGGTGAACGCTGCGTCTGTAATGTCATTTGAGTCCTGACACTAACTTGAGACAGCTNNTACAAGGATGGACAATATGTCTTTCCAAACGACGAGGTAAGATCTACACTCGCCTGTATCTGTGCCGTCTACTGACGTGTTGTCCACTTCACAGNNCGCGAACAAGACCGACTAGGTGAGTAGATTGATGAGTCTCTTTGTGCTGGCATGAGCTGAAGGTTGTTTGTAGACCTGCAACATCATATGTGTAATTTGACGTATAGAAGACTGCACCTAGCACCGCTGGAGAAACCCAGGCATGCTCTCGACATTGGAACTGGAACTGGCATTTGGGCTATGGACTTTGGTAAGCCTGATCTTGTCTTCTCATCTTAGAGTTTTTCTGACACAATCANNGCTGACAAGTACCCCGAATGTGAGGTAATTGGCATCGACCTCAGTCCAGGACAGCCTACGTTGTGAGTAGTCAACACAGACTGAGCTGAAGGACTCGCTGATTCTCCTATAAGCGTCCCACCCAACCTCAAGTATATTATTGATGATGCGGAAGAGCTCTGGGTATATGATCATCGCTTCGACTATGTTCATTGCAGGCTCATGGCCGGATGCTTTGCAGATCCAGAGAAACTCATACAGCAGACGTTCGAGTAAGCAAATCAAGAGACTACCTGTCTAGGATATGAGTTGATCATGATGTACAGCAACCTTGAGCCTGGTGGCTACCTTGAATTCCAGGATTACGGACTACCCTGCAGAAGCGTCGACGACACACTGGACGGCACATCCCTGGAGAAATGGGGCATGCTGATGTGTGAAGCAGCTCGAAAGCTTGGCCGTCCAATGGGCACAGAAGTGTCAGAAAAATACAGAGAGTGGATGGAGGCAGCTGGCTTTGTGGACATCGAGGAGCAACACTTTATGTGGCCCTCAAATCCATGGCCAAAGGACCGCTATATGAAGGAACTCGGCAACTGGAACATGATCAACATTCTGGAAGGCCTCGAAGGATTTTGTCTGGCACTCATGACCAGAGGACTTGGCTGGAAGAAAGAAGAGGTCGATGTGTTCGTCGCCAAAGTATCAGCGGACGTCAAAAACAGAGGCATCCACGCCTACTACCCGATGCCGGTCGTCTGGGGTAGAAAGCCCTTGACGGCGAATTGAACACAGGACGAAAGGGGGAAGAAAGTCAATCCCTCGTGATTGGGAGCACCGCACATGTGCTTGACGAGGAAACGAACATGCACAGGAAGTCAAGGCAGGAGATCAGCAAGAGGACGCAGTGGCCAAGTTCTCGATTGAGATCAAAACAGACAGCGAGTCAGGCAATCAATCATTATGCCTCAGCACCAGACAAGTATGCGCATATGTGTTCCATCGGCTAACAACACCAAGACACCCACAGAGCCGTTCCAAACCCAGATCAAGACTCAAGTGAGACTTCCTTTCAAATTGATTGTAACCGTAGGAACGTCTTGGCGTGAGGTGATTTGAGGAAAGCAATGAAGTCACGGCTGTGGCTTCCCCGCGATACCTTTCGGAGGTAAGCGCCGATAAGGATGTACCAAAGTGGGCAGAGTCGGGGGTGTCAGGCTGTCTCGCCACCCTCCTGAGGATGAATTAAAGATCAAGACGAGAATACTGGTTGCTTAGCAATTCAAAGGAAGGCAAAGCAAACAAGAGAATATTCTGACTCAAGGCAGTGCAAGAAATATTCAATCGTTGCCACGTTGGGAAGGTTCTGGCACGTTCCGAGGTTCCGTTGCTGCCTCACTGGGACTGGGTTGCGACAACACGCCGCTTTGAGGGAGGCGTCATCCATCCAATCAGCCACACTCACTCCCGCCGCTCTCACTGGTCGCGCCTTCTCCTACTTAAGCTCTTCCGACCACCTTCTTCCACCTTTCCTCCATCTACAACAACCATCTTCGTTCATCAACTCGCCTTTTCTCATCAAGGCATATCATCTCATACAACCACATCCACACCCCACACACACCAACATGCAGATCTTCGTCAAGACCCGTAAGTAATCATCGACCCCGCTTCACCGCCACCACGCGCAACCGTCTGCTAACACGCTCACCAGTGACTGGCAAGACCATCACCCTCGAGGTTGAGTCCTCTGACACTATCGACAACGTCAAGAGCAAGATCCAAGACAAGGAGGGCATTCCTCCGGATCAGCAGCGCCTCATCTTCGCCGGCAAGCAACTTGAGGACGGTCGCACCTTGAGCGACTACAACATCCAGAAGGAGTCGACCCTCCACCTCGTCCTCCGTCTGCGTGGTGGTATGCAAATCTTTGTCAAGACTCTCACTGGCAAGACCATCACTCTTGAGGTCGAGTCGTCCGACACCATCGACAATGTCAAGTCGAAGATTCAGGACAAGGAAGGCATTCCCCCAGACCAACAGCGCCTCATCTTCGCCGGCAAGCAACTTGAGGACGGTCGCACCTTGAGCGACTACAACATCCAGAAGGAGTCGACCCTCCACCTCGTCCTCCGTCTGCGTGGTGGTATGCAAATCTTCGTCAAGACTTTGACCGGCAAGACCATCACCCTCGAAGTTGAATCATCCGACACAATCGACAACGTCAAGTCGAAGATCCAGGACAAGGAGGGCATCNCCCCAGACCAGCAGCGCCTCATCTTCGCCGGAAAGCAGTTGGAGGACGGCCGTACGCTTTCTGACTACAACATCCAGAAGGAGTCGACCTTGCACTTGGTGCTCAGACTTCGTGGCGGTCAGTAAGGGACAGGCAATGAGCCTTGATGATGTCTATTGACGATGGGCCGGCGTTTATCTGCTTTCTACTACCTTTACCATGCCAGCAATGAAGCGGCTGCTACAACTAGTGTAGCCAATCAATTTCTCAGAGAGCACTTGATGCTCTGAATATTACTCTTCACCTATCATCTCTTGTCTTGCGTGTCTTGACATGTTTTTGTGATCGACCGTGGTGCTGGTTGGAGTTGTTCCATTGTTTGTGCATGACTCAGGCACAGCACGTGATGCGATGGCATTCTTTGCTGTGTTTGACGGAGACGATGACTTGCTTCTCGCTCACTCAGTGTCATCTGGAATGTGGCATGCTGCAGTGCTGAGACAGCGAGGGTGTTATGGTGAGTAATGGTGGCCTACTTCTTCCATGTCAAGCTGGAGCTGTATCCTTCGGCAAGCCCATCAGCTGCGTCGCAAGCTGCAACAACCAACAACCTCTTCCTCCCAGACTCAACTACAGACATATTCAAATCTCCTCTGCCCGCTCATCGAACCTCCAAGACCATCTCTCAAACCTTACAAGCCCGACACTCTCCGAGAATTTCGCTCGACAACCGCCCCACTGCTGCGGNNAGTCGACCAGCATCCGCTCACGGCGATGCGCTTCTGCTACCCGAGAGGAACGTCGCATTGAAAGAGCCTGCTTCACCTACTGTTCCGCCGAAGAAAGCGTCGAGCGAGGCCGCTACCAGAGACTGGCGGTACGGCCCTGTCACCATCGAGAGCATCGACATGGAACCAACCTCTACCAAGCTCCCTTCGACCGGTCTACATACCAAGGCGGCATATGTGCCTTCGACTCCCAAAGCGACCGATGTAGGCTGGGGTGTCGTACATCTGTACAGAGATTCGCAAGAGACGGCAGCATTGGACCACAAACACGTCAAAGATGATGTCGACTTCGACCCACAACAATGCACCACTTTGTGCATCCTGGCCGTACCGTCTTGGATGATGCCCTCGGACCTCCTAGGCTTTGTTGGAGACCAGGCAAGAGAAGATGTTAGCCACTTCAGACTCATTAGGACTGGTCGCGCCAACAAATACATGGTCCTCATGAAGTTCAGACAGGCCAAGAAAGCAAGAGAGTGGCAGAAGCTGTGGAACGGAAAGCTCTTTAGCGCTATGGAGGTGAGCAACCAGAAGCCTGCTGTCCGAGAATATCGCTTTGCTGACAGGCTTGTAGNNCCCGAGAATTGCCATGTCGTATTCATCAAGTCTGTCGAGTTTCTGACTCCCGACTCGGATGCATCTGACCCCGCTGCATTCCCTCAAAACACTCAGGACCCCTTCACCAAATCCTCGAACTCTCTGTCCGCCAAGCCGCATGCACCACCGACGCCATCTCTTGTCGAACTTCCTACATGCCCGGTGTGTCTCGAGCGCATGGACGAGACCACCGGTCTCTTGACCATTCTGTGTCAACATGTGTTCCACTGCGCCTGTCTCGAAAAGTGGCGCGGGTCGGGATGTCCTGTGTGCCGTTACACACAGTCACCCTCCTTCACCTTCCCTTATCCCCGACCAGGCCATCCTGATATCCAGACCGAAGTCGAACCTGCTTGTACCGTTTGCGCGACCACTACGAACCTATGGATATGCCTGATCTGCGGAAACACAGGTTGTGGACGCTATGATTCAGCACATGCGTTTGCACACTGGGAAGCCACAAGTCATTGCTATGCTATGGATATCAATTCGCAGCATGTCTGGGACTATGCCGGCGACGGCTATGTTCATCGCTTGATCCAGAATAAGCCCGACAGCAAGTTAATCGATCTACCTGCTCGACGCCATCCCAACGCCGCGTTCCGTGCCGAAGCAGATGACAATGTGCCACGAGAAAAGATGGAGAACATGGCTAACGAGTACACATATCTCTTGACTAGTCAGTTAGACAGCCAGCGCCGTTACTATGAAGGTCAGCTTGAGCGCGCTGTTGACAAGGCAAGTATCGCCTCGGCCAAAGCTGAAGATGCTGCTAGAGCCTGTACTGCGCTCGCCGAAGAAATGGCTGTTCTGCGCGTACAGAACCAAGATCACGCCGGTAGTCTTAGTCGCATGGAGAAGAGGTTTGAAAAAGCCACCTCCCGCGCCGAGAAGTTTGAGAAAATGGCTCGCGACATGTCTACTCAATTGCGTGAAGAAAAGACCATGAATGAAGGCTTGCTCCAGCGCATTCATGCTGCCGAAGCAAAGGCCAAACAGAGCCAACAGGATACTGAACAGATGAAGTTGGAGAAGGCGGAGTTGGAGGAGATGAACCACGACTTGACCATGTTCATCAGTAGCCAAGAAAAGGTCAAGGAGTTGCAAGCTCAGGGCGAGGAAGTCGTCAACGGGTCTGCCTTTGCACCGGAGCAACAACCGCAACAAGGTAAAAAAGAAGGCTAAGGGAAAGAAAAAGTAGCGGTGAATCCTCTCAAGGTATTCAACTTGTCATGAACCATTTTTACACGGCGTTGCGGAAGGAATACCCATGGGAAAGGAAGGAAGGATGGCAGCAACTTGATTTCAGCATGCATAGCTATTCCGAAGTAGCTCAGAACATGAAACACCGAATTTCATCCACGTCTTCTTGATGCAGATATGCGCGTAGCCAGTCGCGTGTAACTCTTGTTGGTTGTACAGAGAGACAACGAGTGGTCAAAACGTGGCTGAGGACGACAACTGGCGCCTCGCGGCAGTCAGCCAAACGACCGCCACTGCATGCTGTCTGGAGCTTGTCAACGACTACATGCCCATTTGTCACTTTTCTGATGGCTCCAATCCAAGACGCTCGCTTTGTAAAAGTCTAAAAAACGAGCTTGCCTTCGCCAGAGGGATTGCAGTTGAAGTAATGGGAAGCACGAGCGACTTGTCAATGCAAGATGGGTCAACCCTTTCGTCTTCACCGCCTGTTGACCGCTCCTGCTTCGAGCATCACATCACCGAGGCATTCAATCTCTTTGCATGTCTTCTTCGGAACAAAACAACAATGTAGTGCCCGCAATCATGCACGCCGGATCGCCAGTGCAGCATAACTGAACACTCAAAGAGCAATCAGCTGTTCACACTATCTGCAAGGCCGGCGTCAAACTCGAAAGCCATTTGGCCCGTCAATCACAACTCGCCTGTATCGAACGAGACTTTTCTTCGGAACAAATCAGGGTTCGCCACAAGGACAAGCAATATGAGAAGTCTCTGTCGTATTCTTGCCTGAATCAAAGTTCCCCCTTCCAGCATTCTCGGTTATAGCTGGGCTGGTCTTTCGGCACCGACCATAAACGATCCTGCGGCACGTAAAGCCCCTTCCAAGATTTTTCGCCTGGAAGAACATACTCTCGGTCCCTTGGTGCCTCGACCCCTCCTCACTCTTGCTCCCCACCATCTTGCGAGGAGACGGAAGCAGGATACCTCGTGCTCAGCAATGTCAAATGTGACCGCCAACGCACACATGCTTCCGATGCTCATCTCTTGACCCATTGGAGCAGTGGGTTGCACACAACCAGACTTTTGCTGGTCTAGCGAAAGGAGCGACATCTCACAGAGTCACCGCCTCTAACTCACGGTACGCTTCTTTGGCCAATCGAGAAATCCAGAGCTCTGTCTCCGTTACCTTGACAGACTCTGGGTCCATCCACCGAGCAACGTTGCAGCGCGCGAATGGGACGGAGGGCTGATCTGTGAAGCATCTTGATCGAGTAATAACCGTCTGGTGCAGTAGCCCCGCATAGCACCCGCTCCGGCTGCCATCTCATTTGGACCGGTGAGTGTGCGGTTCTTTCCATTGACCAAATGCTAGTCAATAGACATTCACATGATCTTGGTCCGGCTTGTTACCGAAAGTTAGAATGGGCACTCTCTGTCTCCACTGCACGACACTTGCATCTAATCTAGGGGTCGCGAACTCGACCACGTACCTGGGGCTTGTGGCTCTCGGACGAACATGTCGCGCATTGACGTGGTATGCGTGAGGCAATTCGGGTCTCGCCATCGGCATGCACCACGCTCGCTGTCGCACAGGAGCAGACGCTCGAGCAAGCATCCCAGAAGCACGCAGGCCCGCTCCACTACGCACCTCATTTCCCCTTCTTCGGAATTTCGATAGATGTCCCAATGTGTGGCATGCAGCGCCAACACATCGAACAAGATTAGGGAGGGGTCCAACGAGCCAGCTTGTTCTCCTCCTCGTCAGGCTTTTGTCTTGTGTTGTCGTTCCCACAATGAACGCATCTGCAATGCACGACGGCATGTCCGTCGTGCACGCGTGTGAATGGCCCGCCCTTGTTACCGTATCTCTGGACCTCCCGCCGAGTCTTGACGCTGTGCTATTCAACGTCACTCCTTCGAGTCGCTTCTTTTTCGATTGTTCCCCTTCTATCTCTTGGAGACCGCCTCTTGTGTTAAGAACTGCCTGCTTCTTCAACTCTATTTATGTCCGGTGCATACTTGGAGCGTTAATCCAATTCTCTTCTTGGGCATCAATACACCTTGCCTTTTCTTCCACCTGCATTCATCTTTCAACATTCTCAATTTCTGTGTCCGTGGTCGTTAAGCCATCAACATTTTCTGCGGTGTGACATATACGGCACACATCTTTTGACAGCACGCCTCTTCTGCTCAAAACAACATCTCTTGCCTGAGACTTCAAGCCACACCAAGCAGGCCCATCTTCTTCGAGGATCACACAGCCCATCATGTTCTACACAATGTATCTCGATGGTGAGTGCTTTGAATTGCACCCTTGCAATGTCGTTTTCAGAGACCCGCTCAGTCTAGAGTGTGTACATCCGCCACGTGCTGCTAGCAGTCGCTTGCCGATGTCATGCACGCGATGAATCTGCAAGACTCATTAGAGGTTCTTGATGGCGAGCCTGAGGCAGCACTGCGTGCCAAGTCCCATCAAACCATCTCTCCACGAAGCAGTCGAACAGTCTTGTCATGAACCAGCATTCGGACTGACAATATACAACACAGGCCTCTGCAAACGCCGACACTGGCCTCAGCCGATGTTCCAACCTTCGGTCACCCGTCACGGCTATACTTGTGTTGTCCGCGTCAACAACCGCGAATACAGTACGGATGGTCAACATTACACGACCGAAGCATTGGCCCGTGATGCCGCCGCCACACGCGCCTACATGATCTGCCGCAACTTCTCTGTAAACGACGGCATGTATCCTGGACAAAAGCCTGGCTCCGGCACCGTTCAAGGCCTTCCCGTAGCCATTGGCTCAGGCCGCAAAAACATCAGCGTTTCTACCCCTGGCTCCAACGATCAGAGAAGGCGACTAGGTGAATTGAGAGAGGAAGATGAAGACGAGAACAGCAGCTGGACTTCTGGCGGCTCGAGCCCTAGGAGTGTGGATTCTGCTGTTGCTGGTATCAGATCTGTCAATGCTGGCGCTGGAAAGCCTCATCATGCCAGGCAGACCACCTGTACCTGTCGCCGCGCTCCGGTCTTGCAGCAATACCCTCTTTGCCAGTACTGTCTTCGCGATGCTGGATGGATGTCTCTCTGAGATAGCTCAACATTTGACTGTACGACAAGATCCGCAATTGATGATGGAAAAATGGTTTACGACAATACTAGACTTGACGACGCTCACGAAACATAGCTTTTACGACTTTCTTTATCCCGCTTTTGCCTTGTCATCACATTACTAATCGTTATCGTCCATCGCTTGCGACACACCAAAATATCGTTATGCTCATAATATTGCTATAGGAACACAAACAGAACTTGGCTGTGAGGGAAAACATGCATTGGCCTCGTGTTATCCATTCGTTTCTTCCGAATTTTCCTTTTCTTTCACTCTCTTGCCTCGTGTGAGCCTCGTGATATGTAGTCATCAACTCTTTCTTACACCCTCGTGCTGCTGGTTCCCTCGACATATCTTCAATCTTGACGTCTCCGCGACAACACACCTTTCAATTCAGAAAAATATTGCGAATCAGCATGATGCCACAATCCTATTCATGACGCTATTCTTTCCAAGAGAGTGTTTTGTGCCATGCAATGTTGCATGCATGTATCGTAAACAGAACATTTAGACATACAATTGGAAATGCCTTTTTCCCCAAGTTGTTCTCCCTCAAAATCCACGACTTTTTTTTTTTGTTGGAGACTCTTCGAGTTGTGTTATAATGGCAATACACCTAATTTTTTCTTTCTTTCTTTTTTTCTTCTGCCTCTTTAGGGCCAGCTACTGCAGATAACAAAAAGGACAATTCTCATCAGGCGAGTGTACCCGAGAAAGAAAAAAGAAAAAGCAAGAAAGAAAAAAATGAGAGATATGCAGTATCAGGAGTAAAAGCTTGAGATCGAGTTAGTCACCATCGCGAATTTTTGTGATTTGATGTCAAACGGTCCCCAGAGGCGAAGAAAAGGTGAGGTGTGGAAGTTCGAATGATGAGTACCTGCTCAAATCGATTGAGAAGTAAATGCCTTTGCCCGCTATCTATGACCCAAAACTATGCTAAAATGTGAAAAATTGCCTTTTGTACGGAAAAGAAAAAAGAGGGGACTCCGATAGGATGATGAAAGAAAAACCAAATCAAGGCAGTCCCATGAACAGACTCAACATCTTGGGGTATGAAGGTGTTCCAAGTCCNTGGGTCAACATTAGCTCATTGTCAAAAGTATTGTGAATCCTGTTTATATTCTTACCGGTAACAGGGTCCCAGCCCTTGACTGCCGAAAAGCCTTGGGTACCACAACCAGGATTCGTGCCATTGACAATATCATTCAATACCTCAGGATGCTCATAAAGCGTAGGGTTAACAAACCCTAGAGGTCCTTTGCCAGCAGCAAGACGCTCTTCCACAATACGGTTGATGATGGAAGCGAAAATGGGTGCAGAGCCAGAGGTACCGCCCTCGAGGATAAAGCGACCGGCGTTGAAGATGCCAAAGTTGTCGCCGTTGGCAGCGACATCAGGGATACCGCGGCCATTGCGGTTGTAAATTCCGCCGCCTGTGCTGTTATATTGGCCATTGGTGTAGTACTTGTATGGCGGCTCGTGGTCGGCAAAATAAGTCTTGACGGCGGAAGCTTGGTAGTCTGGGACATCGAAAAGGTTGGAGAAGCCACCGCCAGACGAGTAACCAGATTCAGGGTCGTTGACTGCGGACTCGGGGTCGTTGACAGTTTTGCCGGGGTAGATCTTGGTGCCGCCGACGTTGGTGAGCCAGGGGCAAGAGTTGGGATAGGTGGGTGAGAAGACAGTAGCGTTGGATCCCAGGCAGCCGTTGGTTGAGCCATCTCCTCTGATGCCACCGACACCAGTATCGCCAGAAGCAACGATGACAGAAACACCTTGGAGACCAAGCTTGAGCAATTCATTACATTGACGCTGCTGGTAGTAAGCAGGCAGGTCTTGTTCCTGCTCGCCGTACGAGATCGAGATGACATTAGTCGGCCTGTAGATACCGCATTGAAGTGAGCCCTTGTATCCGTTGCTTGCAGGGTCCGGGTACTTTGGATCAAGGACTGGATCGTTGCCAGTCTCGCCGTAAGCGGAGTAGGTGCAGTACGATCCGTCAATGGCATCGAAGAAAGTATTGAACAAACCAGTAGCGTTGGGGTCGTTGCCAAATGCGTAGTAAATGTCATCAGTCTGGTACAGAGTGGTGGTTTGAGGATAGACAAGAGGGTAGGCGAGCTGGAAGTCCAAGTCGCTCTCGCCGCCAGCGAGCTGCAAGCTGACAGGTGCCTTTGCGCCATCGATCAGGTTGGGAATAGGGTGGGTGCCGTTAGGGATGTTGGGCGTGAAGTTCCCAAAGAAGCGATTCAGATCCTGCTGGGCGTAGTAGTCACCTTCCTCGAAGATACCGAGCGAGTTGTTAAGGTTGACTTTGGCGTAAGGGTCGTTGGGAGCGATCTGGTACAACGCTTGGATACATGCTGGTGTCACGACCTGATCGCATGTGCTGAGAGAAGTAATGTTCTTGGGCATAAAAGGCGCCGATTTGCGGGCCGGAGATCCTCTCAGAGCTCGCTTTGCCTTCTTAGGACCGCGCTTGCGGAGGTTTGCGCCCTTCACACCAGGGGAGATGAAGTCGATGTGCTTTTGAATGTGCTTAGGGACGTGGTATTCGTCACATGCTGCAACATAATTTCCAGTGGAGCTGTGCTCGAACTCATGGTATTGAGTGTGTAGCAGATCCTCGACTTCCTTGGTTGTGGCATCGAAGGCGAACCATGCCTTGTTATCCGAGTGGGTGATCCTACGATCAGAGATGCCATTCCTTACGAGCCAGTCGCGAACAGCGTTCAATGTGTCGTTGGAAGGTGCAAACTTGGCGATGACCTCGTCGGATGTCCAGTGCTTTCCGAAGTTAGGAGACTCGGGGTGCGAGCTGGATATGTCAGTCTCGTGCTCATACTCGTTCAAATACATCTCATGGGCCGATTGGACTTGCCAAGCATGATGTTCAATCAAGATACACACTTACACGTCCATGAGATACTCGGCGCCGCTGTCCAAGTTCTGTTGTTTCAAGCCGACGCGGACAGGCAATACAGTGTCCTTCTCCAATCTCTCTCTCTTCATCCACTTGGATGTGACAAAGCGATGAGCAACATCACGCTTCTCGTGGACAACATGGGTCTCGGGAACAGGCTTCGCAGCAGCAACAGCCAGCAAAGTGGCCAAGAAGGCCGAGGACGAGACACGCATAACGAACGAGTGTCAAGACAAGCAACGAGTGTGGTAGATACGAAACGAAAAGGCGTGGGATTCAAGCATTTTTAAACAACAAGCCCATGGAGCGAGATCGACACTGTTACGGGCGGCGGCGGGAAGAATAGGCGTCTGTGGATGAGATCGTCGGTTGCGCCTGCAGGTCCCACGCAGCACACTACTGCCAACGCGGCACCCATGTTGGCACTACGTTTAGCATTGATGAGAGATGCGATAGGGATAATACAGGGGAGGGTTGGGTGTGTAGGTACGAATCATTTTTCTGTACCACCCACCACAATGTTGGTTGACAGCGCGAACAATTGGACGTTTGGAAAGAGCGAATCTTTTTTTGGTCTGACGTTTGTGCCTTCCAACTTGGGCTTGGCGTCATCGTATTCCTAGCCAAGACCAACCTTGCCTGCCACGAAGTATCTCGTGCTGTTGAGCTTGTCGTGCATGTTACCATGTTTCAGAAAGAAATGTCCGTGTCACAGGCGGACAAGGGGCATACGTTGAGACGAGAAAGGATGATTGAACTATGTATCAAGAACGTGAATGAAAAATAATAGAAAGGGTATCTTTATGCTATCGTGCCTCATTAAAACGCCGAAATACGCCGGGCCAATCGACTGTACAAGACAGTCAAGTCCACTGTGATGGACATTCTCAAAGATCATCAATTTAATGGTGGCAAGAATGTTTGCGGCAAATCTGGCATCGTACTGTCAAGGTCTGTCAAACTACTGTACTGCTTCTGAGCATGCTGGAAACTGGACATTGGTCCTGTGCTTTGTGGTGCGCTGCCGGGTGTAAAGGCAAGCTTCTCTGAGATGGGTGTTGCGTTCTGCTGCGCATGGTTGAACGCGAGACTGGGATCAGGTATGGTGGAAGAACCATCAGGCACATTGAATGATACTGCGGCAAAAGAACGACCCGAGCCAGCGAAGGTCAGATGAGGTTGTGTTGCCGGCGGTCCGTCTACATCTGTCTCGGTGTCAAAATCATCATCATCCGCGCCGTCCGTTTGGAAATTCGGTTGTGAGAGAGAAAGGCGTGTGGATCGACGCTGTCCAACTCTCTGCTCTGAGAGTGGATTNCGACAAAGACGAGCGTGGGCGTCTTGACTGAGACGAGCGCGGCCTTGCCTCAGAGGAGCGTTTCTTGGCTGCAGATGAACGAGCAGATGTATGAACTTTTTGTTCACACTACGGGAGGATGACGGCGGCGTAGCCTGTGACAAGAGCGTATCGACATCTATCCCCCTCCTCTGGCTGACAAAATTTAGCACTTCTGAGAGACTAATCGAATCCTGTTGCAGAGTAGGCAAAACATGACCAGTCGATTCTTTAGTCGAGGCTGGAGGCTTCTGCGAAGGAATGAAGTCTGGAGATTCGCTGCGATTTGCTGGATTTGGGGGAGAAGGGGCTTCTGCCAAGTTCTGAGAAAGGGAAGGTGATCTCGCCAGGTCTCGAGAAGGAGAGAGATGCGTTTGGTCTTGACGCTCTATTGGACTGGGCAGGTCCTGGGCAGGCGATTGATCTTGGCCATTGCTTGCGGACTTGTCTTGCCCGGGTTCTTCATTATGACTTTGCTCGTGCACGACATCGTCTTCCGGGAAGTCAAAGATACTCGTGATAGTATCGTCCACGTCTTCAAGGATGACAGAAGGAGCGAAGCTCGCCCTCTTTGTAGTCCTCGCTTTTTTGGCACTCAGCTTGATTGGAGAGTAGAACCCGTCAAATAAGGCTTGCGTGTTAGGCAATGGAGCTTGTGTGTCAGTAGTCAACTCGGCATTGAACTGATGGAATGGTGTGATGGTGTGTACTGGACTCGATGGAGGACTCGTGACCTGTTTCGACGGTGTCTCGAGAGGCAATTCGACTCTCTCCTCTTGTGGCTGCAGAGGTGAAGAAGCATCGAAGAGAGCACGATGAGCATCTTGCATGGCTGCCTGAGTACTGACGTATGGCAGCTCTTCCGCAAGATCTTCCTCGGGCTCTACCACGTCGTCTATGACAGTATCTTCCATAGCCTGTTCAGCTAGATTGCCAATGACTTCCGACAAAGCATTTCCTGTTGGCCCGAATATGTATTCATTCCCTCCGTTTGGACGCGAGTCAAGATCATCTCCTTCGTACAGATTTTCCGAAAGGGCCTCTCTTCCCTCAGCTTCTTGGGAGTGTGCCTTGCTAGTTTCCGATCGATCGTTCTCTATATCCACATTCAAAACGGCAGTCGAGGCAGGCGGTGGTTGGTTGCGTGTATTGGCATCCGTTCCTGTATCCTCTGCAGAAAGCGCAGGCAGGGAAGCGTTGTAATGATTGAGAACATTGAAGTCCATACCAAGAGATCCCTGCCCAAAAGACATGTTGATCGCAGGTGCAAAATCGTGGTGAGGGCTTTCAGGCGATTGCTCTGAGACAACTGCGGTCGACGGTGCTTGTAACGGCTTCGGATTTTGGACATCCAGAGATGACTGGAACAGGACATGATGTCGTTTTTCAGGCGAAACTGGAGTCCGGGACTGCCTGCTCGTTGTGCTGGGTCCGATGCGCACTTTTGCAGGTTCGACAGACATGGCCCTTTGTTCGACGCTTGTATCATTGGATGGTTCGGATATCTTTCTCGGCTGAGCGGCATTCCTTCTGTATATGAAGGGCGAAGTGGTATCGAAAGTAGTCGCAGCCTGGTAAACTCTTTTGCTTGGTCGTTTGTTCTTCTTCACGCTCGGGAGCTTGTGGGTCGAGCAAGGGGCTTTCTCGATCTTGTTCAGAGAAGAAGCGGGCCTTTGCCTCAAAACAGCGGCTTTGCTTGGAGAAAGGTCGTGTTTGGAGGGCGATGGGCTAGGAGATATGAAGTCTGTATCGGGTATACGGACTCTTGGAGAGGACAAGAAACGAGACGGAGCGGTGGAACTTGGTAGCTGGTTCGGGGTATCGCGAGACTGGGGTGGAGCCTTGTTGATAGCAACGAATTTGGGCAGCGGCGGTTGCACAGTGGTCGGAACCGAGACTGCGGAGGATGGAAGGTTGAACCTCAAAGATTTGTTTGTGGCTGGGCGAGCAGGCCGCTGAGAAGATTGTGGACGGCTAACAGGTTTGTCCAAGACGACGGGAGAAGACTGGCGGGACTTGGATGGCGTGAGAGCAGGTCCAGGAGTGGCAGACTTGGGTCGCAGGTGCTCGGGTCTACGACGAATGAATGAGTCTGCGGTGACAGTGGGCGGAGGCGAGACGGGCTGAGCATCGGGGCTCGAGAGAAGGTCGTGACAAGANGACAACTCTCTGTCAGCAGGGAAGGGACCCTTTAGTCTGGCAGAGGGAATGTAGATGGGCTGGCCATTGAGAAAAGCATGAGCGATGGCTTCGATGCGGCGGCGTTTGGCCGAGTGGAAGTCGTCGTCCAGATCATCGTCGGAGTCATGGACCAGGACTTGGTCAGGGTTGTCGGGGTGCACGAGGCAAGCTTGTAGGGTGGGCTTCTGGTAGGCAGGTAGTCGCAGGACGTGGGAATCGGAGCAAGGCCACAGCCAGCGGCGTGGAGCCATGAGCGAGATGGCGTTTACGGCAGGAGCGACGGCGGTGGTTGACGTGGTAGGNTCACTCATCCTCTTGCCATGTGCCGGCGTGTGGACCGGCCGAGTGGTGTTGGCAAGCACTGACAGCTATGACAATTGCTGGCTCGACACCGACACGACAGTTTGTGCCTTGACTGCTTGTAGGAAATGCGGACCTGCTAGAAAAAGACGGCCGTCGATCGTCTCTGGTACGTTTGGCGGTGCAGGTGCCGTGATTGGCTGAGGCTCGTGGTTGCCATGGGAATGCGTGTTTTGCGCAACAGAGCTCGGGCGTCCCCACAGTCGTTCATGGCAAACATGTGCCAACTTTTCGGGTCCCAAGTTAAAGCGACCAATATCTCGATCACATCTAGCTCGATACACTGTATATCCTTGGACTCTCTCGCATGACGACTCAGTTCAGATCCTTCTTCTTATCATGCTGGCCCACTGACATCTAGCAACATCCGCATTCTTCGGCCGTCCTGCTCTTCTTCACGTCACAAACAACCGTCAAACATGTCGTCTCAGGTTGCGCCATGGCTCGAGGACCTAGAGGAAGACTGGGTCGAGCCGCCGTCACTGTCAAATCACACCACAGACCACCAATCTCAAGCTTCCGCCAGAACGAACCAAACTTCGTCCAGTCGCATCCCGCGTAGGAGTAGCGGTGCTTTCTCGATAAACAGCAGTTCTGTCAAACAACGGAATCCCCTCAAGGACCTGCCTTGCTCGCAATCCAATGTCCAACGCCAGCCATCAGCATCTTCCATAGTCCACCACGACTCGGTCAAGCGCTCTCCAGCAAAACACCAGACTCTCGAGTGGAAGAAGCGCCTTGTCCGTGGTGAGGTTGGCTACGGCGACCAGACCGACCTGTTTGGGCCCTCCGGCCTCGAAAACATCTTCTCCCCGGCTCGTCCCACCTCATCCACCAACCGCCCGACCTCATCCAACAGCCCCTCGAGGCTCTTACAGAACACTTTCATGCCTCCCTCCAGTCCCCCACCATGGCCCTCGCAAATTGACCCCTCTCAACTAGACTCGCCCGATGCACAAGGCACGTGCCAACGAGAAGTGCACAACACAAACCACGCCGGTTCACGAGATGAGAGTCTCATGCGCTCGCCCAATTCTCCCAGCCAACTACACGTCGACCGCTCGGCTTCGAAGCACCAAGGCAACCGCACTATCAGCGCTAATACCGATCTGTCAGGCGAGGGCTTTAGTCCTGTCTTCTTGTCTAAACACACGAGCTCCACCGGCGCCGTCAGCTATGCTCCCCTCGATTCGCGCTCTGCCCCTGTCAGCGCTGATGCTTCTATCAACGGTCTGGATTCTGAGCTTCCTTCCACACCTGGCTTCCGTAGGGACAACAGCGACACCGCCAACAATATGCCCAGTGTTCCAGAGGTTTCTCTTCCAGACGATCTACCCACTGGTACCCCTCCTATCTCTAGCTTCTTGAGCATGAACAGGCTCTCTCCTTCGAGCCCCACCAAAATAGAACCGTCATCTGTCTACGACCAAGACTCGGCCATCTCTCCGGGAGCTTCTAGTCCAGTCAGAGCACCTGCCACCCCGAAGTTGGGAGGTGTCGAAGAGTCCTCACTCCTGAGCCCACCTAAGAGCAGGCCTTCCCAAAGCCCTTTGAAGCTGTTCACTGGCAACTATGACACTTTTACCAACAACAAGCTGTTCAGAAGGATGAGTCAGTTGGAAGGTCTAGATCCGGACCACCCCTTGATTTCACCTGAGCACCCTTGCGACAATCCTTTTGACGAAACGCGGTCTAATACTGGACGAGTCACCAGCTCAGGTACCGTCAATACTCAGAGACGCCACCCATCTCAGCGTGTGGTGTCGAACCTGAGTAGTTTCGGTGAGGGTGACCTGGATGAGCACGACTTTGATGCCGACATTTCTATTCCCACTGGCTTGGATCTAGATGCAACTTTCGAGTCTACTGAAGGCTCGCCACTCCCAGAAGCTATACCACCAGGCAGCACTCACCCTTTCCGCTTCCACGTCGACAGCGCACCTCCAGTCGAGTCGTCCCCCGAAGTTAGGCCCTTCAAGCTAAAGAGGAAGTTGTCAAAGAGAAGCAACACAATGAGGTCGAGGCATTCAGATGACGATCAGGCACTGGAGCAATTCCCTGTGATTGATCCTTACAATAACGAGTTCGATATCAGGGAGGGAAAGCGCCCTCAGAGCTCTCCTGCAAAAGCTCCTACTGCCAAACGCCGACGCACTCTGATCACTATGGATGGCAAGCTCCCAGAGCTCGGCGAAGGCTCTGAGATCCACATCAAGGTTGATGCGCCAGTTTTAAACGACGAAAAGCCTTCAGAAGCTACTGCACCTAGTACCGTCAGCGCAGGAAGCAGAAGGGACGTTACTAGGCCTAGGAATCCTACACCCAGCCAGAGGCGTCGCGAGCAGATTCAAGCCGAGATTAGTGAGGCGACGTTTGAGTATCTATCAAACTCACCACGCCTCGAAGCCATCAAGGAGACCATCGAAGAACTTTCAGAACTACCAGCCGAGTCCGTCGACGCCGAGAAGGCCAAAGCAGTCGCAGCAGACATAGCAGCGTTCACTTTTGAACACTCTAGAGAGGAGCCCGAGAGCATACGCAAGCGCTCATTCACCACACAGGATTTCCTAGATGAGGCGATGCATATTATGTCTATAATTCGGGCAAAAGGACGACCACACAGTGGTTTGGACGATGTTGAAGAGTCTAGTGGTGAGATGGACTTCAACACTCACCTGCGTCCTGATGACCTTGCAAGGCAAGTCGGATCTTTGCGTATCTCACGACCTTCATCTCGGGAGGGAAACGAATCGAATTGGAGACCTCGGAGTCAAGTCAAGCATGATCCAATGGTCGCAAGCCGTTTGGAGCAGTTCCGCGAGAAAGACAGTCTCAATCTTGTGGACACATCTCTCCGATCGCTGAGCATCAACGATACTTCAGCTGTTTACTTTGATCACGAGGATGTGTCGACTCGAGACCTTGATGATGCGCCGATCATCGAGCCCGATTGGGCTCGTGGACATGTCCGAGCATACTCAAACACTTCACAACAAGGAGGCCAAGCTAGCCCGACCAAGTCACAGCATGGGTCGCATCCATCTCTTGACTCTTCAAGCGGAGCACGCACGATGGGATCTACCTCCTCCAGAGACTGTGTAGCAAATCTCTCGCCCGATAAGGTTGCTCACCTTATTCCTGAGCAGATTGCGGGAATGACCTATGACAAGGAAAAGCAGATCTGGGTCAAGGCCAAACATCTCAGGCCCCCGACGTTCGACTACTATCACCAGCCGAGCAATGTCAGCAGCGAAGATGATCCATTTGCATACATTCCTGACCTGACTGTCGACGAGATCAAAGAGATTCAGCGCATCCAACAAATGCAAGCACGCCATCAAGGTCTGACACAGCAAGAGCAGTCCGAGTACGAGGAGTCTGGGCAATACACAGAACTTCCGCAACAAGTGCCAGATCGCTCACCTCCACAAAGACAAGAACCAACTGGCTCCAGACCTACTACTCGTGATAGCAACGCACCTCACCCGTTCACGTCAAGCACTGCTCCATCAAAGTATTCCGGCTTTGCTTCTAGTCAGCAGCAGCAGTTCGACACACGTGCTACATCCTGGAGCAATGAGGAGTTGGCTAGCATAGCCAGAGCTAAGCAGCAACAAGCACAGTCTGGCGATGGCCTTCGCGACCTTGCTACTGTCAACATACCTCAGAACATCTCGGAGGAGACGGAGGTAATCCTCGATGATTCTATCACTGCTCACGATGAATCTTTGTTGGACGAACTTCTTAGTGAGGATGACGAGCTCCCGAACGAAGATTCGATAACGGAAGAACTGCCCGCGCCTAAGCAGCGTGGAAGTGGTATTCCGCTTCCATCCTGGCCTCTGCGGTCTCCGCAGCCGGCACCTCGGGGCGGTCTGAGGAATTCTTCCCTGAGAAGACAGACTTTCCAGCGAGGCTATGCTTCTGGACAAGACCAGAGAGAGGTGTCTTTCGTTGCGACTTTCCCAGACAAGCGGACAATGAGCGTGTCTGTGGTTGCTCAGCCTGCGCCTACGATGGCTGCACCAAACCAAGAGTACGGCCTTTCTTCACCTGCTCGTATGGATGGCACGTTCTACCTCAGCGACCTACCCGATTTCACCGTCAACGACGTTGATGAGGAACGTCCATCTGAGAAGGCCTTGGCTAGACGAGTTGCTCGCACAGACCTTGCAGACCGGTATGCCATGGCCGTCCAGAGTCTGGTGAAGACGCTCACAGACGTGGAGCCTGATGAGCCCTACTGGGAGGACATCAAGCAGCTCAATCTTCGTGATAGAGGTCTCGATTCTGTCCACAACCTGGAAGACTTCTGTACACGTCTCGAAGATCTTGACCTGTCAAACAACAATGTTGCACATCTGGAAGGTGCCCCGACTTCTATTCGCAGGCTCAATCTTCGCTCAAATGCTTTGAGCAGCCTCACAGCTTGGAGCCACATGATGAATCTGCAATATCTCGATATATCCAACAACCAAATCGACAATCTGGGCGGATTATGTATGCTCATCCATCTTCGAGAACTACGCGCTGACGATAATCAAATCTCGACTCTCGACGGCATCATGAACATGGATGGTCTGCTTAAGCTTTCCGTACGTCGCAATCAGCTTTCGAGGGTTGATTTCGAGGGATGCCAATTGGCCCGCCTCGAGGAGCTGGACTTGAGCAGCAACAAGTTGTCTCGTGTCTCGGGCATCCAGGCGTTGTCATCGTTGAGTCGTTTGGTTCTGGACGACAACAAGCTTGAGTACTTCTCAGCGGCTAAGGAAGACACTGCCGGCTTTAGATTGCATTGCTTGTCCTTGCAGAAGAACAGAATGACCGCTCTTGATGTGTCAAGCTACACGAACCTCCGGTACTTGAATGTGGACGAGAACAAGTTGTTGACTGTCCAAGGCATCGAAAAGTTACATCATGTCGACATTTTATCTATGCGCAAGCAAGATCTCAAGTCGGCCGATGCTCAGCAGCTGACTATATTCAATCAACGAGTATCTGCTCGCTCGTTGTTCTTGTCCTCAAACATCATCCCCACTCTTGACCTGCCAAACTCTTACCACAGTATCCAGAACCTGGAGATGGCATCTTGCGGCCTACAGGAGTTGCCCAATGATTTCGGTCTCAAATTCCCCAATCTGCGCACTTTCAACATGTCCTTCAATGGGATAACCGATGTTCGCCCACTGCTCAATATCACAAGGTTGGAGAAATTGCATGCCTCTGGTAACCGCATCGCACGTCTTCGCAAGACAGTTGCCGTGCTGGCACGCATGCCGCACCTTCGGAAAACAGATCTCAGAGATAACCCTATCACTCACGGCTTCTATGCGCCCATCTCTGTGGCCAAAAATGCCGTCAGCACTGTTTCGAATGACGAGGAGCCATTGTCGGAAGCACAGCTGCAGTTGCAAATAGCTATGTCCCATCGTCTGCCCAATGCCGATCACGCAACGGATACCGAGCATCTCGCTCGTCTGGATGAGGACACCAAGCTACGACGACGTGTCTACGAGATTCTTCTTAGCAACGGTTGCAAGAACCTGGCTACCCTCGATGGCTTATCGTTTGCCAAAGACAGAGCCTTGATAAGAGATGGGGTTTGGGAGAGATTGCTCAAACTAGGAGTCGTGAAGAAGTCGGGGGCAAGAGGAGAAGAAACTCAAGTATCGATGAGTTAGGAATTTGTTGAGTGGTCGGACTGAATGGCTTGATGTTAAGATTTGACGATTTGTACGAAACTATTGCATCGGGAAGCAGACGGAGTATGGACAGAGGGAATTATTGGTGTTTTGTGGCTGCTTTTTCTTGTATCGGTATCTTCTTCTATTCGACAGTCATACCTTGAACAAACAGATCTTTCTACATATTACTTTTCCATGGTCCTCAGTCACTCAGTTCGTTTTTTCTCTCGACAAATCTGCGAGTGATTTGAAGTGTCGCTCGTAAGGAGCCGGCACTCTGTACTGATTGAGGATGACGCGCAAAAGCCCATGTCATCTCTCTGATAGGACAACCCTGGCTTGACATTCTTACACAGCCATCGCAAACGAAAAGGAACGAGAAGAATCGTGTAGTCATGTCAACGCAGCGGTTCACCTTTTGAACAAGTATCGGACATATCTAATCGAGAACAGAGACACGACGTGAAGCAATCAGATGCTTACAAGTCTGAGCTGTAGACTTGTCAAAGCATATTGACTCTGTCTCTTTGCAGATAGGACGAACGGAACCTTTCAGAATAGCAAAATTCCGCCCCGTCATCTTGTCTAGTACGTGCAGCAAAATGCACCGGAGATGTCGAATCCACGCCGAGCTTTTTCGCTCATAGATAGAAGAACATTGTTGTTTTACCGATGCACAGGGTGAGAGGATTGCTGTTGTCCCTTATCAGAGCTATATACCATTGTGGAAGGGAGAGCGGCGATCTTGGGCGGGGGCTAACCCTCAAACACCACTATCTTGGCTTGGCAAGCCTTGGCAGCAACGACATCGCTGCGATCGACCTCTTGCGGTCTTTGATTTTGCGACTGCAGAGATAAAGGCTCTGGGGATGGAGTGTGGAGAGCATGTCCAGTGCCATGGACATGATAAAGATGCGATGCTGAAGTGTTCATTGTCGTCTATGCTGTGGTTTGTTACTCTGCGCCATCCACGAGGTCCAAGACAGTACTTGTGAGGTGGTCTCCAGGATATCTGGCACCCGATGAACACTCATTTTTTCCCCCAGACTCGTATGGAGATTCAGATAAGAGCCGCCTCCATTTCCCAAACCAGCGGCTCTCTTGTTCACCTCCAGGATTCCCGAAGCAATAGATATGCATAAATCGCTAGCGGGAGAGTTTTCAACGACTACTTTGCTCCACGACCACTAAGAGCTGCGGATCAGTGGTTCGTGGATGAGTAAGGTATCTCTGTTTCTTGGCTCGCATCGTGATTAGTTGCTAAAATGAGCCGTCTTTGGAGACATGCAGAGATAAGAGCCTCAACAGTGTTTAGGTATCCGGTAGATCTTCTGATAACACTCTGAGCTGCAATGCACATAAGGCAGCACAGAGATCGCTTCCTTGGTAAGGTCAGATCCTGCGGTCCATACATTGACATACTCTATCCGCTTTTCCAAAGCTATACTCTGAACATGTCGATGGCCTATCCCTACAACCAACCCTTGGAGGTGGTGCATAATGCATACACGGCTCAGCAGACCACGGAAATAGCTTCACGTATGGGAGCTGCAAAGGCGAGGATGCGTGTCGACAAGATTCTCACCAGCTCTTTTATGGCAGGAGCGATTCTCGCGTTTGCTTGTGCTGCAGTCTCGATCGTCAATGTGGCTCCCTGGTACCAAGAGAACGCTCCGGGAGTGATCAAGCTGTTTGCAGCTCTCATTTTCCCTTTCGGTCTCGTTGCCATCATCTTGACTGGTGCAGATCTGGCTACAGGCAGTTTCATGGTAAGGCCTCTTTGTCGACACATTTCCCTCTATTGCTAGCAGATGATCTGACTTTTATTTCGGACCTACAGTNTTACCACAATGTCCACTCTCCACCGCCGCACCAGCATCCTCCAAATGCTTCAACACTGGGCTCTCACCTTCATCGGCAACCTCGCCGGCTCCCTCTTCGTCATGGCCCTCATCGCCGGCTACGGCGGCATCCTCTCCGACCCAGCCTACGCCTCCCAAACCATCAAGTTCGCCACANAAAAAGTCGTCTCTCCACAATGGCACCAAATCTTCCTCCGCGGCATCGGCGCAAACTGGTTGGTCTGTCTAGCCTGCTTCCTCGCCTGCGGTGCCCGCGAGATGGTGTCCAAAATCGTGGTGATCTGGTGGCCAACATTTGCGTTTGTGATTTTGGGATTCGATCACGTAATTGCGAATATGTTTTATATTCCCATGGCGATTTTCTTGGGGGCGCCGCAGATTAGTGTGGGCTTGTATATTTGGAAGAGTATGATTCCGGCGCTGCTGGGTAATATTGTGGGTGGAGGCTTGTTTGTCGGTGTCGTGTATTGGTATCTGTATCTGGCTGGCAATGCTGAGCCGGTCCTGATCGATGGGAACAGTTATGGGGGCCCGCCGATGTCGTTGTTTGGGGTTAATGCCGATGTTGAAGAGGCGCCGGCTCAGATGTCTAGGAGAGAGTCTGATAAAACGAGCATGGTTTGAGAGATGACGTCCGAATTGCAGATGAGTTTAGAATAGTTATAATGATATTCTGATGAAAATATTTGGTCCATCGTTCTTGAACCATCAGGCACTGGGGAATCACTGCCTACACATACTTCGGTTGGAGCTGTTTAGTCGTAGCCATAACAATAGCATCTGATGTGGTCTCTGTAATGGCGTGTGACTCCATAGCCTCTCAATCGTTGCGCTCGTGCTGAGCCAAGAACGGCTGGGCATCCTCGTCATCGCTACCAAGTTCCCTAGCATCATTGTCATAGCCCGTAGGCTTGCTCCTCAGATCAGCCATAGCCAGTGCATCGGCCCTACCCTTCTCGGTATCAATCATATAGATAAGAGGAATAGGCAGCGCGATCAACACAGCCAAGAATGCAAATGCAGGTCGGATCGTGCCAGCAACGTCAACGATCCAACCTACAATGGCTGGACCAATGGCTGAGCTGCCTTTATCAGTCACAGCGTATAAAGCATAGAAAGCCGCTTCACTGCCTGGAGGAATGAGCAAACCGTAGAAGGATCGACAGTACGAGGAGAGACCGCCCATGACGAAACCGTGTACGACACCCAGAGGATAAATCTCCCAAGCTTGTTGCAGACCTCCGACGCCCCATGATTGGACAAAGGGAAGGTAGCCGATCAGACCGTAGATGGGAATTATCTCCATGAGCAGGACACACCCTATGATGGTCTGCTGTGTGTGCAGACGGAAACGGCGCGAGATAATGGGCCATGCGAAAGCGCCGGCGATACCAGAAGATGTGGCTGTAATAGAAAGGATAGCGATTTGTACGGTGCTCATCTTGAGTTCGGTCCTGGCAAAGAGGATGGCCGTGCCTGATACAGTGGCGATAGAATCGGAGAGCAGGAACCACGCAATCAAGAAGATGACAGTTTGACGTAGCTTGACCGCTTGCTTGACAGTTTGCCAGACAGATGACCACGCGAAGACGAAGTATGCCAGGACTTGACCTGCTTTGCCATGTCGAGTATTGAGGCCCTTGAGCGGGGGTCCGGGGCGATCACGAAGCCAGAGAGCACCAGGAATGATACCAACAGCCCAGCATATACCCACGAAGAGCAGAATAATCCTCAGTGGAATAGATTGGGAGGAGAAATTGACCTTGCCCAGACCAAAGAGCAGTCCGATGCTACATATCTGTACAAGCACCGCAGCGATGTAGCCAAGTCCTACGCCTTTGGCTGAGATCTTGTTGGATAGGGCCAGGGCTGGGGACGTTTGCTTGTCAGCGTGCAGTCCTCCAGGTGCTGGTGAATACAATCCATCGGGTTCGACCATGTCGACAGTTGCCGAAGAGGAACCCGTTTGTTGCTCTGCGGAGATAACAGATGGATGGTTGCTGGCCAAAAGCGGAAGGAAAGAGTTCAACAATACAAAAGAAGAGCCTAGCGATGCAACCCCCAAGATGACTAGGACAGGTGCAAAAAGGTATAGGCTCGGAGAAACGACAATGAACAGCATGCTCGAGATGGATCCGATGCATCCAAATGCTAGCAGAAGCTTTTTGCGATACGTTCCTGATGCAAGTCAGCTATGCACAACTTGAGATGATGCAGAATATAGCCTACCATGATCAGCGACAGAACTGAAGGATATAAGTACAATCGCTTGCACCAGGACAGCTATGGAGAAGGTGTACATGGCGAACGAGGCTGTCGAAATGTCTTTTCCAAAAGGTTGGACTACACATTGACTTTCGTTCTTGTCGTTGGTAGCACGACTCACAGCTCGCAAGAGTAGATGTGAGGTTTCAGCCGCAGCGGACTTTGGCTTCACACATGGAGTGACATGGTCGGACCTTAGTACACCTCGTTCTTTCGCAAGCTGTTCTAGCGTCACTGGAAGAAAAGAACCNTGGAGGCTTGTTAGCAATCTTGACGCGTTATAGATATGTACGCATTTACCAACACCAGCCACGGCGAAGATCTCAGCAGCCAGGCCGTAAGAATACCATCCTTTCAGCTCGCGATCGCTGGTTGGTGTAGTGTCTTCATTCTCATATCGGCGAGGCCTGCCATATTCGTTGCTCTCACTATCTCTCTGCATATTTGATCAGACTGGAAAACATGTTGTTTTCGCGTTCGAAAAGAAGACATGACGCTGTTTCCTTGTCAGCATTGTTCGGGTGGGTCTTCCGATGCTTCCGATCCAAGGCCCACCAAAACGCGTCAGGAAGGGACAACTTCGCGCCATCGCCATGATGTTTGTTCATTTCAAGACGGATCCTGTTTTCGCAACATTGCTTCGCAGAGCGTTATAGTTGAGGTCGCTCGATCGCACATTCAAAGATACAAACAGCACCTGATCGTGTTGCCCTCGAATCTGCTAGGGCTTACAGAGTGGAGCCTGACCGGTCATCCGCACGCGCAGTCGATAGTATCGCGTCTGTAGAAGATAGGGAACCACACCAATTCAGCCTTGCACAATATTCCATCAATAGACAGTCATGCCTGGAGTCTTAGGCAGGCTATCCCAGCCTTGTCGGCTGAGACAACCACTCATGTGCTGCACCCATGTGGGGTGAAGGATGGACTACAACAGTGCATCATATAACCCAGTCGAGCGCCACAGTCATATTTCCAGGCATCCTGCTGAGCTTCCTTGCTGACAACCGAATATAAAGCGTTCGATACGACCAAGGCTCAGTACTCGATGGTCTTTCTACGATTTCCAGAATGAGCCATCATGGTTCGGCGAAGCGCGATCGTTCTTTCAGGCGGGACGACGTTTCTGAAAGAATAGAACTATTGCGTTCGCGCTCAGCAGGGCGAGGAGAAGAGGTTCGTGTGGAGTTTGATCATCCTCCAGATATCCCGCCTCCACCACAGATTTATGTCCAAACAACACTTGATCCAACCTACGTTCAGATACCGCCTCCTTTCGAGCCCGGAAGAACAACTCATCATGAGGGAGCGACCAGATATCCTACAAGAGAGAATTATCATAGGCCCCAAAGGTCACGGCAGCGAACCGACAACTATGTACACATCGAACATGAGAGGGGTCATAGTTACGCGATTCGTCCATCGCACGATGACAGTGGTCCGATGCCCAGTATTTCTCAGAACTACAGGCCTTCACAAGCGCGTCCCGAAGCATACACCACTTTTACACAAATGCCAGCACAAATGCCAGATCTGCAGTATACCACCCACACCAAACCGCTTCGAACCGACTCGCATCGCCGCGAACGTATTCACAGCAGACACGATGAGTCGAAGATCCCTCACGGAGGTGGTGGAGGAGACGGCGGCGGCGATATCCAAACATCAGCTGTCGAAAAGGCGGAACCAGATGCACCCACACTGAACAAGATCACGATATGTGTGTACCGGAACAGTAAACGGCAATTCGTACAGAAAGAAGTTTGGATGTTGAAGCCAGATCATAAAAAGGATATCTTTTTGGAAACGTCTGAGCATCTCCGTAGAGACCCTGCTTTCCGCAAAGCCCTTCGCACAGATGCTACTTTCTTCAAGGAGATCAAACAACGGTATAAATATCAGTTGCGAGGAACTTTCAGACGGTATCTTAGCTTTAAGACCGTGAGCACCGTAAGGGTTCTGGGGGTACGTTTTGATGTACACTAGCGACCATCGCCTGACTGACAGTGCCCACAGTATGGAAACAATGTATTCGGACTGGCGGATATCAATGAGAAAGTGTTTTCCCCAGTCTTCATGCGAGCATACAACAATCCCAGGCAATCCTTGATAGACCGCAGAGACAATCCAAGGGATCCGAAACTCGAGTTTAATACCTGGGTCGGGTGGTTCTGGCTGAAACGTCGAGCATTTGTTCTGGACAAGAAAGTCGACTTGGCCATTGAATTGGTTGAGGCTTACGATCCGAATCGCGTGTTGGGTGGGATAGCCATTGCACTGACAATCTACTTTGCTCTTACGATCACATGGCTGGCTCTAGGTGGTGATCCGTCATACGTTGCCGGAGTCATGTCGTTTGTTCTCTCTATTCTCGCAGGTGAGTAATGTTCATGTTATTCCAGTAAGGATACGCGCAGTACTGACATACCGAACANNGTCCTGGTTGGCTTGACTGGCCTGTACGACTGGCTAGACCTAGGCCACATGGGTGGTGGCAAAGACTTCCTTGTGCTCGACGAGTACGAGCTTGATAACCTGGACAAGGACGGCTGGGGCGGTCCTCTTTGATATTTTCAGAAACGCTTGACTTGATCGGTATCAAACTCCTTTTACGATACTTGAAAAGCTCTGGTATACCGACATTCGGAACTTCAACTTCGGAGCTCACTTACTTACGTCTGTCTGGCATTACCTCAAGAAGCTCTTGGTTTGTCAAGGTCACCGAGCTTATGGACATCTACGTCTGGAGCTACACGTCCTATGCAGCACAGCGTAGCGCCACTCCTCATCACCTTGTTGCGGACACTCAATTTGGCCAAGTCTGCAAGAATTCGCTCTCGGAGCTCCGTTAACCAGACTCCAGCCAATGACTCCCAAGTCTCGCAACGTTGAGGCCGTCGCGTCTGCTTTTTACTCTTGAGAATTGCGCAGAGAAATCGAGGCAAGGGACGGCAGCCACGTGTACAGCGTTTGTAACCATCGACTGTACGATGGGGCCTCTCACACTGTCGCTTCCTGTTTGGACAACCTTCGTGCGACGCGACGAGGGACATTGGAAGAAGACGGGACGAAATGGCGAGAAGTCATCATTTGTTTGTCTACAAGTCGTGCGGCGGTTTTGCTAGCATATGAACACTGTTATAGGAAGAGTTCTGTTGAGGCGTTGTCATCATGCATAGTGTTTTCTTTCTTGCAACAGATGGATGCAGTGTAGAGCAATTAAAAGTCGCTAGGTAGCGGTGCGATGATCTAGAGACGGTCCTTGTTGCTTGTGCATGTACAGCCTTAGTCATTCGTTAGGGATCATTTCCCCGTCTCGAAACATATCTGAACAACCGACCTATTTGCAACGTCGCATAGTGGTTCTACGGTACTAGTGATGTCCAAAAAGAGCGGGTCGCTTGGTACGTCTTAGTGGACATGTTCAGCAATTGCAAGCATGCTGTGCCTGTTTATAGTCATTCAAACGGACGTCCGCAAGGAGGGATGCAAGCATAAAGGTAACGCTGTATTGCTGATCTATCGTGTACTGAGAAGTATTATTGTAATGGAAGGCGGCATGTATATAACATGACCACAAAGAGGAAAAGACAAGACCCAAAACTCCATCATAATCGTCCGACACATACTTAGAACAACTTGTGCTCAAGTGTCATGTCGTTCTCAGGCTCAAGACCAACGCAAGCACGGAAGATATTGACCAAAGCATTTCTCTGCTTGCTCAGGGCATTGACGACAGGAGTACCAGGAGGAGTGAGAGGGGCCTTGAGCATGTAACTCAATACACTCAAAACAGAGTGGAAGCCCTTAAACTCTGCATCGTCGACGCTGTTTTCTCTCCATTGGACTCTGGTCATGAGCTCAGCGATCAAGACCAAGTCGATGATCAGCGGCGAGGCCAAGAGCGAGTCTTCACAGATGTTGAACATGTTGATGGTCTGGTGACCTCCCATGAAGATCTCAGCGTAGTACTCGTCCAGAGCTCTCTTGTTGTCTCCAACGCTGGGCATGTACTTGATTACAACAGTATGATCGGGGTGTTCATCCTCCTCGTACAAGATGTGGTTGGCAGCAACCATGTCATCCACGACATTGGACTTTGAAATCTCCTTTGATCTGAATTGAGAAGGCGCGGAAAGGTTTCTACCGTCGTTATTTCCGAGATGGTTGTAAGAAGCCAAGGACTTGACTTTGATACCTGCATTGATGAGGAAATCGACCAGGGCGGACTTCATCTTGGTCTGTCCGGACTTGAAGTCATCACCGCCGATGAAGGCAGAGTGCTTCTCAGCCAAGGCGATGACACCGGGAACAAAGGTATTTTGGGGCGAACCGTTGATGAAGGGTGCGTTTTCGAGGATACAAGCGGTTGCGAAAATTGTGGAGGGAGCAATCTCGGGGTGGCCTGAAGCGATGGACTGAAGAAGGTTGTCTGCTGTGTCGTTGATACCGGGGAGGATTTCGGCGTAACGCTCTGTGTTGGCAGTCCATTGGACGATGATCTTGTCAAGGCTATGCTTGGACTTGAACTCGCTGGTATCCAGTTAGCATTGTTGACAGACTTATGAAAGAACGGTGCCTTACCGAATGTCTGCTCTGATCTTCTCAAGATGCTCAGTGCATGCCTTGGAGCCCTCAAGGATGTTGTCTGCTCTTGACTCCTGGTTGGCAGCGATGAAGTCAGGGTAGTAGATACTGGGGAGGGGAACCATCTGTGCCATTTCCTTGCGGACCATTTGCTTCAAGGTTGGCTCAAGGACTCCAGCCCTGTCCATGGACTCGGCGATGTTCATACCGCTGATGTCCCAACCCCCGATGACGAGCTCGTTGGGGTCGACCATGGGCAGAAGCTCGTTGAAGGGAACATAGATCTCCTTGCCAGTGTCTGAGTCGGTGCCGAGCTTGACTGTTGACGACATGACCATAGAGCCGTAATAGTTTGCTGACTGCTTGCCCTCACGGGTATCCCACGAGAGACCTTGACGGTTGGCAATGATACCAGCAGTCACGGTAGATCCGTTGTTGCCTGGATGTGATCAGCGAATATTCGATCTAGATCCAGCGTCATGATATACATACCTCCCNCAACCGACAAGCATCATGCCGACTCTGCCAACTTTGCGTTCGACCTTGAAGTCATACACAGTCTCCTTGGGTGTAGCAACATAGCCACCGTTGGATGACTTGGTCACCTTTGTCTGACGGTAGACATACTTGCTGAGGATCGCATCGTCAGAGTATGTGACATTAGGAGACTGGACGGTGAAGAGAGGAGCCTGAGCACTGCTCGAGGTGGTGCGCTCGGTCTCGTTGAGGTAGGGAGCCATGGTTTCAAGAAAGGAAGGAACAAAGATGAGGTGTATAAAGTGATAGAGACACGAGACTGAACAAGTCCCTTTTATCCTATTCAGTGGGGAATGTGGTTGTATAAACAAGAAAAAGAAAGGAAAGCCCATGGAAGTCGAGTTTAAATACCTTCATCGCGGAACAATGTAGAGACCGCAACGGAGAGGGAAGCTGCGGCCAAGGTCTTCGCATTATTGTTTGACCCCAGATGGACTAAGATGGAGAAAGTCACGGATCATCTTGGATAGTCCGGGGTCGATATGGTGGAGAGCGGAGGTCACGGAGGCATGGTTTCGCCGTACGGAACAAACACCTAGCCACGAGCGGTGAGAGGGAAGCTTGTCTGTTTGTGGCGTACGATCATGTACGACATGTGGCTGTTCTTCGCAGGTTGCTGAGGTTTGATGAAAAGACCTCGAGAGCCTATTGATGCGTTCGCCAGAAGGAGAAGGCGCAAGTAAGACGTTGCTCTCATATATAAGAGCCCGGTCAGTCAATACACCAGTTAACACGCCTATCCTGCCTGAGGCTCAAGGAATTGTCAAAACTCGGCCGAGTAAACAAAGCTCCCCTGTTGCATCGGATTCAAACGATGATTCGGATCGGCTTGTGAGCGGCGCAGACTGGAAGAGACAGGGAGAGGTGAGACGAATCGACAAAGTCAAATCATGAAAATGACGAAAGGCTTCAACTCCTGGATTTACAACTACAATGGTAAGGCGTGGTCCCAAGCTCCAAACCTGTTGAGAGACCCCTTAGCAACAATGCGAGCACGTTGTCTGGTATGGTTAAATGAAGTTCACACGGTCAGACAAATCGTTGTCACCATCTACGAGTGTGGCTGCAGTGGAAGAAGGTCTGTCGAAGAAAGGCAAAGTTTGGCAGCGGCAGGTGTGGGACCTGTCGATCTCTTGCTGTCACTCGTCGCCAAGGATTGCGAGATAGCGGTAGAAGGCTGCATCTGATACAAGCGGTCGTCAGATTGACAGAGGAAGGCAGATTCGCAATGGTACTGCTCATGCTGGGTTATTTTGCTGCAGAGCGTGAGTCGGCAATTTGGACAAGACTGCCTAGAAGAGAAACATGTGATTGTCTCGGTCGGGTGCAGCCAATCGGTATGCGGGACCCTGGGGTGCTTTGACCAAGACGAGAGTGCTCATCTCCTTTAATTAGTGAACCGACCGCCGAAAGAGAGCGACTAGAGTCGAGCGAGCGGGTGCTGCAAATTGTCTTCACGAGCGTCTGTGGAGTCTGGCGAGCGATATGATGATGGCCACCGATGATGGTCTTGGTTGAGGGAGGATCTGGGCATGCGGAAAGACAGTCGCAATTGCACTAACTCCTGGGCGTCTGCTTGCACTTTGTCTTCCTTTCTCTTCCTCCCTGTTGCGATTTCCATCGTTTTCGTCTTCATCACTGTCTTTTACTGTTACTACGGCTCTGACTATTCGAGCATCCATTCATTTAGTGTTTTATCCACTCGCCGCTTCGAGGCATTTAATTACAACTGCGTGCCTTCGAGACCTCTGCAGCCCCTGGCGTCTGCTCCATTGTTTTCTCGTGCTGTTGATGCTACCACGAAACTGTCAACGGTCCGGATCAGGAACTTCCATACAACAAACAAAGTCTCTCCTTGAACCGGTTCGGCAATCGTAGGATTGACACCAAAGGAGGTCGACTCTTATCGCTTTCTTATCCACACAACTGTCGGCTCTGTTTATTCTTCCTGAGGTCGAACAAGCGACACCTGGAACCATTTCTCAAACCTAGACTCGACCCTCACTGTCGCCAGCAGCCATGGAGACCGAGCGACCAGTGAGCATCTTGCCGTCGATCAAATGCTCCGACTGTGGTGCAGAGATCCAGATCTCTGCTATGGGAGAGCACGTGTGCACATCACAGCAGAAGGAGGATGAACCGTCGCAGAAGCCCAAGTCACCAGTCGCATCGCCGGTCACATCGCCCTCGATAGAGAAGCAAGCGACTCCCTTACCGCCCATGAACCAGAGCTTAAGCAGGCCCNCCTCGAGACCAAACAGAAATCCCCTCCCTCGCATTGATCCTTCAGTTGCAAGTGAGTACCGCAAAGCATGGCTGGCGAGCGAATGATAGCTGACGGGATGTANNGACAAGCCGTACTTTGCGAGACAAGAACTGCTCTCGCCGGAAGGCTCCAGCGGCTCAGGACACCGTACTCCTCGAACACCACACACAGGCCGACCTGGCCGCTCTCCTGGAATGCGCAGCGCTACCAGCCCCAGTCCGAGACTGCCACGAGAGCCGTCGCAAGAGCTGACCGGAAACATGGACTGCGCTTTTCCACCCTTTCCCACGGCAAGATCCAAGTCGGTAGCGAGAGTCAAGAGCCCGACACCTGATGCATACTACGCACCTCGAAGCCCCATGGGCACTGGTGGTGCCAATGTCGTACGTAAGCTGGATACGATCGCTCCGGGACCTTTCAATACGCCGGCACGCAGCGCATCGCGTTCGCCTTCTGCCAATGCGAGTGCTCGTGCGCCTCCAGCCATCACTATAGACCAACCCCCGGTCGAGAGGGCAGCTTCGCCTATCTTCAGATCCGCTTCGCCTGTTAGCTATGACAGACCTGCTTCTCCTCCAGCAAGATCTGCTTCTCCTCCCCAAGTCCCTGCTTCGCCTACCTTGTCCACGGTTTCCACGGCTTCGACATCTCCTGGTGGGACCAACCGTGAAGGCCGCCCTATCCCGCAGCGGCCTGTCAGACCAGAGCCGCTGGATGGCTTCCTTGCTATGCTCAAGAGCGAATCCGAGGCCGCCGGTCAACAGTTGTCCAACATGACCATCCGCTCAAACACATTCCCGCTTCCTCCATCCAAGCCAAAGTCTCCTGAACCTGGCGCTATGTTCAGAAGTCCTTCTGCGCCGCCTAACAGGCAACGACGACCCACCATCTCTGCCCCTTCGCAAAGCGCCCCTGGTGAATCTATTCCCACCATCTCCACTACCGCCCCAGCATTGCCACCGCTTCCCACCATCTCGACCGCCGTGGCTCCGGCACTTCCCCCACTTCCTTCGGCAACCGAAGTGCAAAAGCATGCCCACCCCATCGTACACGCTCCTTCAGATTCAGCATCTTCAGCTTCATCGACAAGAAGCTTCAAGTCAGATATCAGCCCTCCTGTCTCGGCCACATCGAGCGTCTCAATGCTCTCGTCTACTCTTGGCGACCTTACTGATCCCTCTCTTGTTGTTGCCAGCCTGCAACTCAGGAGCAAGCAGACCAACCGCTTGAGCCCAGAAGACGCTTTCAAGCCTAGCTTTGTCGCTGCTGAGCAACAGCAGTCACCAGTGTCGATCGACGAGAGGCTTGATAGCCCGACTGAGAAGATGGACCACTTCCCACTCAGCCCTCCTCGTGCATCTGCCGACTTTCCAGAGTCACCTGTAGTTCCTGGATTCCTCCCTAGGCGTCCCCAAAGTCCCATATCGACAACATCTACACCCATGACATCGCCTCCTACCGAGCACGGCTTCTCTTCCAGACCGACATCTTCGAAGCGACCTGGTACCTCGTCCAAGCACATCTGCAGAGGCTGCAGTGAGCCTATCCAAGGCAAGTCCGTCAAGGCTGCGGATGGTCGTCTGACCGGTCGCTACCACAAGCACTGCTTCGTCTGCAAGACTTGCAAATCAGCCTTTGCGACCGCCGACTTCTATGTCATTGACAACAACCCGTACTGCGAGCACCATTACCATGAGCTCAACAACTCTCTATGTGCCCATTGCGACCGTGGTATTGAGGGACCTTACCTTGAGACCCAGCAAGCACAGAAATTCCACCCTAGCTGTTTCACCTGCATTGACTGCCACAAGCCACTCAGTGACGACTACTTTGAGATTGCTGGCAAGGTCTATTGCGAGCAGCACGCCTTCGCGTCCGCTCACCGTCAAGAAGGACTTGGGCCAAAGAGGAATATGGAGAGAAGAACAACTCGCTTCATGGTCATGTAAGCATGATCGAAGCTCTCCTACCTGCCACGAGCCCCGTCTTCTACCAAGTTGCGGACGACTGAACGCGACCATGCTGCCATGCACATCTCTTTTCATCTCTCCAAGCATATACAGATCACAGATCGACCGAATCTTTCTCTTCAATCTGGATGTGTTCATTCGTTCGCTACCATTCTTCCATTCGCTTTGAAAATACTTGTTTATTTCGGAGATACCCACAACATTATTGTATATACCTTCTGCATGCCAGCTGTAGCTGTAGAACAGCTCGTGCGGCACAAAACTTATCTATTTTCCTCACCTACAACCAATTCGACGTTCTTACTCTTGTTCTGTGAAGTCTGCTTGAGAAATACGGATATCCGAGTCTCGACTTTCCTACGATTGACTTTGACCCGGCCCATAGCTTAGCATTGCCCTAGGAGCTAGATAGTGCAAGCGTTTTGGCGGCATGATCCGATGCAGTGGTAGTCTTGACCCTGGGAGTATCACCATTCATGCAATACCCCCACAGGATCATAGTCATGCATACAAGAAGGGTCTCACTCTCCTCATTGCCAGGTAAGCAGACAGTTCAACGACGATTGTGCAAAATGATGAGTTCCTGGTCCGTGGAAAAAGCTCGAAGCTTTCGAGATTACACTGCAATTTGCCGGGCCGCTCGAGCAAGAGTCATGTTTAACGCAAGCGAGGATCTCTCTTTTGCTCGGCCAAGAGGGAAAAGCACGGGTGGTGGCTGGTTTGTCTCTAGTGGTTAAGTATTACACCGGTGGCTGGGCGACCGTTTTTCCTATGAAGGGAAGTGCCTCACGTGGAAATGGTGGAGCGAAAGAGCAGACAGGACCAGTAACATGGATGAGCAATGGCAGAGGAGCACAACAGGCAAGCGATTGGACCATGTGAACAGTGGCATTGATGTTTTGGGCGCACGAAAGGCGTCAAGTAGAGTGGTGTTGCAAATAGTGAAGGTCTCAGAAGTAGGGACGACGATCGAGAGAGGCCTTGCGGTTAATGGCGTGTGTGAGGAATATCTATGTTTAGGTAGGCAAGGCTGCAGACAGTCGCAACCTCGGTCGGACGTCTGCCAACTCGAGGGCCTGACAAACCAGCAACAGCAACAGCAACACGACAACGATTGACTTCCCACAATCAAGAGACGGATACATCTCCCAGCGTTTCATGCTGTGCGATGGCTTCTTCTTTGTCAAGGACCTTCTTCTAGAAGATTTGGGTCTTCGGCAGAGCCAGGTCGAGTTAGGGCCTCAGCCTTAAGTTAGGAAGGTGTTAGCGTGTGGAGGTAGGTTGAAGCCTGTGCGCTTGCTATTAAATTGCACCTGCTGGGGTGGTCTGAGTGTCTGAGCAAATCTGCCAGCTTTGAACAGGCAGATGGCTGGCAGGGCAGAGACATGCGAGGTGTGCGAGAGGAGTCGTTGACAGAGACGTGGCAGTGGGATGTGCAGCTTAACAGAAGGTAGCAAGACATACGGGCTGGCGGGCGTAGCAGACAGATGCTCAATTGATTGGTGTCGAGATTGCTTTGCGATCAGCGTTTGAGTGCGCGAGTCAACCTGGCTCTTTGCGTGGGTTTCGGGCGAAACGTCTTCCGCGGCCTGTGTCGGCAGCCAGCCCCTTTTGATTTATCGCTGGTCGCTGGCGGCGCTGCTGAAGTTGACTCGTTTGGCCTTGCCAGCTCTGCAAACACCAGTCTCTCGTCGTCTCTAGGCTTGTCGCACTGCAGATTGCTCCTTGCCTCTCTCGTCTCTTATTCTTCGAGCCAGTGACAAGCGCTGAAAAATTGCACACCAAAGACGTTTCTACGTTTCTGCGTTTCTGCACTTTTCAATCGACGTCGGGCCCTGCTGCACCACCGTTGGCCTTTTCCACATTCGCCGTCAATTAGCCTGTCAACGAGCGACGGTCAATCTATCGAATCCGACATCTGACCCATCGTCCTCTAATTCCACATACACGTCCGATTCCTTGCTCCTCGACCAGATCAAGAGCTCGCAATTCTCTACGGCTCTGCGCAGCTTCACTCTCCTTGTCAGACTCGCCCCGCTGTCGCACCTCCAGGTCGGTACCCAGTCACAGCCATTCTTCCCTTGCCTGCACCACCCTCTCTATTTTCGTCACCTTGATCTGTCGACTCGTCCGTCTGCGTCGAGCAATCGCTCTTGTATCCTGCAGGAAGTGCCCTGGTTCGAATCCCTGCCGCAGTTTGCCAAAGCTTCATCACGACCGACGCATTGCTTCCTTCGCCATTCGCGCCGTCCTTGTCGTTTGTCCGTCTCGGCTCTCACTCTTCTGTCGCCATTCTTCGCCTCTTCCTTCCCTTTTTCCCTTCACTGCATCAAAGACTTCACCAGCCTCATGTACCACTGACGACCTCGTTGGTGCGACGCATGCTGACAAGCCTCGCAGCACATCCTGTAATCGCCTTCACGCGTTTTTCCCATTACACACCGGCAATCGCCATCTCTCCAACACCGTTACCGACCGAACAACCCTACCGCCGCAAACATGGGTTGTGGTATGAGCACCGAAGATAAGGAGGGCAAGCAGAGGAACGAGGAGATCGAGAACCAATTGAAGAAGGATCGCATGATGCAGAGAAATGAGATCAAGATGCTCTTGCTCGGTTCGTTGTCGCCTGCCATGACTGGCAGACAGAACTCTCGCTGACACAAGAATTGCANNGGTGCTGGTGAATCCGGAAAGTCGACCATTCTCAAACAGATGAAGCTTATCCATGAGGGTGGCTACTCTCGCGACGAGAGAGAATCCTTCAAGGAGATCATCTTCAGTAACACTGTGCAATCCATGCGCGTCATCCTTGAGGCTATGGAGTCGCTGGAGCTTCCTCTCGACGACCAGAGAGCCGAGTACCACGTCCAGACCATTTTCATGCAACCCGCACAAATCGAAGGCGACAACCTTCCCCCAGAGGTCGGCAACGCCATCTCGGTCCTCTGGAAGGATCCTGGTGTTCAAGCCTGCTTCCAGCGCTCAAGAGAGTACCAGCTCAACGACTCTGCCAAANTAGTATGTTGCCGCGTCTGGCTGCGCATATTGTTTCATCTTACTAACCATTGTCACAGCTACTTCGACTCGATAGACCGCATTGCCCAGCCCGACTACATTCCCAACGATCAAGATGTTCTCCGCTCCCGTGTCAAGACAACCGGTATTACCGAGACCACCTTCATCATTGGCGACCTCACCTACCGCATGTTCGACGTCGGTGGTCAGCGTTCCGAACGTAAGAAGTGGATTCACTGCTTCGAGAACGTTACCACTATTCTGTTCCTCGTCGCCATCTCAGAATACGATCAACTACTTTTCGAGGATGAGACCGTCAACCGTATGCAAGAAGCTTTGACCCTATTCGACAGCATTTGCAACTCAAGGTGGTTCGTCAAGACATCTATCATTCTTTTCCTCAACAAGATCGATAGATTCAAGGAGAAGCTGCCCGTCAGCCCCATGAAGAACTACTTCCCCGACTATGAGGGCGGTGCCGACTACGCCGCTGCCTGCGACTACATCTTGAACCGTTTCGTCAGCTTGAACCAGCACGAGACCAAGCAGATTTACACACATTTCACCTGCGCCACGGACACTATGCAAATCAGATTCGTCATGGCTGCTGTCAACGGTAAGCTTTTAACATTGCCTTTTTGCTTTGAACACCTTACTGACCATGTCTCCANNGATATCATCATCCAAGAAAACCTCAGATTGGCCGGTCTCATCTAAGCGCAAAGAGACACGGATGAAATGAAAATATGCGTTTGTTTCTTCGTTTATTCCCCTCTCTGGCCAGAGTTCAAGAATCAACAGTCTTGACTCGACGTTTCCGGATCTCTCTTCGGTATCCTGGTCGTTCGCATTTCGCATTTGAGAAATCCAAAACAGTCACCTGTCTCCATTTTCCTGGGCACGCATTGTTTCCTACGGCTGCCGACATATACAACAACACTCTCACACCACAAAAACGTCGGTTCTCTAAAGGCCTCTGGATCGATCTAATCTCGAAAACGAAAAATTGATGGGTCGGTTTTCTTTACAGCTGGGAGAACAACAGCGGGGCGGCCTGCTTCTGATGCCTTCCTGCTCCGCGTACATGTTTCTCACAATCCTCCTTGGGAAACAACTTTTTCTTTCTCTGAAATCTTCTGGGCAAAGCGGCGTCCTAGATACACGGGACGTTCAAGGAAGGGTTTGGGAGGTCGTATTCTCTTTTTCCTTCTCTGTTCTCACTCCATGGCTTCCCAAGCCCCTTCTTTCCTCTCGAAGTTCTCACTTCTTTTTTTCCTTCAACTCATTGCATGATTCCCTTGTGTTCGCCGCCTGTCTACTCATTAGTATATATAATTTTGAACCTCCTTCCTTTTCCAAAAAGAGAACATATCTGTGCCACACTCGGAGACCATGTTCACGTGATCTTGGATTACATGACGGGAGGCACTCTCAACACAGTTTTTGGCATGTCAGGATTGTCGATTCGAAAGCGTGAAAGCGTTCGGATATAAGGTGCCCAGGATTCTTGTACCGTCAGCACAGCCTATCTTGCTTGCCACATTGATTGATGGCTAGGAGCGAAGAAAAATCAGATTGCGTCTTGCGGTCTGCGTGAACAGAATCAAAAGGCTAGCCCTCCTTGCATAACATCTTCCACAGTGTACGAGTACATTTGAAGGAGATTTTGTCGCTGCACACATTTGGCATGCAGAAAAGGTGGATGTGAGCGAACGTGAATTTACCGGGTCTGCATGCCGCTGCCATGGAGAACACCGGGGAGAGGATCACAAAAGGATCCACAGGTTAAGAACACCGTTTCCTATTTCTAGTTGACAGTGACGTAGGAGACTTTTGTTGCCCGCCTCTTTCTTTTGGGGTCCCCGGGTTGCGTCTCCTCCAGATCTGATCATCAGGGGAATTGTGCAGATATCTTGGTTGTACCTTTTCTTTCCGATGGTTGGTTTTTGAGGCTTAGGATTTGTTTTCAAGAGAAAAGGCATCCTCTAGAACCTCGAGAGCAGATGGAGGTACGGCCGAGTTTGTGGCAAAAGAGGCGACTTGCCTCTTCTCCATCTTTACTTTGCGACTTTGAGAACAGACAAAGGCGGTGGAGGAACAATTGGATCTCGATCACCAAAACTTCAGCTTCAACGGGACCACCTCCATGCAAGAATTTAGGCTCTGGTTTCCTCGGAAGCAAAGGCCTTTTCGACCACGTTTTCGTTGCTCTTTTGTTGCCATCAAGTGATTTGGGTTTTTGCTGCCGTCAAGCGAGAAGAGAGCTCAACGTAAATCTTGCCCTCCCTCTTTGCGGCTCTGGACGCCCTTTGACCTTTGAGCCTTTTCACCATGCGGTTATGTTGCCACCGACGTATGTGCAGAGATATGGGCTTTCTTGACCGCTCAGGATGGCCACGGGTTGTGTCTTATCTGCTCTTTAACCAATCAGTGGCTCTGTTGCTAGCATAGCATGGTCGAGCCCGTTGCTATAGGCTTTTTTGAGCCGCATCTCTACCTCTGTGTTTAGCTGAGAGACTCAACCACGCAGACCAGTTCTCAACCCAACCGCTTTGTGGTCCGCACCCCATGGGTGAGATGCGGTAACGTGTGTCTAGTCTCGATTCGGAGCAGCCGTCCTATTGTTCGCCCTTCGCTACCGATTGGAGATCGATGATTTGTATAAGAGCAGTGATCTTCCCCTCTGCCCCTCTTGGTTTGTTGACGTTGTGCTCTCAGAAAGGTCCATTTTTTTCTTTGACATCGTGGTCCACATTTTCTCTCTCCGGGGTTTATCAGTAACAGTCTCGCTGCCTCCCCACTACTCGTCTTCCTTTCAAAAAGATGTCTGCTCCTTCTGCTTCCCTCAGGGCCCCTCGCCCCACCATGCCTGCCAGCACTCCTAGCAGTGCTGCGCTCAACACCAAGCGCAAGATCGTCTGCTTCTCGGGTAGGTTGTTCTCTATGCCGGGGGGAGTGTGTCTTACTGACTCAATTGCTCTTNCAGACTTCGATGGCACAATCTTTATGCAAGACACAGGTCACATCCTCTTCAACGCCTTTGGCTGCGGTACCGAACAACGCGAGATCCTCGACCAGCAGATCAAGTCTGGAGAGCGTTCCTTCCGCGACGTCTCCGAAGAGATGTGGGGCTCATTGAACGTTCCCTTTGCCGACGGCTTCGAGGCCATGAAGGATGGTCTGGACATCGACCCCGAGTTCAAGAACTTCCACGAGTTCTGCTTGAACAACAAGATTCCTTTCAACGTCATCTCTGCTGGTCTGAAGCCTGTCCTTCGCAGTGTCCTTGACCATTTCTTGGGAGAGGAGGCTGCTGCCAACATCGATATTGTCGCCAACGAGGCTGATATCTCGGAAGACGGCAGTTCGTGGAAGGTCAAGTGGCGCCACGACAATGAGCTCGGCCACGACAAGGAAGCCTCCATCAATGAGTACAAGGATGCCGCACAACTAGAGTCTGAAGACGGCACCATCCCCATGATCATTTTCATCGGTGATGGTGTCTCTGACTTACCCGCCGCTCGCCACTCGGACGTCCTCTTCGCCCGCCGCGGTCTCCGTCTCGAGGAATACTGCATCGAGAACAAGATTGCCTACATCCCCTTCGACACTTTTGCCGATATCCAGAAGGAGGTCATCAAGATTGCAGAGATCGACGACAAGAAGACAAAGGGCAAGGGCTTGCCCATCAACTTCAACCCTCGCGCAAACATGTGGCGTCGTGTCAGCTCCAAGAAGGCCATTCCTACTTTTGCTGCCATGACACCGCGCGACGAGCGCATGTTCATCTGGCCCGAGACTTTCTCTGAGGTCAAGGCCACCGAGGTCAAGGCTTAGATGTGGTGATGTCTAGTTTGAGGCTCGCGTCTCTGCTTTTTATGATTATTTTGCTGCGATGAAATATTTGCATTGTTATGGGTGAGAGGTGTTCAAGCATCTCTTGGGATAATATTAGTGCCCTGGGGTACTCTGGCAGGAACGGCGTTTTTCTTCTCTCTTTCTTCTTATATCATGGACGACGATTCTAGGTTACCTTTATCATATATGCCTACATACACACATCAGAACCAACCATAATCAGTCCATCGGTGTGTTTACTGAAAGATTGCTACAGTTGATTGTGCAGCTGTTGTTCAAACTTGTGCAACCGGCTGACGTATGCAGTCGCGTAGAGTTTCAGCCTTTCGCAAGACAGCCGAGACGGAGCGCGCGGAAGCAGAAAGACTTCAGGGCCAGGCCACGACAGCAACGAGGGGCAGTGGTTCGCGTGGCTGTCAATAGCAACACTGGCGACAGGCAGTACTGTACAACAAAGGACTTGAAGCTGCTGCAGGCCAGAAAGGATCGAGTGGAGCTCGACGACATTGATTGTCACTTAATTCCTATTCGATGCTAGGCAGCGGAGCTCGAAACATGTCGTCGATGTTGATTTAATCTCGCAAGTCGCAAGACACGGCCGCCTGTTCCCCCGCAGCTGCTCGCATCCAACGCTCGTATTTATAGAGAGAAGCTAAACGGGCATTTCATCATCTCCACTCTGTCACAAAGGACGTTGTTGCTGACCACTGCAACTTCTCCTTTGCCTGCCCAAACCTCATCATTGCCACGTGCAGACGCTGCGCTGGCCGCAACATAGTCCACACATTACTCCGTCACAATGCCTCGACCTCGACTGTCGCCGCATCTGTCGCTACATCGCTTCAAGAGCACCACCTCGGTCAAGTCGACGACCGACAGCCAGACCAACAGTAGGAATGTTAGCCCTAGGAGGAAGGCTGAAGAGCAGGGTGACCACAAGGGGCTCAATCTGGTCCTAAGAGTCCAGGTGCTCGAGGTATGCATGGCCACTCGATCTTCCCCCCTGATCAAGCCGAACTGACCCATCGTAACCAGGNGCCGAAACCTCGCTCCCAAAGACAAGAATGGCACCAGCGATCCCGTAAGCAGCTGCCCCGTCCCCGTCTTCGCAGGACTCGCCACTGACTGCCACTGCAGTNACCTAGTCATCACCTTGGGAGACGCGCGCGAGGCCACGTCCGTAGTCGACAAGACATTGAACCCAAAATGGAACCAGACCTTCGACCTCCCCATCTCGGGTGTCTCGAGTCTGCTGCTCGAGGCTGTGTGCTGGGACAAGGACCGCTTTAGCAAAGACTACATGGGCGAGTTCGATGTTGCTCTCGAAGATATCTTTGCAAATGGACAGACCAACCAGGAGGCAAGTGCTGCCTCCGACTCAACTCTCAGAAGCTCAGCTAACACCCTACACAGCNCCAAGTGGTACAAGCTCGAATCTAGAAAGTCGGGCCGCAAGAAGAGCCATGCTTCTGGCGAAGTCCTCTTGAAGGTCTCCGTGTTCGATCCCATCAACCCCAACGCCACTGCCCAGCAGACCCTCCAAAAGTTCTATGGTGTTGTTGCCCTTGAAGATCCCGCCGAAGGAGACGAGGATCTTGACGAGCTTACCCGAGCAGGAGAATCCGCCGACGAGGACGAAGACGATGATGAAGACGATTCCGGCAACAGCCCCGAACAATCAGAGAAGAGAAAAAAGAGACACAGACTTGCCCGCTTGAAGCGCAAGACCAAGCTGAAGGCCTACGAATTCAATGGTATGAGTGCTGTTGCTGGTGTTCTCTTTGTCGAGATCCAGAAGGTGACAGACCTGCCTCCTGAACGCAACATGACACGAACTTCCTTCGACATGGACCCTTTCGTTGTCAGCTCTTTGGGCAAGAAGACGTACAGAACTCGCGTCATCAGGCACAACCTCAATCCAGTCTTTGAGGAGAAGCTCGTCTTTCAGGTCTTGCGACACGAGGTCAACTACATGCTCAATCTGACTGTCATTGACAGAGACAAGCTTTCTGGAAACGATTTCGTTGGTGCTGCCACTTTCTCTCTTGAAAGAGCTAGAGCTGTTCAACCAGAGGCAGATCCGGAAACTGGTCTTTACAACTGCCCTGACACACCGGACGCTGGGGCCACGCCTGGCTCTGAATATAGGCGTTCTCGCTTCCGCTTGAACTCCTCGCGATCGCAGTCAAGCCAGACACTTAGTAGGTCGTCTCGCAATGCCTCGGCCAAGGACCTCCACCGGCTCTCTAGGACGTCTTCGAATACTAGTGTGAACCACAGACCTTCGTTACGGAAGGAGGACTCGGGCGACTCTCTGAACGCTGTCGACTCGCGAGAAGATATTCCATCACCAATGACCAGCAATCCATACATGACTGACGCTTCTGGTATTCCTCAGGTGAATGTCGACCATGATGGTGTCGAAGACCCGGATCTCAGATACTACGCCATCCCTTTGCAGCTGAAGAACAAGGACAGATGGGAAGACAAGCACAACCCTATTGTTCACATCAAAGTCAAATACCTGCCATACCAAGCCCTTCGTCAACAGTTCTGGCGTGCTATGTTGAAGCACTATGACGCAGACGACACTGGAAATCTTGACAAGGTTGAGATTACTACCATGCTTGATACTCTGGGTTCCACTCTACACGAGAATACTATCAATTCCTGGTTCAAGCGCTTTGCTGCTGAGAATGGTGGAGAAGAAGTCTTGACCATGGATCAGGCAGTAATCTGTCTTGAGGATCAGCTTACCAAATATCAGCAGAAGAAGGCAACTCTTACGGACACTATCCAGGGAAAGCTTCACATCTCGGAGACCAAGACTTCAAAGTTGACATCCGCTGACGGATCAAAATCCTCTGACAGCCTTGTACAATCTGAAGACAGCTCAAGCCAAGGAACACCTCTGAACAATCGCTCACAAACCTCAGTGATCCCGGCACTCGAAGTTCAGGACCTGTCAGCCGATGGGGAGGAAGGAGGTGCTTTGCCGGACGACGACCTTGCGGATGAGGAGAGGGGTGAGGAGCATGTCGTGGAGATCAAGGAGTGTCCCATCTGCCATCAACCTCGTCTGGACAAGAAGAACACCGAGGCCGATATTATCACGCATGTAGCCACTTGTGCCTCACAAGACTGGCGTGCTGTCAATAATATTGTCATGGGCGGTTTCGTCACCAGCAGCCAAGCACAGCGAAAGTGGTACAGCAAGGTCATCACCAAGATTGGTTATGGCGGTTACAAGATTGGAGCCAACAGTGCCAACATCCTCGTTCAAGATCGTATCACTGGACAGATCAACGAGGAGAGGATGAGCGTGTACGTCAGACTGGGTATTCGACTGCTCTACAAAGGCCTCAAGAGCAGGGATATGGAGAAGAAGAGGATCCGCAAGCTTCTCCGATCTCTATCATTCAAGCAGGGCCGCAAGTACGACGATCCCGCTTCAGCATCACAAGTTCCTGGCTTCATCAACTTCCATCAATTGGATATGTCCGAGGTTCTCTTGAAAACGTCTGATTTCAAGAGTTTCAACGAATTCTTCTACCGCAAGCTGAAGCCAGATGCTAGACCTTGCTCAGCTGCAGACAGACCGGAAATTGTCGTTTCGCCAGCAGACTGCCGGACAGTCGTGTTCAATCAAATCAGCGAAGCTCAACGTGTATGGGTCAAGGGACGAGAGTTCTCAGTGGAACGACTCTTGGGTAACGCATATCCCGAAGACGCCAAGAGGTACGCCGGCGGCGCTATGGGTATTTTCCGTCTGGCACCACAAGACTACCATCGTTTCCACATTCCAGTGGACGGTACAATGCTCGAGCCCAAGCTCATCGAGGGCGAGTACTATACAGTCAACCCTATGGCTATCCGCAGTGCGCTTGACGTGTATGGTGAGAACGTCAGAGTTGTGGTGCCGATTGACAGCCCCAAGCACGGACGTGTGATGGTCATCTGTGTTGGAGCTATGATGGTTGGCAGTACAGTCATCACGCGAAAGGCAGGAGAGAAAGTGAGCCGTGCGGAAGAGTTGGGATACTTCAAGTTCGGTGGCAGTACGTTGTTGCTGCTATTTGAGCCTGGGAAGATGTTGTTTGATGACGACTTGGTCGACAATTCTAACGGAGCGTTGGAGACACTGGTAAGCTGGGAGGACAGAGCAGAGGACTTCTGAATACGGTGCTAACATATATGACTAGNNGTTCGTGTTGGCATGTCGATTGGACACAGTCCCGACGAGGCACCTCACATGCCTGACATGCGCAAAGAAAACCCCAGCATGGCTGAGAAGCAAGATGCCAAACGCAGGATCGAAGGCAGTTTTGCACCCAGCACAAGGGCGATGCCTGGCTTGCCATCTGCAGCCAACATGCAGTAGAAGGTTAAAGGTGGACAGTGGGATGGCAGTACTCGTTGTAAATAGAAGCGACAGGAAAGAATAGCAGATACCTAGACCGATAACTGAGAGCATCTTGGACATTATTACAATGACTTTGGATCAATGCACGTGATTGAGATAGTCAGATGGTCATAGCGCGAGGGGACGAGTGAGGCTTGTCTTGGCGTGTCGGGGCAAGTTTGGTGTGTTTACATTTGGAAGCCGGGTCGGGTCGCTGGGGCTTTCTCGATCAATACAAAGCACAAGAAGCAACGACGACCATCATCCACATCCCCAGCAACGCGCATACCTTAATCGATCGCTGCCATTCTCAACACACGACTATCGATTTTCGACCGTCATAGAACGACAGGCGATGCGCAGTCGCGCCACTTGACCTACACTCCAAACCACGACGAGCTCTCAATGACGGCCGCCATTGTCACGCGCACCCCTCTACACACCCTTAGCATGACCGGCGCACAAACAAACGGAATCAAGAGAAAAAGTCTGCGGCACCACAACGACCACCCGGACGAGGATGCCCCGCCAAACAAGAAGCCAAAGGCGACAAACACCACCACATCCTCGAGGAACGCGTCGCAAAGCACGGTAAAGAAGGCCAAGAAGTGTGAGTTTGGAATCTCTGCACACGCCGACGCGCAACTGATGCGTTTGCGACCAGCCTATGACAGCGACGACGATGGTTTTGTCTTTACGCGCCTTCGTCCCAAGAAGGCCAAAACAAAGACGCCAGATGTAGTCCCCGAGTCCGAAACCGCAGCTGGAGCTTCCGCGACTGCCCCCGAGGTACAGTCTGTACAACAACCGCAGCCGCCAGTAGACGACCACGCGCCGATAGAAGCTACTCAAATGCCGAGGAAGAAGCCCAGAAAGACGCTACCTACGAGTCCCGAACCCACCCCGCGACGACGTTCCAAGCGCTTGTCTGGTAATAGCCCTGTACACGACCAAGCACCGGCAACATCGAAATCGGTTATCGAGTCGCAATCACAACAGAGGAACCCCGCCACACCACCTCCTGCACCTGCGGATCAGGAAAATGTCGCGCCGGCAGCGGATGGCAGTCCTGCTCTGGACCAGGGTGAATTGACAATACACAAAAAGCGCGGTCCAGCAAAGATTCCGCTACCGTTTGGAGAGACGCCTGTGCTGCGTCGCAACAAGGAAATGCGCAAATTAAGTGCTGAGAAGTCGAGGAGAAGCTCGTCAGGAATGAGAGGACGGAGGGCTTCGTCTTTGATCGAGGCAGGCAGCTCGCGTGGTACGTGGATTTTCTTTTTCCCCTCTTTCACGAGTACATGCACAGTCTTGCTTTTCTTGTTCTTCGCGTCTTTCAGTCTTGGGTTGGCTTCATCCCCTGACATTGTGTTTTGCGCGCGCATTGCAGCAGGCTCCGAATTCAACATCGAAGCTCTGAGACTTGACGAATCCGACTCCAACCATGCGGATTTCGACTTGCGGAATGAACGGAACAGGAGCTACCAACAAGACGACGAATATCGCATACCGAAGATCGAAAAAGCTGACTGGGATTCCGTGGATACAGCCGTGCCACATAACCAGGTCGAAACGAACGAGTTCTACAAACACATTTCCCAGGATCTGGTCGAGCCGAAACGCATGAGACAATTACTCTTGTGGTGCGGCCATCGCGCGTTGCCGGAGAAGAGTGGCGGTGGTCAAATGGATGCGGCTGAGACGGCCGCGATGCATGCGGGTATGTTGGTGTCAAGAATAAAAAGCAAGCGTGTGCTAATACTCGTTTTGTAGCAAGAGTCATTCAGGAGGAACTGCTCAACGAATTCAGCTCGCGGAACAATCTGAGTTACTGGTACGACAGGGAAGATACAACGCCGACTGCGCTGGTCAAGAAGCCAAATCCGAGGAACATACAGGATGCCGAGAAATTGCTCCAGTTGGAGGCAGAACTTGCACGGTATGTATTTCCACTTTCCAACATTCTTGCCTTACGAGCAATGGAGCTGACTAGACTTTGAAGACTACAAGAGGAGAAACGAGCATGGGACGACCTCCTTTCCTCGACAACACCACCAAACTCCTTAACAGAAACCGTGGACGGCGAAACATCATCACAGCCTCAACTCGACATATCACCACACGCCATTAATCCCGCCCTCCTCGACCCCTCACAAGCCGACCTCCTTCAAGCCCTTCTCTCAGGCATCTCCCTCAATACGAACTCCTCCGAACCATCCACCTCTGCTCAAGCTTCGACATTAGAGACTACAAAAGCACGCATCGGCACAATAGCTTCGACGCTAGAATTCAAGATCGACAAACTGGCAGATGGAGCGCATAAACTCGAACAATACAGAGCTGGTGCGCAGAGATTAGCAGATCATGTCTTGGCTGTTGGAGCGGAGAAGCTGGAAGAGAGGAATAAGAGTGTCAGAGAAAAGACGAGCAATGGATCGTCTGGGCAAGTTGACGCGCTAGACAGGTTGAGAGGATTGAGTCGGGTGTTGAACAAGCGTGGTTGAGGGATTGATATCATGAATTGCAATGAGCGGCGGCGATTGTAGGAGTTTTCTGTGGGAGCTGCGTCGAGGCAATCGAGTAGCATTGCACTTTTCTTATGGACAGGGCCTCTTTTTTTGTGTCTTTCTTCTCTTTTTTTTTCCAATTGTGGGTAGGGGTAACACCCTGTCTATGGTATTTCTTCACGGGTATCAGTCGAAAAGACCGTGCAGCCCTTTGGTTTTACCATTTTATTGTTGACATGAGTATGGCTGTGTTCATATCTGATTCTTGTGCTTCCTGGTATCACCGTATTGCTGTTGTTGTCGCCAATCGAGGATAAATTAGTTCTCGAGTGACCATTACCAAAACTCAGTGGAGTATTTGATTCGTCTTCGCGACAGTGTTGTCGAATTTAATTGCATTACTTGTAGCAAAACATTGTACAATGATATCATGTTCATACCTAATAACACAATGTAATTTCTGCACATATACTGCGAAGTCGTGATGGAGAGGCTGTCTAATTTTGTCATGGGTCGATGATGGTGCGAATCTATACCGATATCAATGACGCGTTTGCCAGCCTTCTATTTTCAGCACCTTCATCACTGCATCGGCTAGGTTACCTCGAACATTGTGCGACGTCTCTGCCTCCGTCTTTTCTGTTCCCAAGTTCCTGTCACAATGAAGCCTAGAGTAGCTGTGCCGCAAACCTGCAGCCCAGACTTCACTAGAACTACATACTCCACGAGCGAATAGATCACGTCTCGCGAGCCCAGAGATCCCCCCATATGGCTTGATTATCATATCATGCTTCGACCGCGACTCGTCCCTACCACGACCTTGGTCCGAGTTTTCGCTCGACTGTTCTCGGATCGCCGCGATCGCAAATATGCTAGCAAGCCGACACTATTCAAAAGAGCTCTGACAGGAAAGTTCAAAGTGTCCACTGCTCAAGATGCTGAGGCCTTTCTATCAACAACTCTGAATCAGAGAGATAGCCCAATTGGCGTTGTCGAGGAAATACTTGCCAGCAAAAACGGTTTGAAGTGTCTACATGACGCTTTTAACATCGACGATACACCGGAGTATATCGATGCAGTTCTTCAGCCTGTGTTATCTTGGCTTCAGTATCCGGCTCTTGAGTCTGCGAGCAATGGGTACTATCTGAGACGTACTTTGCAGGCATTGGTCAATCCACCAGGCTCGAAGTTTTGGACAGGCTATCATTCTCATGTCAAGTATGAGCTTGTTGATCAGAGATCGACACAATGCTTCGCATGGTTGGTTTTACAATTACTTATCAACACGCGCAATGTGCGACCCTATGATCTGATGATCGCCAAGGATCCTCTGGTACAACGTGTACTGGCAGATTCGGCGTACGGTGACACTCGCCGCCTTGGCCAAAGGATACAGCGGGTATACGCTCTACATCAGACCGCAAACTCGCGAAGCAATCGAGAAGTCTTTCAGCCACAGCACAACAACGACTTTCAGAACTTCAAAGACATTGGTATTTTTCCTACCACGCAAGAAGTGGTTTCGGATGACAAGCCTCGGATCTGGCGTGCTGCAGAAGTGTTCGAGCAACCTGATCCTATCAGAAGACTTTACGTGTATCTGGCGAATCTGTTTCGGCTTTACAGACAAGACTGGCTCGAGGAGATCAAAGAACAAGTCCAGATCGCTCTGGGAAAGGAAAACGAAGGTCTTCGTACCGTTACAACACTCAAAGTGAGCTTGACCGGACTTTCATGTAGCGACATATCCAGGAGACATGGACAGCATCCTTGGTCATTGAAACTGGAATGCTCAGAGCCTTTGCCCGAACTCAAGGACCTTGATCGAGAGGAACGCAAAGCTTTCGTCAAAGACGATACCGATTTCATGCCAGATGGAGCTCTTGGCTTTGTGGTTGCTGATGGCGAGCCGGTGGCTATTGTCAAGATCTTACGCGATGAAGCATTACTCGCCAAATCAGTCATTTGTATCCAAATCCCTCATCGCGAGCTGATACCGCAAGCGATGCTCAGCATAATGAATGCGGCATCTCTGGAGCTGGTACTTCTGAATACTGCTGGATATGCTTATGAACCTGTTCTTGGTCGTTTGCAGAATACTACCGAGATTCCTTTTGAGAATGAATTGTTGTTTTGGGACGACTCACAAACAGTCAAAGATTCAGAGGCCTATCGCAATAGTAAGACGATCAAGGATATTGTAAAACAACTCGAGGAGAAGCCGGAGTTGAACTTGCAAGATATTATGAAGTTGAAAGGTTCTGTCGTTCTGGACTCCTCACAAGCGACTTCATTGACAGCTGCTCTGAAACAAAGGTTGAGTCTCGTACAAGGACCGCCTGGTACTGGCAAATCATTCATCGGAGCTCTTGCAGCAAAAGTCCTGCACGACCATAGCAACGAAAAAATCCTGGTCGTCTGTCACACAAATCAGGCTCTAGATCAATTTGTCCAAGACATTCGCAAAGTTGGCGTCAAGGACTCGGAGATTGTCAGACTGGGCGGAGTGGAGCGAACTGATCCTGCTAACCACTCTCTGTTACTCTATTCACTGAGAGTTGATAGCACGCACCACTCTAGCTGGGATACGAGATCGTTTGTCAAAGACATTGAGCGTCAGGTCTTTGATGAGTCTCGGCGACTTGAAGACCTTTATCATGGCTTGACATCGCTGGACAGGCTTCGTAATCATCTGGATGAGCTAGCCATGAAAGGAGATCCGAGATACAGTCAAGCTTTTGAGATCAGTCTTGAGCCCAATGGCACTATACGTGTCGCAGAGGATGGCACAGTGGCTGATAGACATTACTTGCTTTCACGTTGGATCGATGGCAAAGACCCTGGCATCTTCCCAGAGAAGAACAAGTATACCGATGTCTGGAGTCTCTCGCCCCAACAAAGGAAAGAGCTATGCAACGAGTGGTGGTCAAACATCAGCCAGAAAGGACTTGCAGCTTTCTTGGAGATAGCAGAAAACCATGATGATCTATTGAGCCAAGCTCGCAACGCAAACGGCCAGGTAACCGAACAAATCATCCACAGCAAAAGAATCATCGCCTGCACAACCTCGGGAGCAGCAAAATACCCACAAGTACTCTCTTCAGCTCCCGGAATCATCATCGTCGAAGAAGCCGGCCAAGTCCTCGAAAGCCACATCATAACCGCACTAAACCCCACCGCCAAACAACTAATCATGATCGGCGATCACAAACAATTGCGTCCCTTTGTAAACTACGAATTAAGTGTTGAAAAAGGAACTGGATATGACCTCAATCGCTCAATGTTTGAGCGATTGGTGTTGAGAGGGTATCCGCATCAAGTTCTTGCCCAGCAACATCGTATGAGACCCGAGATCTCGGATCTGGTCAGGCAACTTACTTATCCTGATCTCATTGACGCACCCAAAACACAGCAGCGTCCGAACTTGCGAGGGTTTTCTGGTAATCTCATCTTTGTCAATCATGATCAATACGAGGATACGGAATCTGAAGATCCTGAGACGGTCAATGTAAGGACGTCCAAGCGGAATACTTTTGAGGCTGAGATGGCATTCAAGACTGTCAAGTATTTGTTGCAGCAAAAGTATGATGCTAGCAGTATTGTGGTGTTGACGCCATATCTCGGACAGTTGAAAAAGTTGCAAGAGGTGTTCGGGAGGGAGGTCGAGACTGTCTTGAGTGATTTTGACATCAAGAATATGGAGAAGAATGGGTTGATCGAGGATGCATCCGAAGTCAAGCGTACTCATGAGGAGGACGTCAATGACGTTGCATCTGTAGCTCCTGGTACAGACATGTCTGCATCGACAACGACACCCTCCGCTGAAATTCAAACCACTGCATCAGTCACCAAGCCAGCACCAACAACCAATATCTCTACCAGACCAAAACCATCCATACCACGACCAAAGATCCAAATCTCCACCATCGGTAAGCTTCACCCACACATCCCACGCTCCAAATAAACCGCTAAACCCAATCCCACCACANAAGACAACTACCAAGGCCAAGAAAGCGACATCGTCATCACCTCTCTAACCAGATCCAACCCCGAAAACGACATTGGCTTCCTCTCTTCCCCCGAACGCCTCAATGTGCTTCTCTCCCGCGCCCGAAACGCTTTGATCCTCATCGGCAATGCTTCGACGTTCAAATCTGCACACACGGGTAAAGAATTGTGGACAAAATTCTTTTCTTTGATGGAGGACAAGGCGCGTTTGTATCAAGGTGTTCCTGTTAGATGTGAGAGGCATCCGAGCAATACGGCAGTACTGAGTACCCCGCAAGCATTTGAGGAACAGTGTCCGAATGGAGGGTGCAGAGAGGTTTGTGGTGTGGAGTTGAGGTGTGGACATGTGTGTGGCGAGATTTGTCATCACGATGATCATGAGGGCATGGTTTGCAGGGTGGTGGTTGAGGAACTGTGTAACAGAGGGACACATGTTCAGAGATTTGAATGTTGTGAGAGGTTAGAGGTCATCTCTAGACCTTGTGAGGAGTGTTTGGCTGATGACGAGGTAGAGAGGAAGAAACAGGAGGCAGAGAGTTACAGTGGTCAGGAGAAAGACTTGAGATAAGGTGAAGAGAATTACTCCAGCGAAGTGACGGAGCAGCCAGTAGCAGTCTTACGATCACTCTGATCAACACATCATGTCTTATGTAGGTAGCAAGGCACGCTCTCTTACTCGTTCCCCATCAATCAAAAAGACTTCTTTTCAAAACTTTAAACTTTGTAACTCATCTACCTCAACATGAGCCGTCAAAGAGCAAGTGGAGGCCATCAAGGAAACCATGGAGTACAAGATCAATACAGTATTCACCATAGCAATGCCTCGCCCTGAACGAGGCAGAGCAGACGGCAAGAGAGTGAGCAAGCTACCGATCAGTAAGACTCAGATCACTTTCTATAACGAAAAGACGAGCACCCTCCAGTGGTTGAAAAATGTCAATAAATAGTTGTACCAATCGCCAATGCCTAGGCCTTTGCCCCGTCAACCCCTTAACGCCTGTGTGATGCAGATTGTTGTGGGTATCGATTCTATTGCCATCTCCGACCTCTACCGCGACCGCGACCACCCGAAGGACCTGATGGGATGCCTCCTTGACCTTGCATCATGGCAATCTGTTGCTGACTGTAACCATCAAAGCCTTGGCCCTGAGATTGTTGGCCTTGCTGACCGGGTTGTTGACCTTGTTGCTGGAAGGATTGCTGTTGCTGTTGGCCGCCGTAGCCTTGATTCGATTGTTGAGGCTGCATGGATTGGCCGCCATATCCGCCTTGTCCACCGCCCATGGATGCTTGCTGGTAGTGTTGCATAAAGGTGTTGAAGTCGAGCTGACTGGGGTCGATGCCTTGACTTTGCAAGACGCTGGCAAAGGCAGCCATGTTTTCGGGATTCATGTCGGGCATGCCGGGCATTCCCATTCCAGGCATGCCCATAGCCATAGGTCCGCCCGGTGGAGCAGCCTGAGGGCCGGCAGGGGCAGCTTGGCCAGGCATAGCTCCTCCGGTCAACATCATCTCGAATTGCTTGGTCTCTTGCTTTTGATTGTTGATTGTGGAAGCCATGTTCTGCTGGCGCAAGCAGTACTGGGTCCAGGTAAACTCGTCAAAGCCATAGTTGAAGAAGTCGGTCTGGTCAGTGCCGGGCAGGCGCCAGGGTTTTGTGTGTTCGGCGAGATCGGCGTCAATGTCGACTTCGGTGATGAGCTTGCCAGCAGGGTCCCAGGATGGAGTGGCATTGACGTCTATCGACGAGGTGCGGACTTCGGGGTATTTGGAGCCGTCCCTGAGCGAGACTAGCTTCTTGTTTTGCGTTGTTGAAGGATCTGTTTTGAGAGCGGGCGTTTGCTGATTTTGCTGAGTAGGGAGCGTGTCGACAGAAGCAGTTCGCGCAGGAGGCTCAGGCTTGATGCCACGGAAGGGACGAGCTTGGNNCTGAGGGAGTGTTAGCAGGGAAGGTGGGTTGGAAGGGCAGGTGCAGGCTCACGGAGGTTCTGGAGCAGCGCCGTCCTTGTGCTCGGTGATGATATCAATGTCGCTGTCATCATCATCGTCGTCCTCGTCGTCGTCATCGTCGTCTTGATCGTCTAGGTTGAGGTCGGGTTGCTCGTTAGGGTCGTCTTGGTTTGTCGGCTGCTCGTTCTTGACGGGGGCATCGCCGTTTTGGGTGTAGAAATCGTCGTCTTCCTCTTCCATGATGATGTTTTGTGTATGCGACCGGGTTGATGTTGGAGAGTTGCGATCGGAAGCTCGAGAGGCAGAGAGACACGAGACTGGCCCGAGCTTTGATGTCTTTAACAAACTTGACCCGAGCAGCAACACGCCCAGCTCTGCGCGTCTGGAAACAATATAATATCTGTATAACCCCATCTCTACCCTCGTCGCCTTCCCGTCGCCATCTAGATCCGGCAAGCTGCATACGACTACCGACACGCGCTTGGACACAGCAAACAGCTTCACTTTCGCTTCACTGCACGCAGCCTTCACTCGCTGCCCTTCGCCATGGCATTCGGCAGATCAAACTCGCTGAGCCTGAACACTGGTGCCGCAAACTCTCTGTTGTACGTCTTTGATCCCTTCTCCTTGTGCGACAAGCCACAGTCAAGATGCGCCGACCAGCCATGACCTTCATTCCAGGCGCGCTAACCATTGCTCCTCCTCCTCCTTGCAGCAGCGGAACCAGTGCAACCTCAAACACACAGCACGCCCAACCCACCTCGACTGGCTTGTTCGGCGCCGCTCCAGCTTCTTCGCAACCACAGCAATCTGCCAGCCTCTTTGGCTCTTCGACCACAACATCACAACCACAACAGTCCGGAGGTCTCTTTGGGGCCGCTCCTGCTGCTCAACCCGCTAAACCCACTCTGAGTCTCTTCGGCAACAACTCAGCCGCTGCCTCGAATTCTCAGCCGCAGCAACAACAGTCGGGAGGCCTTTTTGGGAACAACTCGGCCACAAACACCCAACCACAACAGCAACAATCTTCAGGTCTTTTTGGGAATGCAACTGCAAACAACAACAACAACACATCGAACTCCGGAGCCATGTTTGGAAGCTCTGCGGCGCAACCTGCCCAGAACAAGCCCAGTCTGTTCGGCGCTCCTAATCCGGCTCCAAGTCTCTTGTGCGTTCACCTCCTCAATCTATTGAACCCAGCCATTCGCTAACATGTAGCTTCCAGTGGAGGCAGCACCACAAACAACAACTTTGGCTCATCTCTCCTGAATCCTATCGGCAACTCAAATGGCAGAACTATGGCAGGCAGCCTGACCATGGGCCAAGGCAACACCCAAGCAACCACACAACCCGGTGTCAAGATTGACATGTCGAACCTGCGCCCGACCACCCGCTTCAGCGACCTGCACGACGACCTCAAGAAACAAATCGAACAAATCGACGCCTTCATCAGACAACAAGAATCTTTCGCTACTCAATGCGAAAGCATGATCGGCCGTCATGCCACTGACGTTGAGAGCATCAAGCCCGACGTCGACCTCATCCAGAACAAGATCGAGACTGTCGAACTTGCTCTCGAAAACGACGGTGCTGCCATCAACAATGCAAAGGAGCTTGTTCAAAGAGACGCCAGCGACCTTATTAGGGTTGCCCGCATGGCCGAGAACCTGCAGCTCCCTCAGCAATACCACTATGGAAGAAGCAGCAGGCCTTCAACCACCGACGACGAATTCGACATTGATCTTGTTGGCTACTTTGGCAAGCAAGCCGAAGTCATGCAAAAGACACTCGACAGCTACACTTCACACCTCGCAGAAATCGAAGCACACCTTCGCGTCGTCGAGGGAAGCACAGTCCAGCAAGCACATCAACTCGCTGCTCAAAGAGCAGGCGGTCGCGCCGGAAACAGTGCAGACAACGTCCGAGAATTAGCAGAGACTCTTCGCGGCTTCGAGAGTGGAATCCTGGGTGCCGCAGGTTTGGTCGGTTCCTGCAGGGAGGGTGTGAATGAGTTGATTCTTGGCAAGATCGGCGGAGATCCTCGAGAGAGTGTCGGTTACGGTGGAAGAAGATCTGTCAGATTCTAAGCAGTCTCGAGAATCTACCTTCAGGAGCTGCACGAACAGCCCTTGCTCTTCGATCCATCGCTCGTCAACACAAGTTGCACGCTTATCGTGCTGAAGCAGCTTTCACAGAAGCTTTGTCAAAATGATCACGTACACAGCTGCCACATGAAACCAGACTGAAAAGCATCGAAGCTCGAGAAGGAGACAAACAGGCACGCGATCAACCCTCAAAATTGTGCCATCGTCCAGAACCCCGGATTTGGCGAGCAATGACCACCAACCTGGTTCACTACCTCCCTCTTTCGATCTTCGCATCGTGTTTCGAGAAGTGATATCGATTGTCGGTGAGAGTTGTGTATCGAATCCAAATCACGACAAGTTCAAAACGTGTCAGAAAACAGGCGTTTCCGTGTGTGAGTGGTCAATAATGTCAGTGAGACGCGGAAACGGAAGCACGAAAGCACGGGTCTCTATAAACGAGCACGCCATCTCCTTCTCTGTCTCTTTTGCCTCATGGAAGAAGGCTCGAAATATCTGTCATCGTCTCATCGAGATGCCGGCAAGTACCTAGATGGTTTGTTTTTCCCCGATACGTGCATGTCTTGCGGAGGCCCGTGGGAAAATCATCATATCGGGATTGCGGTTCTTTTTGGCGTCTTCTCCCCACGGACTCTCATCACATCCCCATGTCATCACGCAATACCTCATGGACAATGGCATCTTCTCGAGTTGGACATGGAAGAGTCATAGTATCTGAAGTAGGTATATAAGTTACTTCCCTTATCAAACCCACCAAAATCTACTTTCCGTTCCATCATTTTTCCCAACCTCTCATCTCTCGATATACACGTAGACCATGGCACCATATCTGCAAGAACAAACCATACCAGCAAGCCCAGACACGGTCAACGTCAAGACATCTACAACCACCAAGCCCATCACCTACGAACCCGGTCGAACGATTGCAGAGACCCACGACGACGACTACCCCTACACCCACCTCCTACCCACCTTCCCAGACCTGAAATGGGATCCCCTGACCAAAGTCCCTCACCACGACAAAGGCCTCCTCGGCAGCCCAACCTTCTCCTCTCTCCTCTCCACCGCAACCTCCATCCGCGACTACAACCCCAAACTCGGCACCGAAGTCGGCGGCATCGATCTCGCTTCCCTTGACGACGCACAAAAAAACGACATCGCTAGATTGATAGCGACACGAGGTGTGGTGTTTTTCCGCAATCAGAAAAACTTTACGGTGGAAAAGCAAAGGGAATTGGGACAGTATTTTGGTACACTGCATAGACATGCTACTACCAGTGTGCCGAAGCAAAAGGGATTGGAAGATGTACACGTGGTGTTTGCGGAAGGAGCAAAGGGAGCGAGAAACAATGTGTTTTCACCAAGTTTCTTGTGGCATAGTGATGTAAGTGCTTTTTTTTTCTTTCTTTCTATTTTCTCTCCCTTACCTCGAGGCATGGAAAAGATGAGAAAGTGAACTAACAAAGAGATTGCTCCAGNNGTGACCTACGAACTCCAACCCCCTTCCTACACATCTCTGAAACTGCTCTCCGGGCCTCCCCAAGGTGGTGGCGGCACAACACTCTGGTCCTCGCAGTATGCAGCCTACGACGCTCTATCCACCCCCATGCAAATCTACCTCTCCTCTCTCTCAGCAATCCACTCTGCAGACATGCAAGCCGCAGACTCGATCCGTGGAAACAGACCGGTGCGTCGCGACCCCATCACCACCATTCACCCTTTGATCCGTGTAAACCCCGTCACGGGCTGGAAGAGTTTGTTCTACAATCCGGGCTTCGTGACCGGTATCGTGGGGATTCCGAGGTTGGAGGCCGAGTGTATCATCAAGTATCTGAATGAGCTTGTTGCGACGACCAACGAGATTCATGTGAGCTTTGATTGGGGAAAAGAGGATGTTGCGTTTTGGGATAACAGGGTTTGCGTAAGTTTCTTTTTTTTCTTTTTCTTTCTTAACTTCGTCTTCCAGTCTCCTCGAGGATTAGTGTGCTGATCAAGTGAACAGAACCACTCTGCAACATATGGCTTTGCTCCTCACCGTAGACATGCGGTTAGAGTGGCTACTCATGGCGAGAGACCTTATTGCTCTGCAGAAGGAAGGTCTCAAGAAGAAGAGTTGAACGAGAGGTATGCGATTCCGGCTGGCAACAAGGATTCCAGTGGTGTGGGTAACTATAACGATTGATGGCGCTGGCTGTACTCGAAAGCGAAATGGAAGATAGAGGAGAGCACAACGAATCTGATGAATTGGCTATTGAGTTATGCATACTTGCTCGAGTGTTGTCACAAGTCTGTCTTCAGTCTTTTCTTCGAGTTTCTGCATTTGCTCCTTGACTTCCTTGAGGGTGGTGCGTACGGCCAAGTCGACGGCGTCGCTCATGATTTTATCCATGCTTATTGGCAGTTTAGCGAGTGCACATCGTGGTCCGGATTCGATGTCCTACCTGACGACAAGAGCGATGGATACTGTGTGTTGTACTATGGTAGGCGTGCATGATGGCTAACAAGTTTGAAAAAGACGAGTTCAATGGCAGAACGAGTTTGAGACAAGACGAATTCGGATGGTAGGTGAATTTCAAGATGAGTGAGTTCGAGGAGAGACAAGGTTTCAAGTTTCGATGTTTGGTGAAGGAGCATTTGCGGAAGCAGGGAGAGAGAAGGCGTGACAGAGCGCAACTTTCCCCAAGAACCGACATATCGACCACAAGAGTGATACGGGCGACGACACTCGCTCTTTCCTCACTTCCCTCGAGATTTTGCAGGTAACATGTGCTTCGAATAATGGCTCTGTCATGAGACAACACATTCAGAGAATTGATTACAAGAACTTAAAGTCATCCACTCTACCTACTCGAAAAGCAAAAGAAACACCTCATTCGGAGGAAGAAACTCTGGCGAGGAGTTTACTTGTGGTTGTTTTTCTGTCTATCTGGGTGGGAGTTTCTCTTTGGATTTTTCTAGCCCTCTTGTCTGTTGATGTCTTTTTTCTCATGTTTCTCTTTGTATTGTTTTCGCCCCTTTTCTGGCCGTAGCTCAAGTGGCGTGCCATTCAACTGGGCCACCACGTCCGATGACACCAGATTGAGGAAAAGACGGAGTGATGTATATAGGCTACACTTCGAGTCGTCACTTAGTGTCCGACTGACCTCGTTCTCATACGGCGAAGACCATTGTTTGGTTGCTGCTGTGTCTTCTCTCGTGACCTGCCCGACTGCCTAGCCTCTACGATGCTGCCTCGTCGATGCAAGATCGTGCTGTTGCCTACAGGCTGCAACATCCGGAAGCCCGTCTCTTTTGTGACTTCCTGCTCGAACGTTGTAGGCTTGGCCAGGCCGAACATCTCTTCGCCTCCTACCGCCGAGTTCTCGTCACAAATACATCCACAGCCTGCTTCACATTCTGGCTTTTCGTCTTCGGCGAGTGATTCGAGAAGAACAGCAAGACAAGAGGTATGCGCCGAGTGACCGCATGCAAGGCACACTTTGTAAAGACCCGCGATGGGTTGGTAGCAGATGGTGCAGGAGAGCATATGCGATCGTCCGCCGCACCTGACACATTTACGATCTGCGCCGCGACGCTCTGGACTTTCAACCTCACCGCAAGACATGCAGCATCGAATGATCTGCGGGCCCAAACCATCCGCCGCCTCGTCGTCTTCCTCGACCTCTCCGAGAGTGAGAGTGGATTGCGAACCGCGATCTCTAGATCTTGTTCGTGTGAGAATGTTCGACAACAGTCCATCCAGTTTGTCTACTTCGTTCTGTTGCATCTGGAGTCCCCATGCATTTAGCATGTTTGCATATACTGCTCGATACACAGCAAACTTGATTGACTGACTAGGGTCGAGGAAAGCCACGCTTGGACATCCTTCGTCATCAAACATGTCTTGATTCTTCAGACTGATCTTGACTCGAGATCGTGGTGGTAAAGACTCGTCGTCTTCTGTCGTAGACCCCTCGTAGTCGTCCCCAAAGCCTTGTGTCATGAAGCTCCTACGAATGGTCGAGTCGCTTCGAGTGAAAGGTTTGCTCTTACTCCAATTGATGCCCCCTTGTGACGGTATTGAAGAGGACAATTCCTCTCCACTAGTCCTATTACGACCAGGAGGAGAGCTTGCAAGCTGAAACGGTCGAGCTAGGACAGAGGCAGCGAATGAACTTGTCGCGCTTGGTATAGAGGTGCGATGATGTTCTGGTGATGTTGACAGGCTAGGTGCAGCACTGGAGCGGTGTGTGCTAGCTCTTGAAAGCGGCATTGGAGGAGTATTATCGTTGTAGAAGGGTGTGACGGGCTCGCTTGCGACTTGCTCTCGGATGTCGTGGAACGAATCTCCAGCAGATGTGAGCCCAGCTCCTGATCTTCGATGTTTGTTGGATAGATCGGAGACAGAGATGATCGGTTCATAGAACCCAAAAGCTGTCTCTTTGCTGGGGAAGTAGTCGAAAAGCTGGGCAGCGCAGCTCATCGATTGCGGAAAGTTCTCGTAGATAGGACGTTGGTCATCTGGAGACAAGGATTGTGCGAATATGCACGAGAGCATTCCCAGCATCTGAACGTCTGCCAGATTCTCGAAGTACGTGAACAGTGTATCGATGAGCCAAGATCCAGCGAATGGATGAGTGCCCCATTTGATCAGAGTTGTTTCTTGTGGGTAAAGTACGGCTTCCGGCTCGTCAAATGATAGGTCAAGCCCGCTGTCATTTCTCTGCGACGGCATAAGCACCCGACGCGCCAGTACTCGAATATCAGTGTCTTGTCTTGGAATGGATAGCAAGCTCAAAGGAACTTTCTTAGCCAAGATCAATCCAACAAACTCCCATATATCAGACAGCTCAGTGAAGCCCTGGTGAAGAGCGGCCCTAGCATTGTGCGAGCAGACAGTTTCTCCATCGCCGTAGATGAGGTACTCTGAAGCAAGACTCCGCTTTGATGGCAGTAAGCTTTCCATATCAAGAACTTTGATCTGCACTTTGTTTCTAGCACCGACTCCCTTCTTGTTAAGCCCATTACTTGTCGGTAGCGAGCCCTCAGTTGAATGTGTTCGGAGTCCTTTGAGTCGTGGAAATCGCAGAGAACCACCATGCCAGGCAGATGGTGGCTGGAACCGACGAAGGAACATTTCTGGCTCGTCAGATCCAGAGGATGAGCTCGAACTCGAGAACTCGGAGCTGTTATCTGAATCATCGGCCTCGAATGCTTCAGCGCTAGGCTTGCTTTTGGCCCTCGACTCTGTCTGGCCAGGATGAAGTCTTCCAAACCCTTCAAAGATCTCGCGACTTCCACGATTACGGCTCCGGTCGTCTACCGCGAATTTGTGTAGAATCGAACGAGGTTCCTCCTTTGGTGGCATGAAGCAAACGAGTTGACCGTTTGCAGCCCAGAGCGCTCCGCAAGTTCTGGGTAGAGGCACGTTGGCGTTGGTGCTAAAGATGCCTGATCCCACACTTCCTTCCATTCCTAATGTTTGCGACTCACCACCACTACCGAAGTCGCCCAATAAGCCATCTTCTTCATCGCTCGAGCTCTCAGCTTCTTCACCAGGTGCAACTACGTCATGACTGCCGAGGCCGAGCCAACTAATGCTTTCCTGGAGGTCTCTTTCGCCAGTCAGATAGGACAAGAAACCTTCGATGCACCCTCGACGATGTATCAGGTAACCGGTTGCGATCTTGCGTAGATTTCCTTCAAGCTCTGCCACTTTTCTCNNCTCTGACAAAGCAGATGCTTTGTCAAGATGGAACCAAGGAACTGACTTCTCAGGATAGTCGGCAGGGAAGTCCATACAAAGTTGCATGAAAGCTAGTTTGTCCGCAGCAGCCCATGGCCCATTGAGAGATATCTTGACATGTCTGTTAGACACGTCTGCTTCTTCGACAGTGACTCGAGTGAACTTCTCGCCCACATGGATGATCTCATCACTCAGATTCTCACGTACGCCATGAGAATCCGGATGGTGTAGATCGGCAATGATGGATAGTCTTCGTGTCGTCAACCTGTCTGGTGAGCTCGGCTTGCGTTTGCCAAATTTGACGCCCTTCATCCATGAGATGAGGCCGTTATCTTGCGGTCTGACATTGCGAGTCTCTATGCCCGAATAGGTCATCATTTGGCCACTATCAGTCCAACCGCCTGCGACAGGTATGGGTACTTTGTTCATTCCAGGGCTGGTTCCAGGATTGACCATTTCAGAACCTTGTGTAGCATTCTCAGCCGTTGTATTGAAGTATGTAGGTCGATCTCTGAAAGATTTGTAGGGGGCACCGATCCTGGTGAGCTTTGGAGGCTTATCCGTGAGCATGCCCTTGTGGAATCCGATAGACTGAAGTTGCTTGTCTCCCATGCGGTGCAAGATCAATTCGTGATCAGCTCCCCAAGAGACCAACTGGAAGTCACGGCCATCCGAGTACTCGTCAATGTTGCCACGTCCTCGCCATAGGAACTCCTTGACTTGTTCTTCATGCCCAGTAAAGCGGTAGTTCGGCTCTGTAAGAGCTGGTGTATTGGTCACGTTCGATTGCCGGCAGTCATACATGTGCAAGTCATGGTCTCTNCTCTGTGGCATAGCCAGTACTCCATCACCGAACGGAGTGTGTCTAGCTCGCCATACCGGGAATGGCGTATTGATAACTCGCTCGGGCTCTACTTCGGAAAACTCATAGTCCCAGACTTTTATGGTCCGATCAAGCGAACAAGTAACAATCTTGGTCTCCTCAGTGCGACTCCAATCGATGCCATAGATTTTTGTCGTGTGAGCTTCGATGGTCTTGAGAGGCAATGCACCTTTGCGGTCATCCCAGATATGTAGGTATTTGTCATGCGATGAGGCAACAATATGAGGGTCTCGTCGGTTCCACTTCACTTGAGTGGCACCAGCGAACCAGTCAGAAAAGCTGATGACAGGTCTTGCGGATACGCGCAAGTCCCAGCAATGTACAAAGGCATCAACTGCACAAGTGGCAAGTAGATCAGGTTGCAAGGGAGAGAAGTTGATGTCAGTGATAGCTCTCGAGTGAGCATGCAAAGTGTGCTCTATAGGAGCCTGAAGACTGGCGAGTTCGAGGTTCCACACCAAAGCTCTCTGATTCGAGGTACTGACGACCCAATAATATCGCGAAGCAAAGGGAGACCATTGTACATCAGCGGGAGTCCATGGAGTCTGATGACGAAGGTGACGCGGAGGAGAGAAGGGTGAGTCGAGGTCTATGATATGCAGACCCTGCTGGGAGGCCAGAACAACATCTCTTCCACCTGGCGAGATGGAGGCAGAACCTACAGCCTGGTTGACGTGGATTCGGAGGTCCTTGTCGAAGGTTGGACTGTCGAAGATGGAAGTGTCCTTTGCACTTCTTGTGGTAATGGTTGATGACATTGTAGAAGACATGGCTGGATTCTTTGGCGTGCTCAGCCAGGATCTTCAGGACGCCAGACGATGCGAGTTATAGACACGGGTGCTGGCATGGTCACACTGAAGACAGTGTTTCCCTGACATGAGCAAACAGCTTCATGCTGGTTGGTATGAATTGGCTGATGGATGCAGGACGAACTGTGGTTGGTGCCAAGGAGGGCTATCGCGTCCATGTCTCTGGTGGCAGCACGTGATGAACGAGTCCGAGCTTTTGGTCTGGGCTGGAGTTGGAGGGCGATGGCGGGGTCTTTGGCTGTCCATCATCATCGTCACTGCAGTCGACCTGTTTCATACAATTTCACTCCACTTTGGTCAGCATAGCCCGCCCAGTCCACCGCACCCAACACCGCCCAACACATTGCCGAGAGCAAGCACATCTTCAGCATGGCTCTTCCCAAGCGTATCATCAAGGAGACGGAGCGTCTCATGGCCGAGCCGTAAGTCGTACCGTTCTAGACAATCGCAGCCTTGTCCTGACAGCGAGCGACAGTGNTGCCTGGCATCGAGGCCATCCCCCACGAGGACAACTTGCGCTACTTCGATGTCAAGATTCACGGCCCTTCACAATCTCCCTACGAAGGTATTCCATCCTAGCCGAAGCCTGCGATACACAAGCCTTCTGACACACCAGCCANNGGCGGAGTCTTCAAGCTCGAACTGTTCCTGCCCGACGACTACCCCATGACTCCTCCCAAGATCCGCTTCCTCACCAAGATCTATCACCCCAACATCGACCGTCTCGGTAGAATCTGCCTGGACGTTTTGAAGAGTAGGACCATGGCCGTCCCCAACAACATCTCACACGCTAACCATCCTAGGCNNAACTGGTCGCCTGCTCTGCAAATCCGTACTATCCTGCTCTCCATCCAGGCTCTGCTCGGCGCGCCCAACCCTGATGACCCGCTTGCCAACGATGTCGCCCAAAGATGGAAGAGGNACCAGAACGCTGCCATCCAGACTGCTAGAGAGTGGACCCAGCAATATGCTAAGCCTTGATTGCTAATCCATCAATCTTTCTGCCTCGGATAAATAGCGTTGCATCGGTCTCAGCCAGCAAATTGGCCTTTATGAGCATGGGAGGCGTTGGCCTGGCGTTCTTCCTTTTACTTTCCAAATACACCTTGTTCTTCCTTCCAACATCCACTACCTTGACACATATCCTCCTGCAAACTCCTCTTTTCATGGTGCTATCAAGATGCAAGGTGCTTTTGCCAGTACTATGCATGTCTACTGAGAGCCTGGCAGATTACTTCAGTGTCACGAGCTCTCACTGGACACACCTGTACGTTAGGAAGACATTCCGCATTTCGATAGTATCATGCTGACATGTCTGGTAGGAGGAAACAGCTACATTCAGACATTCCCAGGCTGCTTCATATGAGAACACAAGGCTTTGAGGCGACTGACGATCGATGCTCTCCCTATCAAGACACTGGCAGACCTGAACTTATCATGAAACGCGTCCGTGACAGAATGCACTTGGGCTGAGTCAGAAGTTGGCTGCCATAAGTGTGTTCAGGAATAGAGGACAGAAGGTCACTGAACAGCTAATGCTGGCATGATGCCATGACAGTGAATCGTCACAAGGCCTCGAGTAGCATCACAGGCACGCTCGGCTTCTTCCATGATATAGCCGGTTTTATGGTCAAGTGAAGTATTGAAGCCCACTCGACTTCTCTGAACCAACCTATGCAAATGTAAGTAAACTGCTTTCACCTGAGACTCTCTTCTGATCAAGCACAGATGCGTTGGCTCAGAGACCACCCAAAAGAGATCTCGGCAGGAGGCGATTTTCCTCCCCGTTTGCGCCTGTTGCAGCCGCTGCATGGCCACCACGGCCATCTCCTCCTCTTCCGCCTGCTCCTGCGCCGCCCTCGCCGGCGCAGAGCGTTAAAGCGCCGAAGCCTAGCGCAGAAGAAGAGCACCAGCCTGTAAGTACCCTCTTTCGTAGGCTAGTCCGTCTGTAAGATCGTCCGTTCTCTCTTGTGTGCCATTGTCTGAGTTGCACATTGCAGCTTGCGGCGGGGCTCAGACGATCTATCGTTGCTGCAAATGTATGGATACAATTGCTAACATCCATGAAGAAGCGCAGAAGCTGGTTCAAGAGGACTCTGGGCTTGGGAGAGATTACCCTCCGCGACCAGGCNNACATACATGTACGATGTCTACGCAGAGGAACTGCGCAAGCTCAGAGCGGAGGCTAAAAAAGCTCCCAAGCCCAAAGAGACGGGACGCGTGTTTGACGATCAGGGGAGGGAGATCACTGGTCTGGTTGACAAGAAGGGAAGGCCGATAGTACCAAAGCCTGTGCCAATCCCCAAACCTGATCGACGCACTGCGTACCGTCGCCCTCGAGCAGAACCTATAACCAGCCACTGGACAGCAGGGATGGGAGTCGGAGGGCCTAGTGGTGGTTTCGTTCCTCCCAATGGGCGAAAGCCTGCCGGTGAGGGAGAACGTCGTCGTGAGGCGGATTTCAGTGATACTAACAAAGCCCTGGATGATGCTCCGATGTTCTCTANNGAGGTCACCACCACTGACAATCTGATCCATGTGCAAAAGGCAGGCCTGTGAAGTGCCGTTCGAGCACTCGAGACTTCTCACGCCTACATCAACGAATCGAATCGCGCTGCGTCGCTCATCGCGCGTTTGCAAGTGAAGACTATCATCAGCCGGCCTGACGACAGCATCACTACGACAACATCACGTCTCACGCATTCAAAACTCCGCTCTCGCTAGACACAACAACTCTTCTCAACATCCATCTGCGCACGACCGCCATCATGTTCAGCATTGGCCCTCCCAGCTCATCCTCTGGCTCCCAATCATCCAGCANGAGACGTCTCACCCAGCAAAGGGTCAGAATGGTCCACCACTTCTGAACCTCAGACCGACCCCAAGACGCCTGAGAAGCGCTCATCTTCCAAGTCTTCCAAATCGTCCACTGAATCATACTGGTCTGACGACAGCGACACACCTGTCAGACCTCGTTTCCATTCGATCAGAAGAAACAAAAACCTGTCACCTGGAGACACTTCTGATGAAAGATCTCTGCTCTCAAGTCTCGAGTCTGAAACAAACGCCGATACCGAAGAATCCACCGAGCCCACCTCTGAGCATTCGGACGATCAGAGCGAGGATCCTTACCGTGACATCTTCCCTAACCCCGAAACTTGGGAGCCCCAGCATGACACCAAAAACATCGACCCTCTGAAGCTGGGTGCGATTCCAGTGCGCCCCATGCCTCCTGTAAGTTTCCACATCTTCATTGTGCGTCAGTCGATGAATAACTGACCATCCTCAGNNATCGCCATCCACTCTGACTTCAAACACCCACGCGAAGCATGGGGTCTGCCCGCTCTGAAGTTGCGTTGCCCCATGGACCCTCGCCGCCATCCTTACCACATCTACCAGTGGAATACCAAGAAGCTCAACTGCTACGCCGAACACGAGAGCGACTGCCAGCTCTGCGGTGCCTCCTGCTGCTCAGTCAAAGCCTACACCAAAGCCATTAACGAAGACCCTCGCCCCAACCCCGTGGTGCCGCTGAAGTATCGCAAGGCTTTCCAGCGCGATATTGACGAGATCAATGCCATGAAGCCCAAGTCCAGCGACCCGTTTGAGAGAATGCTCAAGTGCGATACTTGTTACCGCAACGTTTGTCCTGATTGCGCTGGTCGCTGCATGAAGTCTGCTTGTCTGCGTATCATTTGCAACTCTTGCGGTGATCCTAATCCTTGGTATCATTGCCAGTGCGAGATGAGTGGCGGCATGGTCAAGATTAGCTACATTTGAGCTAGCATTGCCAGCTTCCCTACAGCACGCGCCGTCAACAAAACCGCAGCACAAGACCAATGTACAACAGTTCCCTGCTTCAACACATTAGCTGGTTTCAGAAACGTCGTTCTCATGCAGACCAACAACAAAGACATTGATCTGAAGGTAGCGCTGGTAAATGGACATCAGCACATTTAGTCTGCAGTCGGAGGAAAGAGGTACTGGGCTCAATCCGAAGGTCAAATTGAGAAATTAGAAAGGAATTGAGGTTTTGTTTGACCAATCAGGTCAGGATGAAGGTGAAAAACGACACTCGGATAGAATGAATGAAGATGACAGCAAAGAAGGAAATCTGGCACGTCAACAAGAGCTCGTTTGCTACCTTCGTTCGGCTTGTCTTTGTCATAACTCCAGGACCAGGAATGAAAAACCATTGACCGTTGAATTGATTTCTGTCCATGTTCAGTACGTGATATGTATGCTCACGAAGAAAGACGTGTCGTCTTCAATATCTGTCAGATGAATTTCTTGTTCGTCATGTACAGGGTGTGTCTGCAGCCGATGGATGGCGTGTGGCTTGCAGACTGCCTGTTCTGACCTTAGTGATACTCGCCATTTGCTGTAATCCTTGAATATGCAGACGCGCATGGATGTGCACGCTATCCATCGGACGTGCAAATACCCTGTAGTAAAATGGGACTTAAAGTGTAGTCAACAAAGATCGGCGTTTTTCGGGACGCGTGAAGGCCGACGAAAACACCTCCATCCTCAGCACATCTCAAACCCTATCGCTATTCACATTCGACTCGACAACAATTTTCAGAATCTCTGAAATACTTGGCCAATTGCACAGAGAGATCAGTACCAGTCTCATACGCCCCCGGACTCGGAAACAAGACACAACGACCAAATCTCTGCTATTCAAAAAAAAAGAAAAAAAGGCTTCTCTACAAGCAAAGGCACCAAGACCAAATCATCGCTCGTGAAAAAACACATATCGTCTCAACAACCAGGATCTGAAAACTCTACAATATCAGAGGGGGAAGAAAAAAGAAGATGCCACCTCGACCGTTTCCACAAGCTCTGAGTATAGGCACGGATATATGCCACCACCCACGCTTTGCAAAATACTTTCCGGTTCACCAACATCTATCCAGCACAACCAGCGCAATATCATCACAAACGCTGCTCTTTCACCTTTTCGACAAGGCGTTTCTGCCCTCGGAGCAACGGGCATTCTGGCGACGGTTCCAAGATACTCCTTCTTCATATCGAAAATGTGTGCCTGGTGAGAATGCGGAAAAGCAATCACGGCAATGGGACGAGCAAAAAGCAATCGAAGCAGCGAGATATCTAGGCGGCAGATGGGCAGCCAAAGAAGCAGTCATCAAAGCCTTTACCGCAGAAAAAAGATTACTGCTCAGAGATGTGGAAATCAGGGCAGAAGGGAAGGGCAAGGCACCCTATGCAGTTGTTCTGGACGCCGGCAGTGAACAAATGCCAAAAAATCAATCTGCCAAAGACGTCTACAAGCAATTGGTCAAGAGATGGGAATTACGAGAAGAGTTGAAGGAATTGCGGAAGAGTGATGGTGGCAACAATGGTCTTCGCATTGTCAAAAAGTTCAGTTTGAATCGGCATACGGCACGAGAGCAGGAGATGAAGAAGGCAACGCCACAACCTCAGCAAGGGATTGCCGTTCCGGAAAACATGCAGTCGACCTCTTCGACCATTACTCCAGAATCCACTTCTGCTGCTCCCAACACCTCCACTGCTCCCATCCTCTCCAAAGACAGCATCCTCGACCTCTCCGCCATCACCCAGATCCTTGAACAAAACCAACAAACCACCTCCCCTACCTCAACAACATCTCCTCAAACACCAGAGCCAGAACAAGATCAAGACACCGATACAGGAAACGAGCAAACAAGAGAGCCACAAAACGCTCACCAGACCCGTTTGGAAGAAGAAATAAACCGTCTACGCAGAGAAGAACACCAACAACAAGAAGATGCTTGGAATAATCTACAGGGCCAGGTGGTCAAGGTGAGTATTTCACATGATGGCGAATATTGTGTTGCCACCGCTTTGGCTGCTGTTTGAGCAAAAGGGTGGAGTGGTACAGAATAAAGGAGGCATGTAATGTAACTATATTGTGTATGCATCTAGTCTCGTGTAGAAAAGCCTAAGAAGACATCTTGAACGCCATTATGCCAATGAGATGGAAACATCGCTTGCAGGTTCGACAAACGAAGAAATGCAAAAAAAAAAACAAGAAAAGGAAACAGTAGCAACGAAACAAGCCCCCATTAGAAAAAAAGACATTATAACCCGGCCGTTGATCTCATGACAAAAGGAAAAGGGGACGGGAAGCAGAGCCCAGAAACCCACTATTGCTCCAACCTCTGCATCAACTTCTTCCTCACACCCGTATTAACAACCCCACCCACACCAAACGCAGGCACAATCCTCGCCATCCTCGCAAACGAACTCTTGATCCAATCCATCCTGACCTTTGCCATTCTCTCCCTAGCCCCCAGTGTCCCATCCCTATTATACAGATCCAAGCCCAGCAAATGCAAAGGCGTAGAAATCAATTGCACAGCAGCAGGGGCAATGAACTGTGCAGCCGAAGCAGCAGAAACATGTGCTTGCATACCTTGACTCAGCGGCAAGAGCGGTGCAATCAATGGTGGCACGTTGAACGATGCAAACACGGTGAGACAATCTCTGACTGCGAACAACGCATAACTGGGTCCAGGGATGGGGCGAGCAGAAGCCGTGGCCGCGCCAAGNAGTTTGGCAAATCTGCTGTCCTTGTATAGACACAGTGACAGATTTGCAGAGGAGGTTGCGAGGAATTTGGCTGGGCCAGAGGTGGTGGTTGTCGCGGGCTGCCCTTTTACAGTGCTGGAACAGGTGTCGAGGATGTTTGCCGTGATGTAGGTGCCCCCATACAGCGCAAAGATAAGAGCAAATGGCTTGGAGAACAGGAAGTGGTGTGGTCGTAACGTAAAGGTCGCCAGAGAGTCGCGTAACGAGCGTCCTAATGTTTGTCTGCCCGAGGCATTTTCGATGATTGCCTTGTCTATGGCCGTAATGACGGGAGCAACCAGGGCACCGGCTGTTGCTGCAGAGGCTGCATCGGCACCAAGTCGTAGACCGATGTTTTGCGTGTTCCAGCGTGTTGTACTTGTCGTCGTCGCGGGACTCATCATCTCAGTCTTGACATTCGGTCGGGATGCGCCGGGACCGGCAGCCGCACTCATTGCTTCCTAGAGGACGGCGTGTTGTGGTAAAGTGGTTGTCGCTGTGGCTCTGCATGTGACGGAGAAACTGTTTGTCCTGTTCTTCCAGCCCTCCTCTTTTCTTTGGCAGATTGTCCAAGTTTGTCGTCGTCGTACGGAAAAATGAATGTTTCCCTTATCAGGTTGGAGAGAATGTGGAATTGATTGCTTTGTATGACGCGCTTTCGGGCTGGGGATTTGTCTCACTCACCCGGTGACCCGGGATAATATCTGCCGAAGCCGCCGACCTCGCTCTTCTGACCGACCGTTCCTATCTATCGTCCCTATTGTCAACAGTGCTATAGGCGAGGGGAAGGGATATGACTCACTGGAGCAATGAGGGCAATGCAAGTAGCCGAACCTTCTGCAGCAATCCACTTGCAAGGCAGGAACGATCTGGGATCCGCCAAGTTAGAGACACAGGGCACAGCTATACAGGACAGAAGAGAAGTATGTACATTAAACTAGAGGAATGCTTATGCTATATTACACTGCCTAGAAGCTCAGAAGATCGCCATTGCCATTTCCCACAGTAGGCTGATAGACTTGCTGTGGTTGATTCTGGTTCACGACGAACATGGTCTGACCCCCGTCCCCGCCTCCTGGCGAGGCATAGCCATCGTCGTTTAGTCCCATGTTTGCCATCTGCTGGCTTCCAATCGTAGAAAAGTAGACGTCCGCTGCATCGACGGCTGCCGCAAGATCGCCATTAGCAGCATGAGCATTGCCGTTCTGTCGCTGCTGTGCGCTGGCCATCGATGTCATTTCTGTCCAGTGCTTTTGTGCGTCCAACATGGCTTGATGGCTGGGTAGTCTGTGCTTCTGCAACGCGGGACTCTCTGGCACGATTCGTGGGCGGGCGGAGCGGAAGACGGACTTGATGGGCTTCAGGTAGATGGTTGCGAGTGAGCCTACCACCAAGCACATCTCTTGCAGGGTGAATGGGTCCAGCTTTTCTGTTTCTGCCGTGATCGGCGGCTTTTCTCCCATGACGACTTGTTTCGCCGCTACTGGATCTGAAGAGAGTAGACGCCAGTACATGTATCCTCTGTCGCGAAGATCAGGGTTGTCTGTCTCTTCGGTGGCCCACTTCAAGACCTTTGGTACGAGTTCTTGTCCCTTTTTAGGTCTCTGAATAAACAGCTTTACCGTCGCTGTCAGAAGGGCCAGTTGGACTTCATGCGGCTCATCTGCGAATGTGTACAAGAAGTCGTCCAGGAGAACATCACTGTTGTCAATCCTGTCGGCGTATTGTCCGATGATCCAGATCATAGCAGCCTTTGCCTCGGGCTCGTCCAACGAATCGAGATTCTCACATAACGTGCTAATGATCGACTCGTACTGGTTAGGGTACTTGCGGAAAATGTTACGGATCACCACCGTCGCCTCTTGAACGATGTATGAGACCTTGGTCGCAACGAGCTCGAGAAGAGTGTTGATACACAGTCTTGCAGCAGGTTCAATCTTGATGGCTAGTTTTCCAATGGCGCGAACAGATTTTCTGACAAAGTGAATATCAATCTCGGTCGCGTATTCTCTCAGCTCGTTCAGAACTTCGTTTATGTTGTCCTGGGTTGCGAGCATGAAGATGAGTTCCAGCTTGGTGACCTTGACGTAGATGGGGTCGTTATACTTGCAGAAGAAGACACGAATGTCGTTCTTTAGAATGTCCGGTCTTCTTTGCAGAATCAAGAGGGCGTTTCGCAGAGCAAGATATTGGATTTCGTGGCCCTTTGAGAGAAGCGTGACAAGGGGAGGAGACAGCTTGTTCATCAGAGCTGTAATGACCTTTTCGTCTGCGATGTAGTTCATGAGGTAGAGAATGAGGCGGATGCAGCCAAGAACAACGGCAGAGTTGGTGTGAGAAAGGCGAGGAGTGATGCGCTCAGCCAGCATGGAAGCCTGTCCCGAGTCCTGAGGAACAAAGTTCATGAGAGCTTCGAGGATATATGTTTGGTTCCACTCGGACGTTTCTGCCAGGATGGAAGCAATCTTGGAAGCACTGTTGTAGTCGATTGTAAGTTTGATTGACTCGCTCCTCTCCCAGATGTCGGTCAGAGAGGCCAGAGCGCTTGAGACGACAGTGGGGTTCTCATCTCTCAACATGTTGTTCAATCCGGTGATGAGATCTGAACTCTCGACCAAAGTCTTGTCGTGGTCATAGAGTTTGGCGACACAGAAACAAGCGGTTTTGCGCACGTAGGGGTCGGCATCTCGCAGAAGGTGTTTTGTGGGAGTGACGGCGGCTTCGACGAATTCACGGACGTGGATGTATGACATTGTCCGCAGGGCGAGGGCTCGTACTAGTGGGTTTGTATCTTCCATATCCTGCACAGGGTCAGCTGGAGCATTGGAAGGCCTGAGAAGATTGACGGACCTGGACAAGNNATGCGGCAGAGCCTTGAGAGCAATCTCGGGCTTAATCCTAGCATAGTGGACCAGGTATAGGAAGCACATCTTCTTGATTTCCAGACTGGCGAGGCCCATAACTTGGATGACATCGGGGAAGAGGGCGATCATGTCATTGTTGCTCATGGTCATGTTTGCGACAATCTTCTTGAGGGCAATCTTCTTGCCCAAGTGGCCCTTGTCCTTCTTTCCACCGACAGCCTGCAACTCTTGTCGCAGTTCGGCGACTTTGCCCTGTGGATTGCGAAAGGCTGGTAAGCCTTGGTCAAGGAGGAATATGGGAGCAAACATGGCTCGTCTGTGTATAGATGTCGGGGCGNNACTCACTCTAGCAAAGAGCTTCGCATCTTGGTTTCCTGCGCTCATTGTGGCTTTATGATAACCGGGAGGTCAATCAGACCAATCCCAAGCGCTCGTGGGTGTGCCCCTCTTCTTAGTATCACTCGAGTCCCGTGTCGCGTGACTTGTGGTGTGAAGACCAGTCGATTGAGTCGGCGGAGGTAGGGGAGGAAGGGACGTCGGGTTGGAGACCGTGGTCAATACTAAAGTAAAGTCGATGCTCATCAAAGTTGCTGCTGGTCAGGGAGTCGCGATCCTGGGGAAGCCGGCGCGGGACATCAGCGCTGCTCCTGCCGAACGCAGCTCGACTTTCATCCAGTCCATCTCCGCGACACATCGCACCTGCCACTCTCGAGAAAATCCGCAAACATGGCCGTCCCTCTTCCACCGCAATGGGTCGTTGATCTAAACGCCCCTCCGACCGCCAAACCAAAGACGTCGAGCATTCCCGACCCACCAGGCTACACTGCCCCGACCACCGTCACTACCTCCAAGGTCCGACTGCCTACCGAACATCACCCTCTGCCGCACTAACACCCTGTAGNNTCCAAGTCGTCCAAGAACGCTGTCGCTCAGACATCTGCTCGCAAAGCCCCCACCGCAGAAGAGATGGACACTTTGAAGCTCAAGAAGGCCTGGGAGGTTGCCATCGCTCCAGCCAAGCAGCTGCCCATGAACGCTTTCGGCATGTACATGTCGGGCAACAGTCTCCAGATCTTCAGTATTATGATGGTCTTCATGTTGTTCAAGGGTCCTATTCAGGCCCTCATCAACATTCAGAGCGTGTTTGCTCGCTTCGAGTCGGAAGGCACCCGCGATCGCCTGATTATGGTCAAGCTTGCCTACGTCGCATGCAACTTCCTGGCCTTGGCTCTTGGTATCTGGAAAGTGAACGGCATGGGTCTGTTGCCGTATGTTCTCTTCCACCACTCTTTAGGGTCTTTCCTTGCTAACGTGAAGACAGCANCTACCCGTTCCGACTGGCTCGCTTGGGAGACTGCTAGGGAGCCGCTTACAAGAGCTTATCCCAGCTCACTATTATGATTTACACAATCGTGTTATGATACCCCTAACTAAATTACATCTCAAGATTCGTATATCATATCCATGCCAGTACTCCTGTACCGGACTTTTAATCTACCAAATGAGGAAGAAGAGTGTATTATGTACAAACTTTACACGAGATGGCCGTCGCGTCTATTTTGGCGCCTATCATAGCTCCTTCTCCTTCACGGCGCCAACCTTGGACTCGATTTGGAGAAGGTCGGATCTGCCTGTCTCAGGGCGACCGTGGACAGCGGCATCTCCACCAACGGTCGAGAAGGCTTTGTGGAAGACCCACTCGACAGCGTGCTCGACAGGCTCGTCGAACATAAACGGCAGCGCAGGGACTGCGGCAAGACCCAACTGTCGTCACGAATTAGATACTCAAGTCTGATCAAACGAGGAACGATCACTTACACCGATGGGACCCCATGTTCGAAGCTTTACATTCTTGTTGTTCTTCAGAGCTTTACCAGCGTACTTCACGATCGAGTGGATAGTGAAGGCAGGCAGACCCATACTGGCAATACCTTGGAAGATTGCCCTTTGCGCCATGACTGTTCTATAATCCTCGATGAGAGGAATCTTGCCTGGAGTGAGTTGAGCTACACTGCCGGAAGTAGCTGCGGCAGGCGTGTTCTCGGTGGACACGTCAGGGTTGCGGACACGCTGGTTGCGGATGTAGGCCTTGTAGCCCTCGTGCGAGACATCACCGAGGAGATAAGCCCACGAGATACCGTACGCACCCTTTATTAGGTAAGGGTGGGCAATAGGTCTGAAGCTCTCGCCAATATCACTGGTGTATGCTACATAGCGGTGGGCCGACATCAAGATGGTACGGACTCTTGAGGCATAACCAGCATAACGGACGGAGCTCTCGGTGGATTCCTGAGCGTGACCCTCGTACATGGTTTCCCATAGCTTCTCTTCATTGTCCAAAGTTTCTTGTAGAGCGGCAGGAAGTCTTTTGCGAGGCAGAGGTTTCGAGAAGTCAGGTCGTGGCTCGTTGGCTCGCTCGCGTGGGACATCGTCAAAGGCGATGGGCTTGGTGTTGTTGTTCTTGTCGTTGGACATGGCGGCGGTGTTGGACTTGTCGTTGGAACTAGAGGCCAGAGAGAAGGGATTTGCGCAGATGGATCTCGGGGACATGGGTTGGTTATATAGATGACTAGCTGTCTGCCTTGGTATTGCGCGTGGATGACCTCGAATAACCTCGGTGACAACAGTTGCGTCACTTCCGGCTTATGCGAAGCACAAAGTTATGGAAGGCGCGACCGGAGTGCCAAGACCTGGTTCCCGTCGCAGCTTCCCTTGTTCAACTCGTCCTCACAGCGGTCGAAGAGAGTCCATACCGTATCGCCTTTTTCCCCGTCCAACCCCCTCAATCCCTCCACTCCGTCAAAATGGTTGTTATGTACAACATCATGGGCCGCCAGGTCGGATCCCACCACGTATGCGCGCCGCCCGACAAGACCCCCGACTTCCGCGACCGCAGATGATTGACAAAGACTATGAACAGCNTCGCCCTCGGTATCCTCACCTCCCTCTTCGCCGGTATTGGTTACGCCTCAAGCGGTGGTGCCAAGAAGGCCACTGGCTCTACTCCCNCCATCAACGCTTCATCCAAGGACGAGGAGAACTTCATCCAGTACGTCGCCTCTTTTGTTTTGTCGACCGGATCAGAAAGAGCAAGGGAACCCAGACATACGAGATTTCAATGGCTAGATCAGAACAACCATACAACCCTTTNNCCAGAGCGCATGCTGACGGGTCGTCCCCTACAACAGGCAATTTCTCAAGGAGAGCGAGAAGAAGCAGGAGCAGGCCAAGCACTAGATTCTGAACGTCAGGAGAGTCATTTATTCGCAAGTCAGACAGAAAAGCTATGGGAATTACGAGTCAAAGCCATCTCGTGTGTATATATACTCTACACCGACGTCCCTCTCCGCAAGCGCCAACTTCCGGCGCAGGGCATGTCAGCTGAATTGATGAAACCCGGTTCAGAAACACAAGTCTGCATGCCCTTGACTGCATCTTGTATATCTCGTGTTCGAGCTGTATCGTTCGTTCTTCACTGATGGCAGTCAATGCTTGACTTGCTCCCATGTCTTGTGTATAGTCTCTCCCGCTCAAGTAGGTTTTCTCATCTCCCATTGGCATGTTCACTTTAGATTCTGGCCGAATCCCAATCACTGTGCAGCTTACCCTTATCTTTGTGGTGAGAACGACACACATCAGGCCATCCTTTGAACCTTTTTCTCTATAGCCGGTATATACCCGCTGTCCCGTTTAGGCAAAGACGGCCGTTTCCACAGACGTGGTTGATCTAAGTTTCTATCTCGTCATGTGCTCAGTTGACTGTTGACCAAGCGTCCAAGTAAATCTAGGCACTATCTATCTAGTTAATATCTACCTTCGAGCTGACACTTTGATCTTTTCATTCTTGTCGAGACACATCTGCTCTGGTCGATTCTTCCACAATAATATCGCTGTGACTGTAGCCATCGGACGAGCGGCATCTTGAACATTGGTCGTCGCGTACACTCCATACCATTCTCGAACAACACACTACAGCAGCATACAACATGAGCAAGACTCTTGCACAAGACCAGCTCCGGATCTTCCTGGATGGCGAGCTACCTCACGATGGATTCAATCAACCACACCACTACAAACCTGGCCAGAAGATCAAAGGCACAGCCAGCTACTCGCCTTCGACCGAAGTAAAAGTGCACACCATGACCATAATCTTCAAAGCCACCCTCTACAACGAAGTCAAAGACAGCGGCCAAGCCTCTTACGGCTGCGTGCGCACAGGAAACCAATCCCTCTTCCGCCACGAGAAGACGATCCTCCAAGGTCCCCACAAAGTATCTCCTAAACCTCACGAATGGGCTTTCGAGTTTGATCTCCCGGAGAAAATCAAGGTGCCTTTTGTGGCAGACTTGCAGCCCGTGCCGCCGACTTGGAATGTGATTTCGGCGGCGCGAGTGGTGTATTCGTTGAAGCTGTGTGTGAACCCGCATCGCAATACCAATTCTACACAGATTGAGCGCGATATCAACGTATGGCCATTCGAACACATCGACTTGCCTCTGCCAACACCAGGAACACAACTCTTGCTCGCTCCCGATCAGCCGAGGATGAATGCAATGACAAGGCGCCGATCATCGACTCTGAGTCTAACGCAACAGCTCTCCCGCAGACGCTCTTCTGTCATTAGTGTTTCCTCTCCACTCAATCTTGCCATCTGTCTTCCTTCCTCCCTAGGCGCATGGCAAAAATTCGACATCAAGCTCGTGTGCCACAACAACGACATTTCCGCAACCTCTGACGCTTCTGCCTCAAACTACATTCTTCAGACTTGCGAACTGGCTCTCAAAGCCCAGGTCTCGTTTACCAACAACAGACCCCTACCCACCAACACCGACGACCCAAAACCGCCCAGCATCTCCATTGCAAAGTTTAAACTCCTCGGTAACGGGCTTGGGATACCTACTTCTGCAATCCCGGTCACGGTAAAAAGAGATATGATGCTAGTAGACCTGACACGCGGGGATGCCTCTATGCTAGTCCCTGATTTTGGCATCGGTGCGTTTTCGCTGACGTATCTCTGGGATGTGGTTGTGCAGTTGCAAGATTCAAAGACGGGGAGTGTAGTGGAGAGGAGAGCGGAAGTGCCGTTGAGTGTTTTGCCTGGTGGGTTGGCAGAGGATAGGNGGGATGGGGATGAAGATGCGCCGCCAGGGTTTCATGAGGCGGTGGCGCCGCCGGGGTATGAAGAAGAAGACGGTGTGTTGTGGGCTGGAGAGATGCATACGCCGGCATACACACTTACAGCTTGAATAGGCTTGGGTGGGTAACAGGGATGTGAATGGGCAAGGCTGTATTGGTATTATGTAGGCTATGGACAGTAGTTGTTGTTCACTCAAGGATAAAGGGTTGTTACTATCATGCTCTCTACCCAACTTGTTCTGAGAGGTGGAATAATGTTTCTGATATATCGGATCCCTCCAACCTCTCTTAGTATGGTCAACTGTCATAAACATGTTTCAATAGGATCAGGGTTCTCGTCTTCCAGGTCTTCTTCAGGTGATCTGGTCCAACAATCAAACTCTAATGATCGTAGATGTGGACAAAGAAGAAGCAAACGGTATAATCCATGCTCGTTCAGGTGAGTGTATGACAGACTCAAGGATTCGAGTTTGTACGTCATTAGGATACGCTCAAAGATCGGTAACAGGATATCTATTGCCAAGTCTGGGATAGTAAGTGGAAGACAAGCATTGGAATTCAAAGAAATGGATATTTAGAAACAACACTATCAAAAAAAAAGAGTCAAAGGGGGAAAAGTAAAAGAAAGGAAAAAACATCAAGAAAAACAGGGGAATCCATAGAAGCAGAATAAAAGGCAACACACTCGGAACAGGTATGATGGGAAAGCAGAACGTAAGCATTCTCGCCATTCGCCTTTTTCTTTTCCCACATGATAACATGAAAAAGATGAAACAGATGCAAAGCCAGAAAAGATCGCTCCCGCCGTTTCCATGTCCAAAAAGAAAGAGGTTACAGGCTTCGTCTTCTTTCGGGTCGGACGCTTTTCGTCAGTCGGTTGGTCGTCAAGAATAACTGGTCGTCGGTCGTTGTTGTGACAAGTAAGGAAATGGGGAATCATGTTCGTGACCTCATGTCACTGGACGCTTCGAAGGACACGAGATAATGCAAGACAACTGCAAAGACGTAGATGCAAGACGCTCAATGAACAGAACCAGATGAAGCTCAGAGTGCCATGTGCTCAAATATATGTGGACAAGCAGGGTCTCACCTTCCGTGAGCACTTTGCACAACGAGCATCATCTTCTCATTCTGTTGAATCGCGTCCTCCAAAGTCTCGTCATTTATAAGTGGCGTGTAGTTGCCAGTCCGCTCATTGCGAACCTCAATGTCCAGCTCGGTCTCCTCAGAACGTGGGTCTGCCTCGCCATACTCTAGCCTGCGTCTTTCTAGGATCTTTCGGTATAGATCATCAAAGTTGAAAGCACCTCGCGGCGGCAGTCGCAGGACGACACAGGTCTCACGGTCGAACCAGACCTTGACTTTTAGAGCACCACCACTAGTTGTTGCCGAGGATGTTGTTGCAGTAGACATGGCTGTAGTTTGACGTGCGAGGGGAGGAGCGGCAGTGAGTGTGGTATGCACAGTGTTGTCAGTATATTGTGAAGGTGTTCGGTAGTGACCAAGAGGAGCGCGCATAGAACCGCCACCGACAGACGCCTGTTGACGTTGGTGTGCCGCGAAAGATTGCCCGCTTGTCGATTGGCGAGCGGAATTGATTGAAGTGGCATACTGGCCAGATGCATGAGAAGCTGTTGAGTAACGATCGGATCTTGTCTCGGCAGCAGCACGACTATGCTCATTGAGATCGACAATATTCGGGTCGACCTCGTAATCACCAGCATGAGGGCTGAAGAAGCCGCGAACTAGTGTGCTGTTGGCGACGTGTGAACCAAGACGCAACAGCTTATATAGATACTCGTCGAGATTTTCGCGACGACCCTCAGTGATACGATCCGTCACGAATTGTACAGGGCCAGGCATCAGTGGGAGGGTACGAGGCTGCCCTGTGTTGCCAGCTTCATCGGGGAAGGCCTTGATGAGGTTGATCTGTAGCTCATAGAAGTCTTCGTATATGCGGGTCAAATCCCAATGAGAGCCATCGGCCAGTGTCGCCTCGACAATGAAATGGAACTTCTCGTCAAGGTACATGTAACGCGGTACCGAAGCGCGCAGAGGCGCAAGTGGATACTGCGAATGCGCCTGCGATGTGGTGCGCTGCGACACTGTTGACATGTTGCGAGAGTGACCGCCGTTGTTGAGACTCATGCGATTCATGCCTGATTGTAGACCTGCCATTGACTGAGCGGCTTGCATGTTGCCAATCTGACCTAACGGGATGCTGGTGTTTTTGTAGTCCGCTGCCATCTTCTTCCACTCCTCCACCCTCGGTATGCCAGCTCTTGCAATAGCCTCAGCCGAGTCGATTGTCTGACCGCTTGTGAGATCCTTGATCTCGACAAAGGACACCGGTATGAGGCCTGGGCCACCCAGTCGCGTGATGGGCTTTGCGACAAACCATTCTGGATTCGATTGCGCGATGACGATGATGGCTTCTCCTTCGTGAGCCTCGAGCTCGTCGGGGCGTTCGGCTTTGAAGTCGTATGCGACGATACCGTAGACGGGGGCGCCGCCTGACCTGCCCATCGAGGACTTGCTCATTCTTGAGGGGTCGTGCGACGACTTGTCGGCATACCCACTGTCGTGGTTGGTGCTGGGCGACGAGGTGGTCGAAGCGCTGTCGCGCACTGTTTTGCCAACCTGTTCAAAGTAGCTGACGGGCACCAGACCGCGCGAGTTATGGAGTGGGTTGCAGGCTTCGTACCACTCCGTGTCGTCCTCGCGTCCTGTAACGTGGAGGAAGTCGCCAGAAGCAAAGGACAGGAAGCGAACGGAAGGGTTGTCTGTAGGTGCGTCCCAATCATACAAGGCCTTTATGACCTTCTTGGGNGGTATAATCGCAGTGGGGTCTTTCGCTTGTATTGAGGAGCTGTGGGTATGCGAAGTATGCGACGAGCGTCTGAACTTGACCATGATTTCGAAATTAGATTGCTAGCTTGTTTCGCTTCTTGGCCCGTCAATGGCGGACAGGGGAGTGACACGACCAGGTGAATGCTGTGTTCTTGTGTAAGAGAGAGAGAGGATCCAGGAATAGTAAACCGCTAAGTCAGAGAGCCGCCCTTAAGAAGGCCAAACGTTCAACCAAGGAACGATTCTGCCCTCAATCGATGGCTGTGAGAGGCGCGATGGCTGTATTGATTTAACTTTGGCTAACCAACTGTCGACGGTCGAGCGTTCACTTCGCAGCCCTGTCTCGACGCGTTCAAAGGGGTTGATGCTAAGTGTTTCGATCGCGAAGTGAGAAAGACAGATAGGGAGTTTCTTGAACAAAGACCAGAGCCTCGGTGAAGACATACGCGTGCTGTAGAGGCTGCTTTGAGTGTGCTGCAGGGTGGTTCTTGGGATCTTTAGTGGCTCCCCGTAAAGTGGGGTACCAGTGTATCTTCGCGCTTGCGATTGCGACTGGGCCGGCAATTCGTGGTGTTATTTACAGATGCGCGCGCGAGTCTGAACAACTTTCGATATTGTGCTTGGTTGTATTTGTATCGAGTAGTTGGGAGTAAAGTTGCGTTTCGTTAATTCACCTGACAGATTGGGTAGGAAGCTGCATCCGGCGATTTCATTGTTCTTTCCTCGCTCGTGTGCCACTGCCACATGAAACGGTTCGCTGACGTCGACGTGTCCAAAGCGATTACTCTCCTGATAAAGCGGCTCCTTGTCTTGGGTTGATATATCCATCAAGACATTGTTATAGCGCATACGAGTGCTTAGGCGGTTCCCGGCTGTCGATCATGTAAGCAGGGTTCAACTTCGATTCATGCCCGACACAGTCAGTGTGAATGCGTGACTGCTTAAACCAACACGTGGAAGGAAAAGTATTGCATTATTAACTTGGTAGTACTAGAGCAAAGAAAGAAGGGATCGTGTGTCAGAATGAAACAGGTGCGAAACTCGACGCTGCCACTTCAACGTGCATGCAGTCTACGCGGGCCAAACACGAGACATGAATGAGAGCTGTAAGGATTTCCCAGATCTCAATCGATCTAGTGCCGTTGGGCTCTGCTTCGGGTCGCAAGGCCGAAACGCTTGATCTTTCAAGCTGAGGGAACAGATCTACAAGAAGTCTGAGACTGCCAAATATTGCCGGGCCTACCAGATCAATTGATCTCGGATCCTTCCTATGGACTGAGGGCGCGACGGAACATATCCACTGTAGATAGTCCACTTGGCTATAATTCAGACTGGCAGCAACGACAAGTTCTCTGGGCGAAGAATTTGTCTAGACCAGAAAGCCGCAGGACATGACTTTGTAGCAGAGAGCGTAGATAGATCCAGAATATGACGGGTCAAGTAAGGGTTGGTTAGCACAGCAGGGAGCTACGAACTCCGTTGCTAGCTATTATTCCACCCATTCGTACGACCTAAGGCCTCTCAGATCTGACCTTTGATGTCGACACGGTATGCACCATTCTTGGCTGTCTCGAATATAGGACTTGCTTTCTGGCAAGAGAAGAGATGGCCGTCTGGCTTTTCTTCAAAGCAATGCTGTGCACCATGTTCACATAGAAATTGTGCGCATTGTTCATCGGTCACGAACGCCAACTCTTCCGTCAAGAAAGAGACTTTGACGCCGGGACGATATCTATCACCAAGTCAGTATGCTTGAGCAAGAACAGGAAAGAAGTGATGAGGGACTCACGCTCTGCAAATGGCGGCCAAGGCAGCCACTCTTTCTCTGTTGACGAACATGTCCATCAAATAGGCACCCATGTTTGGCGATTCGTTGAACAACCTAAAGAATCTGTGATAGTTGCCTGTAGCCAAAGAGGCACGCACTGCCAGGGCATGCTTGACGGCGGGATACTGCTTGTCTGCTGAAGTTAAATCTGCCAAAACATCGTTCATGGTCTGGCGGTTACAAGTATAGATAGTGTAAAGAATGCGGTAAGCCAAAAATTCACCAGGGGAACCTCGCAACTTCATCTTGTACAAAGTACGAAGTTGAGTCTGACACTGATTATACTCACCCAGGTCCCCCTTTTCCAGAGCTATGCGTGCGTGAGCCTCGTACACGCGGACGGTAAAATCATTCTTGATGTGTTGGACAGTGAGATCCTGTCTCAAGGACTTGAACTGATCGCAAATGTACCCATAGTTGTGCTCATCTTTCCACTTCCTAATAAGAAGATCGAGAGTTTGCTTGAGAATGTGAAGGGGGCGAACAGTCTCGGGCTTAGGAGGGGCGGTGAGGCGGAAATAGTTTTTCTCGAGCTCTTGAGAAGTGCCGACACAAGGACCGTCGTTGGCGTCGGGCATAGGAGAGTCGTCACGAGGAGAAGAGATATAAGGAGAATTGGGACCTTGGTTGCCGAGCGCGAAACGCTGCCTTCGTTTCTCGAGATCGCTCAACTTACTGGGAGGGGCAGTGGCACGGAACTGGTCGGCTTTTTTCTGGCGCTTGTCGGGACTAGGATTTGTGATGCGGTCGGCGAGGGAGAGGTTCTTCACTCTCCAAGGCGGTATGGGTGACGAGGCGTCCGGGGTGGATTCCATATCCATGGACTTGCGTTTCTTCGAGGCGCTCATGAGGGCGGCTCGTTCGATGCGGAGGAGTTCTCGTGGGAGAGGGTGGCTAGGCCAGTTGATGATGTTCAGTTGATTTGCTTCGGCTGCTTGGGTGATGACGGCTTTCAGCTTTGCGGCGATGGCACTGTCTTCAATGCCGTCTGGGTGGCTGTCGTTCTTGTCGGCAAAAGCGCGTTGGACGTAGTCGCGCACAGGCTGGGGCCACTCGATCTTAACGGTGGCAGCTTGCGGCGGAGCTGGAGGTGCAGCCGCTGGAGTAGGACGGGTTAGTGTGCGACGAGCAGTGACTGCTGTGAATGCCGGCGAGCCTAGAGGACTGGCGTTAGTGAGATCGAGACGGATGGTGGTCGTGTCGTTCGTACCGGACTGCCAGGGTGCTGTTGTCATGTTGGATGATCACACGGGGGCAACAAAGAATCACGACGAGACGGTGCAAGAGTGAAGAAGAAAGTCTTTTGTCTTTGTGTGTGAGTAGAAAGCGCTTGTTCTGCGCACCGAGATGGCAAGCGCGACCAACCCTTTGCCAAGACCCCCAACTATGCGGTCACCGATAACCACCTGCACCCACTCACACCTGTCCACGTGCCTTTGTTGGGTTATACCGAGTCTTCGCTCTTTTCCAAGTACGGCCTTTCAGATAAGATACACTTATTGGCTATCCTCCACAGATCGATCCCCGTTCTTGTTCTCTGTCTGTCACCTTCACGTCTGCCCACAATAGCCCCGCGTTCGAAAGGTCACGGATAACTGCATTGCTGGATGTTTCTTCGCCAACTCGACCTGACGACTGCTCTTCGTCCGTCTTTATTACCCGATGAAACTCTCTTATATGTACAAGACTCGGTAGGACTCTATGAGGGCAAATACAAAATCCCCAACTACCAGGATGGCCACGCATACCTGACCTCACATCGCATATGTTATGTCGACAATCAGGAGCCGCGGAAGTTTTCCATCTCCATTGATCTCAAGGATATCGATAGACCAGAGTTCTATGCCGGCTTTCTAAAGTCATCGGCAAAAGTTACACTGTACCCAAAGGCTCCGAAACATAATGCTTTGGCAATCCGGAGTCCAAAACCTGGTTATCCAAGTCCGGGTAGTTCGTTGGCATCTACACCGCCGAGCCGGTATGCCACTCCAGGACGCACTGCTGCACCCTCGCCAGCGCCAGTAAGGGATCCGAACGCTACTTGGATATGTCCCATCTGTTCATTTGCAAACCCCGTCCCGTCCAACTTCGATCCAAGCACTGCGAATGATCGGACGCCGTTACCACCGTGCCTTGCTTGTGGTATTAAGCCTCCTCTAGTCCATGTCGTCAAAGCAGCCATCGCAGCATTGTCAAATCGATCAAGCATTTCGACCTTGACACCCACACCAGCACCAGCCACGAACAGCCCACTGTCATCTTCACCACAGACACCTGTGGATGTGTCTCTAAACCAATGCCCACGATGTACCTTCTCAAACCATCCCTCCCTCAGCAGCTGTGAGATCTGCGGCGCAAAACTCTCAAGCTCAGCAGATAGACGCTCCCAGATCATCGAAAGCGCCATCACGCGCCCAGAATCACCGGGTCCATCTCTTCCAACTTCAGTCCTAGGCGACACAACTCCAGAAAGCGTGAAACTCTCCTTCCGCGCTGGGGGCGACAAGATCTTCTTCGAACGCCTGAAAGGCGCCCTGGTGCAACGAAAATGGCTACTCCAAAACGCACCCCCAATACCAAGATCCTACACTGGCGAGCAAAGTCAAACAGCAACATACTCGGCAACCGACGGCTACACACCCACACCTCCACCTCCAAAAGTGGTCGGTATAGCAGGCCTCGAGCAACGAAGAGCAGAATTGCGCAAAACCAACGAATTCGTCATCGGCAGCGCCTTCGAAGACCTAGAAGCCCTCATGACATCGGCAAAGGAAGTAATCGCCATGGCTGAACGCTTCAGATCCCAAAACAGCAATGGCAACAACAGCAACACCGACACCGAAAACGACGCAAACGCAGAAGCAGCCTCATTGCTCTCAGACATGGGTCTTGTAACAACCAAAGATATGCTCTCAGGCAGTGGAGCCGACCGCACCTACATCGCCGAACTCTCCCGTAACCTCGCCGAATTCCTTACGGACGACAAACGCGGCGTGCTGAAACGAGAAGGCGGCATCATCTCCCTCGTCGACCTTTGGGCCCTCTTCAACCGCACCCGCAACGGCATAGAACTAATCTCGCCACGAGACTTTGACCGCGCAGCAACCATGTGGGACACTTTACGCCTACCCATCCGTCTCCGCCGCTTCAAGAGCGGGCTACTCGTCGTCCAAGGCCGCGACCGCACAGACGACAAGACCGTCGCTAGCATCCTCTCCTGGCTAAAAGACCTCCACTCCATCCCTCCTTCCATGTCGAACACCTCCGAATTCGGCGCCGTGACCGGGCCCTCGGTGACTTGGGACTGGCAAGCCTTTGGCCGTGGCGTGACAGCCCAAGAAACAGCACAGAGATTTGGCTGGAGCGTCGGTGTCGCGACCGAAGAGCTGGAAATGGCCGAGGAAAGAGGCGCCCTCTGTCGCGAGCAAGGTCTCGACGGCGTCAGGTTTTGGGAAAACTTTNTTGCTGACATTCCTGTAAAGTTGCCAAAGGCAAGGTCGGTGTCGCAGTTGGAACAGCTGGAGATAGAGAAGAGGTTGAGAGAAAGTGGTCTTTTGTAAAACATTGCATCTTGGGAACTTCGATTCTCGTGTATATGAGCGTACTGGAAGGTTGACCAGGATTGGATTACGGAAGGACACATCTATCAACAGAGTTTTTCATGCTTCAACATGCATCACATACTAGATGAGAAGATGGCCTCAACGTCGATAGATTCTAAAATGGACTGCATGGACGGACAGTGACTTGTTCGATTATGTATATTAATTACCACCTGCATTGACAAGAACACCACAAAAGAAATACGCAAGGCTGCCTGTAACATAGACACTATCAATAGGTCGTGATGATAGCCTTGAATTACTTTGAGGGTTGCAAAACAGGTTTCGCAGGTCGAGCGAGCTCACCAGAAACACCAACAACGTATGCAGTCGATACTGCTGTCCCTGTAGCCACACCTAGAATCCAGACGATTCGACGACGCCAACGACGTCGCCTTTCCCTGCGTCGTCTNCTCAAGGGGTGTCGCCACGTAGAATCTTCCGTCACGCCTTTTTCACTGTTTGCAAGCTCATGCGGATAAGGATAGTATATCTGCTGCTGGAATCCTGTATGTCCATTGGAAGGAATAGCAGAGGGTGGACTGGTCGTATTTGCCTGCTTATGTACAGGTTCGGTCGGAAAAACAGGTTCGTAATTGACAAATCCTGTGGGAGAGGCAAAACGCGCACTAGGAGGTTCAATCGGAATGTGCTTGGACGTCCCATCGACAGGATTGATGTCTCCCTCATACAATGGAGGCCTCGATTGTGATTCTGTGTAGACCTTCCGTGATATTAAGAAGTCCTTATCTGCTTGGATTATCTGATATCCTTCGTGCTGTACAGATGCAAGGTGTGGCAAGAAACGAGCCGTCTGAGTGAGTTGGGAGATAGCTCGAGGTATCGATATGGGTATCTCGCTTTCCGAGAAGCTGGACGGTGTAGTAGTGATAGTGATAACGTCCTTGCTGGAGTCGTAGGCGATCACTTTGTAAAGAGCAGGTTCGGCCCAAGTAATTTTCGGAGCCGATTCTGGTGCTAAGGATGCATTTGTAGAATTGTTATCCGGTGTAGTCGTTGATGGAATATATTCTGTTGTGGTCACGGTCTCTGGCGACGTTACGCCGGACTCGATAGGATTGGATGGTCCTTCATCGAGCGAACGTCTGAAGAATGCGGTGTGCTGATCAAGCTCTTTCACGTCTGCCTTTGGGTATTCTTCAGAAAACGTGCTTCTGGCAGATTGCTTGTACCACATGTTACTGTTATTGAACTTACCCACAGTTGGAGAAAGATCTCCCTCACCCGGCATGTTCTTCAGATCTGCTTCCAACAAGGTGGACTCGTCTTTGGTCTCTCTCTCGAACCAGTTTTCCATGCCGATTGGTGCGCGGGAATAGCCATCTTCATGGTACGAAGCTTCCTCCATCNNTTAGTGTGCGGTCAGCGTCGATCTCACAGGAAGCCCAAGATCACATACCTGTTTGAGGTCCTCCTCAAGGGAGCGCTCGTGGCTTTGTTTCTCACGGTGGAACATCATCTGGAGACCCATTGGCATGGTCGCATAGCCGTCCTCGAACGCGGGCTCACGATTGGCGAATTCTTTCTCGAGGCTCTGGCGTTTTCCGAGCATAGTATCCTTCTGTTCCCTGTCGAAGGCAGTCTCCAGGCCGCCTGGAGGACGGGTATGACCGTCATCATGGACCTGTGCCTGCACTTTACGGCCGACCTCCTCTTCAAGAGTCTTGGACTTGCCATCTGCAGTGTTTTGCGTTTCATCGCTAAAGAGAGTCTCCATACCAAACGGTGAAGTGTTGTACTCGTCCGCAGTGGTTGGTGCGTGTTGCTGGGCTCTGATCTCCTCTTCTAGCGACTTAGCACTACCTCTGTCTACCTCTTCTTGCTCTCGTTTCCACAAAGTCTGCATTCCTTTGACATCAGCCAGGAGGCCGTTGTTGAGGTTGCGAGCCTGGATATGGTCGTGTAGTTCCTGTTCCAGGTCCTTGTGCTGTCCTTTCTGACTGCCTTTTGTGTCCCTCTCGTAAAGGGTTTGCATGCCGATAGGCTCAGTCGAATAGGCATCATCTGAATCTCTTACAGCTGGACTGGAGGCCATGCTCTGAAGTTCATGCTCCAGGTTCTGAGGTGTGCCCTGCTGCTCCTGATGGTACATCATCTCAAGACCGGCGGGCTCATTGGCGAAGCTGTCAGAGTACTTTGGTAGACTGTCTGGAATGCCGCCCGCGCGAACTTCATCCTCGAGAGTCTCGCGTGCACCTTTACCGGCCTCCTCTTGCTCGTGTTCAAAGAGCGTCTCAAGACCCTGTGGCGAGGCTGAACAGCCATCGTCAAGAGGAGAAGCTTTGGTGTTCATAGCAACCAATTCCTGCTCCAGAGAAGACTTGTGACTGAGTTCATCATGCTTTTGTTCATTAGCAAAGAGGGTTTCCATGCCGCTCGGGGCTACACTATAGTCGTCATTGAGTTCCTGAGAGGGTCTCTTGTTAAGAGCGTCCATCTCTTGTTCGAGGGGTTTCATGTCACCATGTTCACAAGCTTCCTTCTCATGCTCGAAGGCGGTTTGCAGTCCTTTTGGGTTGTTATCCCAGCCATCTTCGAAGACAGCGGGTCTCTCAGCGTCAACAGCGTAGTGAGGCTTGGTCATGTCAGGATGGACTTGACGTTCCAGGATTCGGATTTGTTCGCGCAGGGTGTCTAGATGCCTACGAGCTGCGAGGAGCTCATCGTGCTCGGACTGGTATTTCTTGTCGAGATCCTCGGTGAAGGAGGCGTGGGAGGTAGGTGTGTTTGCAAGGGCTTCGATGTCATCTGGCAAGTGTGAGAGGATTGTGGGTTTCTGGTAAGCCTTTTCAGAGCTTTGATTGTCCTTTTGACCCTTGGTCGAGGTAGAAGTCTGTCTGGTTTGTCCGTTGTCCGTAGGAACCATTCTTCCAGATATGGGATCGTAGACTGTGTGGCTAACTTGATTGGTCTTGGAATCCCACGATGTGGTTGAAGCTTCGACGGTTGGCTTCGATCCTGACTTGTGGGAGGTGTGAAGCTTGAACGACGAGACGTGTGCGAAATGCCCACCTCTTTTNGAGGAAGCTTCCATCTCTTGTGACAGGAAATCGGGGACGATGGACTTCCAGAAAGGCTTCTGACGCTTGCTAGATGCTGTGTTGTTGTGATCTGAACGGGCTTCTGCGTGTGAATCTTGAGCGGCATGATTTTTCTTGTATCTGTTCGAGTGGCTCGCAAAGCGGACAGTGGGCGAGTACAGTACGGGACTGTTTGTGAGGGGCCAAGGATGGGGTTTGAGTCGCAGGCCGTGTGCCTGCCGAAGGAACGGCATGATTGTCTGAAGAGCTGGTCAGTCAGATCGGAGGTTGACACATCACATGGGAGCTGAGATGGACAAAGAACTGATGCTCACAACAAGCTTTTCTGTCTGGTCTGAGAAGCGAGGGTGATGGAAATCAAGTACCTGTATGCCAGCGGAATGTAGCTGATCTTATCTCCGGTAAACTCGAACTCTGTCTGCGATGTTGGCTGATGCAGTTGACCAAAGAAGTCAATGAACCAGATTTGTCAGCTTGTTGCCCTTGACGCACAAGCTGTCACGGAACACGCTTGAGAAAGAGCAAGCAGGATGAGTTGGGAAAGAGCGATTGTCGTTGTTACGTCCGATGAGCAAGCACGAGGGCATTTATCTACCCCGCTCTCACCGGCCTCCGCACCTGTCACTGCCTAATCCGATCATGTTTCAGAACCAGCGCTTTTGAACGTTGTATCATTTTGGGTGTATGAAGCGCCTGATCTAATTCCCTTCGAGAAAGGTATGTACAGGTAAAAGAAAAACTATTGTAAATCATGTCATGATCATCATGGCTCGTCAGTCAGCTCTCTGGTCGACTTGGTCTCACCCTCGGCCACCTCGAGAGCCTCGATACCATCGGGTGTGATTTTCACAGCACCCGCTCTGACCAGTGCTTGCTGTAGGTCATCAAGCAAGTCGCCCACATCCTCGATACCAATGCATAGACGGATAATGTCCTCGGGCAAAGCGCGCTCCTTTCTGGTAGCGGGGTCAATGCTGGCATGGCTCATGCGGCAAGGCATGCTGATCAAGCTGTTGACACAGCCGAACGAAACAGAGATGGCGAAGATCTTGGCGGCTGCGACAATCCTCTCCGAGATGGTGGTGGATCCAGTCTCGAAAGCAAGGACGGCACCTGCGCCGCGTGCCTGAGACCAGTGGAGGTCGTACTGGGGGTGCGACTTCAGGCCTGGGTAACGGACCTTGAATCCGTTGCTCTCGAGGTATCTGGCGATGGCCATGGCGTTTGCCTGTTGCTTTTCCATGCGAACAGCCAACGTCTTGATACCGCGAAGAAGCAGCCAAGAGTCGAAAGGACTGAGACCACAACCCGAGGCGTTGATGGGGAAGTAGAGTCTGTCACCCAATTCAGGGCTGTTAGTGGCCATTACACCAGCCATGACATCGTGGTGACCAGACAGGTATTTGGTGCCGCTCTCGTACACAACATCAGCGCCCAGGTCAAGGGGGTTCTGGAGGTAGGGAGACAGCATAGTGTTGTCGACAATGACGAGCGACTTGGGGTTCGCCTTGTGAGCGAGCGAGGAGAGGGTGGGGATGTCAACGACCTTCATGAGAGGGTTTGTGGGAGACTCGAGGAGGACCATGGCAGTCTTTTCAGACAGTACGGCAGCAACTGAGTCGGGGTTTGTAGTGTCGACGTGACGGACGACAATGCCGCCGTGGGTAGATAGGTATTTGAGCAGACGGTTGGAGCCACCGTAGAGGTCGTCACCAGTGACGACCTCATCGCCAGGATGAAGAAGGCGAGTGATCACATCGAGGCAAGCCATGCCCGACGACACGACCAGCGCGCGATGGGCGTTCATGATCTTGGCCAGGTGACGCTCGAGATGGGTACGGGTGGGGTTGCCGGAACGAGTGTAATCGTACTCGTTACCCTCGCCCTTGAAGGTTGCGGACTGATAGATGGGCACGCTACTAGCGTTGTACTGGTCGTTCGACTCGGTGTAGACGAGCTCGGTTGCGAGAGAGTACTTGTTCTTGCCATTGCTGGGGCTGGAGGGAGTGGGCGATGGAGGAAGGTTGTGACCATCCATGTCCAGGCGCTTGTTGGCCGGAACTGAGGTTGAAGAGGACGACATGATGTTGGAGTCGCGGTTTTTACTAACAGGGCCTGCCACCTGCGCTTGTTGAATACGGAGCTGTGAGGGTGCTGAATGCGATGTGTGGAGAGTTCAAGGGACGCCTGTTGCTAATTGAGTGGCAATTGAAGGTCCAAAGTGTGTCGTTGTTGTTAGGAATGAAAGTCCAAACTCCAAAAGATGAGAGGTGTAGCGGCGACACACGGCAGTTGGCTGCCGATGGATTGCGTGCTGAAGTGGCCGAGGTCGGGGCTAGGGTTTGTTAGCGAACACTTCGGAATCTGATGGTCAGCACCACTTTATCATGCTCGACCAGCCACTTCTTCTGATTACATTCATTCTGAACGATACAAAGTGGCCGCGCTATCCAATACTCTCCCAAGTAGATATACCTCGGCGAGTGCTTCCTCCTGGTATCTTCATACGTCCTATGCATCCACGCGGTGACAATTCTACGTTCTCTAGCAATACCCTGAGCGACCCATACCCACTTACATCCGAACATCTGAATGCTTCTCCAACTATGACTGTTTGAGGTAATCGGTTCCATCCTTGCCGACTTAGGACACCTCAGGCTTCAAACTGATTAGCGGTCGCTGATGTACTACGGCATACGTTTCAATGCTGGCTATGCTTTTGAATCTGAAGAGGTTCTGAAGAGAGTATCAAGAAAGATAGACGATGCCTGAGCCTGACGAAAGCTCGCGAAATTCTACGTCATAGGCGGGCACGTCTTCTCTCAAGCGAGTCGAACACTTTCAGATTTTTGCAGATGTTATGCTATGTCAAGGACTTTTACGGTATGAAGTTTTCATCACTAAATATGTCTTTGACTAGACATCGCAAATTTATTCTGATGGTTGGAGGCGATAATGGACAAAAACGCAGCGTTCACGTGGACCAATTTTCTCCGGCATCCCTCGTCTCTCTTGGACTGTCGTTGATGTAGGCATATCATCATCGTTTGGTAAATCCATGTCGAGGGATCGAATATAATAATAATGATCAGGTTGGGGCTGCAGACACCTTGGGTATGATTTAGCACTCTGCCGATATGAGCTGGCTGCAAGCCACACATGGTCCAGCATGAACCGGTGAGCAGTCCGCGAGCTGCGCCTTCTCTACAATACACGCTGCGGCATTCTGTACGTTCTGACGAAGCTGTGACTGCGGCACGATGATCATGAATACCTATGTCATCACAAGTCACAGAACATGCTGCCCCGATGGTTCTTTCTCTCAACCTTCTCCAACCAGTTCTGTTGGCATGGCGTCCCAGGAGCGCTCAGTAGACCACGACACTTTGCTCTATGTTCCATGCAATCAGAATGGTCCTTCAAGCGAGGATACAATTGACCACAATCAACAGCCGCTGTCTCCAATGCTACACTTGGGGTCAAGCGATCTGCACCTTACCATATCTGAAGTTTATTCTTGCACGCCTGTACTTAACGTGCCTTCACGATAAATGTTGAAGATGACTGTACTGACTATGAGAACATGAGAGACAAAGACCGCAGAAAGTCTGAATCTTGTCCAGACTGGTTCGATCGGCTTTTGAGAAGACTGCCCGGATTCAATTTCACAGGTCGTCAGCGTGCCTACAAACTCACTTCGCTTGGAGGTTCTCAATGACATTAGAAGGCTTCCAGCCAAGATGCCTCTCGAACCCAACTGATTTCGAGCAAAAGTTTTGGACCAGTCGTCTTCCTGGCTGTGCCTACGCTCAACTCATGTTAGCTGCATTGAATGGGAGTGAGCCGCCCAGCATGCTAAATCCGGAAGCCTTTCCCACAATAGTAGACCGAGTGGCTCAGATCTGCAACACATTCACAACTCAGTATCTCAGCGACAAGTTACGCAGCAATCTCACCGAGAAATCAATGATATCCGCCACGTTGATAGCCCACGCGGCCCATGATTGCGTCTATCAAAACAGAAGATCGACCACCGTCTTGGACATCCTACTCGCCCCCATTTTCTTTCTGCACCGTCACATCACTCTGGCTCGTCGATTCCAAGCAGCTGGTCCCCCAAGACCCATGCAGTATAGCCGCGCAAACGAGTCTGCTTGCCGGCGCTGAGTTCTTGCATCTCGTACCTCCTGGCTCGGAAGCACTTAGCAATACTAAGATGGGTCAAAGTGTGCCTTTGAAGGATCATCTGTTCAGCATTGGCTGGTGGACCAAAAAAGACGGTAACAGGAGGTTTGGCATTGACGTTGGACAGGCAGAGACTGAAGAACAGTGCAAGGATGAGAAGCCGGTGGTCAATGTAGTGGATCTTGAGCAAGGTGTGTCGAGCGAAAACACAGTGAGTCAATAGCAAGGAGAGACTCAAGATCAACTGGAACGAGATACCGCTGTTGGGATTGAGCAGCATGGCGCATAGAGGGTCTAAGTGCCCAGGTTCCTACTCTCCGGTGCCAAGTGAGCTATATCCGTTCCGCGGTAGTACAACAAGGTGCCTAAGCATAGGAAAGAAGCCAGCACGCCAAGTAGGAAAGAAAGTGTGAGGTTGGAAGAAAAGAGAGGAAACATGGCATTCCTCTTTATGGTTTAGGTAAAGTCTCTACATACTCCGACCAAGCCCTGTCAAACTCCTTGAATCGTGTGATATGCTGGCTATCGCTGAATCCATCTCGAGCAAATCTCCACAGTCGTCGGACCCATCTTCCTTGTCCATAAGCATCATCAAGATAGGCTTCTCGACTCGCAGGACCCGAACCGCCATAAAGCTGTTCTGAGATTGCTGTCTCGAAGAACTGTTTCACTTGTAGATCTGATTCTGAGAGACGTGTACCGCTCTCGTTATAGAGTTCTGGGGGTAGCAAGTCCACGTCTCCATCGTAATGTGCAAGGATAGATGAGGGAAGGGTTTCATCGTCGGAGAAATCCCAGAGCCAGACTGGTGGTTTGCGTGCGAGAGCGGCGGGGACGCTCAAGGCGTCATCCCAGTCCAATATGCCCGTGATATGGAGGTTGCCATTTCCGTCTGTATTCAAATATGGATCGAGAACCCTGGCTCCAACGATGATGTTGCGCGGTTCCAAGTCCCAATGGTAGAGCACGTTAAAATTCGTGGAAGCTCGCTGCTGGAAGAATCCCAGTTTTGCCATCTGTGTGCAAATGTCTTTTAATCGTTGGAACATGTCGGCCACGAAAGATCTGCGATCATCTGAAAGCTTGTGCTGTAACCAGGCATTCAACTGCGTGCTTAGAAGCTCTTGCAGTGATGACGTTGTCTCAGTGACTACTTTTGATTCGGGAGGTCCAATGCCAACGCCAAACCCTTGTACGAGCAATTTCTTTGAGGAGTTTGGATCATCTATATCATCCATTTTTCTGCGCAGAGGAACCGCTTCGGAGCAGCACAGTCGGCCTGGATTCTCGAACTTTATCCTCTCAATGGCCGCCAAGATGTTTGCCAATTCGTGCGCTATGATGAGCCTCTCATCGCGACTCATCTCGTGGTATACAAGATCTAAGCCTTGGCCCTCAATTCGCGTCTGCAACGAGAATGGCATACCAAGAGCGTTGTCCGAAGTACAATCATAAGCAAGGACGTGTGGCGTCTGTATTTCCAGACCGCGGAGCGCCTCCGAGAATGGAGCATTGATCGAGTCTCCGTCCGCTGCAAAGCGTGGAATTCGTAACACGACCTTTTGCACTGCAGATGCTGGATCGTGGTGGTGCAGGTCCGCCGCAATTATCCTGTTAAAACTCCCTCCCGGTAGACGTACAATGTTGTTAATAGATTTTGTGCCAATCTGGTGTGCCAAATCTGTGACCTTTTCGCGGAAGGTCTCAAAAGGTTCATGTGAGTATTGATATGTTGATGTAGAGTTGGGTGTGGTCGAACGTGAACAATCGTCTGTTGACTCGGCGTCGGATGTTTTTGACATGGCCATAGGGATACTGAGGGCAAATTGAGTCTACGAGTGGGCAGGATGTTGTATCTTGGATCCCATTGTGTGGCATCAGAAGCGGGGATAACCCGCCCATGATAAGCGCTGCTCTTGCTGAGGAGCGGCTATATTCTATTTCATCACTGTACATGGCTGGCCTGTGATTGTTGTCTGTCGAGTGATTATCACATCGTCGCACAACTGCGGACGCGTTAGCACGTCCCCTTGCCATCAGTGCACGAGAAGAGCAAAAATATCAATCGCCAAAACAGAGAGCAGCAGGAGAGCTATCGAGTTATTTCGTATAATCACACAATCTACGATTCTACAATAACCCAACAACCCTGAGTGCCTTCCATGCACACACGAAGAAAAGCCTCAATCTACCCCCTAGCCTTCATGAAGTCTACCAGGTCAAAGAAACTCTTCTTGTAGTTCCTCTCCTGAGTCGTGCGATTGACAGTTTGAATCCCAAAATGCTGATCATAATCGCCAAACTCCCAATTATCAGCAAAACTCCACGCAAACGCCCCCAAAACTTGAACGCCGTCTTCCCAAATGGCCTTGAGAACTTCAGACATGAAGCTAAGGTAATAGATGCTGCGTGGAGAATCAAAGAGTTGGTCGGAGAGGTCTTGCTTGTTGGCTTCGCCGAAGACGGGAAAGCCGAATTCGGTGAGGACGATGGGGGTGCGGAAGGTGTTGTGGAGGTAGTTTAGGTAGAGGCGTAGATAGGTGGGTGTGATGTAGACATAGGATTGGGAGCGGTAGCCAATGTTCCAGCCGAAGATATCTGTGGTGGTTTGATTGACGCAATAGGGGCGTAGTTCTGCTGATGAGTTGCTGGCGCACGATCGGATGCTATCAATGGAACCGGGCTCTGGAGGTGCAATGACAGTAGCTGTGTAAGGATCAATACCAAGGAAGTCTGCGGTGCCATTGATGTAGTCGAGATCTTGTTGGCTCAAAGGTACATAATCGGCAATGGTCATCTTGTAAGACTCGGGATAATCTTGGCCGAGGAAAATAGGGTTACAAAAAGGTCCCAGCTGGAATGAGTTGAAGTGATCTGCAGCGTACACATCGGCTTCGCTCTTTGGGTCGCGAGGTACGCCAAAGTTGTTGTTGAACTTGAGAGCAATCTTGCCTGTACCTTTGAGCTCTTCCTTATAGAAATGATAAACACGAGCGTGCGATTTAATAACGTGATCAATCGCCTTGCCATTTGAGGAGTAGAGCAGAGGCTCGTTGAATGTATACCACACCGGTACGCGGTCAGCATAGTGCGTCATAACAATCTTGGCGTAGTTGACATAGGAGTCTGGGAAGGTCTCGTTTTGGTATCCGCCGTTGGTCGAGCCAATTTCAGCATCCGAGAGGACAGCAGTGACATTGGAAATCGAGCCATAGAACTGCAGCGGGGTATCAAAGTGCAACAGCGTAACCTCCGGTTGCATGCCCTTCTCTATAATATAGTTGATCACATCGTCGTAGTGCTGAATGGCCTGTTGATTGATCGGGGTACCAGGCAATGCAAAAGGCAGTATTCTGGTCCAAGGAATGCTGAAAGAGAAGTACTTGACACCCATGGCAGCAACGCGTTCGATGTCTTGCATGTAGTTGTAGTAATGTTCGTTGGTGACATAATCTTTTGGTCGGTCGTTTTGAATCAAGATGTCCATCAGGGAAGGAGCTTTTCCCTCTTCTGCCGTAGCTCCCTCGATTTGGCTGGCAGAACTTGCAACACCAAACTCAAAACCAGGAGGGAAGTTGTAGCAGTCGGTTGGACCGAAGTAATCTCTTGGAGGCAAGACCAACTCTTCGGTCGGTACCGAAGTCGGTTCGACAGTAGTACTGTAAAGAGCGCTTGCAGCCTCCTGAGTGAAATTGGGTGGGTTGGCCATCCTCCACAACTCCGTCCAAGCAGCATTTCCGTATGGGTCTGCTGTATCTGTTGCAGATACATTTGCGGAGGGATTCCATTTACCCCAAGTCGTATAGGATACGGAACTGACGAGGGATGTCAAGCTCTCTGATGGTTGGGCGTAGTTTGTAGTGCTTGTCGGCGAAGGACGAGATGTAGCATATCGTACCGTTGAGGTCATGCTGTACTGGAAAGGCGTGAAGGTGTACTGGGGTTCCCCCTCAGTGCACTTTGTGCATNNTAATGGTCGAGGTGTGGATCCGTTCGCTTCCAGGTATACCTGCTGGCCGACTACTATAGAAGCCAAGCCAAGCAGTTGACCGAGAGCATACGAATTTACCATGGTTAGAGAGGCAGGAGCAGAGAGAGGTGCTTACAGTTTTGAGAGCGGACAAGGCATACTTATGGACACTTCGTATTGCGGAACTTGGCTCTACCAGATTCAAAGCTGATGTGCTCCATCAACTGCATACATTGACTTAGCCCGAGATCATAGACAAATCGTCATGCCGGACTGCGCAAGTAAAAACCTTAAGAGCCATGAAGGGCCATGAACTTGCGATGCCCGGGCGAACCGTCGCCAACTCTACCTTGATCGGTTTACCCCTCCAAATGGCCAAGCCAAAGGAGTTGCGGATTGTTCATATGAGGTCTTGATCTGCAGAGGTGAAGGAACTCGAGGTTGTACCTTCTGTGTTCGTGTTTAGCCGGCCACCGCCCGCGAGGATCTGTCACGTGTGTCGGAAGACAATGCCCCGAGATGGGGACGAGCCGGATTGCGGAATATGTGAAGGCTTCCTGTAGCTATCAACAGTTGCTGTCAGGTCGGTATTTGCTTTCCAACATATTGAGTATGGTAGCAGGAATATTCGTGAACAAAGTGGCACTATACATGTTTTGCTCTGGATGCCGGCCTAGTAACGAATACATACAAAGCACCAGGAACGAAATATGTGTTTTTACTTCAACAAGATTACCAGGTTAGTTCCTGTCCCTCACGATGCCAGAACTTGCCTATATCTTCTATTCCTTAGGCTTGCCAGACGTCCCAAGGTTTGGTAGCAGCCTCATCTGGCATGCCGGCTCCAGGCGTATCAGCAGCGGTAGGATCCAATGCAGTTTTGACGATAACTGGATGAAGTAGACTGAGAACGATACCTTTGTCCTTGAGATCCATGGCAAGACTTTCGCCGATGGAGTTGACGACAGCTCTGAACGCACGATAGGTGTAAACTCCACCTGTTGGATTGTCGGAGATGGAGCCAATACGCGAAGACACAATGCCGAATTTTGCAGCCGAGGCCTTCAACAAGTTTGGCGATAATGCTTGGGTGAGACCAAAGGTGTTTGTCTCGAAGATGCGAGTCAAGGTCTCCCTGTTGACAAACTCCAGAAATTCATCTGTGTGCTTGGCCATGAGTCCAGCGACATTGAGAAGCATGTCAACTGGTTGGCTGGACAGCGATGAGACAAAGGATGAGATTGACTCGGGGGCCCGAACGTCGAGTTGAGCATAGCGACATCCAAGTTCTTTGATTTGGTCTCCTACAACAAAATCTATTGCGATGACTTCGTAGCCTTGNCATTCGTCGGCGTAAATGCTTTGCCGAAGCGCAAGCATTTGGAGCACAAGACATCGGTTACTTACCCCAGAGATGAGCAGTCTGGCAAAGGTGTGACCAATGCCAGAATTGCATCCAGCCACGACGGCGGTCGGCATGGTAAATGGTTCAAAAGGCTGTGTTTTGCAGATGTGCCTGTCCAGAGCAGAGCAGAGTTGCAGGACTGGTAGGACGAACAAATCTCATCGTCATGTGCAGCATGATGGCCAGGTAGGTGCTTGAAGATCATGTCGCTCCCTGACGTTGTGTGGCGCAGATCTGCCTCTGCTGTGGCTGAGTTCTTGTCATGAGGCTCTCTTTTCTGGTGGAGAAGGCCGGAGAGAATAGGTAGTAGGGCCAGCCCTGTGAGCCGTGGCATTCAAGAGACACGCGGCCATGTATTGGCAGCGGAAGATGCTACATGTCTGGCGGCCTTGGCCGGCACCTTAGGATCCGGCAGCGTATTTGGACGTACGGAGAGAAGGAGTGGCCGAAGTGGCTGGTGAAGCTTTGGTAAAAAGAAGAGTTGGAAATAGAAGCATGAACGCGCGCCGTCCATTTCCCCCTTGCATGTACATGTTTTTTGTTGTTTCTACAAAGCGACATGTTGATGCAATGGATATTCGATAGACAGCTGAGAGGATAACCTGTTCTCTGTGGAAAGGCAGTTTCCAGTAATGCGTATTAATTGGCGTGTCATGGAGGACGTCAGGCTCGTGGTGGTTTCCTGCTTGGCAGACTGACAGACGCTAGTGATGTCACCGCGCAGAGGCGTTTATTTCCTGTGTTGCGTGGGCGGATGGCAGCTGGGCGTACATAAACGCGGCCTGCCCTGAGGTATCACTCTTCGTCGTCTAGCTCTTGCAATCCACATCCACTCCATCAGCCACACCCTCTCCACCACCAAAAACAACTACCCAAACTCCCAAGACTCTCAGTCCAATACCGCCAGCATGCCTTTCACCGGATCGTGAGTCTCCTCGCACCCTCTCCATCTGCTCTGCTGCTGCTCGCAGGCTTTGGGGACACAAGCGCCGACGCGTGCTGACATTCTTCCCAGCGACATCATCAAGATCATCATCGCCATCATCCTCCNNCCCCCTCTTGGTGTCTTCCTCGAGCGCGGCTGTGGTGCTGACCTCCTCATCAACATCCTGTTGACCATCCTTGGTTACATTCCCGGCATCATCCACGCCCTGTACGTCACCAGCGCCGTCCCATCGTGATACTCTTACTGACACATCGCGCAGCTACATCATTCTCAAGTATTAAGATGTTCGGCCCTAGCCCTTCGCGGCTCACATCATGATCCTGGCGCAACGATTTCATTCTGCTTCTTTCATCATCTTTTGCGATACCCTCAAGTCGCGCCGTGCAAGCCACTGAGCGCCGACTTCGACCACCTGCAGCCATGCGCTTCCATGCCGTATTCTTCAACTTTGTCCTCGGCAGCCTCGCGCCCTACCCTCGAGTTTGCGCTCGCCGTACTTCTACTGGACCCAGTCCCTGATGTTGTAGCGGGTGCTACTCGCGTTCGAGCGACAGGCGCTGGGATATGGCCATGCCTTTGGTTGAATAATACTGTATAATAGCACTGAACGAAACCAACTTCAATTCTATACTTGCTCTTCTTCCATCGCTTTGTTCGTGTCCAGCTTGTCATGCATCGTCTCCATATCCTGAAAGTTGCCATGGAAGCTTGCGTTCACTGGCAAGCTCAAACCACTTCGTGAACCACCGGATAGCCTGGTCCTCTGCCTTCCTTCCACACTCCTTTTCGTGCCCTTCATTCTCATCTGCTCTGACAGCAAAACCATGATGCACACCCTCATACAGGATAAACTCGTGCTCGTACGTGACAGAATCTCGATCAAGACCATCTTCCTTCGCCTTTGCTGTCTTGACCTTCAGAATTTCCTCAATCTGCCTAGCCTTTGCAATGGGGATTTGCTGATCGATCCCAGCGGCTGCAATGGAGAGTGGGAAACGTACCATTTCAATGTCGATAGGCAATTTCAAGCGCGATGGATGGGCCGTGAAGCCACAAACGACCAGGGGCGGCGGGCGTCTGTCTTCGCTTCCAAGTGTGCAATAATCTTCGTCATCGTATTTGCATAGCTCGACGGTCCATTGGCCGCCCCAGCAATACCCTGCTGCTGCGACGAAAAGATCAGGATGCGATAACTGCAGCTTACGGAAGAATTTGAAGACACGCGGACGAACCAGACGCGCCTTGTCGTTCTTCAGGAATGGCCATCCACGCCAAACAAGCTTGAGGAAGTGATATGCTTTGAACACCCAAGCAAATAGGCCGGTGGCATCAAGGGCTTTTATACTGACGATCAAGTCCTGGGGAAACACGTTGCCATCCATGAAGTCTGGTAGCATGACTAGAAAGTCGCCTTTTGCGGCAAAACTGTCGGCTAGAATACGCGTGTTCGGGAGCGTCCAGCCAAAGATATCGGGAAGAATCACGACAATGCCTTTTGGTGGTCTGTTNGGAGGGGGTGCAGCAATGTAGACGTCGAGGTCGTGGAGCTTGGAGACTGTGCCAGTGGGAGTACCGGTGTGCAGAGAGCCACTCGCGCAGCATCGCTTTGGAAACGACATAGTGTTTTGAGTTATCAGTGTGGTCGATACAAACAGAAAGGAAGCAGAATGGTCAATGCAAGCTTTTGTCGTCGTGCTCGATGGACTTGTAGTTTTTGTGAACTCGAATGCATACTATGTTGGAGCCTCATTGACCGGTCAGACTCGTACAACTAATCCTGCCAGCGCGATGTTCAATCTGGTCACCACTTTGGCGTAGAGGGTGTACTTTCAGGACCCAGCTCTCAGCCACCAGTGTCGCAAACAATGCACATTGGCCAGATGCGATCGTGAAAGCATCCGTATCTGCTAATCCTACAAGCGGAGAGAGCAAGAGGTGTCCCAAAGCAAGCTAGTTCGCGCCAAGACCGACTCGCTTACTAAGGCGGCCCGCTCAGACCTTTCTCCGCTCAAAATCTTCAGCGCAAGCTTGCACTACAAAACCAGACCTCTTCTCTACACAAACTTCCTCCTCTCCCACAACAGCAGCATCAGAGCGCAAAACAGCACCTCGATGCTGCTGCTTCAGTCGCAATGGTAAGCACATTCTCACTGCACTCTCCCCTCCAACCTGATGAAACCGCAATACCGCAATCAAACTAGAGTCTTTGATCTCTTCGGAGAACTGAAACCGCATTTGCAAGCACGTCAGTCTGAAATCACAACAAACTCTTCATCTTTCTTCGCTTCGAACATTTCCAGAGCGCACAAGACTGACTGAAAACAGATGCCAGGCTAGATGCGTTGCTCAACACTTCGCTCGCTTTCGCACACTTCGCGCACTTTGCTGTCCCTTCAACTAGGTGCACGGCTCATGGTCTCTTCAGCCCGTTCAGAAAAGACCGCCGAAGAGACTTGGCTCCAAAAGGTATGCGGTCCTCTCTTCACTCACTTCACCAACCCCTCCCCTATTTTCTGATGAACAATTGAACGTTTATATACGCTGGAAATTACCGACCAAGCCCTTCGGGGCGGTGCCGATATCAAATGGCTATTTCTGAGTCTTATACACATATCTCAACTTTTTCACAAGTTTCCCGTCTGAACCTCACTGACACTGACGATTGATAGGTACCCATCGCACTCCTCTATCTACACCACCTTCCTCTTGTGATGAAGCGGCACTGGGCTCCGACTACAAACCAAATGAGCAAGATATGCCAACGCTGTGACAGGCCTAGAAAACCTCGTCCACTGATTTCGACAACACAATCATCTTTGTCAACAACCAGTCATCAAGAGCTTGGGCTGACATGCATGATAAAGAGGGCTTGCCTTTTGTAACACACTCTTCGTACGATGGCGCTGGAATGCGCGTCGCTTGAATCAAAAATATCAAATGGTATGCAGAATTTGCTTCCCTTTTTTTTCCTCTTCGCACTTTGTGGCCGTCATATGATGAACACCTAGATGACGAGTCTGATCGGAGTTATCCATGCAGACAACCTTTTATTTTATACCATTCATGCCTAACTGAATATATGCACATTCTCTCACACTCTTGTTCACTCATTGCACTTCTTCAACCAGTGACTAACAACCGAGTTTTAGATTATGTCCCTTACCTTGACTGTGGTCCTACGGTCTTGTCACTGGCCTGCACCGAATGGAAGTGTAAGTTTTTGCTCACCTCACCATCCCTTCACCTCATATGATGATTCAAAACAAACACAATGACAAGCATATGTCCGAATTACCTTGACCGGTAGTACTGCAGAGAATGTCTTGTCTGATCCACCATACCTATCCCATCTTCATCTAAAGTTTCACTTGGCAACATCGTTACTGACTTCACAAAGACTTTGACAGCGCCTCATCCTCTCGGTCGATCGTGCATGCGCATCTGCTTTTCTACCAGGTAAGTTTCTCACTCGCGTTGCTTCCCACCCCTAAGAGCATCGTCACTTCAATGATGATTTATTCTATTTATCACGACGGTCTACGTAGCCACAAGTTGGACATTGACGATACCGCCATTGACAATGGCATTGATCTGATATCGATTTGACATTGCTCTTTTTTGCACAACATGTTCTCAGCATTCTCTTCGAATCTTTGCTGACCTCAATCAAAGAATAGGTGCTCGAACTCATTTCCCATGCTATTTTCATTTCCATTGCTCATCCGGCCTTGTTGCTGGTGATTGAAGGAGAAATCCGCCTTATGACTTGTCCCTATGTCACAAAGCTGTTTTCAAGTCGGGCCGAGGTACATCATTGCCAGGTTAAAAGCTACTTGTGCTCTATCTTAGCTCGTCAACATGGCACTCATCACCGAGCATGGCCCAAGGTCTCGACTGTCCATTTGACTCGTTCGTGTATGCTGCGCGCCTCCATGCCGTCGAGGGCAAGTCTTGGACTCTTGGGCAACAATGGGTGGGTGAATGCTTGACTGCGAATTCTGCACATGGTGATCCTTCAGCTTATGGCTCAAAGGGAGGAAGGACAGAGACCGACTTGAAGGCTAAAGTCTGCCTTGTCCGTCGCTTCGCTGCTTGTCTTCCAGGAGCGCAGAGCCTACTGTTATCAGAGTGCAGATCTCCGTACCCCGCTCAGCCTCACTTGCGGCATCCAATCCTTTGTACATTCTATGATGAAGTAGTGCATGTCACATGCAGGAGCTGCGACTGATATAAATTGTAACACGAATGTCGTCAAGAGAGTGAGCAGCCATCTACGCCTTTCTTCTACTCGACTCGAAGCCATGGCCTCTGTACCGCAGCAAAACGACGAGAGAGGAGTACCCTGCGTACTGCCACAGATCAACCACAGTCTCTTTGGCGGCAAGTACAACAGCCCCTTTGTGCGAGCCTACGCACCGGCCCTATCCGCCTATGGTATCCCCGAGTCGTCCTTCTTGGCCTTTGTCGATGGCCTGAACGAAAGCTTCATCGCCAACCCGGCTCTGGAAACAGCAACACATGTCGGTATGGGACTGTCAGCATTCGGCGGCCCGCACGGCCACTTGATAGGCAAAGCAGTCCAGATGGCTTCCAAAGCCGCAAGCAGTGGTGTGAGCTCCAAGCGCTCCAAAGTGTTCTTGGAAGAAATCAATAAGGATATGTTTGGGCCGCACGGTCTGAAAGTGGACATCTTACCCACGTATCAGATGTTGCAGGTACTTGGATGTGCCCCTGATCAGTTCCGGCATGGTGTGAGCCCGCCATGGGAAACACCTGCCACAACAGACAATGTCAACGCCGTAACCCTACAGCAGCAAGAAGAAACACAAATGATGCGCATGCGCGTCTTGGACGGCTACGTGATGCGACTAAACTACCACGTCTCTGCGCAAACCTCGAGCTCTGACGACTGGTTCACCCGCATGAACGAGCAACAAGCCGCCAAAAAGGCAGCAAAGTAGTCGGAAAAGAAAGCCGAAGACTTCGCCAAAGCACAAGAAAAACGCAATGAGAAGATCCGTGATGCCCACAAAGATTACGACAAAGACGCTGCCAAGTACAATGAAGAACTCCACAAGCTTCAAGAAGACCTTCAGGATGATTTGAGGAAAGATGCACATTCGCCTGGAAAGCAACAAGAGGCGCAGCGCAAGTATGAGGAGGAGTTGCAGAAACTAGAAAAAGACAAGGGTGTAGGGAGAATGGAGCAAGGTATGCAGGAAGCAGACGAAGAGGTTTTGAAGTTCCAAAGAGATGAGAATAAAGAGGCTGAGCATCTAAACTGGGTTGTGATTACGCGAGTGGACTGGATGATCAAGGCACAGAAGGGTCATGGTGCAGCGTTGCAGCTTAAAGCTGGAGAGCAGGTGAAGAAGCATTTCATCAAGAGTCTGTTTGGATGAGAGGGCATCCATTCTTTGATGGAATGGTCGTGGTGAACGATTAGCATTCGAAAGAGTTTGGATAAGTTGAACGGGCTATCACAGATTTCTATGCATCTCGTTCTTTGTCTGTGTTCTGACAAGCTGCCAAACCGAACTCTCTTTTTGTTGCAATGTGTGATAGAGTTATCTCGGCGGCTTGCACTAGAGCTATGGAAAGAATACACGAGAGATATAGGGGAAGGAAGGAAGCTCGTTTGGTTATTCCGAAGATTCGAGGCACATCTTCAGCTTTGCTCCTTTATGCAGATACCGGAAAACTCAAGTTCATCACCTCTAGCAATATTGCTGGCGCAACAAAGGCACTTGCAAGATAGGAAAATCATGCTGACTGCCTGATCAGATGGTGTAAGATCCATCACATCACAGCAGGTGATGAGTTGCGGCATTCACGGTTTAAATATTGGACCGGTTGCTGCCTGATCCTCTTTGCTGCGGTTTGCCGCCTAGAGTTTCGGGATGGTTGTGGACTTGGCTGCATACAGGTGTGGCGGTGCGCATCGAAGTGCATGCAACCCTCCCACCCAACGCTTCTGGAAGGTGGGTGGTTGTGTTGCATACTCTTTCGTTTGAGGGCCATCATGGAAACTTTGATCTTGATTTTGTTCGATGACTCCTCCATCTCTTGCCTGCTCACAACTAGTGAACTGCATCTCGCCAACTTTTCGGCGACAGTCGCGTTGAGATCAGGCGCTGTTTCTTGTCCTTGTAAGAGTGCTTGTATCGTGCGCAAAGTGTGAAAAAGGGTAGAGTGGTATAGGGGCCGAATTGCGCGCTTCAACCATTAAGTCAGCAATAACAAGATGAAAAGCAGAGCGGCGAGCTGAAGAGCGAGGCGCGGTCAGCCTTCTAGCATGGCGAAGTCATTTTGATGCCTCAGGTTGACCGGTCAAGCACCCGGCTGACGCTTGCTGGGTTGGAAGCAAGAAAAAGGCCACCCTTCGAGTAGTAAATATAATTCCGTGCATTGCCACTTTTGCGCGTCCGAGCTGTCCTCTCATATCATTCTTCTCTTCAAACCTTACCAAAAAAGCGAAAAGCGACAATGGTCTTAGCAGGCAGCGACATTACTGTTTTCAGCTTACGACGCCTCTTTCGCAGATGTGACCGTTTGTCGTATCTGGGTGTCAGAGCTGAGCGACAAGGTATATGGCGTATCGAGGACTCGGGTATGACGAGCAGAGGCAGCGATATGAGGCACGCTATCACAGGCAACTTGGTTTTCGACATCTCGCATGATTCAGCTGCTTACCGTCTTCGATCGCGATCATGGACGCAGCTTGTATGCAACTACTCATGCTGCGCTGGACAAACTTTCTCGCCCGATATTCAAGATGACTTATGCAAAGAGCTGGGAACACAAACGCTTGGTATGGTGCCCGATTGTCATGTCTGATGACCGCTGGTCCGCCACTATGGACGCTTGGATTCAAAGTCTCTAATACTGCCGAACGAGATGTCGGTGTGCTAGGACTTGCTGGTGTCCAAGGAAACCAAAGGAGGAAATGCTCGTTCACGATGCGACTCATTGCAGCAAGCAGCAAACCTGGCCCACATCATTGCCTACCAGTTGCGACTCCGCCCGAGCAAGACATACTCGAGAACCGTGGCCTCCTGGCACGAACTATCGAGAGGTTGCAAAGAATGATTGATGGACTTCTGAGGCGCAAGATCTGGTCAGCGTGGCATAGCCATGAGCATCTGATCTGTGTTGGCAGTGCTATGGAATGTCTGTTGGTTATCCCATTGATGGAACGCGAGAACAATCCAAGGCAATCTACCCTGTTGCCTAGGAGCAGCGGCGAGGATGCCCAAGAATCTTTTGATTTGCTCGTAGCCGACGGGCTAGAAGCAAGTTTCAGTGAGTGCACAGCCCTGCATTTCCTCTTCGCGCCTTCCTTTCCATTTACGTCAAATGGTCGTCGTTGTCGCTGGCAGGCATGGTGGACGCTCGGGAGATACATCTTGCCCCAAGCGTTTGCCTGAGGCGTGGCGGTTTTTTCCTTGCAAATTGTTATTTGTGTACACGCAGGTACGAGCACACTTGTCGCAGAAACATCGGACCCTGAGCTGACAATAGGTCAACGGAAGGTCCGGTTGGTCGCCGGAGATAACCGCGCGTTACGCCACAAGCGGCGATCTTCACAGCCACAGAATGTCTGCAACAAGCTTTCTTTGGTGGTCTTTGGTGGTGGTGGAGCAGCCCTGTGTCTTGGATGGCTCACGCACAAGGCAGCCATCGAGTGTGCGAGGCACCGGTCCGTCGACAGGCTTCCAGCTAACCCGACGTATATAATAGGAAGCGGAATCGGTAATGCACCCCTCGACTCAGCCCCCGTGATACTTACGTGGTCGCTCATCGAAGGGCCAACGCTGCTTCTACGGGTCTCCGGCGACCGTGACTTCCCTGTTGCCGACAAATATCTTGTAGGTCCACGTTGTTGTTGCCACCACCTGTCTTGGGCTCCAACAACTGTCGATACAAAGTCCGGTCTGGCTTCTTGACTCACATTCTTCCCATCAAACTCGAACTGCCTCTTTTCGCAGAACGCATAATCCCATCAGGAAAACTCTTCCATCATCAACCATCATTCGTTAGCTGCTCTCGCCGGATGTCTACCATGGTGGTCACCGAGGCAAATCAGAAACTTCAAAAAGAATCGCCTCTCATGTCGCCTGCGAAATCTTTAAGTCCCGAAAACGATTCGGATCCACAAGACACTTCTCAGATCAAAGACGACGAGCGAAGGAGCAGTTCAATCATTTTTTTTTCTTCGAGCTTCAAACCATTAAACCATCGTCGGACCGCGCCAAAACATAATAACGCAGGAAAATTCGAATGTGAGAACTGCCATCAAATCTTTGATCGCAAGTGTGAATGGAAGTAAGTGCTCATTTCATCATCTTGATTGCTTTACTCGCGAGATTTCATATGCCCTGGTTGTCGACCACTCTGCACCTTCATATCAAAACTTTGTGCTGCGGCCCAAAATGCACGCCCAAACGTCCCGCTCGACCAATGAATATGAAGTCCGAGTCCCGAACTTTCAGCACATCATGCTAACTCGTCATACAGCAAACACATGGACAAGCATGAACGGCCATACAAGTGCGACAAACCGCAATGCGCCAAGCTGCTGGGATTTACCTACTCAGGCGGTCTTTTGCGTCACGAACGCGAGGTTCACGGCATGCACGGCGGACCCAAGGAACAACTCTTTTGCCCTATCAAACACTGCAAGCGACACACGGAACAGGGCTTCACACGCCGCGAGAACCTGCAGGAGCATCTGCGAAGGGTGCACAAGCTGCAAGACGTTGAAAGCATCGAAGCTGCTGCGCAAGATGCGCTGACACCTGGAACCGCTCCCTCGGACCACGATAGTGACGATGATAACCGATCAACCAAGCGTAAGCGTATGAGCGTCGTCAGCCAAAGTGAGGATGCACCGGAAGAGGATGTCAGAACCCAGCTTAAGAAGTTACGACTTGAAAATGCAGAATTGAGGGGCATGGGGGAAACTCAACGAGCCGAGATAAATGAGATGAAGGAACAGATCAAGCTCCTCGCAGAACAACTCGCAGCAAGCCAAACCGTACAACTCCCTCGCTGGCGGCCAAACGGTTCAACAACATGAACGATCGCTTCGAACCATCCATTTGCTGAAGGGATATGAACAACGACACGACTGCCCGAAGATCTATGGCTCCTATGGCTCCCACGACACACCTCGAGGATCTCGAAGATTGATGAATCGTAAAAATCGATACATGATCACCGGTCACGAAATCCGAAATCATCCTGCACCACGCGCCTTCATGCGTGTAGAACACATTTTGATCGATTTTGAGAGCCGCGATTCTGCATGACCCGCTTGGCCTGAGGCGCAGTGCAGGCAGCAGCCCATGCAGAGATGATCCTTCAGAAAGAGCAACATTTTCACTACCACCACCAAGGAGCTAAAGCATCTAGCTATTGTTCAAGAACGCGAGGTCGGGTGGAGGGGGAAGAGATGACAAATGACTCGGGAAGCTCGGAGAGAGGGCAAGGATGAGGTTTCAAATTATGATTATTAATTCTCCGAGAGGCGGATGACTGAGGAATATCAGGATACGAGGACACGAGGACTCCTGATGTAAGGCATCAGCTTATCTCACTCTATGCTTTTCTATTCTGTTGTATCACTTTGTGGCTGCCTAGGGCGATGCTTGAATACGAATATACACCTCTCCGCTCATTGATTCTGTGGTGTCACTTCTCGGTCAGCATATCTGCTCATGAAAAATGTGCTAGTGGAGCCTTTCATGTCAGTTGCGGCTCCTTCCATTAAACACAAAGCATACTCCAATTGACTTGACGACTGCGCTGGTGTACGACGCTCTGGCTAAGGAATATATCGAAGCAGGACCAACACGAAAGGAACGAAGGATGTGTTTAGCCAAGTAACTACTGAGTCGGACAAACTTCCCGCGCTTCCTTTTTCTTCCTTCCTCTATAATCCTTCGTTCCTTCTTCTTTGCTTCCTTGTTCCTTCTACCAACACCCGCTCTTTAGCCGGTGAGCTTCATGGTACGGTAAAATTTAGAATAGCAGACACACAAACACATGATAGTGGAAGAGGGAGGAGACTCTAGGACCGTGTGTTCAACTGAGCCTGTTCAATATCAAAAATGGTTGGTAGCACAATAAAATCGAGAAGAGGCGTTTTTTTTTTTGTTAAACTTGATTTATCTTTTATAAAAAGCTATCTACCCAGAGTATATTAAGACTGTCTAAATCAGAAACATGCCCAACTATACCCCATCACCATAAATATCTGTGTAGCTATATCATGTGTGTCTGTGTTACTCTCTCCGTAAATACATGAGGTCCAGCCCAATCCCAACGCCTGTGAAATGCTCAAGACAAACGAAAGAAATGATATATGATTGTCGAGTCGAGTGCTAAAATCTAACCACTCTTGCCACCGCCCCCGAGAGTGTTGCCGAGGTTATTGACAGTACCGCTGATAAGTCCAGATCCGGTAGAACCACTTGACGCGGCCGAGGTGGTGGAGCTGGCTTTGGTGGAAGTAGATGAGCCGGCTGAAGAAGTTGAAGAAGCGGTAGAGGAGGAAGCAGATGAGGTTCTGGTGACCAGAGTGGTGGGCACAGAGCTGGATGATGAAGACGAAGAGCCCGAATTGCCACCAAGAAGACCACCAACAGCATTGCCAACGGTGTCGGTAGTGCCGGAAACGGTGTTGCCCACTCCAGTGGCGACGGACCCGACTGCCGAGCTGACACCTGAACCGGCTGCGCTGACAATCGATGTAGCGGCTGCTCCGGTGTCAGAGAGAACGCTCGACGCGGCCGAGACGGCGACAGAGGCCACTGAGGAGACGGCTGATCCAGCGTTTGAGACGGCGACAGAGGCCACTGAGGAGACGACTGATCCAGCGTTTGAGACGGCGACAGAGGCCACTGAGGAGACGACTGATCCAGCGTTCGAGACGGGCGAAGAGACGATCGATCCGGCGTTCGAGGCGGCAGATGCGATATCAGTAACGATAGCGGGGACCACGGATGTGACTACAGAAGCGATCTGGCTCACAGCAGTGGCGCCCGAATCAACGACATTGGTGGCAACGGAGACTGCTCCACTGGCGGCCTGTGAGACTCCTGAAACAATGGGCTCAATGACTCCGGTCTCGACGGCAGGGATATCTGAGGAGACGACAGTGTTAACGGCAGTGTTAACAGCACCACCAATGTTCGAGACGGCAGCACTAAGATCACTGACGACGGCACTAGCGCCAGAGGCTGCGTCGGTGACGATTGGCGAGGCGATGGATGCAACTGATGAGATGATATCACCAGTGTTGTCAACGATCGAGGTGGCGGCAGCTCCAGCGTCCGAGACGACAGATGAGATATCGGCGGTGATAGTGGGGACGATCGACGAGATGATAGAAGAAGCGATATTACCAGTGTTATCAACGATCGAAGTGGCGGCCGATTCAGCTCCTGAGATGATACTGCTCGCCGCGGCGGGAACACCAGTGACCTGAGGAAGATCGCTGGAAGCTCCGTTGATGGCGCTGACCACAGCAGAAGAGATGTCAGTGGGCGAAGAGATGTCGGTAGGAAGAACCTGGCTGATGATACTGCCTGCGGCCGAAGGAAGATCGGAAACGTCGCTAGCAATGCTTGAAACTGCGGCAGAGAGGTCGGAGGACACGGTGGCCACGATGCTAGAAAGCACACTGGACGCATCGCCGACGACAGGGATATCCGTGATCTGAGCAGCATCACTAATAACACTGCTTGCTGCAGAGAGGTCGGTAGTGATTGCGTTGACAATGCTACTAACATCGCCAGGGAGGTTTGTGACTTGAGGAAGATCGGCGGACACCACATCGCTGATGATGCTGCTTGCTGCAGATGGGATATCCGAAACGTCGCTAGCGATGCTAGAGGCGGCGGCAGAGAGGTCCGAAGTCAGAGTGGCCGCGATGCTAGAAAGTAGGCTGGATGCTTCGCTAACCACAGGGATATCTGTGATCTGAGGAACATCATCGTCGATGCTGCTTGGTACAGATGGAAGATCGGTAACCTGAGAGACAATCTCGCTGATGATACTGTTTGAAGGAGTAGGAAGGTTGGCAAGATCCGAGGTAATGTCTCCAACGATGCTGGTTACAGCACTGGAGATATCTCCAGGAAGGTCCGTGACCTGAGAGACGATCTCGCTTACAATAATGCTTGCTGAAACCGAAACAGTGACAGTGGGAAGATCGGTGACCTGAGAAACAATCTCGCTGAGAGCACTCGAGACCGAGGAAATCTCAGAAGTAACGGGAAGTTCGGTGGGCTCGGGCAGATCAGTCGCTTCAGAAACGATCTCGCTGACGATGCTAGAGGCCACTGAAGGGAAACTAGTTGGTGCGGAGATTTCGGTGGGTCCGGGAAGGTCGGTGACTACAGAGAATAGGTCACTGGCAACGCTGGAGATAGGAAGACCTGCATTGTTGTCTGCAGTGGGCGAGGCACCGCTGTCTGTAGAGGCTGCGGCAGAGCTCTGAGCGACCGAAGATGGAGATTCCGAAGAAGAGACAGAAGTCTGCGATGCTCCGGCCGAGGCGCTAACACCAGCAGAAACGGATACAGAGGCGGAAACACTCTCAGAAGCTGCAGATGATGCTTGCGAGCTGACGCTGGAGACTGCTGAGGATGCGTCTGAACTAACACTTGACACTACCGAGGATGCCTGAGAAGCGGCCGAGGAGACTTGAGACGACGCCTGAGAAGCGGCCGAGGAGACCTGCGAGCTGATACTCGACACTGCCGAGGACGCCTGAGAAGCGGCCGAAGAGACCTGCGAGCTGACGACTGACTGGGCGCTGGAGGCGGCCGAGGAAACTTGCGAGCTGATGACCGACTCTGCGCTAGAGACTTGCGAGCTGGCTTTGGAAACGGCGGAGGAAACTTGCGAGCTGACTACTGACCGAGCACTGGTGACTGCAGAGCTAGCCTGCGAAGCGGCCGAGGAGACTTGCGAGCTGATAAGTGACTGGGCGCTAGAAGCTTGGGAGCTAGCCTTCGAGACGGCAGAAGAGACTTGCGAGCTGATAGCTGACTGGGCGCTGGAGGCGGCCGAGGAAACTTGCGAGCTGATGACTGACTCTGCGCTAGAGACTTGCGAGCTAGCCTTCGAGACGACGGAAGACACCTGAGAGCTGACTACCGACTGAGCGCTGGTGACCGCAGATGTTGCTTGTGAGACGCCAGATGAAATCTGGGAACGAACGCTGGAGGCACCGCTGACTACAGCAGAGGTCGCTTGCGAGGCTGCGGAAGATGCGCGAGAAACGGCGCTCGAAGCATCACTGACGACGACAGAAGTTGCCTGAGAGACGGCGCTCGATGCTTGAGATCTGGCAGTGGAAATACCACCGCCAATCGCAGAAGTTGCCTGCGAAACGCCGGACGAAACCTGAGATACGATGGCAGAAGCGTCACCAGTACCTGCAGAAACAGCTTGAGAGGCAATTGATGAGACCTGGGATCTGATGGTGGAAGCGTCGCCGACGGCCACGGATGTCACCTGCGAACCAATAGATGAGGCCTGGGATCCGATTGTGGACACATCGCCACCAACAACAGAGGTAACCTGCGAGACAATCGATCTGACGGTCGAAGCATCGCCAGCGATGGTTGAAGTAACTTTGGAACCAATTGAAGACCCTTGAGAGATAGCACTGGACACCTCTCCGCCGACTACGCTAGTAGCCTTCGACACAACCGAAGATACTATGCTCGATGCCTTGCTGAAGATCGAAGAAACAGCCGACTCGAGAGGTCCAGTGGTGGATACGGTACTGATGCCTGAAGGCTTGACAGCGGAAGACGAACTTCCGGGGCTCGAGCTGGAAGCAGGAGTAGGCTTGATCGAGATGATGGTAACCTGGCCATTGCTGGTAACAACAGTCATCGATTTGCTGCTGGAGCTGCTAGTCTTGATGGTGTTTGAAGGCAAGACCGTGCTGAAGGCAATAGTCTGTTCACCCTTGCTTGAAGTAGAGCCCTGCTTGACGCCACTAGTGATGGAGGAAGCGGAGCTGACACCACGAGAGACAGAGCTGCTCGACGACTTGACTGAGCTGCTCGACGACTTGACTGAGCTGCTTGAGGGCTTGACTGAGCTGCTTGAGAGCTTGGCTGAGCTTGAGGACTTGATTGAGCTGGTTGAGGGCTTGATCGAGCTCGAGGTCTTGATAGAGCTCGAAGATTTAGCAGAGCTGCTAGACGGCTTGACAGAGCTGCTTGATGGCTTGACAGAGCTGCTCGATGGCTTGACAGAGCTGCTCGATGGCTTGACAGAGCTGCTTGAGGACTTGATTGAGCTCGAAGACTTGAGCGAGCTGGAAGACTTGATAGAGCTCGATGACTTGGCAGAGCTGGAAGATTTGAAGGAGCTACTCGAGGGCTTGACGGAGCTGCTCGATGGCTTGATGGCGCTGCTCGAGGGCTTGACAGAACTGCTGGACTTCGAGGAGGCTTTGGAGCTGCTGGCGGCAGGCTTGCTTGAGCTCTTGGAAGTAGGAATCGAGATGGGGACCGAGATAGGCAGCTTGAAGGAGCTGCTGGACTTGGCAGAGACCCTAGCGCTGCTCGTAGAGCTTGGCTTCTGTGACAAAGAAGACGAGCTAGACTTCTTGCTGCTCGAAGAGGACTTGGCTGATGAGGAAGAAGACTTCTTGCTCGAGGCGACAGGGCTGACAGTAACAGTCGACTTCTTGATGGTGCTTGGAGATGAAGAAGCAGTCTTAGGCAGGGTAGTCAACTTCAAGATGCTCGAAAGGGTGAGCTGCTTGGTAGAAACAGGCACCATCACTGTGGGTGCTCTGCTCTGACTGGTGCTGGACGCCTTGACACTGCTCGATGTCTTCTTTGAACTGCTGCTAGAAGACTTGCGCGAGCTGCTGCTAGATGCTTTCTTTGAAGCACTGCTCGAGGTCTTCTTCGAGGCACTGCTGGACGTCTTCTTAGAAGCACTGCTGGATGTCTTCGTCGAGCTGGTGGTAGGCGCCTTGGCGTTACTGGAGGACTTCTTGGTCGAAGAGGCCTTGGGAATGGAGAAGGTCGTAGTCGGTTTGATTGAGGAAACCTTGATGGGAGGGATGTTGATAGAAGCCGTGATGCCAGCGGAGATTTCCACGGGCTCACGCTTCTCGAAGCCCTCGCCTCTGGCGGTAAGGTCGAAGTTCTCATCTCTCTTGTCCTTGGAGTTCAAGGGAGCTGCAAGGATGAGTGCCGGGGCCAAAAGACCCAGGATAGCAGCTTGACGGGCCATGACAATTAGATTAATTAGTGAATAAAGATTATAACTGAATAAAGAATGAGTACTGAGAGCGGGGTGTGGATTGTCGAGAAAGACTATTCGCCTTGATCCTGAGAGGTCGCTGGAATGGATGAGAAGATGAAAGATAGGGCTCCATACTGCTTCTTATACTCGACGACAAGCTTGTAGTCCATCTTCTACTATAGATGGTATACCGTTTGATGTTCTTCTTCCAGCCAGTCTGGACTCTGTGTCAACCCAACAACGTCCACAATATTGAGAAGTGGATGCACTGAACGAGACAATTGCCTTGCCGTTGAATATCAACCCTGACGGTATGAGGACTATCAATTCGGGTGTCAGTAATGCTTGCTTGAACCGAATACTTGGACCGTCTGAGATCAATAGCGATCGTCAGACCGAGACTCAACTACGCGATGTGGTCTCGACAAAGCCTAGAAGACGTGCTTGCACGTTCCTGGCATGTGTTTGGTTGCCATGCTGGTTTGGGATCAACATGACCTCAAAGCAGTACTCGACGTTTGAATAGTTGCCGTTCAGGATGATGAGGCTGAACAGAGACGATGTACTAAGGTCCCCGCTCTACAATGGAGTGATTCAGTCAGACAGCTTTCTCTCAACGGTTAAGTGATCTCAGGGCTTGTGTGGAGAGGAGATTATGCTGGCAGACTCCATAGCGACTCAGTTTTTACCAAGGATGATTGAGACCTTGTCAGAGTGACAGACGCATGACGGTGACAAGATCGAACGCTCCTAACATTGTGTCCGAGTCCTGAGTGGTTTGAAAGCACTATCACAGAGAAGCAGGTGGCGGTGCTTGTATCCAGAGGGATGGCATGCCTTCCACGATATGCCGTTCCAGTGCCCCAGGAGACCCTAGAACATTCTTGTTCAGCCCTGATTGCGTATTCGTTCCACAGATCTCAACAGTTGGATATCGTGTACCTGCAGCTTACGAGGCTACAGGATCCGTGGCCAAACACGAACACTTGTCTGGGAATTCAGGGATGGACTGTCCGAATCGGTGTTAGATGCTCGATCCTACACAGGCAAAGTAGGGGACAGACATCTGGGGTCGAACGTCTGACGTCCGATGAACCGTTCCGGAAGAGCTCGGTACAAAGAGTAGGTATCATCTGGCTCGTTTACGGTTAGATCTCAGGGCCGGCGTATCCGAATCCTATACATAACGGTGTAAGAAGGCTTGACCGAGCATGCCCGACCAAACATGTGCATAGCCTTGAGAGCTGAGATTGAGACGCATTATCGTGGCATAATCATATCACACCTCACAGAATATCAGACCGAAGACAATCAGACGCGCTTGGAGCTCAGCATGAACAGGAGATTCTCTAGTGACTGACCAACGAGATACTTTGAAGACGATATTGTAAGAGAGTTACGAGCTGCGCTTGAATCGGTGTTACTTTGCTCGAAACTCCTGTCTGGCGTCTGTCAAACATGGCGTAAGATTATTGAGCGTTGCGTGAACGAGGTTACTTCAAGTAAGCTTGTCTCCTCGCCGCGATCCTAAAGGCTGGAAAGACTGCGGGAGGCCGTTGGTGGTCAAGAGTTTTGGCCAACGTACGAGTATCTTCGTTGTGGAGCTGAACCCACTCAGCTCGTGCCCTACATGTTACCAACCACAGACTAACGCGAAGGCATCTCAGAAAAACATCGACTCTCTTCCATCGATGTTTCTACTGCCGTTCTTTTCTGCCAAGACGGTTGAGAACTCCAAAACCGTGTCTCACAAGACGTGCACGCGTCGACGCCGCCTGCTACCGTCATGACCAAGTACTGACCACAGAACTGAGGTGTGGATCCAGCACAAACAATCCTTCGACAGTACGCACGTAGAACCAAACTATTGCGCCTTCTCAAAGATAACAACGAAGTGTATTTTGTGGCTCCAGTCTAGCTCCAGAGCTACAGTCTGTCCTGTTCTGGAAGGTACTACACTAACGTGGTTGATTATTGTCGACTTCGAAAAACAAGGAGCAAACACAAAACAACATGGGTGGCCGTTCTGGCTGTTTCGACTTGCCATAAAAACTGCGATGAACCTCTCGAAGCGAGCGGGACATGGCATGGTTCGAAACCTGTTCCCCGCCGGCAGGCTGCAGTCCACTCTCGATGAAGCCCCCTACCAAAAGACACTATGCTCCAAGTAGACGCGTCTGTCCTATAAGGAGGGCCTGTTGTACAACTATTGATTGCCAAGCCCAAGATACGGCGAGCATCCCCCGCACTTGTTTCAGCCGAAAAGCCGCCAGGAGCCGCGGCCTCTATCAGCCTTGGTATAGCGTACTCTCGTGCGTAACAGACCTTCCTCCATGCCGACTAGAGCCCATCGTCTTACCGAGATGGGCCAGAAAAGATTCACACAAGGGTATGGCGACTTTATCCCTGGGTACTCTGCTTCGTCCGTCTCGGCTCATTTGCCATGTTGCTTGCTTGCTGCAAGGTACGAATACTATGAGCAGCGACTCAATGCGTCCATATTCGAACATACTCCGCAGATGCTCTCCTGGATCGGCATATAAAAGTCAAAGTCGTGGTAAAGGCCCGAGGCTCGAGGACACTGAAGGTAAATGCACCAATCACAAATGTAGACCACGGGTACCTTGCATCCACAGCAAAAGTATCATCCTTCCAGAGGTTACATCGTTGACAGACTCGTCAAGAACAATTCACAAATCGACCAAGGATCTTGAAGTAACACATGCTCACTGAATCCAAAGTAAGAAGGATGGCTCTCTGCGATTGTTACAACTGCAACACAAGTTCATCACATTGAGAGGCTTCTTTATGGCATGCATCTCCGTACACATTTGATTCGGTCAAAGATGTTCGACCACTGCCCTAAGCACGTTGTAGGATACTACCCTAGATCGCTCGCTAAACACGCACCGGCTGTCACGCAGACACCGTGCATGATGCTTGCTCGCTACCTCGGAGAATATCATCGGGTTAATATACTCGACACTATGCTTCGTTTCATCCAATGCTTGATCAAATCAGCCTTGATTGATGACAGCTATCGAAGGCAGTTTAGAAGCAGTATGGGGGTCAGGCATACATAAAGGTGAGTTTCCCATGTCGATGTGTGAAGGATCAGGCCCCATCTCACCCGCTCTCGTCCGAGTCTTCTATCTATTCTGTTCTTGTTCTTCGATATGAAGCTTCTCACCATCCTGTCGGGAGTTGTGTCCCTGGCTGCCACAGTCTTGGCCTATCAGAACCCTCTTCCTTGCAGCGGCACCTGTACCAATGCTCACGATCCTTCCCTTATCAAGCGTACCTCTGATGGCACTTACTTCCGTTTCTCGACTGGAGGTGGTATTGCTGTCCACACTGCTTCCAGCGCTCAGGGCCCCTGGGTCTACAAGGGTCAAGTTCTCCCCAATGGCGCAAATGTAGCCAACTCTGGAAAGACTGATCTGTGGGCTCCTGATGTGTCCTTGGTCGGCAACACCTACTACCTTTACTACACTGCGAGCGCTTTCGGTACCCAGAACTCTGTCATTGGTCTTGCAACTTCTTCTTCCATGGACGTCGGTACTTGGTCCGACAAGGGCTCCAGTAGGCACTCAATGATTCAACCGAACAAAAACATTACTAACAATTGCCAGCCGNGTATCTCCTCCGATAGCAGCAAGTCTTACAACGCCATTGATGCCAACCTTGTCAAGGTCGGAAACCAATACCTGATGAACTTTGGATCTTTCTGGCACGATCTCTACCAAGTAGAAATGAACACCACCCCCAACACTGTCAACTCAAAGGCCGGCGGAGCCTACAACACCATCTTCAAGCCCGCCGGAACCCACGACCAGGAAGCCGCATACATGATCAACTACAACGGTGGCTACTACATGTTCTTCAGCGAAGGCCAATGCTGCAACCTAGACAAGAGCCGCCCTGCCGCTGGCCAAGAGTACAAGATCAAGGTCTGCAGATCCAACACTGCTACTGGCGGATTCGTGGACCAAAGTGGTGTGAGCTGCACTAATGGAGGCGGTACTCTTGTTTTGCCTTCGCATGGGACCATCTATGCTCCTGGTGGCCAGGGTGTCTACAATGATCCTAGCTTGGGATGGATCTTGTACTACCACTACGTTGACACTACCATCGGCTATGCTGATGGGCAGAAGCGCTTTGGTGTCAACAAGATCAAGTGGGTTAATGGTTGGCCTACGGTTTAAGCTGCTGATCTACAGATGCTGTAGTACGAGCTGCAGCCTCTTGCTTCTTCATTCAATCCTGATATCGTTCGTGGTTGCGCATATTAGCTGTCCGCAATAAAATGCATGTTTTTTTTTGCTCTAATACGATGAAACTTTGATCAGTGCACCGGGCATGATGGTTATGTGGCTAACATAATCATCACTAACGAGTATTTAATAACGTATCCTAATTCACGTATGTCTTTCTTTTGATGATGCTTCGGTATATTTCCACGTGTGGTCTCGAGGATTGGCCAAGATGTATGCTGTGTAATGTGCTTCGTTCTGGAAATTCATCCCTTGGAGTTATATCTCAAAAAGCCTCTCCCCCATGAATCCCATGATAAATTTTAAATACTAGAGTACTGAAACACACATTAAGCACTGGAGACAGGGCATTTGAGTAGATTAGGCCCGTAGGTGTTGTCGTTGTCAGTATCATGAAATCCAGCCAGGGTGGTACCACCAGCATAAGAACTTCGTCGCGACGCGTGAGTTCTCACACCTCAGCACTTGACAAGATATGATCTTCTGCGATCGAGACTGTTTTATCAGAGCTTAGGGCGTCCGCGACCTGTTCATAGTGACTTTTTTTGCGGTAAACATGGCACAGTGCGACGAGACTTTGAGAATGGCATGATTGTAATGAGGTTCCTCTGCGGCGACGTTGTGATATTGGTGAAGATGCGTCTTGTAATGAACAAGGAGCACTCCGAGTAGGGCATGCATACGTATTGCTGCTGCGTCGAGGACGTTGAGTATTGTTCCCCGAAATAGCGACATATCGACTGTCTCTGGATGTCAAAGCTATAGCAATACATGATTCTCATCAGATTAAGTCATTTCCATTAGGAGCGTACTATGCAGCTGATAGTCTGCTACATAGACTCAACTCACGATTGCAAGTCCTGTCTACTCTTGTCCCTTCACAAGGACAAAAGCCAGCTCATGGAGAAAGCGTAAGAGGCTGGCGATGAACGTTATAGGCGTTGACAAGGTTTGGCGCAGAGGATTTCAACGCTCCACGGCTCAGCGCAGATGTGGAAAGCTACAACAAGAGCTGCCCGTCCTCATCCACTCCACCCATCAAAACGTGACTCTGCACCATGTCAAGCCCACAATATAACATGGGTCCATACCATGGGCGTAGAAGCGACAGGCTCCAAGCGGCATATATTATGCTCCCGCCCTCATTTCCGCGGCGGGCCAACACGAACGAGGCTTGCCTGTCGCAGCTGTTTTTGGTAGGAAGGCGCCAACGGTTGCACCCAATTTCAGCCTATCCAAGACGATAGCCTTTATTTGTGTCGACTTTTTCGAGACAGTCGCGCTTTTTTTTGTTGGTGAGCTCAGCATACAAAACTAACATCATGGCCTCGTAGCCAGTCACTTCGTCTTCCTACACAGCACCTGTTATCTTGCATTTGGCATTGAAGCATCGAAGAGCGTCTTATACTTGCATATCATACAATTAATACCCACGACGACTGGCTCAGATGAAGCTTTCACAGTCTCTCGCAGCCCTGGCGGCATGCGCTCAGCTTGGATACGCCTTGGACCTCGACGTCTCATCACCAGATTCTGTCCGCAATGCAGCGTCGACACTCGCACATGGCCTCATGAACTACTACAAGAACAACCAGACCGACACACCGAAAGAATCGATAGGCACATTACCTTATCCGCTATATTGGTGGGAGGCTGGCGCTGTCTGGNGGGGCCTCATCGACTACTGGGCCTACACCAACGACACGAGCTTCAACGATGTTGTCATGCAGGCCATGATGGCTCAGACGGGTGCAAACAATGACTTCCTTCCCGAAGCATACTACAGCAGCATGGTACGTACAATGCCTGGATGACAACCGTCTTGTCCGAGAGTTGAGACTTACCGAGCGGATGACTGACTGGAATGATAGGGTAACGATGACCAAGCCTTCTGGGCCTTTGCCGCCCTCTCCGCACTGGAATATGGCTTCCCCGATCCTCCAGAGGGTTCGCCGTCTTGGGAGACGCTCGCTGTAAACGCCTTCGACTCTATGGCTCCTCGCTGGGACACTACAACATGCGGCGGAGGATTGAGGTGGCAGGTCTTTTCGTCCAACGCAGGGTGGAACTACAAGAACTCGGTCTCGAACGGGGGCTTCTTCCAGATGGCTGCTCGTCTGGCGCGCTACACTGGCAACAGCACATACTACGATTGGGCCGAGAAGATCTGGGACTGGGAGACCTCGACTGGTCTGATCGACAGCAGCTACCGTGTCTATGACGGCGCTAGTACCACCGACAACTGCCAGGAGATTGAGCAGCTACAGTGGACCTACAACCCGGGCATCTTCATCTACGGCGCTGCAGCCCTGTACAACTATACAAACGGTTCCTCTACCTGGGAGACACATTTGACCGGTCTGATTGAGCAAGTCGACCAGTCATTCTTCCAAGCCTTCAACAATGCTACCAACATCATGGTCGAAGGAGCCTGTGAGCCGTACAATACCTGCAACACGGACCAGTTCAGCTTCAAGGCCTACCTCGCTCGCTTCCTCGGAAAAGCCATGGTTGTTGCACCTTACACCCGCTCTACCATTCAACCCCTTCTCACTACCTCTGCTCAAGGTGCTGCCAAATCTTGCTCTGGACCAAGTGATGGCGTGACCTGCGGTCAAAAATGGTACACAGACTTTGATGGAAAATATGGCATCGGACAGGAACTTTCCGCGCTCGAAGTCACCCAGGCTCTCCTTATTGATGAGGCGCCCGAGCTGATGAATCACAACAATGTCAAGATCAAGCCAGCCACCACATCAAGCACACTCGAGCCGACTGTCAGCATCGGACCTGCCAGTGTATCTGGTATCACGAAAACATCTGCCATGACCACACCTACCAGATCAGCCACGGGCACAACGACATCCAAAGCCGAACCCTCGAGCACAGGCGCTGGAGTCATGAACAGCGCCGTTCCTCGTGTCGGTGCCTTGGTCGGAGGTGCGTGGATCGGAGCAGCAATCTTGCTGTAGACCGTCAGTTCTCTGCGGCTTCTTTCGGCACCTAGTAATGTTTCAATGCCCCTAGACTCATAGATAAAAAGCATAGAGGAGAAGAACTCCAGGATAATGTATATATATTCTTATCAATTCACCCGGTCAGAGGCTTCGGCCACAGATGACCCGTATGTTTACACAACTGTTGTCTTGGCGTCTGTTGACGAATCTCGAGAGAGATGTAGATCTGACAGGTGATCAGGCACACAGAATGTCAAATGCATTCGAAATACCAGGTCGTCTTGATAGGATAGAAATGGGTTATAGCCGAAGTTGATGTGGAGATTCGAGGCCGGGGGGTAAGATGACACCGAGGAGTGGATCGGGATGGTTTGGTAATGTCTTGTATGATGCGGGCAAAGCCGGGGAGCGAGGCTCTATTACGGAGAAATAGACAGTCCCCACGGTCGTCGTACTGCCCCTCATCAACCGCGTCCTCGACCCGATGGGCGGCATTTTGTCCGCGCGAGTTATCTTCACTTGCGCCGAGAGCCTGACCTCGGCAATGGTAGATATACAAATAAGCAGGGGGTGCTGCTGTCGCGCCCATACAGCGCCAACAATATCACATCGAAAGACTGCCAGATCAAAAGTTGAACAAGCGATCGTCTTGGTGCTTCTCCACATCTGACGTTTTGAGCTCCGCAACACCGACCAACAACTTCCTCCTTGTGACGTTGCCCGCGCTGAAGACAGTGTGTGTGTGTGTGCTTGGTTCCGCCGAGCAGTCAGACTCTTTTTAGCTGTTGCTGCTGCTGTTTCGGTTCTCTCTTCCTTCCCTCCTCTCCATTCTCCCTTTTTGTCCCACTTGATACCCAATACCCCTCACACCCCACCAAAGCCACCTTATCCTACAGCTCAGACTCGACCTCTCGCATCCCTCAGCAAACTTCACATCTCCAAGCCAGGAATGTCTTCAAACAACGAGTCCCACTCCGGCCCTGGTGGTTCGGAAGCCATCAACACCGAGATCATCACCCTCACCAGATTCCTCACCGAGGAGCAGACGAAACACAAGGAAGCCACCGGTGACTTTACGTACGTCGCTCGAGTCAATCGTGAGACGCCAAGATGCTGACAAGCTGCACAGTNNCTCCTCTGCCACTCGCTGCAATTCGCCTTCAAGTCGATTGCCTACTACATCCGCCGTGCCTCGCTGATCAACCTCTCGGGTCTCGCTGGCTCGGCAAACTCGACGGGTGACGACCAGAAGAAGCTCGATGTCATCGGCAACGACATTTTCATTTCGGCCATGAGATCGTCGGGTCGCGTGCGCATCTTGGTGTCCGAGGAAGAGGAAGACCCCATTGTGTTTGACGAGCACCCCAACGCCCGCTACGCCGTTGCTTGCGATCCCATCGACGGCTCCTCCAACTTGGACGCCGGTGTCTCGGTCGGAACCATCTTTGGTATCTACAAGCTCGCCGAGGGTGCCAAGGGCACCAAGGAGGACCTCCTCCGTCCCGGTACTGACATGGTTGCCGCTGGCTTCACCATGTACGGCGCCTCTGCACAGCTCGTCATGACCATGAAGGACGGCCCCGTCAACGGCTTCACCATGGACAGTGCCCTGGGTGAATTCATCCTGACCCACCCCGACATGAAGATGCCCACCAAGCGTGCAATCTACTCGGTCAACGAGGGTAACTCGCTGTGGTGGGACGAGCCCGTCAAGGAGTGGTGCAACTCGATGAAGGTGCCCGAGAAGGAGGGCGGCAAGCCCTACAGCGCGAGATACATTGGTAGCATGGTTGCCGATGCCTACAGAACCCTTCTGTACGGTGGTATCTTTGCCTACCCGGCCGACAAGAAGTCGCCCAAGGGCAAGCTGCGTATTCTGTACGAGTGTGCTCCCATGGCCATGGTTTTTGAGCAAGGTAAGCTAGACTTTAGACATCGCATCACAGTACACACGCTAATACCTCATCACANNGCCGGCGGTCAAGCAGTCAACAGCAGAATGGAGCGCATGATCGAGATCGTCCCCGAGTCAATCCACGACAAGTCCGGTATCTTCATGGGCTCGTACGAGGAGGTACAAAAGGTCATCGACATCCACAACAAGCACAAGAAATAAGCATATCGCACGCATGTAACGAATCCGGATGTTTGGGAGAAAGCACATTGTCCATATCTAGCTATTGTTAGCGATTACCATTGATGAACATAATTCTGTCAAAATCCCATGTCTGCTATCTCAATCGCTCGATCAAGCATGTTTTTGACCATGACAGTAGCTGGAACAACGTTGTGCTCGCGTGTAATTGGCAGCGGAAATGACTTCTTGTTCTCGCGACAGAATTGTTCCGCTCGGTTTCGGTCTTCTTGCCGATGTCCTTTCTGCCCCCACCACCCCGCCTTTGATTATCCCTCACCCATAACCGGAAGGAAGAGCCGCGTATATAACCACTACTACTTCCTCGGACTGAATAATCGATCTTGCCTCTACACTGATACTCGTTGACCAGCAACTTCACATCGCAGTCTCGCTACCAGCCATGAAGATAGCAATTACCGGAGCAGGCGGCTTTGTCGGCCAACTTCTCGCTGAGCATTTACTCAATGCTGACCACGAGGTTCTTCTCATCGACATCTTCGAGCCACCAGTACCTTCCAAGGCCTCTTCCAAGTCCTCATTAGCGACCTGCATCAAGGCCGATCTGTTCTCTGATAGCAACTCCGTCATCCCCTCTGATCTCGACGCCATCTACATCTTTCATGGCATCATGTCTGCAGGCTCGGAAGCAGATTTCGACCTAGGCTATCGAGTAAACCTGCACTCCACCCTCAATCTTCTAGAGACATTGAGAAACAAATGCAAAGGCGTCAAAGTGGTATATGCATCCAGCACAGCAATCTACGGTCAACCTCTGCCTCAATGGCCTTCAGAGTCCACGTTACCCACACCTTCTTCCTCCTACGGAACACAAAAATCGATGATCGAATACGCAATCAATGATTTTTCCCGCAGAGGATATATCAATGGTTTTACTCTGCGTTTCCCTACTATCAGTGTTAGGCCAGGCAAACCCACTCAAGCGGCTAGTTCATGGATGAGTGGCATGTTCAGAGAGCCGTTGCAGGGATTGCCTTCCTCGTTGCCTTGTGCAGATGACTTTGAAGCTTGGTTGTGTTCGCCCAGGATCTTGGTCCAGAATCTATTGCATGTGTTGACATTGCAGAGAGACAGTTTGCCTAGTCACATGCGACAGATCAATCTTCCTGGCATCACGGCGAGCGTAAAAGAAATGCTGGAGGCACTGGAGACGGTGGGAGGTAGACAGGCTGTGGACTTGGTCAAGAGAGAGCAACCGACAAGGGAAATCAAGGATATGCTGGACTCGTGGCCTATCAGATTTGATGTCACCAAAGCGATGGATTTGGGCTTCAAGAGGGATGAACAGTTTGTGGATGCGGTGAGGGATTTCAAGGATAGTCTTGATGAGTGAGATTGTGGGAGGACAGTATGTAGGACTATGAGTATACTTAACATAGTAGAAAGGAAGCAACAAACTCGGAATCTCTCCTTACGCGCCTCGATGTTCTTACGGCTGTTGATGACAGTATCAAGCATGCATGCATTCAACCTTTTACACAACAGAGGGGTGCTGCTTGCTTGCGGCAGTAGGACCAATGCCCCCAGACTGAGCATGTACAGACGTAGCTCATAGGTTCCTCAAGAGTCTGTCAGGCTTCTTTTGCACAGTGTCTTTGGCTTTTTGCCATTGCCCGAGCTTGGCGATATCTTCCAGGTGCATCTGGAAGTATGACGACGAAAAGACTTTTGCACTCATCCCGTCAAGAAGTATACGACAAACTTGTCTTTTACACCTCATTGGCGAGGAGAAGGAGGAGGCCAGACGCACCCTCGAGCTTTGTGGTCCATCTGAGCTTTGGGGTTCTGTTCTTTTCTTTTCCTTTTTTTTTTTTTTTTGGAAATTTCATTGTTCTAGTCATCGTATTGGGATGGGGAGAACAAGACTGCAGGGACAATTTCTGTCTCTTTGACGCTGGTTCTCATCTTGTGAGTCGTGTAGCTCGTGATAACAAGCTCGTCTATCGTTCTTGTCGGGAAGGTAAACGGCGGCCATGCTTATATAAGAGTCTACGGCTTGTCAGACTCAATGAATGTGTCTTGCAGGGAGTGAAAATGAAAAGGATTTAGATTTTGAGCGATACACTTACGAGTGGAGATGGATGTGATTGAGTTATTTATTGTGGGTAATTTGCTTGGTCTGAATAAAGGTGAAGAGGTTGTTGGCAGGATAACAACGCAAGAACGTGGAAGCATTGAGTTGTATGAGATGATATGATATGATAGAAACCGTGAGGAGACAATGATAGACTGGTGGTTATTGTTGGATCGTGGGGCGCGGCATGAAAGTGTATACTTCTCTCGTACTCGGGCAATTTACTTGAAGACCGTGAATTTCTGTGTTTTTTCCCAAGAGGTGACGAGTTTCCGCCATCTTGTCGTGCTTCCTTTGTATTCCGCTTGGTTTGTTGTTTGCGTCCAAGACAACTCAACACGTCCGACTTCCATTGTCATGAAAACAGACGATCTCTTCAACATCAACTATCCACCACAAAGACACCATCAAGCTTGACACTGGACAAGACACTAGGGCCCAGACCGAGGTTCGATATAAATTGGCGGCACCTGGAGCTGCTCCTGATCTGGTCGACATGAGCACCCGCAAGAGCGCGATGAGTGCTTCGAAGGCCGAGAGCGGCAACACTGGAGACATGGCAGAGTTTAACACAGCTTCCAAAATCAACGACAATGTTGCAGCCGAGTATTTTCCCCCTCATCGCTCCGAGAACATCCAGGATGTCGAAGAAGCCAGTGAGATCTCCCGTGTCTCGCCAGCCTTGTTCCAAGAAGGATCCACCGCAGAGAAGGTGCCAGCTTGGAAGGAAGTGCCGAGAAGCGATCATGACCAAGTCCAGTACAAAAATCAGTTCAGCATGACCAAGCCAATCTTCAACAGACCAAGTCAGTCTCTGAGCCCCATCAGCCAGCACAGTGCTGAGGAAGGCGACGCTCTGAACATGTCGAACGGAAAACAAAAGGCAGAGAAGCAGGTCGCTTCCGATGATCAGCTCAATGTGCCACTCACGGCTGAGGACAGAGCAAAGTCCTTCATGCGTGAACGTCTGCAACACTGGAAGGACATTCTGGAGGAACAGAAGTGCTCTTCACTTGACGATGAGTTCAAGGGGGCCAGGCTACCAGTCCCCTTAGACTTCAATGCCAGTATGTTGAGTCGCGAAGACTACGAAGAACACCTCAGAGACGCCTCCGGCTGCGACTCCACCCACGCCACCACTTCCCCGAACGTCTCTCCCTCAGAACAATCAACAGCAACAAGTGCCTTGCTCTACGGCCTCTCGGTCCTCAAAGCCGCTTTTCCAGCTCAACAGCATGACATGGTGACCTCACTCATACACCCCAAAGTCCGAGTCTTGCAGCCCAGCTTGGCGTTTGAGATGACTGCCTTGTTGCTGGAGATTGACACGACGAAGTTGTTAAGCATGACTGTTGACGAGGAGGCTTTGTTTGCCAGAGCGAAAAAGGTGGCTAGGGCCTGGGGAGTAGAGTTGTCGAGCCTTGACAATAGTCCTGATGGTGTTGCTTAGTGAAGATTTGCTCAAACTTGAAGCATGAGAGTTACGCAATGTGGCGAGGATGATTGGTTCGAACCTGATCCTCTAATTGGAGAGCTTTGGCTAATTCGCAGAGGGTGTTTTTCAGTTTGGTAGATTGATGGAAGGTGCTCGCGTTAGCAGCCCAAGAAAACGCCACTGGTTCTTTCCCTTCCCCGTAGCATTATTCCAGAACAAAAGAGTTGACTCCCTTCCTTTCCTGATTTACTGTGCAACATTTTGTGCTGCTTTTTCAGTGACCAATTGAGGACCAAATTTTGGAGATTGATCAGTGGGTGGCCTGGATCACCCGTGCACGATGTGAGACGGATGGACAAGGAATTGCGACGAGTCCATAAACTCATACCTACGACAAACAGACAATACAAGGGTGCACTCTGCTTCACTTTTATCAATCATGTCTACCATGGGATATTACCCACTCTTCTGCACCACCCCACAGCTCTCAGTAGATGTTAGTCTCATTGCATATATTGTTCCGCAAGCGCAGCCGTCTAACCATGAGATTCGGTTGATCCGGAAACTCATGACCGAGGCTAGAGATGTCGATTATAACGTACAGAACTGCTTTGTTCTTGTCGTCTCCCCTGACCAAGACTGCTTCAACAGAGGCTTGGAACCAGTCACAGAGCCCATAGCTNGTGGCTTCATTGGCGCAGAGATAGACCACCTGACGCAAGTCTCGGCGCGAAGGTTCAATGACCGACTGTCTGACGAGATTGATGACAAGATCAATCCAGACACGTTCGTTGTTGTAGACGAGCGCACTCTGGAAGACGACACTCTTCGCGTTCTCCATAGAGGATTTGGACCAGTCTACGATGAGGAGGGTGAACCCATCTCACACGAGGATGTCGACAGGCTGGAGACTGTGAGATGCGGTATTAAGCAGGTGGGATGGTTGCTGACATTGTCGCAAGAGGAAGGTATGATCCAGTTCAAGGTCAACCAGGAAATTCCATTGAAAGACGATGACGTCGCAGTATTGTAGTCTTCCACGGTTTTGTCGGTCGGTGAATGGGATGCTACGATATGTAGCCCTCTTCGAAGAAACTGCATTGAAGAATATAGCGATCGATATAGGTGCACGATGCTGATTTGCTCTATAGATCAGAACGAGCGATAACTCCATAGAACACCCTGTCCTCATGTGGCGTATGCCCACCACAAGGTATAGTTATCTCAAGTATGTAATGATTCAGCCTTTGATCATGGAGAACGAGCGCTCTCAATCGGAGAGTGCTAATACAGGTTGCCGATTGAGAGTAGAATACGGTCTCAGGGTGATATACCTGAAGAGCAAGGTCACTGAACCCAAGCTCGAGTACCTTGCTCCCCTAGCGACACCGAGCAACATGTGAATGTCGAAACGCACGATCATGTTCAACCCAGAGATGTATTCAACGAGAGCCAACGTATCGATGGCTTTCCGGGATAGTGTCTTGACTCGTGAAAGCATCGTGCATTTCCACAGTGACGCAGTTGGCAACCTCGCGTTCAGAGACAAGACAGCTTGATAGTCGTTAAGCATTGCCGGCAATGAGGTAGTCGAACTTCGAGATGTCGAAGCGATGCTAGTCATTGCTCAACGAGCAAACCCCGAGCCTACCCCTGAGCAACTGCCTGGACTCCTCTCGAGTTTGGAAACCCTGCATAAACGACTCTCTCGGAACCCACTCAGCCAAAAGTGCCGGTGTGGTCGCTAGAATAGTCAGTCGTAAAAGAGATCATCAGATATCTGGCTATGGCGCGCGAACAGCGGCAAGTGCTAGATTGAAGGCTTGTTGTTAAGAGACCGTGCAGACAGGGGAGGAAGAGAAAGCGGATTAGAGCCACAATAAGGTGATGTCGATCTGTTTAGCTGCCGGTCTGCGGCTTGGCAGGAGCGGTGGAGGACCTCGGCTCAACATGTATATACGTTGAGCATGAACGTGGAGGTGCGATAATGGTATATATGAACCCGCCGTGGGGCATTGACGAACCGTCTCGCATAGAGAGCACCAGATATACCCTGATTGGTGGAGATGTGTGATTGTCGCATTGTTTACTGCTCACACCGGTGATATGCCAAGTCGGACATATTTGTTGATGTGTCGATCACATGCGAGCCGGCATAACCTTGCAGAGACGACGTGTCAGTTGTGAGGGGTTCTTGACTGTTCTCGTTGTATCTCAACGTTCTAACAGTGGCCAAGTTACCTCTAACGTTCACCGTGCGTTATCAAAGATGACTCAAGACGCCGGAGAAATCGTCTTCTTCCACTACTCACTATCGATATATTCGCACAAAGTGCTGTGGTACGCAGACGATTCACCCGTGCATTTTCTTGAGGTAGTGCTGACGTTACTCAGGTATCTGAAGTTGGCCGGTATCAAGTATTCAGAATGTGTATGTCAAGTTCTGAGGCCAGAAGTGGCGCTGGAAGCTGATATTCATAGANTACAACCACCAATAATGCCGAGACCTGATCTGGCAGCTTTGGGGATATCCTATCGTCGCATTCCGTTACTTGCTATCGGCCGTCATGTCTACTGCGATTCGAGACTAATCCTCCAGATCCTGCAAGAAAGATATCCTCTGTTTGGAGCTCCTTTGAGCGGTCCAGACAAGGCGGTCCAAAGGCTGCTTCAAGACTGGACGAATGATCAAATCTTCTGGCATGCAACACACTGCTTACCTTTCGAACGTTCTGCAGCTGCTAGTAGCCCGGCGTTTCTGAACGACAGATCTGAGGGACTTGGCCGACCGTTCAGGATCGAGGACATGATAAAGGAGAGACCAGAATCGTATGGATACATTCGCAGCATGTTCCAGACGCTGGAATCATTCCTCGAAGATGGCCGTGATTGGATTGTTGGCAGCGCAAACCCGTCGCTAGCAGACATTGATGCCGTGTACATTGCGCAGTGGATCGTGACAAGCCCGTTGATGGAAGGCGTAACCCCAGAGCGGTTCATCTCGGAGAAGCTGTTTCCTTTTACCTATGCTTGGATCTATCGCTTCAAGCAGGTGGTGCAAGATGCCGAACCCGGAGCACCTGTGCCTGGTACTTTGAGTGGCAGAGAAGCTCTCGACAAGATCACCTCTGCACCAGCTACGGCTTTACAAGGCGATATTAGCGACACTGACCCGCTCAATCTCAAACTCGGTCAGACAGTCGATATTTATCCTACTGACTGGGCATCGAAGCATGTTGACCGTGGTGAGCTCGTAATGTTGGCAGCGAACCAGGTGTGCATTCGAAATGCCCGAGGTGTTCTAGTCCACTTCCCTCGCTGGAACTTCCGGATCCAGGTAGCGGAGGAAGGCGGATCTTCCATCAGTGTCACTAAGGCGGATGGTCTACCACTACTGGATCGTCCTCATCGGCTGTTCTACCACCCGCTTTCTCCATTCTCGCGCAAAGTGTACATGGTCGCTCTCGAATTGGGCACCGCGGATCGAATCGAGCTTCAGACTGTGGTCGTTGCTCCAGTCAAGTATCCAGGATGGTCTGATGATGTGCCCACCGTCGCCGAGTCAAACCCTCTGGCGAAACTACCGACTCTAGTCCTCGGCAACAACGGCGATGGCGTTTACGACTCAAAGGTGATCTGCGATTTTCTAGAAGACGAAGCCTTGACGGACAAGCGGTCTGACCCTCGACCACGCAATTGGCGATTGAGAACTCTTCAGGCTTGCGCCGACGGGATGATGGAGGCGCAAGTGCTCATTCTGTACGAGAAGAAGATCCGTGCTGAAAACAACATTGCCTACCAAGCCTGGATTGATGGTCAAACCGAGAAGATAATGCGGGGATTTGACCAACTTGAGCTTGAAGTTGGTCGTGGCACGCTTCAAGCTCCGGCTAATGATTCACCAGCATCAGCGGCTGAATGTGCGGTGGCTGTTTGTGTGGCCATGATGGATATTGTTGAGGTTCAATGGCGCGACGACCGACCACAACTGGTAGAATGGTTCCAACGATGGCAAGAGAGGGATTCCTTTGTCGAGACTCGCCCCAGCGTGAATTGGAAAACCGGAGAGGCTGCCGATATTGGATTTGGCCGAGACGTGCTGAATGGCAAAAAGGGTTGAGAGAAAGACTTGTAGCTACTTGATAGATGATGTGAGCGGCCAAACAGTCCGGTCGAATGCTAGGCCGTGCTTCCAAAGTCTGGATCAACTTCGTACGTGCGCTGAACGATGGAGTGCAGAACAAATCGGAGATGGGTTTTTGAGACCCTGTCAACCTGTGTGGCTGCAGGAGGTTTGGGCCGACTTCTGCACACGCAACATGCATATGAAGATCGACCGAGCCGTGTCTTTCTTGCAGGTCGAATAAACAAGAGTACCGAGATTTGTCCGTGCACAGAGTTCTTCTGCCTCGAAGATTTCGTGATCTTGTAGAAGTCAGAGACGTAGGTGGATATGGGCAATCTGAAAAGCGGGCGGTAGAATGTTGCACCCGAGATCAGTCCACAGACAAAAAGCAGGAAGTGAAACAAAAACAGTGCACAGCTCGTGGAGGTTTCGTATTTTTGGTGCTCCTCGGGTTCGTCCAGGAACCAATGACTGACTCGGCTAGATGTGCCTTGCGTGCGAGTAGGGCATTATGGCGCTAAGGTCGTGGAATGCTGTTACACAGAGGCACGACGATAGATGAACTCACGTGGGTCGCTCGAGCGAACGATCAGACTGTACATTGCAAGTGTGTGTCTCCCTTGTGCGGCAGTACTTCAGCTGAAGCCTTGCGGTCACCTTGCCAGGCCTTGACCGGTGTCGTTGGGGAGGATTGAAGAGCAGTCTAAGCCGTGAGCCGAAGAATGCGGGAACATGCAGTAGAGTCTGGGTGTGCCCGGCGGCTTGAGAGCAACGACGCTATCCTAGTTGGTTCACTTGAATCGTGAGCGAGTCGCTCTTCCTTTTCTGCAACGTCGGACTTGGCGGCAGTGCGAGATGGTCGTCCAAGCGCCTTCCCTGAGCGCAGTGAGTTTAAGCTTCGGACTTTCAGGGTTTCTGCCACCGTTTTGTAGACAACGGTTATCTCCTCTGTCTGAGGCTGAAACATAAGCTACCAGGCAGCTTCCCAGCCTGCGAATTTCTCGAAGTCGACAAGAACAAGTCAGCCCGTCAGAGCCGCGACGAGGATACATGGCATGTCGAGATGACAGGATGTCACGCACTAGATCGGGCCTCTACGGGTGGGTGCTTTGTGTCTTGTAGTCGCTAGCTGGCCCATGCATGGGCTAAAAGCTAGCGCGTCCATCGACCCCGCCCCGCATGGTAGCAGCAGTGGTGCTTCACCGCCATTTCAAGACCATGTCCTCTCGCTAATACCTATATGCCACGCTTCCTCGTGCTGTCCTTTTGCAACAAGAGCAGCGGTCAGCGAAACCATCGCTGCGCAGCCCATCCAGTGCCTTTCTCGTCGACCAAGCTGTGTGTGCGACGGAACGCCTTGGACTACCTACTCTGCCCGAGATTGCTTGCATCCGTGATTAGTATAGTCAGTCACCATGGACAACCTCGACTTCACCCACCCCGACAACCTTCTGGCTTTTGGCGATTATACCGATCCTCGCCACGCCAACTCCTATCCCCCGGCATCCTCCTTGGCTTCGCAGCAGTGGGCTTTCACCCTCGACTCCCTCGACCCGACCATGGCCCACCAAGCCCTCCAGTCGCAACATCAACATCACCACCACCAACATCAACATTCACATCAACTCGAGCAGCCCGTGTCGCAACATCAACCCTATCTCGACCAGAAGCAACATGTCGATTATGCCGTCAACCAGCACGACCAAAAGCCCTACGAGACCCACAGTGTGTCCGCTCCTGTCGAGTCTAATGCCATGCACCTCGCCTACGCCCAGCAGCAAATGAACCAGGCTGCCGTTCTCAATCCCCAGTGGCACTTCCAATTCCCTGCCCAGCAAGCTTTCAGCCAGGACGCCACTCTGGATCGCACCTATGATGCCTCGTATGCCATGCCGATCCAGCAAGTTACCCCTCAATATATGCCCGTCTCGGCTGAGAATGCCATGGCCATGAACTCGACTGCATACATGACCATGGCCGGGCCTATGGAGTCAATGAACGTCCTTTCGTATCCCCTCAACGACTACCAGAACGAGCTTCTGGCTTTCCAGATGGGTATGGCTGCAAATCCCAATGTCCAGCCCAGTCTGCACAGCAATTCCCCCACTGGTTCATATCTGGAGATTCGTTCTTTGTCGAGTAGTGACAATGGCTGGACGGCTGTCGACTTCCCCGTCTCGAGGCATTCCCTCGGCTCTTACATCGAGGCCAACAACAATGCCATCTTCAACCCTAGCCAGACTCTCCATATTCGCAGTGCTTCTGACTCTTCAAATGACGACGCCAGTTCTGCACAGTTGTCGAGTAGCTACGAGGAGATTCCCTTCCCGTTGTTCTCGCCCGTCTCTGATGGCTTCAGTGCCGCCGACTATGTTCAGCACAGATCGCATCACTCCAGAAATTTCTCATCCGACTACGAGCACGACTACCTGTCACACTCTACATCTTCATCGCCTTTGGCCAGTCCTGCTGACGGCACTCGTCCTTCTACCTCTCAAGCAGTGCAGACTTCCACCATCTCCTCAAACGCCTCAAGCCCTGTGTCGCCTCCTTTGAGAAAGCGCAAGACTCCTACTAACGCTCTTGCGAAGACTACCAAGTCAGCCATCAAGAAGGCCAGCCCTCCTGCTCGTAAGGACGGTGCTCCCGAGAAGCGTGTTGGCAAGAGAAAGGGTCCTCTTCGCGCCGACCAGCGTCAGCAAGCTCACGAAATTAGGAAGCTTCGCGCCTGTCTTCGTTGCAAGTTCCTCAAGAAAACTTGCGATAAGGGCAACCCTTGTGGTGGCTGCCGCCCTTCTCATGCCCGCCTCTGGCAAGTCCCTTGCACGCGTATCGACATCAAGGATATTGGCTTCTTCATGAAGGATTGGAAAGCAGACTACGAGCGCCACGTCAACCTCGGTGTCTCCGCCGCCAATATCAAGGGCTTCTCACCCAACGAGCGCACTGTTTACATCACTCACGGCTACGGTTACTTGTTGCCCATCAATGTTCGCGAGGTCTATGTTCGTGACGACACTTGCTTCAACATTGACTGGTCCGAGAAGATCAACGATCCTATCCAATTCGAGACGCATACCTCCAAGCTGTCGGCAGGTATGGAGGGTGTGTCGGCTTCGAGTCTCTCGGACTATCTGGATTGTCACCTCGACAATGGGTTCGAGTCATTTGTAGATGGCTACTTCGAAGGTACTCCCTTCTTGACCGAGATGCTCAAAACCGCCTACCACTACTGGGTCAAGTCCAAGTCGCTGGTGATCCGCAAAGCGCTCAAGTTGGTTCTCGCATACAACCTGACACTCCACATCACCATGATTGAGGGTTTGTCCGAGGAAGAGGCCAACGTCGGCAAGATCGAAGACGAAGATAGCAAGTTCTGTGGTAAGACCGTAGCACCTGGAATGATCAACTTCCAGGTCAAGATTGCTTTGGCCGACATGTGGAGAGAACTCCAAAAGGATGTTCTCGAGGAGCTCTCAGCACTCTACTCGTCGGTATACAGTGGAGAGAAGCTGAAGAACTGGCCAACCATCTTCATGCTTGCCGCAATCCTGCTGGCTGTGTGGGAAGAGATGCAATTCGACGCACACTACCGCACACCTGACGAGACCGCTGTCAACCAATTCTGCAACGACATGGAGAGTACTCCTGTTGGTGTGATTGTCGGTTTATTTCAAGCCATCAGCCAGAAGTTGCCCAACTTCATGGAATGGGACACTCTTAGTCACCACCAACTTCTCAACTCCGATCCTGCCATCTGCGATGCGTTGACCGAAGTGAAAGGACATGTCACCAAGCATGGTGAGTTTATCAAAAAGTGTCACTACGACGACTGCATACTGACATTGATCCAGNAAAAATACCTCCGATCTAGATCGGAAGCCAAGTTCGACCGCAATGACTTCGACTGTTTGTCCAACAAGTTCCTGGCTAGACTTGTCATTCGTGCAAGCTGATCACTGTAACGACCACCACGCACACTAACGCCCAATGACCTACTCACGGCCCCAAGATCTACGCCACGCTATGCAACGCCGTCTCATGTACTCCGGCATGCTTTATGACACGACTTTGTCTTTCACGCACCGTCTAGCGAAAGCGTCTCCCAACTTCCTGTTATTTGTTTTCTCGAGATTTTCCCAGTTTCTTCACTTCATGTCAATAGAGATTCCCTATTCGTGGTTCCGATTTTATGATATGATGGCACCTTGATTCTCTCGGCTTCTTGTTTTTCCATGTCTTTTCCCCTCATCTACTCCTCGGCGAACAACGGACGCGACTCAACTGCAATGAGGATTACGATTAGGACATGACTCTCGACGGTTGTTTTATGTTTTGTTGATTCATTAGAGTTCATTGTTATGGTATGCTCTCTCAAGAGATGGAAGGAATGGAAAGTAGTAGCCAGAAAGGAATATCATAAACTTTAACACACCTTTTCCTCGAATGTCCAAACAAGATGCGAGTTGTACTCTAGTAAATTCGAGAGAGTTGGTATGTTTCTACGTTGCCAAGGCGTGCGAAAACGCCCGGTCCGGGTTCCTTGCATGGGCGGCTGAAAGTGAAATTGGGTGGAAGAAGGGTCCCGACTCCCGAGGCGCAGCAGCAGCGATGGTCCCTCTCCTCCGTTCGAGTTCTTCCTGACCTCAGGTTGTGGGCGCACCAATACTGTAGTGTTCAACCTGTGTGTGCTTTTTCTCACCGCCGCACTCTATCCGCCCGCGCAACTCGAGGTCTGGACGTACTCAGAGCCCTGGTGGTGCGAGTTTTGCCGCTTACGCTCCTTTGATTGTTCTTGCGGCTTTGTGTGGTTTGGATTCGTGTTTTTGGTGAGTGCGATTTCACAGTACATCTATACCAGTGTAGCACAATTATCACGATATGTTTTGTAACGATAAGCCACGAATGGGTGTCCCATCGTCGCAAAAATGGGTTCTTGTGTTGAAGCTCATGGCACGGGTCGAGCAACGAGTGAAGGAAGCTGTGAACTGACTCAACGTCCAGCAATCGCACTTTCCACTCCTCTCAGCACAACCAGACGTGTGTTTGCGGATCTGGTTTCCCAAAGCTCTATCTACTCTCTTCATCACATTAGCAATATCAAGTAAGTCTCACCTCTCTCAGCATCGGGTTCACCCAATGTTGGCCATCACAATGCATAATATCATCAAGACTAGCCCTTGCTCCGTCGGGAGCTGGCTTCTGCTCCACTCTCCTTCAGCTTCCCTATCAGAGCAGCTACCACTGTGTTTTTGTACAGCCTCTCCTTACGTCCATACCGCCTGGAGGGAGACCAGTTCATAGAACTGACGATCGACTAGTTCCCCTTGATTATTGATACACTTCACGCGATATGCAATACACTATCATCACCTCTCTCCTGGCTGCGCCATTGTTTGCGCTTGCTCAGTTTCCACCGCCAGTCGAGTATTCAAACATCCTCAAGTCGCCTATCAACGAGAATATCACAGTTGCGTACAAGACTCCACCTGCTGGCACGTGCACCACAGCTTTCAGCACCCAGAAACAGTTCACTGGCTACATCGGTATGTCTCATGGTGCAAAGACTGCAACTTCTGCTAATTCAACAANNGGCCTGCCACCCTTCACGCTACAGCCGATACAGCAAAATTACTCCATCAACACCTTCTTCTGGTTCACCGAGGCAAGACAAAATCCTGAAACGGCTCCATTGACTATCTGGATCAATGGCGGGCCTGGAAGCTCTAGTTTGATCGGAATGTTTGCTGAGAATGGCCCCTGCGAAGTCATTCAGATGGCAGACGGCAGCTATGGCACTCAGGCACGTATGTGGGGCTGGGACAGGAGCTCAAATGTCCTTTTCATAGACCAGCCGACCCAGGTACGTACTCACTACCTTGCTTTTGCGACGAGGCTCAAGGATAAAGTCAATCATTGGGAAAGCATTGCTGATGAATCAAAGGTTGGACTTTCCTACGACTCCCTTACGAACCTGACCTACGATCTTTTCGAAGATCAATATCTGCCGTACGACTTTCAGAACGACACTTCTGGCAATACCAGGCCCGCTTATGCACTTATGAACGGAACCTTCAGCTCTGGCGATCCTGAATTCACCACCAACACGACCGATATCTCAGCTAGAGCTGCGTGGCATTTCCTCCAAAGTTTCTTGGCCGCGTTCCCACAGTACAACCCAGGTGTCCGCCCGAACAGCTCCCATGTCTCGACTACTGGTGTCAATCTCTTTGCTGAGAGTTATGGCGGCACATACGGTCCAACCTTTGCCAATTACTTCGAGGAACAGAACGCAAAACGCGAAAACGGCACCTTGCCCAAGAACTCCACCTTGGAAATCAAGCTCACGTCCTTGGGAATTGTCAATGGCCTCATCGACTCATTGATTCAGGACTACTACTACGCTACCTTCGCCTACAACAATACATTCGGCATCCAGACAATCTCACAAACAGACGAACTCAACTTGATCGAGCAGTATAACAATCAGTGCAGCAGACAGACCAATCTATGTCGCGCAATCGCCAACGGGACCGATCCAGAGGGTGAAGGCGACAGTGCGCGGGCCAACGTCGCATGCCAAGCTGCCACCTACTACTGCAATAGTCTGATGAACCCTTTTCAGAAGAGCAATCTCAGCGTTTACGACATCCGTGTCAAAAATCCCTCGCCGGATCCATCTAACGCCTACTTGGAGTACCTCAACACGGCATCGGTGCAGGAAGCCATCGGCGCTCGCGTCAACTACACAACCAGCAGCAGTGCTGTGATGAATGCCTTTGTCATGACAGGAGACTCGATTCGAGGTGGTCAGATTCAAGAGATTGCCAACCTCCTCCGCGCTGGAGTGCGTGTATCTCTGATGTATGGTGACGCTGATTATATTGTACGTCCTCCCCTTTGTTTCATCTTATCTCTGCGGTCACACTCTTGAGCTTGGAAGCAAACTTGCATCTCTATAGCTTCCAAGCTCTTCATGTGTTGCCGTAAGAGAGGGTCTGAATCATGAGATCGTGACAGTCTCTGGCACACAAGCCTGAGATCCATAATCGTCCCAATGCTGACAAGTATACTAGNNTGCAACTGGAAAGGTGGTGAGGCTGCCTCGTTCGCTGTCGCAGCTGCTCTATCGGACTTTCCTTCGAACGGATCGACACCCTCGTACCTTGCTGGCTGGAACAGTGCGGGTTACGCGGATATCGTTGTCAACACGAGTTACGTTGGAGGTGCTGTACGTCAGTTTGGTAACTTCTCGTTCAGCCGAATCTACGATGCAGGACACATGGTGCCATTCTACCAACCGGAGACGGCCTTCACAATTTTTACACGCATCATCGATGGTACCGAGTTGAGCACAGGAGAACCGATTGACCTTTCCGACTTCAAGTCATCCGGCCCAATGAACTCGACCCACATGAACTCGCCGCTTGCTAAGCAGCCTGCACCGACCTGCTGGATCCGCGCAATGCAGGACACTTGCTCCGCTGAGCAAATCGAAGACATGCAAGAGGGCAAGGGTATTGTGGCTGGAGGGATATGGTACTCGAATTCGAAGCAGTACAGCGCTCCTAGCAGTACCGTGACTGCAGGCAAGCCTGGTACACCAGTGACTTCATCTTCGACGAGCTCGAGGTCCACCAGTGGTAGCACCACATCAACCGTTGCACTGACTGGAGTGTTCACAGCGACTGCAACTCCCAGTCCCACTCAAGGAGCAGCTTCAGGAGCACATGATGCTATGCACGAGTGGATTCAGAGTCTACTTGTGTTATGTGCTCTCGTGGTGGTAATGTGAATGGAGGGTTTGACAAGACTTTATTATTGATACCCTATTGAATTGTGCAAATGGCACGGTACTCGTCCAAACCACAGTAATTGTCCAAAATGCTCCTGCCCTCAGAAAGTCTCCTCACGAGACAAAGATCGAAGTGAACTGTGAAAGGTCAACGAAACTCACACTCTAATGATGGTTACACCTCCTGCTATTGACGCAAACAGTAAAGATGACTTTGTTTGAGAGCGATGGCTTAGAGTCAGATGAGCGAGAGTCGTGCAGAATCGCTAGCATCATTTCTCAATGTGTCGATAGTGGACAATGATTGCGAGATGATCATGTTCAAGTCAGGGTCACCCTACCAGAATCAACGAAGTTCTTTTGTACCATTCTCTTGACATAATCGCGTATGGCAAGGACGTGAAGGATTTTGCAAGAAAAATGATAGGACGAACTGTGGTGATGGCGGCTTGCAGGTTGTCGTCAGCCCTATGGAAAGAATCGGTCATTATCACCTCAAGGCTAGAAAATTGGCTTTGGAAGGAGAATCGACCCATCGCCTCTTTGATCAGCACAGCCACGTTGAGTGCGATTTTTACTACTCCAGATACACTCTATTGGCAGTGTTGCGCGTTCTACACGCCCAAAGACTCGGCGGTGGTGAATTGAAACAGGCAGAAGAAGATGAAATCGATTTTCTTGGGGAGGATTTGAAATCTGGAGAGTTGAGAAATCCTCCTCACCTCATCATCGAACAGCTTCTGATGCTGCCTGATGTGCACGATACGCATCGTCCAAGGATGATCTTGTGGATGATCTTGTAGACAGTATGCTACACAGTCATTGGTGATCTTTGGCGATGAGGTGCTGGCGCAATCCTCTTACAAAAGGCTTCGTGGTATGGCAAAAACGACGGCTTGGCATCAGGTTTGGTACGCGCGGCCAGGCATCTGTACACGCGCTCAATGGTATCGAATTCAAAATGGCTTGATCTAATATGTATCGTTACTCTTCGCAGTCTTCTCAACTTCCAATACCATACGTAAGGCGAAATGCCACGCCTTCACCATCTCTTCCCTTTGCTTGTTTCCTGGCTTGCTGCTGCAAACCCCTTGCCTACTACCAAAAATGCCGATCTAGATGCTACCCAACATGCAAACCATATCTTCAATGCGGTGCACAGTTCTCTGCGCCAGTTTGGATCGAGTCTGAACCATAATGGTATGAGTTTGTTTATCGCTACGGTGCCAGAGGGCACGGAGTTTTATCATGGAACTGAGAAGAGCGAGCGTGTGGAGGGAATGCAGTGGCTTGCTTTTGAGCCTGAGCATGCTTTGATTTTTGCGAGAGGGAGGAGGGGACCGCCGCCTGGTGATGGTCATGGACCTCCTGCCGATGGTCGTGGACCTCCTGCCGATGAAGAGGGAGATGAGACGGCTGAAGGAACCTCATCCCAATCAGAACTGGAGAGCGAAGACAAAGAGAAGCACCATATTCCTGAGGGCCGACCGAGACATCGCGGAGGCAAAGATGGCAAGAGTCGGATCGGTAAACCCCATGGCGACAATGGATGTCATGGCCCTTCTCGTAACGACTCTCGTCCGGATGGTCCGCATCATGGTCCGCCACCACCACCACCTCATCGTGGCCCTCCTGGACACCACCACGATGATACGCCGAGACGCTGCCCTCCTGGAGAAGGCCATCTTCCATGTCCCGGACCTCCAGACNGAGGGTCATCACAAACCTCCTCGTAGAGGTCCTCCGTTCGAGCATCATGGACCACCCCCGATTGGTTCAAGCACCACGATGAGAACCACGATGAGAACCACGATGAGGACCACGATGATCGCGACCATCCCGAGCACCACGGATCACCACCTCATGAGGGGTTCGACGGACTGAGTGGCCCACACCACGATCATCCTGATCACCATGACTTCCCCATACTACCAATCGGTTACTGGGTTCATCGCCTCGGAGACCTGATGCGCAATCCAAAGCGGCGCCATGTACCTCCTCCAAAGGATATATCTTCCAAGCCCATGCAGTCTGAGATGATCGAAACACGAGCAGAGCAAGAACCGCTGGCTCCAGGCAACCCTGGAGACAACAACTCAGGGTACTTGCACACTTACCGTACGAAACACAATCTGCGACTACTCTACGTGGATGGTCAATCCGCTGCAAAGTCCAAGAAGGGCACTCTTGACACTCAGGATGTACTGCTTCTGGAGAACAGCATCGATAACGACTCTGGCATGTTTGGCGAGAGAGAGCGCGCCGAACAGCTCTGCAAGCTGGTTCACGAGCAATGGGATGATAGTATCGACGGCATCCTTCGCATGGAAGGTGGCTTCGAGATTATCTTGTGCGACTTTGCTGCTCATCTCGATGTTGTCAGTATTGCTAAGACGAACCCCAAAGCTGGTGGCGGCTTTGGCGGTGGTGCCGACAATGGAGATGGCTTCAACTACTATCGCGCTGTTGCTGCTCGCTATCATGGTGTTGGTGGTGGTCGTGCTGTGCTGGACTATGAAGGGTTTGTCTCTGCCTTTGCGTATCCGGAAGCCGTCACATTCGACAGTACTGGTCGTCCTCGTCTCAACAACGAATCTTCTGCTATGGACAGCGTGCGTCAAGCAGTGGATAAGATGATCTTGCAAGAGGAAGAACGTACTGACTCTGTCAACTGGCAAGCCATTACCGATATGGTAGTCGCACGCTATGCCGACCGTATCGAATACCTTGCTTCGGGCTCTCTGACAACTTTGTCAACGTTAAAAGCAGAGATTGAACGTGCGCTTCGTCCGTTCATCGACTACAGTGCCCGCAACAGCAGCTCAGAGATTGAACGATGTGCTTCCCAGTTCATCCCTGGTCATGTTTCCTCTACATCTACGATTGTAGCAGCTCAGGCAATACGTCAAGTCACACGCACCCTCTGCTCAAGCTTGATGATTGCATCCGAGCAAACAGACTACACTACTGCATTCGATCAAATCAAACAGCTGAAAGAGTACCTGGCCTGGACCACATGGAAGCAATGCCGTGGCTGTGCTGCAGATGAGATATGTTTCTTGCCCATCTGGCCTGTCGGTACAGCAGAGGACTTTGAGCAGCCGAAGTGCAGGTCTGATGTTAGTCTTGCACCTGGAAATGGTGGTGGAGACCGCTATTGGAACGATCTTGGTGGACCTGGAGGCAAGGGTCCTGGGCCACAGAAGCGTAGGAAAAAGAATATTTGAGTAATTAGAGGTGGATAGGTGTTAATTGTTCCGGACGTGTTTTGTTTTTCGATTCTCAATACCCCTTGTTAAGTTGTTGTTGTTCTTTCTTTTGTCGTCTCTTTGGTTCGAGGTATGCTGCGATTAGTTTTGACACAACGTTGTTGAGTTCATCTTCGTGGTTGCTTATTGAGATGCTCGTATCTTCGCAATACACAGTTCATCGAGTGGGACATTTTTCGCAAGATCATGATCGTTAACGATACAAACGCGACTGTCAACTGAGGTCAGCCATCAACACCAACATCGATTTTCACTTTGGAGCTTCTTATTTCCAAAGCCTTCCTGTCCTCGAGTCAGCAAAAAGTCTATCGCGGCGCATTCCCTGATCCAGTTGCCGACTGGCGGCCATAGAGTCCAGAATCTAGACACCGTCGGCGCTTTGCCTCGTCTCGAGCTCTCTAGACTTGACGACTCGGCTGCTTCTCCTCCACCCTCCCTGTTTTGCTCCCGCAAGTGCTTCCGCCTCCGTGCTTTTGCTTTCTGTCCCCCGGCCTCTTCACATGTTGTGCCAAGATTTTGTGCCGTTTTTGTTCACGAAAAGTATTCGGAAAGAGCAGGGGGAGTTCGGGGTGGTTCTCGGCAACTGGTGCGCGTGGGGCGTGTGGAAGTGTCGGTCCGAGGGTTGGTCGGCATTGGGTGTCGTGATGTGGAGAGGCCGAAGTGGAACAATAAATTGTAGACATGGCAGACATGGTAGAGTGGAGAAGGAACTGTGATGGGACTGAGATCGCCGACTGGCATTGTTATGAGTTTGTGTGGGAGAGAGATTGGCGATTGTTAGCAGGTATGAGTATCGGGATGTGGAGGAGCAGGTATTCTCATACGCTGCCATAACTTCCAGCAGACACGACAGAATTGGCCAGCGAGGTGCTTAAGGATCCAAGTCTGGTACGGTCTGCGCCAGGTGTATCGGATAGAGCACCGAAGCTCGACGACCAAGATTACATAGCAGTAGCATTCGCAGTTATGCTCGCAACAATTGTCGCAAAGTTCTCGTAAAGTCGTGAACTTTGAACCACATTGAAGTATCTCGGTCCGAAGATGCTTCTCCTTTGCACCACTCCGGCGATTCTTTACCACTTTTTTCTTAAATTTTAGACACTTTTGGTTTTTTCACTCAATTTCGGAGCATGCTCCATCCTACATCATTCGTCAAACCTCGAGACGCGGGGCCCATGCCCGGGTTAATGGAAACATAGAGCCGCCTGCCTTGGCCTGCGTAAGAAGATACACATAATGACGACGATGTATGCTTGTACTCATGGCCGTGAGATGCCGACGCGACATGTACTCCAGGTACCTGTAAACTCTCTTCCCATGCATCGAAGGCGCATCGAAGATTCTTTCTTTGCATTGTGATGACGGAGGCGTTTATTGTCGTTCCTTCGCGAAAGGGGTTGGGATATTTGATCGTTGGGATATGAGAGGAGAAAGAGTTTTCATATGCTCGATATAATTGACCGAGCGTGCCGAAAGGAAATGGTTTGCGAACCGGCTGCATCTTCTGGTTCTGGTGGTCCGGAGCCTTTGAAAATTCTTTGGAGCACCGACACAGCATGTAGTTTAAGCAATGGACAGCCTGTAGTCTGTCGTGTCTGCGCATCGCACGACTCTCGGGGTATCGGAGCAGACAGATCTTCGAAACCAGAATTCTCTGATGTTTGGACGAGAAAGAAACGGAATGTGGGCCATCCCCCAGGGCCCCGTTTAACCCCACAGCCGGGATCTTGCCCTTGTTCTCTACCAAGTGGAGACGAAGTGTATCTCACATCCGAGATCATCCTCGCTTGCTGGAGGAGTTTTTCGATATACGGCCCGATCAATCATGCTCATGTCCATTAAGCATACAACATGAGGACAACGGCTTCGTGTGTGTGTGTGTGTGTGTGTGTGTGTGTGTGTGTGGATGTGTCGTTAACGTCTATATGGACGGCAAATTACAACCACTAAGTGCTGCAGTCGATATGTATGTTACGAAGTTACCCTCCGTTGTGCACATCTGTAGTGTCTTGGACGATCAACTGACAATATCTTCTCTAGCCTCGATGTGACCACAGCCGTGTTTATCCTCGAGTAAGCGAGGGAGTTGGCCTTTTGATAGGACGTTCACTTTTTACGTTCCAGACCAGGCAGACTCCCAGAACGTCGAAGAGCTGCATCAATCCTGTCCATGTGACCTTATATGGAGAGAGATGGTCGTGATTCGAGGGTTTTGCTGCACGAGCATTGGCGTAACTGCTCGCTGGTCTTTTCCTCCGTCTTTGGACAGACCACGACAGACCCAATTCTAGGCCACTGTACATGAGTCGTCTTCAGATTCCAGATATGCTCCTCTCTGGTGACAGAGATGGGCCTGACACTCCCTGGTGATAAGCACGACGATCTTGTTTGCCCAAAGTCAACGCAGGCGGCCATCGACCTCGATGCATGACGGCGGTTGTTACAGACTGTTTATGTTTGAAGTCTCTGACCTTTGGAGAAGCGCCGACCACTCGGTCTTCTCTGCGGCTGGGACCTGGCTAACTACGTAGTGCCGAGCAATTACCCCGAGTCGGAAAGAGGACCAAGCACGCATCTTCCCCGGCCTTTCTCGGTCCCACGCAATTCGTGCTCTCGGCAGAAGTCCGTTTCTGTAGATAGCGCGCAAAACATCACCTCATGGGAGAGCCAACTGTCGGCCCGGCAGTAAGAGTGCGGGTTGGCGCGGGTTCTTGTCGTTGTTGTGTGTGGGGGATGAGGCGATCCACTGTGGTTTGCAGGACCGAGCAAGATCTGACGATTTCTGTATTTCTTCTCTGCTCTTCCCTCCGTTCCTTTCTTCCTGCTCCTACCCTGTTTCCGTAACTACGTACCGACTGCGAAAACCAACACACCTTCAAACGTCTCAGCACATCAGCCTTTTTTGCTTTTACTGCCGTCAATCCCCAGATACCCCACGCACTCGCCGATCCGTCGACATTCGTCTGCGCCTATCACGCGGGTTTTGTCCGTCCTTCCATCCGCCCTTCTGCCAATCACCACGTCTTTAGCCGGCCTCTCTACCAGCCCTTTGAGCGTTGGAACCTCCCTCGGCTCATTTTTCTCCCACACACGACTCGTTATTCCCAAGTCGGCCGAGAGCACAGTGGTCCCTGACAGCCGATCCTCACACCCACTTGACTCGCCCTCGATCCCACATCCCTTTCAGTCGTCATAACCGACTCTTTTTCAGCTCTTAAAGTCCAGCCCTCCCCTGGCTCACTCTTCTCCGCATTCCTCCACAAACTTTCTCCAGCTTATCACGTCGACTTGCATCCATCAAAACACAATGGACTCCCACTCAAACCAACACTTCTACGCCTCCCAGCAAAGACCTGCCTACCCTCAAGCATCTTACAACCAATCCACCTTCACAAGCTCGGCTAGCCTTTCATCTCTGGCTTCCATCAACACCAGTCCTGACCAGACCAACATGAGCTCTCGTCAATCACCTACCTTGGTCTCTGCCGCGCCCGTGTCGTCGCCTTCGAGTCAATCTCAATTCTCGTTGCCGCCTGCAGAGAACAACTACTACCAGCAAATGCCTCAGTACCCTCAGCAACACCGCGGCAGCTTCTGCGAAGAGCAAAGACCCAGAGGCCTGAATGACGCATCACCTTTCTTGCAAGACTTCAGCCTTCTTGCTGAGGCTGCCAAGCGTGCGCAGATGGCAGTCATGATGAGAGACTTTGACGACATGGAGATGTAATGCGAGTGTTTTCTTCACTGAGACGACTTCAAAGCATGCATTATCAGTGCGTTACGGGTTACGATTGGATGACTACTGGGACAGGAGGCGTTTTCACGAATTGATGTGATTTTAGTATGGCGTTGGTTGGCGGCTCATGATTGATGATGGCGAGCGGCCTGGAATTGGGACTTTTAGAGATTCCCCATGAATTTTGTACAACAGCAGTTTATCTCTTACAAGGACAGGACCTCGCAAGAGGCAGAATACAAAGTATTCCAAAGCATCTCAATATCTTTGTGCCTCTGTGATGACCTTGCACAGCGTCCCCCAGATTCGATCAGAGCACCGATTGAGTTACCTGGGGGCGGCAGCCTAGCCGTGCATACCGTATTCTTAGCACGACAATCGTCATGGCATCTCGAGCGCTCGAGGCGGCGATTATGACGAAGTTGTGTCAGTGCCTGACAGAAGTGAATCAGACAAGAAGATGGCAGAATCGTGTCGCGACGTGGAAAAGATGGAAAGTGAAGAGAGGGCACATGCACAGGCGTGCTGTCTGCACGTTGGTCACCGTTGTTTCATGCTGGGCTGCCTGCAGGAGAGTTGGCCATTGTGTCTCGATCGGTTTCGTTTTTGTCGATGGAGAATCTTGTTAAGAATCAGGCGGAAGACCAACACAGCAGAGCGCTGGCAAGCACGATGATGGGCATAAAGATGTAAAGTGATTGTTTTGGTGTTGGGAATACGGGAAATTTGAACGTGGGCGGCAGGTCGATCCCCTGGGCTGTGCCTGGTTGTCCAATGGCAACGACCAGTCGTTGCTGCATCCGTCGCTCCAGTCCAAGCGCTCAATCACGAACCGAACCTTGACTGCCTGTTCAACCCATTTTTCCACCGCTGCTCACTCGTCGTCGCGCCTTCCTCGACGACTGCAATATCCCGTCGCGTGCTCTCTCTTGTGTCTCGACCGCCATCGCTCCTGCCGTGAACCGACCGTCGTCGCTCTTGCCTAATACCCACACGCACTTCGCCCGTCGTCGAGTCGCAGCGCCATCTCACTCCTTCATCGTCCCTTCGTACAGAAGCATTTCACCAGCATCTTAATAATTACTCGCGCATCATCAATTGCGCTCGCGCCGAAACATGGCTTACAACAACAACAACAACAACAACAACCAATATGCGGGCTACGGCGGAAACCCCTACGGCGATGGAGACAACCCGTACGGCAACGAGGGATATGGCCAGCCGAACCCCTACGGCNGATGTGTGTTTTGCTGATCTTGTCGCAAGAGTCAACATACTGACTACCTCCAGAATCAGCCTCTCCAACCTCCGGCGCCCACTCGTCACGGCGAGTCCAACTACTCGGCCATGACTCAGGACTCGCAGTATAGCACATCGCAAGCTGCTGGCGTACCTGGTCAGCAACCTGGCGGTGTCGTAGCCACTGGAACCCAACCCGTCATGCATCAGGCAGCCCCCACTGTCCTCAGCAACCAGGACTTCCTGGCGCGCGTCGAAGCTGCAAAGGCCGATATTCGTCAATTGACCCAATACATTTCCGAAATTGCCGCCGCCCACCAGCGCACTCTCAACAGCCCCGATGGTTCCTCCAACCAGGCTCTCGAGTCCATTGTCACCCAGACACAGGTTCTCAACACTTCCATCAAGGACCAGATCAAGTTTCTCGAAACAGATGCTGCCAGAAGTGGACGCAACAACAATATCAAGAACAGCCAGGTTGGCCAGCTCAAGACGAGCTTCAAGAAGCAGCTCGAGGAGTACCGCAACGAGGAAGCCAGCTATGAGCGCCGCTACCGTGAGCAAATCGCTCGCCAATATCGCATTGTCAACCCCGAGGCCACCGACGCCGAAGTCCAGGAGGCCTCCAACGCCGACTGGGGCAATGAGGGTGTTTTCCAGACTGCTGTACGTTGACCTTTTGCCCATCATGCATTCGCACATACTAATCCCATGTTCAGCNTCAAGACCAACCGTTCGGCCACCGCCAGCACCGTCCTTGGCGCTGTTCGTGCTCGTCACAACGACATTCAACAGATTGAGCGTACTCTGATTGAGCTCAACAAGCTCTTCGAGGATCTTGCCGAGGCCGTCGTCATCCAGGAACCTATGATCCAACAAGCCGAGCAGCACACAGAGAACGTTAAGAAGGATACTGAGGCCGGTAACGTGCAGCTCGACAAGGGTATCTCACATGCCCGTCGCGCCCGCCGCCTGAAATGGTGGTGCTTGCTCATAGTTGTCATTATCTGCATTATTGTCGCTCTGGCTGTTGGTCTCACTGTCGGTCTGAACCAAAAGAAAAACAACGCTTAAGCTAGGATCTTCTTTGGTTGGTTTCTACGCATTTGCTTGGATGTCACCGGCTCATCTTCTCTGGCAACATACCCTCTCGGATCTCATGAATGCCAGCACATCATCAAACATGACTGGCTGGATAGGAGCGACACATGCTTGCACAGCACGTTTTCGGGAGGTGATCAGCAACTTGTCGACGAGCAAAGATCCTCAAAAAACGAACGAAACAAAAAGGGGAAGCAGCCGAAAGGACCTCCCCATCTTTCCTAATTCTGATCCTTCGACAGCTCGACATTTACAATCTTCTCTGTTCTTCGTACTATACTTAATAAACGAAGAGACACGGGTGATTCTATTGTCGGCCTCAACATTTGTTTGTCCTTTATCTTTTTTCTCGTCTTTATGTAAATTTGTATTATCCCCCCCAATCAGCGAGATCGACCAATTAATTACCATTACTACACTTTATGATGCCCTCGTAAAGCAGATGGAACTCAGATTTGTGACCACCAGATACTGTGGCTGTCCTTTTTCTTCTGATCCCCCTGGCTGCCAGCTACTGTATATGGATTGTCGAAGAAGGGCTTTCTCCACGTGAGCCAATTTGTTGGTGCGTTGAAGCAATTTGGCATGTGTTGGCACATACATCATCACTGGTACGACTTTGCCGACATGTTCGAGATATGTAGACATGCGGATGAATGAGGGAATGTGTTTGTTTTAGATTCAAAGACAGTTATACAAGCTATAGCAAAAGTCAGGTATTGGGACAAATCCCAGGGTTGAAAGCTGAGGAATTTGCGAGTTGAAACCTAGACAGTCGAGATAGAGGACGAAGTGAAGAAAGCAGGTTCAGAGTAAGTAGAAGAGAAGGTAAAGAGGCAGAAAGCCAGAAGCAAGAGGGATCAACGAGGTTCAGAAGGGAGAGAACGAGATTGGGGGCAAAGAGGACAAGAAGACCAAAAGAGAAGCAAAAGTCGCTCTGGAGGAAATCAACACCACCAGAGACACCACCATTCTTGTCTCTTGTGGAGGGATCGAGATACTGCTTGATCGTCGCCAGGAACTGGGATAGGTCCGGGGATGGCGCAAGTTGCCTCTAGGGGGTTTTTGGTAGCATGCTGCTTTGCAACACGCCGGTCCTCCACTGTAGAGGGAACAGTAGAAGTCTCTCTGTTCCGTGGTTGCATTGGTCACCCAGTCGATCTTTTCGTTGCGCTTTTTCTCTTGCACCTTGCTCTCGATAACAGGAGGGCGTTGTTCTTCTTCATCCTCGACGAGTGCAGTTTCACTCTTGCAGGAACCAGGATGATCGCGGCAGAACTGGGAGTTGCAGTATGGATGGTTTGGGTGGTGCTTACACCAAGATCGATTGATGGGATGGGGGTCCTCGTTCTCTGGGTCCTGCTTGTCGGGATCATCCTGAGGGCTGCGCTCAACGAGATCCATAGGGGTTGAGAGCTCGTTGTTGGATGATGGTGGAGAAGCATTGTGGCAGACGTCGGCCTGAGGATTGTAATTGCAAAACTCCTCACGTTGCTTGGGATCGTGTTTGCGAGATTTAGGGGCATCCGTTCTCTTCGCGTGTGTTGTCATTGTTGCTAAAGACTCGGTATAGGTACACCAAGTTGGAGCAGCCCGCCCGGTGCAAAATTTGGAGTGTTGCTTCTGGCAATAGACAGGATTGTAGTGGCAAGTCCTTGCCAGGTCTGGATGATCGGTCTGTCTAGAGATAAGAGATTCTCCTGGATCACTATCATCAAGAGTGTGGCTGTCGGCGAGCCAACCACCGTCCGTTTCTCCTGGATTACCATTGACATAGCACCATGCAGGAGAGTCATGCTCCATGTCTTTACATAGCCCGGCATAATTTATTTGGCAATATATGGGGTTGTAGCGGCAGAAGATACCCCTTTGTAGTTCATCTGTTTGGCGTGCAACAAGGGTGTGGGCGTCGGCGAGGATGTTCTCCTCGAGAGATTCATCTGGGTTGTTCTGGACATCGCACCAAGAGAGAGTCGGCTTGGTCTTGTCATTGCACAATACGGCATAGTTCCTCTGGCAATAAATGGGGTTATAGCGGCAGAAGATGGTGAGTTGTTTTTCCTCTAGTGATGTGACAGGAGAGTGAAGTTCGGCTGAGGATTGAGAGATGGTAGGAGGATAGAGTTTAGAGGCAGATGGTTTGACGGGAATGGCTAACACCATGGTGGTGAACAGAGCCAGCAGGCATGGTGAGAAACGATGGAGGAACATGGTGGAGGTTGAGACAAGTTAGAGCAGAGTCACGAAAGAAGGAATCAAAAGAGATGGAGAGCTAGGCAGTTGATATACTTGAGACTGGAGCATGAGAGTCTTGGGAGTTGAGCTCGAAATGGTGGTGGTATGATGTATGCAAACTTAGTCTTGTATGGTTTCGCGGGACTGAGCTAGGTTCTGTATGGAAAGACATGACTGGTGTGACTCAGTGTTTGGGCGCATCAAATCGATTGGCCACGATTAGCAGAAGGCAGACAGGCTCGTCATGTTGGAGAGGCAAGATAGGATTGGGTGTTGGGATGAGGAGGTGCTTGGAGAGAATTGATCAAGGTGAGGGCGTTAGATATGTCGGGGTTAGGTCACAGACTGGCAAGCGATATTGGGCCAGTAGATCAGGTGAGGCTCAAGCACAAGGCAAGGGTAGGCGAGGCAAGGCAAGGGAAGGCAAGGGAAGGCAAGGGAAGGCAAGGGAAGGCAAGGGAAGGCAAGGGAAGGCAAGGGAAGGCAAAGAAAAGGCAAAGAAAAGGCAAGGCAAGGCAAGGCGAGAGAGTTGGAGATGTGGAAGGAAGAGTCGAGGGGTTGTTCAGGGGAAAGGCAGATCTGCGTACGAGTAGCCCCGCGTGTGCCCGCGTCAAGCTTGGGTGGAGCTTTCCCGACCGAGCCTCACCCCTTTCTTTTTCAAACATTCTGATATAGAAACAGCTCTGATCACCCTGTTTGTCTTATCGCATCACGACTGGAAGATTACCAAGATGCAGGTTCCTCTGATTCGCTTGCAATGCGGTAAGACAGGCCGTGGTTGATGCACAGTGAGTGTTGACTGACATGACGATTTGCAGGCTGCAACAGCTACGAGTGGGGTAACACGCCTTTGCGACAATGACCACACCACGCGCAAAAGACTGATGGCCGCGTACAGGAAAGGTCGGCAAGGACTCTGCTGCCGCCCGCTTCGCCTCTGCCACTCCCTCCGACTTCAGCATCCAGGAAGAGAAGCCCTACGCCGAGCTATGGATGGGCACCCACCCCAGCAACCCCTCCAAGGATCTGCACACCCAGCGCACGCTGCTCGACCTCGTCCAGGACAATGAGGCCTTGATGTCCAAGGAAATCTCGGAAAAGTACCAGAAGAAGCTGCCCTTCCTGTTCAAGGTCCTGTCCGTCAACAAGGCCCTCTCCATCCAAGCCCACCCCAACAAGAAGCTCGCCGCAAAGCTGCACGAAAAAGACCCCAAGAACTACCCGGATGACAACCACAAGCCCGAAATGGCTCTTGCCATTACTCCCTTTGACGGCCTCTGTGGCTTCCGCCCGCTCAAAGAGATTTCGCACTTCCTCGACAGTGTCCCCAGCCTCAAGAGCCTGGTAGGAGAGGACGAGGCGAACAAGTTCCAAGAGACAATCAAGGGACAAGAAACATCAGAAGAAGAGTCCAAGGCTGCCGAGAACAAGAAGGCTCTGCAAGCTGCTTTCCGCAGCCTGATGAAGAGCAAGCCCGAAGACATTGAGACGCACGCCAAAGACCTAATCCAGCAAGCAAAGGACGAGGCCGACAAGTTCGCGGGTAACGGCGGCCCGTCAAATAGCGGCAAGGAGCTCTCAGACTTGATGCTGCGACTGCAGGGCCAGTTTCCCAACGACATTGGTCTTTTTGTCACCTTCTTCCTCAACTATGTCAAGCTCGAGGTTGGCGAGGCCATGTTCCTCAAGGCCGACGACATTCACGCCTATCTCTCTGGAGGTAATTATCCCTCCTTTCCCGCTATCTCTAACAGGTACTAACACGAAACAGACATCATCGAGTGCATGGCTTCCTCCGACAACGTCGTCCGTGCTGGCTTCACTCCCAAGTTCAAGGATGTCGACAACTTGGTCGACATGCTCACCTATTCGTACGCCCCCATTAGCGAACAANAAATGTCTCCCACCGACTACCCCTTCGTAACCCTCAACTCCACCGCCTACAGCTCCAGCTCTGTCGCGACCCTCTACGACCCCCCGATCGAGGNNGAGTTCAGCGTCGTCAAGACCGACCTCAACAATTCTGGCGCAAAAGCCACGTTCGAGTCCATCGACGGACCCAGCATCATCATTTGCACAAAGGGCTCGGGCAAGATCAGTGTCGGCCCCAAAGAGGAGGAGCTCAAGGAAGGATATGTCTTCTTTGTTGGCGCCACTGCAAAGTGCGTCCTCGAGAGCTCTGGAGACGAGCCCTTGGTCACTTTCAAGGCCTTCTGCGAGCTCAACGGCAAAGAGAGCAAGATCTAGGTGCTTTCTTGGACTTGTCGCATCACGATTAGACGAGTACGCATAGGATTTCAATATAGTTGTCTTTTTAATTTACTTTGCGTTCTGCACGATTATTCTTTCTGCATTCTCACAGTAGAACGCGGCTCTGTTTTTTTTCTTCTTGTTGTTTCTCTTGTGCTAAAGACTGTCACGCCTATTTCTCCTTCGACCTCTTGCAAAGTCATGAGGAAGCAAGTTCTGGCTACAAATCTGCTCGTGCTCTCGAAGATCCGTTCAAAGAGGGCTCATGGCAACTGTGACTGATAAGATGAACTGCCACGGAGTTTGCTCGGCATTCTCGACGACACTTCCTACAATATATCTGGCGAGGGGTTTGGGGAAGTATGTATTCAAGATCGTGGGCATCAGTGCTTTCTGTTTGCGGTACGAAAGTCGGCGAGACTGACCGTAGTTGGTCGTACTTTTCATTGACTCGCTCGTTCTGAACAGCAGGTGGGTCAGAGTATATTCAAGTTGTTCTATGATCCGCTTTCTGTAGAGACGAGATTAATATGATAGGAGAAAGTCAGAGGGAAAGAGCAATGTCAGAGATAGGCTAGACCTCAAGAGAAGCAGCGAGCACTAACAAGCTTTTGAATCAGCGACAATGTATTGACAAGCTATCGGACAGGAGTCAGAAGGGGAACGTCACATTGAAGATACTTGGTATGTGTGGGGGCCTTAGAAACTATGCATATGCTCTTCCAAGACAACACTCAGCCATACTAATCTTTAAAGATCTCCCAAGAAGTTTATGGAAAGATTGAGATGGAGCATCAGCGAAGAAGATGTTGTGGAGTGCAGGCTACACATGGATATGGACGTGAACATTCCTACAGCACTTTATGGACCGAGTGATACCTCTTCTGGCTTCATAGTTGCCTAGAAGCAGTATATCATTGATACCATGCTCAATGTAGATACCTCTGGAAGCTTTTGGTAACACCTTGATAGAGCTACTGTGATCATCAGCAGTATTCGACTGGCGGGTGTTACCAAAGGGTAGCCACTGATCGAGACGTGTTGGCAGCGACGGTAGCGACTGAGACGTTAACTGTGAGAAGAGGGAGGACGGAAATATATATGGTGAGCTCAGGGGTATCATATTCTACTCGAGATTGTTAGTCGACATGCCAGTTGATGTAGATGGCAGCGCCTACAGACCTGGACTTTCATGATACTCGATGGAATGTAGGGTCTTCGGAGCGGAAGTATGAAGACACGGTTGCAGATGATGATGAGATCGCTGGAGGTGTTGTGAGTCACTCGAAAGTCTCCTCACACAAGAAGGGTCGTCTCCGTTTCCCTCTCATACTGACTCTTTCTGGACCACAGACTTCATCTACTCACCTGATCGAATGTCTTGCATCTTTGAAGGCTGTAATAGATGAATGAAGATACAGTGTATCTTTCTGGAATATATAGACAAAATATGTGGCATCGTTTTGGATGCGTGTATGCTGTAAATATTTGTGTTTTAAGGTATTCCATTGCCGCAGGTCTGTAAAAGCTGTTGCTTGAGATACAGTGGATCCTCTATGCACGAAGGTGAAAAGAGTGAATTGTCATATATTCTCGTTGATTGTACAAATCTGTTGGCAGGCATGATTTAGTAGGGTTTGTTCTATTTGCGAATTTACGAACGCGAATTGTGGCGATCTACGGGGAAGGGAGCTTGGTCTGAGTTCAGTTGTTGATTTGAAGAACTGAATCGTTTGGGTATGCGTGTAGATATGGCAACATTGATGACTGGCTCATACTACACTACTGGAAGATGGGCATTGTTTGACACTGTGTATTGCAATGACAAAATCAGCTCTTGTTTCTGCGATGTTTCTCGACTTTCTGGAAATGATAGTTTGTCCCTCGTGCGACCAAGTCTTCATTTGTCGAGTAGTAGCAAGAATTTGCTCGACGCTACTCAAATGCAGCACATGGAAGCATAAGAGTCATCCCTACTAGGCAGACAGAATCTCCGCCCATAAAACCCGGACACACTGCTCTTCTCTTTCTGTCTATCTACCAACAAAGCAACAATTCTCCCTGTTCATCGTCAACAACACTTACTTCTTACCTCTACTTTGACAAGCACACTCCAACTCTGCAGCTTAACAGAATGACCAGCTGGTTGTCCATCGTACAACCTTTTATCGACAGGTTCTACTCACCTAGTTACCCTATGGCCTTGCCAAAGGTGTCTTGCTACAACTCAGCAAACCCAGTGGAGGATTGTCGCTCTCAAGCGGCAGGGGAGCTAGCCAATCAGAACCTCCCAATACGCCCTGCACGAATCCATAAAGTCTGCTCCCCTGTACTCCAAGAGCAGGAGTCGGACGACAACGATTCCGAAGCATCCGTGAACGATAGCGATTCCGTAAAGTTCTTGGATGGCAACAATTCCGATACATCTCTGGATGAAAGCGACCCTGAAGCAGTCCCAGTCAACACAGTAACACCATACCGCACCCAGATTCGCATCCGCGACTCCAGAAAGAACAAGTGGGGTGCGCTCCTCCCACCAAAAAGAACGACTGTGGTGCTTGTTCCTTTGGCCAAGGACCACACAGGTTTGCATGCTCGTCTCTCAACAAAAAGTCCTTCCGCCAGCCTTCCAATGTCTGTTGAAAATTATTCAACACTTTCTAAGCTATGTTTACATTGAAGCTGCTTTGACATATCTCAAGAAAGGAGCAGATCTTTGCTTACTGCCCAATCTGGAATTGCCGACGCCCTCGATCTTGATGGCGATGGGACTCGACTGGGACGCATCATGCGCCTACCCTTTCCTGAAACGCTTGCTCAAATTTTATGATCTGCAAGAACAGATTGTTTGCGTCAAGGGTTTCGAGAACAACGACCACACCAATGGAAATGTTGACATGGTTCTCTGTTTGGAGGGGAAGCGATTGGCGACCGCGCCAAACGCCATGCGACGCCTTCAACTTCATCCCTATCTGTCCAATCGTGGTAAAAACTGACACTTATGATGACTCGACGGACCGCCTGAGGGAATGGTTCTCGGAGTACTTTGACTGTCTCAAGCAGAACGAAATTGCATGTGACGGCTGTCAATGGCCGGTTCCTTACTTTGTAGTGGATGGTGATTGGTGGAGAGTCGGGTTCGCCATCCAAGATGGAGGCACTCTTGAGATGTACGACGAAGCAGTTGACTGCATGGGATGGACAGGGGTGTCCAAAAATTAATGATCGTCCTCCATTATGTCGTCAAGTCGACAGCCGAGCGTTACCGCAAGTGGTACCAGGCACACGGCAGAAGAGAGCGTCCAGCCGAGCAGAGATGAAAGTGGTCGTCTGCGCTCAATGGTCTGAATGTCTTTGTTCTTGATCTTTTTTCTATTTTGTTGGCTGGTAGAAGAAGAAGAAGAAGAAGAAGAAGAAGAAGAAGAAGAAGAAGAAGAAGAAGAAGAAGAAGAAGAAGAAGAAGAAGAAGAAGAAGAAGAAGAAGGATAGCAATAATAAGAAACAGTATCCTTTACCTCGTGCGTTGTGTTCGAGAAACCTTCCATGTGTTCCACGTCCTCGTACTGCAACAAGTAGTGTGAGATTACAAGTACACTGGTAAGTATAGAGGTGCCAATCAAGGGACAGCATGCTGCTCTCGCTCAACAGAGGTCGATCGAGCCTGCGAAGAACTTTTGTAGTTTGCTGGCCTGAGATAGACAGACGAGCATAGAGAGACCAATCGCTCGTGACCCATTGAATTTGAGGTCAGCGGTCATTGCGCCATAATATCTTCGTCGACATGATAATGGCGAGAACTCCAAAAACTCGGAATACTCTGATGCTCTGAGGACACTAGTAGCACGCAGTAATGAAGCATTGGGCGGGATGTGAAAGTCCTAGATCCATGGTGAGAAAAGGTTCGAAGTTCTTGAACAACTGACTGACGTGTTCGAAGGATGGTCTGGATTTTGGTGGGAAGCAATGTCAATGACACGATTTCGATGGAACACATCAGATGGACGGAGGTTCGAGAAGCAGCATGCGAATTGGCAGACACCAGACGCCAAGACTCTCGACTAAGTTAGTCATATCCGGCCCCGCTTGCGACTTCTCCGGAGCCGCCTCCGTTGGAACCTCGTCAGAATGAGCATGTTGCCGCGTAAGCAGTGACTCAACAGCTTGGACAGTCACATGAGCCTTGAACAGTGGTATAGGTCAGCAGAAATAACCAGGCAGAGCTCGGAAGGTAGTTTGCAGTTCCAAGTTCTACTATGCCAAGAGACAGATACGCCATGGACATCGAGAGCGGACCCCGAGCGCTGTCGAGCACCGTAATGTCCGCGCGTCAACAGCAGCTTCCTTTCCGCAAGAGAACCGCAGTATCAGGGCACGCTTGACGCCAAGCCATCGACTGACATCATGCAGTTGCGTAGGATTGTTTTCGAATCGATCATCATGAAAACAGTAGATGCAGAGAAGGTGATTTATAAAGAACAGAGATGTGCCATTGAGGGATGACACTTCTCAATTCCAGACCATTTGAAAGACCCATAAAGAAAGCAAGCAAAACAATACACATCACCTGCTATGGGTCTCATTCACAAGATCGAAGAAAAGGTGCTTCACCACGGTGACAAGAAGCATGAGCAGCAGCAATACTCGTATGTGTTGGATCTTTTGAAGCCTTTGGACACGTCCACTAACCATCGCAAGGCATCCTCCTCCTCAACAACAACAACAACAAGGCTTTGGCCAACAGAACTATGGTCAACCTCAAGGTGGCTACGGTGGCGGCGGCATGGGAATGTACGATAATCGTCAAGAGTTCGGTGGCAATCACTCTGGCGGAGGCCCCGGCGGGCCTTCGCAGCATGGTGGACAGTTTGGTCCTCCAGGAGGTGGTATGGGTGGCCCCTCAGGAGACATGAGGATGGGTCGTGAAAATCACCATGGCGGTCATCATGGTGGTCCAGGAGCCATGGGCGGAGGCGCCTTCTCTGGAGGTGCCGGGGGTATGAGCGGAGGACCCCCTCACGGCGGTCGCGGAGGCCCTGGAGGCCCTGGAGGCTCTGGAGGCTGGTAGAAGGTCTTGCTCTTCCGATTTTGGTTGGACCTCGCCAGACCGTGAACATGAAGCCCACACTCTGAGTCTACGCACGTAACGAATCAACACGCAACTCTACCTTCCTCAGGTGTCCATACTGTCGGAAACTCCGTGACTCGATCTTTGGTCTCAGCGAAACGATAGTTGTCTAAGCCCATCTCAGCTCGTAGCCGAAGACCGTACGACGCAGAAGTTCGTCCTGAAAATCGCCAAGTCAGCACCATTGAAGGCTCCGTAGTGGAGAGTCACATACACCTGGGTCTTCTTCGAACATGACCTTGTCCATAACCTTTTCCAAAACCTTGTCGGCAATCAATCCATTCTCCTTTGCCAGATCGAAGAAAGCCAGGTCTTTTTCCAGCAACCAAGGTCTGTATGGCGTGAAAAACACTAGCGCGGTACCGTCTTTCTTCAAAGATTTCTTGACGGTCTGAAGTAGCTTTCCGTGCTCGGAGTGATTGAATAACAGATCAGCAAGAATCAAGACGTCGAAGGCCTCATCTGGCTTCACTTCTCCAACAAGCGTAGAAGTATCGGCACCCCAAAGATATCCTTTGGCGACGATGGGTAATGTCGGAGCACAAGCTTCAATGTTGTAAGAGAGGTTGGTAATCAGATCAGCATCAGGATAATCGGTGACAACGACGCGCTTGGCGGAAAGGTGTGCGGAGACAAGAGAAGGAAGACCGGCACCCGCGCCTAACTCCAGAACAGTCTTGGACTTGACAAGTTGAGGGTTCGTTTCAAAGTGTAGTGCGACGGTACGGCCAGCGTTCCAGAGAAAATGGCCCTGTGCCTGCGGTCAGTCGATGTTCAATGTCGGTTTGTTTCGGCCACATCGCCGCTCATCTCTACACGGCACTTGTCAGAGCAGTGAAGCTCAGGACACGAACACTTCAGCGGCTTGTGCGCCCTCTGACTGGAGTGCATTGATTCCACCAGGCCATGTGTCAGAGTGAGGGATGACCAAGCTGCGCCATTTGATGTGCCACTGCCTCCAAGCGATAGGCCCCGACGAACGCTTGAATTAACAAGCTTTGGTGATCTAGGGGTCCGAATCATAGACGACCAGGGTGAGAGGAGAAGGGGATGAAAAAAGCTTACCCATAGAGGATTATGCCCGACCAGACGTAGATTCAGCTTTGAACCATTTTGTAATGTGTATTCGACAAAGCTGGGTTCTTTCTCGGCTTCGTAGAATCCTTCGGGCTCTTCAAAATCCCCAATTCTCCTTCGGAGTCTGACATGTTGATGATTGGTGCTTGTTGTCGTAGGTAGGCTTCTCACAATTATTTTTTGAGGTAAGATGGACCCGCGTCGGGACTCTTGCCGATAGAGGCCCGTGCACATCTGATTCGTTCGCTGATCCCAAGGATCCCCAACCTACCCTCAGCCCACCCACTATTACATGCCATACCATCCAAGGAACTGCTGGCGCTCCGCATGGAGAAATTAAACTTTGCACCTTGTCAGTCCTAAGTCGTCGTTGAAGTCAAGTGATCGAAGCCGTCGTCTGGGAGCCATTCAATATTCGCTTATAGACATCTATTGGGTTCCATCTGAAGGGGTCACCACGTGGAAAGAATGACTGAAATGGCACCAAGTCCAGTGGAAGGTACGCACATTCTCAAATTCCGTGTTAAAATCTGCTTGTCCTCTCTGTGCTTTCTGTCTTTCCCTCACACGCACAAACACACCAACCTTGTCCGTCGATCCCATCCATCGCCATCAGCACTTCTTCTACAACTGTCAAAACTTTCTCTCCAGCCGGCCAACGTTTCATCTTCAACCATCCGCATTCTTCATATCTTCGTCAAGATCCCTTCTACTCTCTTCTTTACTCTATTATCCTCCGCCCCTTCTATTCCAGCAGAAACCATGCCCCCAAAAGCAGCACGCAAGATAGCTGGAGCCAGGAAACCCGCTAAACCTCGTGCAGCCGTAGATCCGTCCAAGCCAGAGGAACCCAAAGACCTGATTTATGTCAGGAACATCCTCAACAACAAAGTATACAAGTTTGCCTGGCAAGTGATCGAACAACTTCTTACCTCCGCCCATCAGGCTTGACAGCTAACAGGCTTCGCAGCGCCACTTGTATATCCGGTCACCGGGCACCCAAATGTCCTCCCACAAGACACCGCGACAAAATCCTGTTCAGGCGTCCAGAGCCAGGAAGGCCTTCCAGACAGTGTGGCCATGCAAAGCCGAGCATTTGCGACTGCACGGCCAGCCGTAATCTATGCTGTAACCTGACACCTCAACAGTGGGATGAGGTGATAGCGGGTCAAGTTCCATCGGCTGTCATGTACGAAGACAGGGAAGCTCTCCAACAAGCAGAGAGAGCCGCAGAGCAGGCAGCAATGATGGAAGCTCAAGCGCGCGAACACACCCAAGCCATGTTCGCATACCAGCAACAACAGCACGCCATGCCGTTTCGACCAGCACCACACGGTATCCAGTTCGGATATCCCGAAGCAGCAACGCTGTTCAATCCTTATCCGCCATACCAGCCGCCACCACCATACCAGCCTGCCTTTTTCGGAAGCCAACCTACTCAGACGAACTTCGAGCAACCTCAGTACCAGCCTCAGTACCAGCAGTTTGAGCAGCCACCACCCCAGCCTGCCTTCTTCGGAAGCCAACCTGCTCCGGTCAACTTTGGCCACCCTCAGTATGTGCATCAGTACCAGGACGCGCCGATGCCAGTCAACATGCAGGCGCTGGAGCAGTACGCTGCCGACATGGGACGTCAAGAACAGATAGCCGCACAGCCATCAACAAACCCCTCGCAATCGTGTTGTTCAAGGAAACAAACTCAGCCGCCTCCACCATCTTTCATCGGAACAGAACCATCTCCTTTCAACCTGCCCGGTCCAAGTCCCAGGTCGCAATTCCCATGTCAAAGCTGTGCCTCGTTCCAATGCACATGCATCACCTGTCCTGAGGTCAGACAAGTGTCCAGTGGTGCTTGGCAACAAAGTTGTGGTCGTGGTGGCCACATCGACAACGTGGTTCTGCCCAAACAGGAGTATCCGTCAGAGCCTGAAGAACCCGCAGCCTACGAAAATGGTCTGCAAAGATACGAACAACACATCCAACAGCCCATCCCCGACATCCAACAACCCGCTATGGATATTCAACAGCACATCCCAAGCAATCAAGAGCACACCTTGCATGTCCAACAATATGCTACTCCTGGGCACTTTGACCAGACCTTCGAATCTTTCTTTGACGACACGTCTGTCGACTTCCCACCACTCCCGGACATTGATCCTTCCCAGTTTCAGTCCGGAGGGTTTGAACATGCCACGAACATGCATCTTGAAGGGCGCATGCCCAACCAGATTTCCGATTTGACGGCCACAATCTCCCAAGATCTGCCTTTTGAGGACCTTGCGGACGCTTTTCCCCTATCACCCGACTTCTTCCAACAAAAAATGAATCAACAAGGCAAACAATAGAATTTCTGGCTGGTTTCGACTATGATGATGCATTAACACACAAAGCTTCTGTTCTTCACATCCTTGATCTGTCATCTGAGCGTGGTGTTGGGGGTTGTTCGATAAAGCCGGCGCGCTTAGTCGGTGTTTGGGATTGATCTTGTTTTTGGCTTAGTATACTTTCGCTTGCTGTGTTTGGTCTGTCGCTCTTATTTCTATTATACCTATTCTTTTCGGTATCTCAGACAGTCTACATCAGACAGTATACAATAAGAAACGGTCTGTCTCACTACTGGGTGCTCAATGCCATACTTCAACCCTCCCTGACCTTGCATCCCAACATGGTTGGCCGACTGCTTTGCTCGTGATGCCAAATGTCTAGCTGCCCTATCCTCACAACTTGCTGACTTTTAAGCTAGCACTCAATTTTGTGGATCTAATGTTCATCATAAGTTCTCACGCCGTTCTGCTATAGAAGTTGGTGGGCGCTATCAGCAGTGGATCAGTGATGGGGTCATCCTATTCGGACATCCCGGCTCAAGTTCTGCTGTACACTTGCCCTAAGACGGGAATCCTCCCAGGTCCGTGTACGTATACCTTCTTAGTCTCCCACCGCGGACACATATACGTTAGCACCGGACGTCGATCCAATCCCAACCTGGCTTACGTCTGAGACTCGCAATATCAGGGTCTTCCAACCAAGTGAACATTGCAACTGTTTGCACGATGACCTTCGGAAGTGTCAGCATCTCTGAGCTTAGTTCAACCCATGATACGATCTTGTCACGTAACTACACTTCGACTCAAATCGCTGAGTGGTGAAGTGTATGATCATCATCATGGATTACTCTCTATTCAAACTTTGGTTCTGGACAACAGAACAACCGCCCCATCTGAACGTGGCCATTGTTTAGTTCTTTCCATGTCTCGATCTTGCCTGCCAACTTCTGTCACACGTTCTTATGCTCTTGTACGACGGTCTTTTGTTCCTTAGATCAACCTCCAGCCAAGTCGTTGCCCATACTCATCGAGAGACTTCTCGAAGCCAACAACAGATGAACCTGCGACGAGCGAGAGTTGTATGAACCTCCCTGGCACTTAAATTTACCATCTTTTTGGTCCCCCGGCGCTATCTGGGAGTTTGAAATGTTTGTATTATCTGACTCGAGGTCTATGTTTCACCATCCTAACTTTCTTCCTCTATCTTGACTTCTACCCTACGAACGCTTTCTGAGTTGAACTCACGTTAATGTGTTAGTGGACACGCTACTTCACTAGCAGTGTTTCTCGGATATAATTCTCTTCAGTCCTGCAAACATGCGAATGATCGTGATGCAATGGATGTCAAAGTGATTGTACGGTCATCTTACTATCTATCAAGCTGTTTTAACTCCAGGAGACAATCTCAAACTGGTGGATCTGCCAGCTATGATCTTAAAGTTCGTATACTCTCCTTGGACCCAACTTCGACAAGCACCATCGTGATGCCCGCATCGATGCAGCAGACCAACTCGGCTCCACCAACTCTTTGGCTATCTTTTCCGCATACGGTTCGAACTACGATCATCATCATGTTCGAGATTGACGCTTTCGGCCCCTCATGTCCTGACACATGTTCGTTTTGACTTTCAAGAATGCATGCCTCAAGGTCATACGATGTCCACAGTCCTTCTGTCAGCCATTCGTTGGGCAGTATCTTCACAAGAGCAAACATGTTGACCAGATCGACTGGGCTGTTGACAAGATTCATAGTAGTGACTACAGTCTCTATGAGTTCTACTCCTGGGATCTTCAGTCAGAATTTATCCTATTAGTACTATTTTCTATCCTTTATTCTAGGTTTCAAAATTCTGAATTCTATACATGACATGCGAAACACATGCCATCCGGGTCACAAGCTCTCGAGCTTGGAAGTCAAGTTATAGAAGAACTCAATGCAGCCATCCGAGAAAGTATATGTGTCGGAGGCTCGGTTCGACTTCCTAGGTTCATCCATTCTTTATACCAACCCTCGAGCTCCACCCCCAGTACCCCTCCCTGTTCTTCCCCTCCTTTAGAGAAAATTTGCACACATCGAACCTTCCTATAGTCTTAATTCTTACTTTTGCTTCTGCAATTGCTTTTGTAGGGCGTCGACATCTAGCGTGTGCACGCCCTACATAGGTCTGTTGTTTCGAACCATCATTACTGCCGATGAACCTTACCTACACCTGGTGGGTTTCGTGGGCAATCATCCAATCTGGCATTCTCGCGGTACATGTATGGGTGTTTGGCCTTCTTGCCCCTTACCACTTAGATTGACGAGAGTCAAGCTGGACTCCTTTTCCAACGCTATTCTCTGACAGATTCATTTGTTCCTCCCTACCCCTTCTATGCGTTTGTCTTGCGTCTCTGTTCATGTTCGCATTCTTGCACTTCTAATTCTTTGCGCACTAATTCTTTGCGCATCTAATTCTCTGCACACGTATCTCTCTGTCGACTGTTCAAACTCTGCTGCGTTCACATTGTACTATACTTTCTTCCTGCCTGCTTCACAGCTCTTCGTCATTTCCAAATAGTTATTTCTCTACTTGATATCAAACTGTGTCCAGCCAGTCTTCTATACCACTACACAGCGTGGCAGATGGATCGAAAACATGCATAATCATGCAAGAGCGAGTTGTACGTGTGGAAAAAATGTGGCAGGGATGTCGATAGACGTTAGATTATCCACAGATGACCAGAAGAAAAAAGGGGTCAGTGGAGACCTTCAGCACTTAGAATCTGATTTGTCTATAACAAACTAGAATGGAGAAGAGAGGAGGTCTGCATTTGTCATGGTCAGGAACAGCGTCCGCCATAAGTACCTCTGGTGGACATCGTGAACATATTCGGGATGGAGGTGAAGGGCAAAGATGCCGGGCAATCGATCTCACATGTCACTTCTGAACGAGCTTGGAATTGAAATAGACTTGAGATCTTCAATGTCTTTTGTCTGTAAAGAGCTTTTCCTTCTTTCTCGGTTTCATTACTAGCAGATCTCTATCGTTATCTTTTTCGTAGAATCCGTCATCTTCAATTTTCGAGAACGAGCGAATGCCCAGCTCCAATCTATTCCTGCACCGCGAACATGGTTTCACCACCTTCGACCTTCGCATTGCGTCCCGACTTGATAATGGTCTTGACGACACGCTCGACATTATCCCAGTCGTCAGTGTCGAGTTTGGTGGGGTTGATTCCTAGCTCCTGACAGATGGCGCGGAACATCTCCCAACTGCGCTTGTCGTGGACAAGAGTAAGAGCAACACCGACTTTGCCGAAACGACCGGTACGACCCACACGGTGCAAGAAGGTCTCAGCATCGGGCACGTAACCGCGACCTGTAGAAGCCGGCTTGTCGGGGATGTCGTAATTGATGACCATGGTGACGGTCTGGACGTCGATACCACGGGCGAGGACATTGGTCGTGATGAGTACTTTAGCGTGGCCCTCGCGGAACTGGTCAATAACTGAGTCGCGCTCGACGCCGTCGAGACCGCCGGTCAGGGTGACGACGTGGTGGCCCTCGGACGTCATGCGCTTGGAGAGCTCGTCGGCAGTGTCACGCTTACGGACAAAGATGATGGACGAGGCGATTGTCATCAGACCGTAAAACTTGATCAGTGCGTCGTACTTGTCGGAATCTTGGCTGACATCGAGGTACATCTGCTTGATGCCCTTGACAGTGAGGTTGGTGCGTTCCAGGGTGATTTGGTTGGCGCTGGGGGCGAAGAATTGTGTGAATTGGAGCACTTCCTGGGGGAATGTGGCGGAGAAAAGGACGGTCTGAACGTCCTTGGGCAAGAGCTGCTTCACGCGCTTGCATTGGTCTCCAAGACCTTGCTGGTCGAGCATGTTGTCGGCCTCATCCAGGACAAGCACCTTCATGCCGCGTGTGTTCAGCTGCTTTCTGCGGGCCAGGTCCATAACAGTTCCAGGTGTGCCGACAACGACTTGACCGGTGACTGTTTGGCCGCGTGTCGATGGATCGGGGACAGCCTGGTATGTGCTAAGCCCTTCCATGAAACCACCCATGACCTGGACAACGCCGAGAATCTGTCTGGCGAGCTCACGCGAAGGAGCGAGAACAAGGGCTTGAGGTTGTTGGAGCGTCAAGTCGATACGCGAGAGGATGTTGAGAACGAAAGCAGCGGTCTTTCCAGTACCGGACTGCGACTGTCCGATGAGGTTTTGGGGAGGGTTTTGGAGCAGCAGGGGCAGGGCGCGTTCCTGGATCTTTGAAGGCTTGGTGAAGCCGAGAGAGGTGATGCCCTTCTGAAGCGATTCGGGGAGGTTGAGGTCGCGGAACTCCTTGACGGAGAAGAGGGGATTGTTGGGGTCTTGTTGGAGGTCGTTTAGCTTGACATTGACGTCGAATTCGGGTTCGAGCAACGAAGAGCCCATCTGGAACTCTGAGGCGCCATCGGTCTGATCTGAGGGTGCAGCTTCGGCAGGTGCTGCGTCGGTAGCAGGAGCAGGAGTAGGCTGCTGTGTCTGAGTCTGGTTGTCCATCTCTTCGCTCTCCTCGGCCCAGTCGAGCTTCTTTTCGTCGGGGAAAGTCATGCGGTCGCCCAGGGAGGACATGGTTGTGGGTCAATGAGAGAAAAGTGCGTGCGCGCGTGGTTGTGATGAAGGAGGAAAGTGCGAAGGAGTGATGGAATGTTGTTTGTTCAGGAAGGCGCAAACCGCAGCTTCACTTTGGTGTCGGCGCAACAAATCTTGAGTGACGTTTGGCTTGCCCAAACATGCACTAGCCTGATTAGGTAGGCAACTACCCCCCTCCAGGGTTTCGAGAGAGAGTGCAGGTGCGGCCTATTCCCGCTATTCTCTTAGATACGATCATGACTCTGATGATACACGGAACTTGAACTCATTTGGAACTTCTTTCTGGCAGCCGGTATCCTCAGACTCTCCGGTTCATTGACTGACTCGACTATGTACTGAGGTCGTTTGCTGCAAACCCCTCGTTACCTAGTAGCTTCCTACATGCAGACCGTGTTGACTGTTCGGCAGTCACTTCCCCACTCCAAATCACATGTGAGCAGGCTTCTGCGATACTCCATGTTTGCTATGCTCTACTCTACGTCCTTGCGATCACATTGTAATCCAATGGTCAGCAGCTTTGTCTGTACACATCGTCTGAGACAATAATGCCGGGCCGGTAAACATCCAGCGACTTCAGCCGGCGAGGGCTGGACCGATAGTGATACCCCGCCTTGGCAATAAGGCACTCTCGGCCTTGGGCGGCCATATGATTGCCAACAGTCGGCCAGCCCTGTCTCGTGTCTCCTTCCCAAAGGCTACTTGCATTGTTCGTGTGTAGAAAGCCGCTGTGGCCGGCTCTAATCCTCGTCTCAACCTGCCTCTACATCTTGTTAATCCTGCATGGCCGAGATAGACATCGCGCCGCAGTTCGGCGCCGAGTTGAAGGTTGGTTGGCGAATCGACACCCGACTAACAACCGACTGACATGGTTGTATAGGATGGCTTCAAACCCGTAAATGCCTGGGTCTTGGGCGGTATCTCATGGCTCGACGACGTGCAGGCCTTCTACCGGGAACGCAGCGCCATTGAAAAGGAGTACAGCCAGAAACTCAGTGCCCTCGCCAAAAAGTACTTTGACAAGAAGACCCGCAAGCAGAGCAGTCTGAGTGTTGGAGATACTCCGACCGTCACTCCTGGTTCTCTAGAGAGGTACGCCCGAGTCTCGATCTCCTCGCTCTCCAAGAAGCATAGTACTGACCGACACTGCCCAGTGCTTCCATGACCACCTGGAGTACCCAACTTACCACCCTCGAGAACCGCGCTTCCGAACACGATCGCTTCGCCACGCAACTCATCTCTCACCTCGCCGATCCTATCAAGCATTTGTCCACTCGATGCGAAGATCTACGTAAACACCACGCCGACTATGCCGCCAAACTCGAGAAAGAGCGTGACAACACCTATGCTGATCTGCGCAAGACAAAGACAAAGTACGATAGCGTCTGCCAGGACGTCGAGAACCGCAGAAAGAAGATTGACAGCAGTTTCGACCATGGCAAGACCAAGGCCCAGGCCGCCTATGTACAGATCCAGGCAGATATGCGCAACACTAAGAACACCTACTTGATCTCTATCAACGTCACCAACAAGCAGAAGGAGCGATACTATCACGAATATGTGCCCGATCTGCTCGACTCGCTGCAGGATCTGTCCGAGACCCGCGTCGCCAAGTTGAACACTCTGTGGCTACAAGCAGCGACCATCGAGACACAAACCCTTTCGCGATCCACCCAGCTCCTCGAGCACCTCTCGGCTGAGATTCCACGCAACAACCCTGTTCTCGATTCCATGATGTTCGTCCGTCACAACGCCGCTAATTGGCAAGACCCCGCCGATTTCACCTTCGAGCCTTCGCCAGTATGGCTAGACGACGATGTCATGGCGTCCGACGATCCGAGCAAGACTTTCCTGCGTAACATCATGATGAGAAGTAAGGGGCAGTTGAACGAGCTGCGCAGAGAATGCGATGCTAAGCGTCGTGAGGTCGAGGGCGCCAAAAGAGTACGTCAAGCAATTAGAGATGGCACAGACAAGCGTGATGAGGTCGAGGTTGTGCGGGCACAATTTAACCTGCAAGAGTCGCTGCACGAGGCAGAGAGGAAGAAGGTGACTTGCGAAGTCGAGGTCAGCACCATTGCAACTGCTGTTGGTGACTTGAGCATTGGTGCTCAGAACCACGCCTTCAAGTCTCAGACTTTCAAGCTGCCTACGAACTGTGATTTTTGTGGTGACCGCTTGTGGGGCTTGTCAGCAAAGGGCTTCGACTGTGAAGATTGTGGCTTCATCTGTCACAGTAAGTGTCAAATGAAGGTACCAGCGAATTGTCCAGGTCCTCTGGACAAAGAGCAGAAGAAGAAGATCAAGGCCGAGCGACAGGCCGCAGCTTCAGCATCCACTCCCCAGCAGCCAACACAGCGGCACAAGGCTCATCTGACTCGGTCAATGACATGCCTCGTCTCAATCGCACCGACACAATGGGTAGCATGAACACACTTTCGTCCGGTTACGCTGCAAGCGCAAACCGCAGCGTGTCTGGAACGAACGTCCGACCAGCCTCAAACTCGAATGATAGCGCCAGCGACCTCGGGCGGTCGAACACGGCTAAGCGTCGTATTCTGGCACCACCACCAGACCACTACGCAAACAGCAATGGAGATGCGGCAGACGGCCAACCTCGCGGCAAGATGATTTATCCTTATCAGGCAAGTGGTGATGGTGAAATCACCGTGGACGAAGGTGCCGAAGTCACTATTGTTGAACCAGACGGTAAGCTATTTGCCCTCATCCTCTTCTATCCTCGAGATCCTAACAGCGAATACAGATGGCGTTGGCTGGATGAAAGTCCGTACACACTCTGGCGAAGGTCTTGTTCCAGCTTCGTATGTCGAGATGATGCCTTCATCGCCTGTGAGATCACAGCCCGGCCATCGCGCATCTATCACCAGTCTAGCTACTTCGATCGCTTCTTCCGCTCCATCGACTAAGAAGAAGGGGCCCGTTGTGGCTCCTAAGCGTGGTGCTAAGAAGCTCAAATACGTCGAAGCATTGTACACGTACGCAGCTAGCGGCGAAGGCGAGGCCAGTATGGATGAGGGTGAGAAATTGGTCTTGATTGCACCAGATCAAGGCGACGGATGGTGTGAGGTCGAACGGGCAGGCGGTCAAGGTAAGGACTTGTCCCTGCCGGGTGGGTTAAGGAGGTCTAGACGACCGAGTGTCCCAGTACTGTGATCACCTGCGTGTTGGAAGAGCGATAAGGCATGTGCATTCTTGTAGATGGAGTTGTATGTCAGGGACAAGCGAGTTTTCTTATCATCATGGGGGAAAGAGGGGTTCTTATCTGCTACAGAGACCTAGGCATGCCTCGCGGCTTCTCTGCTTACAAGCCGCCCCAGATATGTCGATAGCGAATTGGAGAGAAGAATCTGAGCATGCATGTTTGAGATAAGGCGCCGCTCCCCTGGCCTCACCATCCTTTATAATAGGAAATACCTTATTGCTTTACCTCGGACCCTGCGGGGTTTGCTTTCCGGAGACCGAGCAGGCCGATCACGACGACGCCCTGGTCCACTTGGCTGGAGAGCACCTCACCCATCCTCAATCTTCAGCAACCTATCTTGACATCTGCACCAACGACGACCGCCTCTCACGGGCGCACAGCGATGCAACCATTTGAGTTGACCCAGGAGCAAGAGCAATATTCGTGGTATCGATTCGTGACTTAATTCGAGCTTACGTTGAATTCTTTCATCTCGACACTGGGTTGAACCCCAGCTTGTCCGTGTCCACCGCCAGTAGAACTCGACGGCATATACTCGGAGGATCACATCAGACGAATTTGTTCTTCTTGAACCAACTTTCGGGTCATACAAGATATTTGAACGTCCGGCACTTTGAATCAGGAGCCTCAAACTCAATCACGACATCCGGATCTGAGCCCAGGCCCTATCACGCCATCTGGGTAGAATCTTGAACCATACTCAGCCACCAAAAAACGTCCTGATCAACCATGCCTCTACCGTGCTCACCTGCATCTACGTCCGAAAGAGGGGACAGCTCTAGGTCGGCAACGGAATACGAATCTGAAAGTGATCTCATCACACCGAAGCCGGGACCTGCTAACCCCTCCTTGCGTACCCATGCCAATCTATCAACACCTGTGCCGCCTTTCTCTTCCTGGTCGAGCAGCCGTGACCGTCGATTCTATGATTTTACCAGCGAAAGCGAAGTGGAGCGGCCAAAGAGAGGCGTCTATCACAGCACTACCGCCAGCGAGTTCGAGGAGGATTCGTCGACAAAGAACAAAACAGAATCTCACACCTCCGAACCCTCATCATTGAAGCCAACGAAGAATCAAGAGTGGCCAATCAACCCTGCTGTACCTACTAGCAACAAGCATAATATTGATGATCAGTCTGAGACCGAGAGCCATCCACCAGAGCCGTATACAAAGCCTATGAATTCAGAACAACCCAAGAAAAGAAGCCCTCGACCAAGCCCTAGATCCAGCCCAGGTCGCCGCCAGGGATCAAGTCCGAAAACAAGTCCTCGCCAGAGTCCAGAGCGCAGTGCGAAACCAGGCCTCGAGAATATACCAAGACAGGCTTCTTCTCGCTCATTGACTCCAGGCAAAGTTTCGCCGTCGCTCGAACCTCGCCGTAGTGTCACCTTCTGCTCGACTCTCTCTGCCCGACCAGACGGTTCTGATAGGTCCTCATCATTCATGTCTCGACGCAACAACGCCAATCCCGACCGAGCACGCGATGAAGCAGAAAGCAGTGCAGACGAGAACACGGCAATTGTCAGACGCAGAACCGGCGTGGGCACGTATGGAAGTACGGACCCAGAGCACACAGTCACCGCAGGTTATGATGGCGCAGCAGAAGAAGGGCTGGATCGAGAACCGAGCCCGATTGAACGCAGAAGAAAGAGTGGTACATCTCAGCGAGCTGCAAGTACTCGTGGAGGCAGAGATTCGAGGCAAGGCAGTATTGGAACTGGCCAAGAGTCTGAGGATGAAGTGGACAGGGAACACTATTGGCGACAGCTTGTTGAGAAGTATGGTAGTGTCGAGCTTGAGAACAAGGGCAGTGTCGCACGCGACCATCTTGCACTGGGTATGTCATGACAGTCTCATACCAACTGAACCTCGAACTTATGACCATTGCAGNAGCGCACGTTTCTAGCATGGCTGCGTACCAGTTTATCTTTCGCATCGATCGGCATCGCCATCACACAGCTCTTCAGATTGAACACGTCAATCGCCAACGAAGACGACTCGAAATCAGCAGCGGTAGTGAACAACATTGACAGGGAAAAGCTGCGACAGCTGGGCAAGCCATTAGGAATAACGTTTCTTGGAGTGTGTAAGTTGTGTTCCACAAACTTGAAGCATCCAAATGTCAACAACTAATGCGATGGACAGNCAATCTTGATTCTTCTGCTTGGTTTCCACAGGTATTTCGAGAGCCAGCACTATGTGATTCGTGGCAAATTTCCAGCTTCAAGAGGCAGTATCATGGTTGTGTCATTTGTGGCAGGAGCGTTGATTGTGGCGAGTTTGGTGGTGGTCATTGCTGTCGCTCCTTCTGCTTTTGAGACTTGAACGGAGATGTCGTCCTATAACAACATGGTCAGACTGCATATAGATAGTGGGCAAAACAGGCAGATGATGGATAAAGAAGCCACGTGAGATGGTCAAGATAGTCTTGTTGCAGGTGAAACGGCGTGCACGGAAGAAGCTTCTGGCTCTTCTTTGAGCGTGTCGGGAGTGGTGGGCGTCATCTCTCCGGGCCCAAACGCCGAGGCGCCCGAAGCGTCTAGTCTTGGACTTGCCTTTGCCGCCGACACAACCATCTTCCATCATCGCTATCTGTATACACGACATACTCGCGTGCATTCCTCTCTTTGCCCACGCAGCAATTCCTCGAGCTGTCGCTGCCCCTGATCGCCGACTGAGCCTGCTACGTCTCTCGGCGCAATCATGGCCTCTCGCAGCGCCCAGGTAAGAAGGCAACCACATGGCCACTCTCCATACGCCCACTGACCCAAGACCACAGGTTGCCTTGTGGCCGTCTGCCTCGTCCGCACTCAAGCAACTGTCACGGCGGTCCGCCTCGTCGTCGACTTCCTCTCTCGTCGCTAGTGGTAAGGCAACACCGGCCATTCGTTATGGCTCATCAAACCCTTAAGTCAGCGCGCTGACCCTTGCAGTGCTGCGTACTCAGTCCTACTCCTCGTTCGCGTCATACCGACCTTCGCTCTCCGCAATCTCTCGCACGCCACTCTCGCAGATCCAATTCGTCTCTCGTCAAACTCGCTCCGCCAGCAGCGTCTCGCATAACTTGCTTGCCAGTCTTGAAAAGACGGCCAACAACAACCCTCAAAGCGCTACTGCCCAGAATGCCTTTTACTCTGCACTTCTTCGCGCCGGTCACCACGACATTCTCGTCGAACGTTACGACTCCGGCCGTTATGCTACAAGTCCCTCTGTCGATAATCTCTACTCCCGTGCTATAGAAAAAGTTGGTCAATCAGAATCTGGCTCTGGTGCCCACTCGGACGAAAGCGCTCAGGCTGCCGGTCAGGCTGTTGCTTCTACTGTTCGCGGTGGTAACGTCTCCGTCTCCCGTAGAGGCAGCGGTGGTAAGAAGGAACCCCTCTACGTCGTGGTTGACGAGTCTCTTGGCGCCACCATCTTCAAATGGGTCAAGTTCTTGATGGTCTTTGGTGTCGCCTGCTATCTGTCTCTGGTTGTTCTCACTCTCTTCATTGACGCTACCGGCGTGATCAAGAAGGTTGGTGGAGCCCAGGATAACCAGGCAAAGCCAGAGATGCAAAAGACTCGCTTCTCTGATGTTCACGGCTGCGACGAGGCAAAGGAAGAACTCCAGGAACTCGTCGAATTCCTCAAGGCTCCCGATAAGTTCTCGACTCTTGGTGGAAAGCTGCCCAAGGGTGTTCTCCTCACTGGCCCTCCTGGTACTGGTAAAACTCTCCTCGCTCGCGCGGTTGCTGGCGAAGCTGGCGTTCCCTTCTTCTACATGTCTGGTTCCGAATTCGATGAGGTCTACGTTGGTGTCGGTGCAAAACGCGTGCGTGACCTGTTCACCCAAGCACGTGGAAAGTCGCCTGCTATCATCTTCATTGACGAGCTCGATGCTATCGGCAGCAAGCGCCATGAACGTGATGCAGCATACGCAAAGCAAACTTTGAACCAATTACTTACCGAACTCGACGGTTTTGACCAAGACACTGGTGTTATTATCATTGGCGCTACCAACTTCCCGCAATCGCTCGACAAGGCTTTGACCAGACCTGGACGTTTCGACCGCAACGTTGTTGTTGGCCTGCCTGACGTTCGTGGCCGTATCAGCATTCTCAACCACCATCTCAAGAACATTCGCATCGATGGCGAGGTCGATGCTTCTGTTCTCGCTCGTGGTACTCCTGGATTCAGCGGTGCCGAACTCGAGAATATTGTTAACCAGGCTGCTGTCCGCGCGTCCAAGAACAAGGCTAAGCGTGTGACCATGGACGACTTGACTTGGGCCAAGGACAAGGTTCTCATGGGTGCTGAACGCCGTTCTGCCGTCATCCAGCAGAAGGACAAGGTCATGACTGCATACCACGAAGGTGGTCATGCTCTTGTAGCCATGCTTACAAAGGAAACAACCCCTCTCTACAAGGCTACCATCATGCCCCGTGGTCATGCTCTCGGTTTGACTCAAATGCTTCCCGAACTTGACAAGGTGTCAGAGACCAGAGCAGAAATGATGGCTCAGATTGACGTCTGCATGGGTGGCAAGGTTGCTGAGGAGCTTATCTACGGGCCCGATCAAGTCACCACAGGTGCATCCTCTGATATCCAATCCGCTACTCGTATCGCCTATATGATGGTGACACAAGCAGGCATGTCAGAGAAGCTCGGCAACGTAGACCTTAACAGTGACTACAGTCATCTCTCATCCGAAACGAAACAACTCATCGAAAGCGAAGTTCGCAGACTCGTGGAAGAAGGCCGCGTGCGCGCCACCAAACTTCTCAACGCCAACCGCGAAGGACTCGAGCGTCTCGCGAATGCGCTGGTCGAATACGAAACCTTGAGCAAAGAGGAAATGGAAGCAGCAGTACGGGGTGAAAAGCTGTCGCCGAAGAAGCCAACAGCGGACCCAGATGTTCCTGTTAAGAACGTTCCTGAGTTCCCTCTTCCGCCAACCTTTGGTGTACCACCTTCAATAGGTGGAAGCAGTGGGCCTGGAGGCGTACCTAGCCCTCGACCTGCTCCTGGCGGGAATGAAGATGGACCTTCTCCTTATCCTACGGGTCCTTAGGAGCAAGATCCTTGGGAGCTAGACCCTTAGTGGGCGTTTACTGGCTTGTCTTCCATCTTCCGCCACCTCTCGTCAACACACAAAGGGCACTTTTCCTTTCGAGATTACTCACGCTCTGGATCCATGGCGTGGGTCGCATCTGCTAAGTTGTCGTCTGTTGGGCGTTCTTCTTCGGCACGCGCTCTCGGGCATGATTTATACTTTGGAAGCAGGGCATGGCGGAGGTTTGCTGACATGTCATCTGTTAAGCGCCTGTCATCGACGGGCGCTTTCCGTCACTACCTTCACTCTGGGCTCACGGCTTTTTCGTATGTGCATGACAACGAAGGTGATCTTATACCGTACAAGATATTTAGAAAGAGTGTACGAAGCAAAGAGAGAAGCAAGAGGAGATGAGCATCGACGATGTGCTTAACGCCATTCTTGGGCAAGATTTCTTCATCGGCTTTGTGTATTATTATTAGGAACATGACCGTGATGGACATGTGGATTCTTTCGCTTTTCTTGAATAACACAAAAGACAAAAACAATCAGAAACATTCTTTTCAAGAAGGCTGTGAAATCTCTCCTCTACTAACGACCTCACTCAATCTTTTGTAACACGACACAATGACAGTTGAAAAAGCACTTTATATTTCTCGCTTCTCATATGCTGCATTCCTTTGCCTGTCCCTCATCAAATCCCCACTGCCTGTGCATCTCAGTGCAACAGATGTGTTTTGATATACAGATATGATAGATAATTCTTTCCCCCACTGTTGGTCGTTACTTCCCGTATGCTCGTTGCCTCCCTTTTGTGCTCGATCGTACCTTCCTTCCAAGCTAGTCGTTATTTCCCTACATGCTTGATCGTTCTTTTATTACATGCTTGATCATTCCTTCCTCTTTTACATGGTTATTTCTTGCTCTGACAGTTGATGGCTCCTGCTTGTTAAGCTTGTTGCTACTCCATTGCATGTCCCCTTTTACGCCTAAACGCTCCTTACCTCCAGACATACTCGAATCACGAGTCAAAGAAAGGCGCGATCAAGGAGCTATATATGGGAAGATGCAACTCGAAGGAAGGTACGACCGAGTCAGAGATCATGACGGAAGCACCCATCAGGTCATGGACGAGTCGAAAGAAGGTGCGACTCCGTCCATCTCCTGCAAAAGTCTATATTGATATGCCAAAAGCTGCGTCTTGGTGGTGTTGTGATTATTGATACTTCTGCCATTGTTCTATTAAACAGTTCAAAATCAGGAGATGAGATTGGAATTATAACTACCAATATCTCTCAACACTCTCATTCGGTCCGATCTCTGTCATCTCTGTTTCTTCTTCTACTTTCCTTCCGCTCGTTCGAGTAGCTTGTCATCTAAACCCGAAGGTTCGAATCCTTCTTCTCTCTTTTTCTTTTGAGCCCAAAGGATGTCTCCCCTGAAAAATACAACCACGCCACCTCTCCCAGACACACTAGCAGTGATTCTAAAGAGCGGTGATCCAGTTGAAGGATGAGCTTCGCGGAGAGGCAAAAGTGTAAGTTCATGCTCCGAACACCATTCTTCCACGATGTCTTTGAAAGACATTTCTTGCTGTTCTGCTCGCGTGTTGTTTGCCGCAGGAGTGGCAGTAGTGGAAGCAGCGGCAACGATAGGTCGGGAAGGACCAGCAGCAGGTGCAGGCAACTCAGTCAAATCTCTTCCTTGCTCGTGCAGAGTCAAGGCGTCATTTATTGTTGTGAATGCCTTGTCGAATTCTGCCTGTACTTCTGCAATTCGTCGCAAGTTCTCAGGGATAACGGATTTCCACCATGTGCACCAGGCGCCTATCTCTTCGAAAGAAGCTTCGGGAGAGATCAGCCATTGATGCAGCACTGAATGCAGTTTTGGGAAGAACTCTGCGACAAGCAAGCGAGCGAAGATCATGGGTGTGAAGAAAGGTTGCCAAGCGAATACGTGCTCCAGTGGTGAAATATCCTGATCTGCTGGATCGATGTCGAAGTTGGCAGAAAGATGAGAGGCCAAGCGAGGAAGTACATGTCGTAGCATTGTACTGTCAAAGTCTTTGGGTCCGAACAACTGTTTCCAGTGCTCCAGACCAGGAACCAAGGACGAGACATCGCAGGTATCCAACACACGGCGGATCTTGCGTTTCGCATCTACCAGCAGTCCAATTGTAGACTTGGGATCCAGGTGGTAGGAAGGAAGTAGCGGTAGCCAGGGGAACAGCCAAGTATGTGGTGCATCACTACTCGAAGATTTGTGATGATGGCGTCGCTTTCTCGGATTCCAGGCAGTCACGGCCTCTGATAATTTCGGCACAATTTGCTGATCGAGCAAATTCGAGTAGACAAAAGCAGGAAGTAACGGTCTCCAAGCTGTGACTACAGTGATCAGAGACGAGGAATCGTGCACATCCCAGCGTGTGACCGTAGACCGCATTTTGGGCAGCCAGATACCGTATATCAGACTCTCGTAGGGTGTAGTGGTTTTNTGCTTGCGGTACCGTCGTTGCTCGGGTTCAATGTCTGGATTCGAGGTTGCGAGCGCGGACGTCGTTTTCTCCAGGCCTAGGATGGGTTTTAGATGCGTAAGGTGTTCGACCAGACGATACGATGGCGTTTCTAGAGGATCCCAGTCATCCAGATCAGCCTTGAACAGAGGTGTGATGGTCGCGACAGCCGCCTCGGACAAATTATAGCTATCAATGTCGTGACGAAAGTCTTGTTGTAATTTCCCTAGCTTCTCCATGGCTTGACCCCAGTCAATATTTGCAATGTTCAAGGCCTCGACTGCTTCGACCATGCCTCGCATCTTTTGGATATCGTCGTCGGCTTGGTTGATGTCCATTTGCAAATGACCTTGTTGTTCTTCGACGACGACTTTTCGCTCTTGCAAGCCATGCCATGCTTCGATAAAGGCTTCCAGTTCCAGTCTTTCGCGCTTGGCTATTTTGTCGGCTTCGGTTTCAGCAGGGACGACGGTGGGTGTCATGAGTCCAGCAGTGCTGGTAAGCAGTTTCGTCGTACCACCAGTGGCATCGACAATACTGCCTAGCATAGCTTTCGGTAATTCCAGTCCAGGAGCAGCAGCACGCACATCTTCGACGGTACGGTACTTCATCTTCCGTCTGCCACCACCAACACCTCCAGCTCTTTCCTCCTTCTTTCTCTCATTCCTCCTCTTCCTCGCTCTCCGTTCCTCTTCACTGGAATCTTCGTATTCTTCTCCCTTGGCCTCAGCTTTTCGTCTCTGCTCAGCTTTGTATTGCTCCGTCTTCTCTTTTACTGCACCAACACCGGCACCTTGTGGTCGCAGTTTGACTTCGATGGGATTGACGATGCCCTCGCCTTCTTTTCCGAGACCTTGGCCTTGTTTGTAGCCCATCTTGGCCATCATGCGTTCGGCGAAAGTCATCTTGCCTGATGTGTTGGCAGGAGGTCCGTTGTTCTCGTCCAGTTTGGCGCTCTTGCGACTGCTGTTGTTTGCGCCAAAATCGCCTTTGCGCTTGAAGCTTGCGCGCTCCATCTTGGTGATCGTCGAGATGGATGTCCTCGAGACGATGCGATTCCGATGGATCGAACGGCGCAACTACGCGACGATGCTTGTCGGTTGTGTAAAGTTGTGTCTGGTGGAATTGTTCGGGAGAGCTTGCTCCGGCAGCAGCCTGGTGAAGTCATCGGTCAAGCTCGGGTCTCGCCGACCTTCACTTGGGGACGCAGTTCAAGTAAGGTAGAGAATTTCTCAGAACAGGTAGAAGCCTAATACGCAAACCGTGCACTTGGTCTATGGGGCAGTACAATCCGGCATATGCTTAGCATATGCTCAAGTTTTGTATGCTCTTGCCCATTGCTTACCCTTACTCTAGGGGCCCTCTACCGGGGACCCCTCCCTTCCTCGTAGCGGGAAGCTTAAGGGCGCTTCTTATTATATCTATCCTAGCGTTCTAGGGAAGTGCGTAAGATAGTAATAGGCCTTGCGCTTATAGGGCTAGTAGAGGGAGGGGTCCGGCAAGGGGTGCTTTATAGTTTCTGGGCTTTTGTGGGTCTACCTGTTCTGAGAAATTCTCTACCTTAGCTGACCTGCAACCCGCCTTCACTTCTTCTGGCCGAGGAAGCGCAAAGAAGTGCAAAAGGAAGTCACAATCCCATAACTCTTCCCAAACACCCCACCAACACATCAATGTAGTCCGGACTCGCCATCTCATGGGCTTAGTCGCTCTGCCCGATTGCTCGGCTGAAGCGGTATCCAAGCAGTCTCAAGGCCACGCGCAGCAAATCGCAAGTTACCTGTGCGAGTGGGTGGCCACCACGAGATTCGAACCGGGCACCGATGGTTGGGTTGTTGCCAACAGCAGGGGTGGTAAGAAAGATTGAAGTCATTTCTTCCCGTTGAGCCATTACAGCTGAAAATATGCTTGAAAGAACACAATATATAGTCACGACCACAATGTTTGTCGCATGTGCATATTGCCTTCGATGCTCCTACTGCAATCAATATATTGCCAAATATACCGTTCTATTCTTTTGTGTCTCTTGTTTTCCAAGATTGTAATTTGTGTGACGAATTGGTATGCTCTCGGCACCGCGTGTGCCATGCAGCGACTCCCTCTTAGTGACTCTTGAGCGCAAACTCTCACGAAAACCACAACCACATCCCGACAGACGAGTGCGGCACTTTCACGCAACATCTGACATTCTTGAGAGTTGGTATCAATCAGCCTTCTCAAATTCTTCTGCGGAAGCCATGGAAAGGGGAAAAGCACTTGCCGAGATCGCAACCCTGGCTCTGATGTATCTTCTAGTAGACTGCCTTTGGTGTTGCACTATCACCAGAGGTGCTCAAAGAGGTTCTTTCAACGCTATGATGTTTTCCTGCTTAGAGAATTGTCTCTCGAGAGCATGTTGTGCAGGTGTGTTTTTGTATACTCTAGCCGCAGAGAAGAGATCTAAAGACGAACTTTGTGGCTTGAACGAATGCCTTCACCAATCATTTGCAACGAAGGTCTAGTCGCACCGCTTCTCTTCACCTGCTATGCCTCCATACCATAGTTCTTGTAAGGGAAGTTCTCAAGGGTCGAATGCTGTGTCGCCCATCCATCACCGACCTTTCCGGGCACCTCGCTACCTCCACTGCTGACGCCGTACTGCTTCATGATACTCGTGCCAGCCAGCACATCGTCCTCTCTTCCCTTGTACTCATTCAGTAGGCCAGGATGCGGGCACCAGACGACTTGCATACCAGCTCTTCTCCCCGACTCTACACCAGGTACGCTGTCTTCAAAGACCAAACATTCGGCAGGTGTAATCTCCTTCTCTTTTCCTTCTTTGCGGATGCGTTCGTTGATGGTCTCGAGAGCGAGGAGGTAGATGTCTGGTGCAGGTTTGCCCTTTCCAGAAGGAATTCGTGGGTCGTCACCAAGTACACGGTGTTGTTGCTCAAAGACAGCAAACATGTCTTCCAGGTGTCTGGTCTTGAGGCCGAAGTTGTTCTTGTTGGATGAAGTGGCGAGGGCAATGTGGACATTGGGGTTCGCGTGGAGGGTATTTAGTAGATCGCGGACGCCAGGCAGCGGTTGTGTCGAGGGAAAGTACTTTTGTTGCAGGACCGATGTCTGTTGGAGGAAGTCTTCGCGCGTGATGGGCAGTTGGGCCCAGTCTTGGAAGATCTGACCAGCCTGCNNGAGTATGTGTTAGCTCTTGATGGTTGCTCCTGGTGGGTGTCGTGTAAGTACCGCAGGGCCGGGACGTCCTTGAAGTTGAGCCTTGATGTTCCATGGCAAGTCGGGCTTGCCGTACTTCCGCAGCGTCTCGTTGGTGCATACTGTGTACAAGTCTTCAGAATCAATCAAGAGACCATCCATGTCAAAGAGACATGCTCGGACAGGTGGGAGTCTGGGTTTGGTGTGAGCTGGAGACTATGCCTCATCATAGAAGGAATAGACATACTGGCTTGATGCTTGGGCCATTGTGATGGATGTCTGACAGAGAATCTTTGGTAATAGTTAGAAAAAGAAGCAATGATTGTAGAAATGCTCTCTGTTCTCCAGAAATCACATGCATGCCACCCACTTCGTCCCTGGAAACCCCGCCGCTTCGGTCCGACATGCCTCGGCGTCATCACCTCTCTTGATGCCTCAAGCCATGACCTCTCCATATGCCCCAATGTCATGACCTAAGCGTTATTTCATCCTCGATTCAAGACGCGTGAAAGATTGCGGTTGATGATTTGAGGACGTTGCTGCTCCATGTTCCCTCCAACCTTGATGCCTCCTCCGCTAACACTGTAGCCGCCGAATCCTTGACTGTTTGTCGCGTTGCGATGTAACTCACCCAGGGGCTGGCGGTTTGGTGTTGCTTGTCGTTGGCCTGACACCGAAGCTCTAGTCCCATAATTCGGCATGCTAGAGCTCAGTGATGGGGAGCCTGAGGGTTGCGAGAGCTCTGAACATGCACGAGTTAGCTCAGCCCCCTCTGTCTGGAAACGCGATACATACCCAGTNCCTCCTCGAGAGTTTTGACTCGACCACACCTGATTCTTGCTCCCGCCATAGCTACCCACCCTGCTATGACTGTACACTTGAGGCATATCTTGGCCACTTCCTCTTCGAGGCATTGAAGCCGGTCGCTGAGGTGTCCTGTCTCGAAGCACTTCGGTGAATCCAGGCCCTTGCATTGACTGTATCACATGGTCGACATCGTCTGCGGCCGCGTATCGCATCTGCTCAGCATCATGAGTGCCTTTGGCTCGTTGGTATAGCTTGGTCAGTCGCTGGTGCGCCTTGCTCTTCTCGCTGAACGCCTTGACCAGCTCCTGATTCTTCTGCTCGAGTGTCTTCTTTTCCAGATGCATTNNCCTGTACTGTGTCAATAGTGGCTACCCGCGGTCTTGAGCATGGTTGTGCAATTCACTCTCTAGTCTGTCTCTCAGACTGGTGATCTCCGTGTTGGCGTCCTTGATCACATTGTCCATCTGGGAGTTGAGATTCGCATATCTATCTGCCAGATTCTTGGCCATGTAGTCGTGATACATGNNCTGCTTCTGTCAGGGTTGATAGTTGACAGAGACTTGTTGTACTCACATCTCTTGAGTCACTTGATACTGGTAGAACGATATACCACGGCTACAGCACTCCATGACGATTGTCGGACTAAGGCCGCTGAGGACGCTTGTCTTGTAATCCTCCGTCGGATTGAGCTGTGTAGCGACGGCATCATCTGGGTTTGCAAGTTGGGCGTCGCATGCAGGACAGACGCGAACACCGTTTGTCGAAGTAGTAAGACCAAGGACATCCGAGCATTGCATGCAGAAGATGTGGCTACANAGATGCATCAGACGCCGAACATCACGCAGACAGCGTACCACTTGCCTGCACGTTGTGACAACGGCTCTATCGGCAAGACGCGAGCGACATTTGAGCGAGTTGCAGCGCAAAGACAAGTCCATGATGACTGGAGTTGAATAATCAATTGATTGATTGTTCTGTCTTCTTGAGAAAGTCACAAAACAACTCCGACAACATTGCACCCAGATGAGGAAACTACGATCAGCCTTCGACTGCAGCTTCGATTAATGATCACGCCGGCGAAAGCACGAGCCGACAAAATAGAATATGCAAGTAGCTGATCATTGTAGCCCTTTCCTGGGCAGAATCATGAGCTCATACGTCTGCTGCGCAACAACGTGTCAAAAGCAGAGCTGACCCTAGCCATCTGGCTAATCGGAACCAACCAACTCATCTTCAGCATCAAGACCCAATGCATGTCTTCTGGTCGGCGCGTCCTCCTCAAAGTACGGCTCCTCGGCCAACGGAGTCACACGAGTACCGTGTCTTGGNGCTACCCCTTCGTAGTCCCATGAAGCATTGTGGATGGTAATGCGATTATCCCACAGAGCACTGGTTCTAGGTGTCCACTTGAATCGAAGCTGGATGTCAATGTTCNNTGGGGATAGATCAGCAACATTATACAAAACTAATTGACTTCGATCCGCTGAGACACTTACTCGCTCGTAGACATCGAAGAGATAGTTTAGAATGACATCACTCTCAGCTTTGTCGAGGCCGACTATCCTGGTTGTGAAGGATCTGTTCACGAAGAGCGCTTTCCAGCCAGTAGCTGGATGCACGCGAACAATCGGGTGAACACGCTCGATATGCTTGGGACCGGCATTGGGATCATCGCGGTCGAGGTACGTGTGTGCAGACTTGAAGTATGCCTTCTTGCCGTCAATGATCTTGCGGAAGCCTGGGCTGAGCTTCTCGTAGGCAGCATAGCCCGAAGCCCAAAGAGTGTCTCCGCCGACAGATGGCACGACATCGTTGTGAAGGTGCGTGATACCTGCAGGCTGACGCTCGTGAACCAGATCAGTGTGCCAACGAGAAGCACCGCCGGGGTTTCTGAAGTTGGCAGCGCTCTCAGTTGCCTGTAGAGCAGGCCAGATCACAGTGACACCTTCGACACCTGGGACTTGGGGTACCTGAGGCTACAGGATTTCATCAGTATAAGGATTCAGTCCCTCGACATCGGCACTTACGTGGACTTCAATCTTTCCATAATGCTCGCCAAGCTCCTTTTGTTGTTGAGGAGATATGTCCTGATCACGGAAGAAGACAATGCTTCTTTCAGCAATCAACAGTGCAAGCTCGTCCCTCTGCTGGTTGGTGAGATCCTTCAACTGCAAGCCGTGAATCTCGGTGCCCATGTGAGCTGTGAGATCCTCGATCTTGCTTGCAGCTTCGAAAAGAGACTTCTTAGTAGGATCGGTCTTCTTCGCTCTAGCTCCAGCATCGTCATGCGCCCAAGGCTCATTTCTGATGTTATAGGCATCTTGCAGGTAGAGGGGACGAGCTGGACGGTAAGGGTAACCATTCGAAAGGTCGACATTGGCCCTTTCAAGGCGAGCTCGAGTCTCTTTGGGAAGACCTAGGCTGTCCTTCTTGGGCTGGACCACATCTGTGATTGAGGGATCGATAGCACTGGGAGCCATGGTGGTAGGTCGATTGAAACTTGGCTTTGTAAAGTTGTGAGTTGATGGGGAGATGAACAAAACAGCTTCTCCAAGTATCATACCTTTATATCCAACACTCATTCATGTACAGACACCGCGGATTATAAATCTAATTGATAACAGCAGATGCCGGAGTGGATTGAAAGCACATCATCAAGCTATTGCTAAGCATAGCCTGACACGAGTTACCATTACCCCTCACCATGGCACCTCGAATGTCCATTGCGGGTCACGAAGACCTGAAGGATCAATACTTTCGTATGAGCTACATCTCAACATAGAGAACATCATCTGTTGTGGTGGGGCTCGGACATGGTGGTTGCATATGTCTTGGCAAAACAGCTCTGTCGTGAGAGGGGGCTTCAATGGCGACATTTGGATCTTCACCACCAAACACGACTTCATCTTTCAACACACGTTTCCCAGATAATGGAAGCGTTCTGATTGGAAGGCATTTTATCTTGTATTCTGTTCTGTTACAGTACCCCGCATCGAGTAGGACCTCGATGCTCAACACAGGACTTGCCCAGTTAGCGTTGAGGAGAAGAGTAACTCGATTCGACAATGCTCCAAACATGGGGTCTGGTCGAATCGAGAAGATACGATCGACTCTCTCTAGACTATAGGTGGACCAAAATGTTATCATCGTCTTGCCATATCAAAGGCGACCTCGACTCTAAACCTATCCGAAGAGCAACAATGTCTCAACGCAGCAAATGGATGCGACAAGATGATATGCTCCATATATGAGCACGAACTACCGGCACGGTGTCACGCAATCTAGAGTCCACTCAGGAGTGTCAAGGACCAGTCGTTGATGCAGCATGCTGCAGCTCTGCTATCAAGAAGCACGCAATACTTGCTCCGGCACAATTCTCAAGCACACAGTGGGGATACATCAGCTATCTCATCCTTCCTGACTCGGCATATCCATCGGGTCCAGAAGTTTTGTCTCTGATATCAGTCCCGTGCCCTCTTATATGTTCTAGTCCTTGCTTGACATCTTGTTCGACTCAGCTTGCCAGTACTTTGGTTTCCAGGATACTCAGCATGTCTGATCTACCAAGCAAATCAACAGCCAACGACGTCGACGAACGAGCACACGAGCGAGCTCAAGAAGTCATTGCCGAAAAGCCAAAGAGAAAATGGCAGAGCTATATCTGGGACACATTTGACAAGAGCCCTGAAGAAAGAAGGTTCTTGTTCAAGATCGATAGTGCTTTGCTTACTCTTGCTTCTCTTGGTACGTTTCTGGTTCTTTTTAGTGTTTTTTTTTCATTTTTCTGCCCCAGGGGTTTTCGTATTGTGTTCAACCTAATGCTAATATCTATCACAGGCTACTTTTGCAAATACCTCGATCAGAGTAACATCAACAACGCATACGTGGATCTCCCATTTTTCATCTACTACTGATTTCCTTCAACTGACATGAATATTTTCGTAGGTCTCGGGAATGTGAGTCTTGGTCTTGAGATTGTTATTGAGGCTAGACACTTGATCCTGACTCAGGAAGGAAGACCTCGGTCTATACGGTAATCAATTGAACTACATGCAAACCTGCTGGACAGTCGGCTACGTTATTGGTGAGATCCCGAGTAACGTGGTTCTGACAAAGATACGTCCTAGATACTGGGTCCCTGCTCTCGAGGTATGAAGCCTTTAGCAGGCATTGTCATATTTGATGTGCTGACTGGTAATTTAGTTAACATGGACCATATTGACATTCTGCACCTGTAAAGCCAATAGTGCTACCCAACTCTACGTTATCCGTTTCTTCGTTGGATTAGCGGAATCGGCTTTCTATCCTGGCATGCAGTACATCATCGGCTCTTGGTACCGTAAAGATGAACTTGCAAAGAGATCATGCATCTTCCATACAAGCAGTGCCATCGCTACCATGTTTAGTGGATACCTGATGGCTGCAGTCTATCATCTCGGAGGCGTCGGCGGCTTCAAAGGCTGGCAATGGTAACTCTACCAACCGCACAACAATGTACATCTACACTAACAAGGGGACCACAGGCTCTTTATAGTCGACGGCATAATCTCACTCCCAACTTGTCTAGCCGGCTTCCTCTTCCTCCCCGACGTCCCAGAAATCTGCACCGCCTTCTACCTGACCAAAGAAGAAATCGCCTTTGCCCAAAAATGCATGCGGCTCGAAGGTCGACGCGAACGCCAACCCTACACGACCTCCAAAATCTACAAGATTCTGTCTTCGTGGCACATATACATGCTAACCCTGCTCTACATTTTCTTCAACAATGATTCCGCAAACTCGCAACCCGTGTTTCAGCAATTCCTCAAGAAGAGTAGAGAGCCAAAGTATAGCGTTGCGCAGATTAATGCGTATCCGACTACTACCAGTGGGGTTGCGGTGGTTACGACATTGGTGTACGCGTGGACGAGTGATGGGTTGTTCAAGGGGAGAAGGTGGCCGCCGATGATTTTCGGGGCGGCGATGAATATTGTGTGTTATGTCAGTTTGTCCGTCTGGGAGATTCCTGTGAGTTGGAAGTGGGCTTGTTATATCTTGAGTGGGTGTGGGAGTGGGTTGAGTGGGTTGATATTTGCGTGAGTGGCTGCTTTCCTTTTCCTCGTTGCTTTCTCCTCAAAGACTTGATTTTACTGACTCATATGCAACACAGATGGGCCCACGAAATCTGTGCTTCGGACAACGAGGAAAGAGCCATTGTCACGGCGACCATGAACGAAATGGCATATATCGTGCAAGCGTGGCTGCCTCTTCTGGTCTGGCAACAGGTCGATGCTCCCAAGTATCAAAAAGGTTTCATCACGGTCACCTGCCTATCTGTGTGCATCATCGTCACAGCATTGGGAACTAGAGTCTTGCACAACAAGGAGATCCAAAGAGGAGAGAAGGAGATCATCAGAGGAGAAATGGAAGGGTATGAGACTGGTGTCGAGACTCCTCCGCAGCACTCGGTTGAGGTTCAGAGCGGAGGCAAGGCTTATATTCAAGAGGTGCGAACGAAGAAAGCTATAGACTTGTAGGCTCTTTTCTTCAGCGAAGGATATGAGTTGAGCATATTACCACATGGGAGCACGCAGAGCTACGTGCATGACTACATGTGCCCAACACCACCATAGTAGTAGGCTCACTCAACTTCCTCTCGTTCAGCGTGTCGTGAAGAGCCCGAACGCTCTCCATTCTTAGTTCCAATGATTGTTAATGTTCCTCTTTCTGTAAAGCTCCCCAAGGAGCTCCTGAGATTGACGCCTGGGTACAATCGAAGATCTGTTCCAATGCCCAGACGGGTGGTACCACCTATAGGAAGCAAAGTTCTTGAGCCACCCAGCATCACTGATTGACCCCTTGTGCATTAAGATCACTTCAGCATCTCTACACTGGTCTAGCATGTTCCACACCAAGCCTCGCTTGTGCGTAACACTGCCTTTTGCGCGCTCACTCCTTGCCGCGATTCTGTCGCAATACGTCAAGAAAGGCTCGGGGTCTGGGTTGGTTGCATCGTAGAGTTTCAGGTATGCTTGTTGCTGTCGTAATAGCATATTTCTCGATCCTATGTCATCGTGCAAGGCTTTTCGTAAATCTGGACTGGTGTTTGGCCATGGGAAGCGTCTGATCAACTCTTCGTGGAATCCCGCAACCGGATCATATTTGCCAGGATGGCGCCATGTTGGCGTAGTGAGCTCCTGATAGAGGTACTCCTGGGCTGAGCGAAATGCCACTCGTTTGATACTGCTCTTTGCATCGAGATAAGCTCTCAACGACGCGTCAAGGCTTCCCTGTTCTCGGGTTTCGGAGGCTTTCTACTTCACCAAGTCAATCAGGGAAACAGACGCAGATATGATCCGCACGTCGGTCTGCGAGTCGTTGCGCGGCTCATTCTCTAAATTGAGATGTCCACGCGGATGCATTTGGCCCAATAGCCTAGGGACCGAGGAGAAGTGAATTCCAGCGATAGGCAACCGACCAACAGACCCACTCAGCAGGCCGTGGATGTGCTGTGCCTTGCGTGTGATGTTTTCATAGACAGGTCTCAACCTCGCCACTGTTCGCAAACTCAATGACATGGCGATTGATTGAGTCCCCGGCTGGATGATGTTGATCTGAGGATGATGCTTGAATGGTATAGTACGCGGTTGATTTCTGTCCAAAAGACAAGACGAGATCCGGAAGGGTGCAGTGATGACTTGAATGCTTTGTTCGGTATCGGTGGTTGGTCAAGACTTGTGTAACCATTCGTCTATGCAAGGTCGATAAACAATGAATCACATTGCCGTGCCCGCAGGGATTAGAATCAGGCATGCCACTTCGACTGTATGATGATAGTTCCCGAAGGCAGAAGAACAAATGTGAACTTCGAAACTCGTGTAACAACCAGGAAAAAAACAGAGTCGTCGAGATGGGAAGAGTGAATGTGGTCTGGTCCGAAAAGGCATTCTTGTGGGAAGTTGCAGAATGTGAAAGTTCATTCCTCTATAACAGAAGGAGCTTCGCAGCGGCACCTTCCACAAACATGGCAGTAAATGGTCAATCCTTTTTGGCCGAGGAGGTCGCTACTATGGAGACCCGACTTCTGGATAAGTCGCGGATGAAGTGGCCGTGTTTCGGTGGTGAACATCACGTTTGTACTTCCATCTCGTGCTGAACCTCGTCAGATTTTGGAAACAACAATTGTGGTGATATGCTGAAGAATGTGATTACAAGAATGGTTATTTATAGATGATTTTGAAAAAAGGTTGCAACCCCCCTTTACGCCCGCTGACTATGCAAGAAGAGTCGATTGTGCAAGATGTGGTGGTCCCGTGAGATATGCGATGAAGCAGGGACCAGAGCAAGGTGATGTAGTTGATTCACAGATGAAGTCGCTGGCAACCAAGTGTCGCGGATTTGGACCCGCGAGAAGAGGAGCCAGAGTCGCAAGGATTGATCAAATAAAGGGCAGGTCAATGAACGACTGACGAGAGAAGAGATGCGCAGAGCTCAAACAAACTCTCTGTCCACAGCCAGCAATCGCTCCTTCTCGGCATCCTCATTACTCTGAATAACCTCATCGATGTGTTCCAGAATCTGCTCTTTTCTCCTGATTGCCTCCTTCTCGTCCTCGAACTTCTCATTCTTACTTCTTGTCTCGACTCTCCTGGCTGACTTCTTGGCCCACATCTCGTCGTTCTGGCGGCGGATCAATTTTTCCTTNTGCTCTTTTGTGAGCCATGGGTTGTCGCCGTAGCTGAGGACGAAGGGATTTTGGCCAGAGTATCCGGTCACGAGTGCGCGAGAGACGTCGGGATTGTCAAGAAGGCCATCCCAGAGTGTTTTGATGAGTTCGGATTGGTGGAGTTCGAAGTCGCGGAGGCCTCGCACACCGTCGGTNCTGTCATTGTTGTGTCAGCATGAAGCTCCTAGTGGGCGTCGTGTAGAGAGAAAGCTTACGGTCCACCAAACCAGTCGCAAGGTACCAGGGAACAACCTCTTGGGCACATCACCAGTCCAGGCGATCTTCAAATGGTCGCGGAAGGCATAGGCCCATGATGCGATATAGCCCGGTTGTTGCTCGGGATGTGAGTCGAAGAAGATGACAGGGCTGCCGAAATTGATGTTGGGTGTCGCCATTGTGATGCGTTCTCTGAGTTCCTTGCTAGCCTATGTGGTGGGAGTATCCTTTGGCCCTTGGGCTGCTTCTCTTTGTGATCCTCTTGGTGACTGAATATGGAATATGGGGGTATTGGTATGGATGGTCGAAGAATATGGTTCGGCTTCAGAGACGATGTGAGAGATGTATAGTGATAAGTCCGCGTAAGCTGTCGTCAAGATGAGGAAGCCAGAGATAGACGATGTGCCTTCCAAAAAGAAGATGTCAAGACTCGAAAGGAAATGATTTGTTTGGACCAGAATCCCATCGAAGGCGGAGATTGCGGAGTTGGGAACCAGACCCTCCTTGGCGTTGGGCACGCGCCGAGATGCCGTTCGCCTGGTCTGTCAGCTCCCGCTCGAGTCTCGACGCTCCAAAATCGCGCATCTCACTTGATCAAGACAAGAAAAAATTGTTGAATCGTGAAAAGTGTGTCTTCATTGAGAAACATGCTACTGCCATCTTCTCTATATTACATTTCCATCCCAGCGCTGACCCGCGCCGTCTGATGTTCATTCGTGTATCAAGTGCTGGAAGCTTCATCCATGTGAACTTTTCGCCTTGGTGACTCCCATATCATGTCCATGCTACCGTCTATGCTTGTGTACCTTCCCACTCAGGGTTCTGTATACATGTCAGTGTTTGTTGTTGACATAGTCATTAATGAGAACATACCTTTTTCAGAATAACCAATCCCTCCATGACATTCGTCACAGGGATGTACTCCTCGTCTTCGAGCTCGGCTCTCTCGCCATAACTCAACAGAACAGGTGTACTCTGTGTCTGCCAGCCAGTGATGGTCTTGGGACGACCAGCTTGTCCAACAACATCGACTGCTTGACCAACACGCACGTTGACTTGCAGAGGCTTGAGATCCTCGTCCAATGTGATGAGGAATCTGGGGTTAATGGCCGTGACGAGGAAGTAGAGGAGGTAGTGGGAATCGCCGAGAACAAACGACTTGGCATCGATAAGAGAGACGAGGGTGGTGAGGAGACCGGCAGCCGATACTCTTGAGAGGACGCTGCGGTCGGTGTGGAAGGGCGAGAGCGAAAGAGTACCCTTACCCATGTGCAGCATACCTTGAGCGATACGTACCATGAACAGAGCGTTGGGGTCACGGTGGTAGTACGAGGCGAGTTGGCGGAGCAATTGAGCCAGACGAGCGTTGTTTGTACCAGCACCGAGGAGACCCATGGCGAAGATTGCGTTGACAGCGACATCAGGGTCGTTGTCGTGAGTGTAACGCGACAAAGTGTCGTAAACCTTCATCTGAGGGTTTGAGGGAGAGATCAGTCCCATGGCAAGAGGAACGGCCTTGCGGATGTTGGCCTCGCCGTAGTGCATCAAGTGACCGAACTGGCGAAGAACCATCTCCTGACCGACCTCCTCACCCATGGCAACAAGCGACAGACCGAGGACGGCATAGGTCTGGACGAGCTCATCGCCCTTTCTGTCTTCGTCACCCTCCTCAATGTGCTCGTTGCAGGTGTAGAGGAGCTCTTGCAGCTTCAAGACAGCACCGGTGCCGGCCCAGGCGCAAATCTCGGCAAGGACGGAGGTAGGCTTGGACATGGGGTGGTCAATGGCCTTGAGAGTCTCAAGAATGACATCAACCTCTTCTTGCTGGCCGAAGTAGAGCAGGGCAAGACCAAGAGCCATGAAGCGGGTCCACTTGTCCTTGAGTTGCTTGTTGCGGTCATCGTCAAGGAAAGTCTGGATGATGGCCTCGCTAACATCTGACTGGGCGGATCCGACAAAGACCAGACCAAGAGAGAGGGCAGCCATTGCAGACAATTGCATGTCAAGAGAAGTGTCGGTAACGAAGGGAAGGAGCAGTTCGAGGAGATCCTCACGGTTGGAGCCAGCGTAAGCCAAACCCAGACCCATCAAGGAGGCGACTCTGACCGACTTTGACTTTGAGCTGTCGAGGTTGTCGCCGAGCAGAGCAAAGGCGGGATCAGCCTCGAGACGCACGCCAGAGTTGACGATACCAGTGGCCAGAGCAGCACCAGCCTTGATCGAATCCTCCTGGACGTATGTGTATGTATCAATCTTGTCGACACCGTTCTCGACGTCCCAGAGCATGAGAGAACCGAGAGAGGCAGCGGTCGAAAGCATGCCATCGTCCTTTGTCTTCCAAACCCAACTTGACTTGATACCACCCTCGACAAGCATCATCTTGTCTGTTCCGAAACCGGCGTTGACAAAGGCGTTGACGAAAGCGCTGGCCAGGTTGTGTCTCGCCGAGTCGGTATTGGTCAAGCCAGCAGTTCTGCTCGACTCGAGATGCGACTTGTAGATATCCTCAGGAACCTTGGGGTCGAGAATGTTGAGCTCTTTGGCCAGAGCCTTGAAGTGGTCGGGCATTCTGGTGTTGTTCAAGCACTCCTGCAGCTCAGGATCCTCCTCCTTCTCGTCATCATCAAGCTCAAGCGGGATCTTTTGGCGAGCGAGTACGAATGCGAGCTGTCTACGCATGTTCTTGTCCTTGGTGGAGCTGAAGTCGCTCTTGATCAGGTCGAAGTCATTGAGACGAATGGCCAGAGTGAGAGCGTGAGGGAGCTGGTTGTGTTTTCTGTAGATGTCGTGTGCGGTGTGGAGGAAGCGATCGTTATCGGGGTAGGTGAGGAGCGGTACCATGCTGACCATGTACAGACAGACTCTGGCATAAGTGTTGTCGTCGACGTGATCGGCAATGGCTTCGATCATCTCTAGCTCGCTCAAAATGTCGACTGCATCGGCCTCTGCATTGTGCTTAAGGAAGAAGGGGACGAGAGCCAGACAAAGGGTGACGAGTTCGTCGGCATCGCGCTCCTCGTTCAGGCGCTTCTGGTAATCGGAACCTATCTCGAGAGCCAGATGGCGCATGTACTCGTGACCCCATGAGCCAAGATCGCCTGAAGGTGCTAGCAAGCGGTATTTGAGTGTGTCGGTGCGGTCCTCGTCAGCATAAGTCATGCCCAAGACGGACAGGGTGTCGGCGAGCGAGTTCTTGTCGTCGCCCGCGGGCCATGATTCGTATGTTTGTTCGAGCTTCTCGTAGTGGGGACGGAGGAACTTGAGAGGCTTCGGGACGGCGGTCATGGATGATGTGGCGGTCTTGATGGACGTCTTGATGGCTTCGAGGGCGGGCTTGTACAGCGACTTGTCGGACTCCTGCAANGTGTGTCAGTGAGTGCAGCTGAGGAGCTGTGAGCAAGGTAGACGTACTAGTAACCTCTCGACGAGCATGTCCAACTCGTCCTTGAGCTTCTGGTCCTCCTCGCTCAACTCATCTGGTCTCGGTCAGGCTATGGAGAGATTCCGAGATGTGTGCATATACATACCAGCAGGGAGATCGACGGGCTTCTTGCCATCCTTGGTGGACTGCTCTTGCGGGTCCTTTGCGCCGGGGAGTTCGGTGGTCTGCTTCTCAGCAGGAGCCTTGCCCTTGTCGGCGACAGGCTTGTCGTCCTGGGCCATGGTGATGTTTGGGCGGCTGTCGGTGGAGATGATCGGTGGCGGAACAGAGGTTGTGGCGCGGGTTCGAACTCTGGTGAGCGGGATAGAAGCGTCCAGAGAAGTGGGAGATGGACGAGTAGATAGATGTCGTGTGAGGGTGGATGGTGTTGATGGCGGCGATGCGGCGAGCAGCTCTCAAGGCTCAAGCTAGAATGACGCCGCGAAACAGCGGCCCTTAGCGGTCCTTGGCAGGCCGTCAGTTCACCGCCTTCGGACTTGCATCTGGCAGAAGGCGCATCCCCGCTGCCATCAAAGAATTATTCTCGACAACTCTATTGATCAGAAGATAGACACACGGCAAGATGAAGTTGGACTCGAGACAGCTGCGTTACCTCACGGCCGAGGACTGGCGAGTCCTGACGGCGGTATGTGCACCGACATTCACATCCTGTCATCAGCACTGACAATCTTCCAAGGTCGAGATGGGCAGCAAGAACCACGAACTCGTCCCCACCGTCCTCATCGCCCAAATCGCCGGTCTCAGAGGAGGCAGCGGCGTCCACAAGAGCATTGCAACTCTCGCCAAGTCCGGTCTCGTCGCAAAAATCAAGAATGCAAAGTACGACGGCTACCGCCTGACCTACGGCGGTCTCGACTACCTCTCTCTCAACACCCTGCGCAAACAAGACACCGTCTTCAGTCTCGGAAACCAGATCGGTGTCGGCAAGGAATCAGACATCTACGTCGTCGCAGACCCCACCGGCAAACAGCTCGTCCTCAAGCTTCACAGACTCGGCCGCATCTCCTTCCGTACCGTAAAGGCCAACCGCGATTACCTGCGCAACCGCACCACTGGATCATGGATGTACCTGAGTCGCTTAGCAGCCATGAAGGAGTACGCGTTCATGCAAGTCCTCAAGCGCGAAGGCTTTCCCGTCCCCGAACCCATTGCGCAGACCAGACACACTCTCGTCATGGAACTTATCGACTCTTTCCCCCTCCGCTCCATCGACAACGTCTCCAACCCCCTCAAACTCTACGGCGAACTCATGGACTTGATCGTACGCCTCGCCAAGGTCGGCCTGATCCACGGTGACTTCAACGAGTTCAATTTGCTCATCAAAGAGGACCCCGTCACCAAAAAGTCCACACCCATCCTCATCGATTTCCCTCAAATGCTTTCCACAACCCACGAGAACGCAAAATGGTACTTTGACCGCGACGTCAACTGTATCAAGCGTTTCTTCTCCCGCCAATTCAAATTCACGTCAGACGAGCCCGGTCCGTTCTTCGAAGACGCCATCAAGGACACCGACAAGAACAAGCGCTTGGATATCGAGGTAGAGGCTACTGGTTTCAGCAGAAAGATGGCAAAGGATTTGGACAGATTCGTCGAGGCTGTCGGTTTCCAGAACGAAGCCGACGAGGATACCGCAGAAGTTCAAGATGACCCAGACAGTCATGAGGTCGACCAAGACTACTCAGAAGACGAGGAAGAGGATGACGACGAGGAAGAAGAGGAGACAAATTCACAAACCGCCCACGAAGACCAGACCGAAGAAGAGCTCGCCGAACAAACTCACGCAGATTCTCTTGAGAATCCTCAAGTCAACAACCCGAAACTGGCAGAAGAGCTCGGCAGCCTAGGAATACAAGACCCTGCACCTGCTCTCACAGCCGAGAATCTCGCGAAACATCTGGAGCCTCTGAACCTGCAAGATCAACAAGAGGAGTACAATGCCACAGTAGAGCAGCAGAAGAAAAAGAAGAAGGCTGCAGGCTGGTCCATCTAAGGGATCTGTTTCGTTGTTCAAGATGTAGAAACGCTTTTGATACCCCAATTTTACTGTACATGGTTCATTTTACCACCTCCATCTCAACTCGTCCTTCCTGAACCAGGTCATCCCTCCTCTCCTCCAACCGGCTGGCTGACATAGAGCCGTTCCAACGAAGAATGAGAATGAAGACCAGTGCAGATGTCGCCAAACAAGAACGCCAGCCAAGCGTAACCCAAAACACCCGCAGCCTTCTGAAGTGAGCACATCAAGCCCCTTACGACTTGACAAACATCTAGCTTGTTGATGGTCCCGAAATAGCATCGTTGGGCATTGCTCCAATACGCTCGCAATAGATGTTGGCTCCGTTGCCCATTCCAAGCTGTGACTCTAGTCAGTCTCTTTGCGTGCAGTGGTGCCGTGGAGAAGAACAAACCTTGTAGGCAGTATCCTCATCCTGGATGTAGTACTCTCCAAACAAGAAGGCGAGGTTCTCTAGCTCTGTCACCTCCAAATTGACCGCCTGGATGAACTTGAGCTTCATCTCGAAGAGGGGCTCGATGTATCCGACGACCAGCATGAGTTCTTCTCCTCCAAGGAATGATCTGAGTCTAAGTACCAACTCTGTCGCATTGTTCACCTGTTCGCTCAAAAGAGGGTGAGGAGGCTCGATGGGTTCAAAGTCTTCCAGTCCGGTAGAGTTGTCGACCAGAGCGGGAGGAAGGGCCTCTGTCAAAGCCTTCTGGATAGCCTCTCTGTTCGCCTCTTCCAAGGCCTCCTTTTCGGCCTCCTTTTGTTCGTCTTCTTCCATGATCTTTCTGATGGCCTCTAGTTGTTCTTCTGTTGGCCGGTCAGGTTTGGTCTGGGCGTCACCGAAGAAAGGATCGCATTCGAGAGATAGGTCGTCGTCGTCTTCGTCTCCATAGTCGAAATCATAGCCGTCTCCATCGTCATCCTCCAAATCACAATCCTCATAGATCGAGGCGGCTTCGTCAAGATCGGCCTGATCGAGCTTGCTGTCTTGAGAGATGGATTGTGACTCGCCATCGCTTCGTCTGCTGACATCAAGAGAGCGGTGGACTGTGACCGGAGTTGATTCGGGGACGTTGCTGACTCTGATGACAAGAGGCCCCATCAGTGCCGGATGAGTGTTCTTTTCGTTACCGATGACAATCTTGACGGCATCACTGACATCGTCGGCGGCGGTGGTTGTCTTGTTGATAATGTCGTTGGTGGGCATATTCTCGTCATCAGCCATAGCGTCTCCGGTGATGGGTAAAATGCAGCTTGAATCCACCGCTTGGAGTACCAAGATCTGGTAGAATATGGTAAGATGTGACTATACTGATTCTTGTACTGCAATATAAGGTGCTCGATGATAAAGAAAGCTTGGGGTTTGATAGAGGGAGGCTGGAGGGGCCAGCGGACAAACAGACAAGCTTGGGCAAACGAGAAGGTCCCAAACAAGGTAACAGCAATGCTATTCCTGTCCACATAGCAATGGTAGAATACCGAGCCCACCTACTCTCGGATTCTTCTCTTTCACAATTCATCTCATAACGTGTATGCAGCAGATACACTCTCGACTACCTCGTCACTCAGCATAAGCGTCCTGCTGATGAAGCATCAGAGCTAGACATGCCTTTGTTCGGATCATCTGGAAGGTCTTTGGCAGAGTATTGTAAGAATCAGTCGTCAGCGGGCCTTTGATCGTATCACCAAAATTTTATGTCTGTCGTTTAGTAATAGTCCCCTCTCCACACATGAATGAGGGCATTCGAAAGCTGCAGCCCATGAAGCTTTCTCTGTCTCTATTTCGATCCTTCACAAGACATGAAGATAGACAGAATCAAAGGAACATGGACGTCGAAGAACTAGCCTCCCAGGCCGTCTGCCGGCTAAAGGCTCTCATTGCATTGTCTGAATCAGGCAAATCATGATGGCAGATTGTGGAGAAAACCGATCAAAAACTATCATCTTTCGGCTTTGCCGAAATCAAGACGATGACTCCTTCATTCTAGGCGCCCTTTTCTTGACCAAACTGGCAGCCTGGAGCCCATGAGTATCCATCAGATTTTACTTTCGTTCTCTATACTACATTTCTGAATATATTTTTTTGCACTTTATCAAGCATGGCTGATCCAATCGCAATGTCTCGAGATGAATTGGTTGCAGAGACGCCCTCATCGCCCTCCACATCTACAAACAACAAGATTGAAGAAATAGATGTTGCTTCGCCAGCAGATGTACCAAGGAGTAAACTCCAAATTGCAGCTATTTTGATAGCCTTGAATGTAAGTCATCGGGTCTTTGTCTTGCCAAACCCAATCGGACTGATTCTTGTAAAGCTCGCTCTATTCGTCGCAGCCTTGGATCAAACAATCGTGTCAACGGCACTACCAACCATTGCTTCCGAACTACACTCTGCTAGTGGTTATACATGGGTCGGCTCAGCATACTTGCTAGCTAATGCTGCGTCCGCACCCATCTGGGCCAAGTTGTCAGACATCTGGGGCAGAAAGCTCATTTTACTCGTATCAGTGGCTTGGTTCTTCGTCAGCTCCATCATATGTGCCACTGCGCCTAGTATGTCTGTTCTGATTGCTGGACGAGCGCTCCAAGGTGTGGGTGGCGGAGCATTGATTCAAGTCACCATCATCACCATCTCGGACTTGTTTAGTATGAGGCTCCGCACTCTCTTCATCGGACTTATGGAGTTCATGTGGGCTCTTGCTGGTGGCATTGGTCCTATTGTTGGAGGCGTCTTTTCTGAATCCGTGTCTTGGAGATGTAAGCAGAATGTTCGATGATCATTCTCTCAGATTGAACTAATCTTTACTGACANNGGGTGTTTCTGGGTCAATCTTCCTATCTCGGGGACGGCATTCTTTTTGCTTCTTTTCTTCCTTGATGTTCACAACCCAAGAACAAAGGTTGTAGAAGGTATCATGGCGATCGACTTCCTGGGCAGTCTCTGTATTCTCGGATTGACCCTCATGCTGCTTCTCGGCCTCGACTTTGGCGGTGTAATCTTCCCCTGGTCATCACCAAAGGTCATCTGCCTCATTATATTTGGTGTGGTAATGGGCGGTCTGTTCATCCTGAGCGAGAAGAAGGTCGCTCGCTACCCACTGATGCCTTTGGGTGTGTTCAGCCACCCATCGAACGTTGCAGTCCTCGTTGTAACTTTCTGCCACGGCTTCGTAATTATCTCAGCCCAACTCTTGAATCCTTACTGACATGATAACAGCTCTNTCATCGCAGCCGAATACTTCCTCCCCCTCTACTTCCAATCCGTCAAGCAAGCCTCTCCGATCCACTCCGGAATCTACATTCTGCCCTTGACCCTCTGCGAAGCATTCATGGGCATCATGAGCGGTGTAATCATCCACAGAACCGGTCGATACCAAGAGCTCATCTGGGTCGGTATGGCTCTGTGCACTCTCGGCATGGGCCTATACATCTACATCGATGCCTCTACACCTCTAGCCACCATCCTAGGTCTCGAAGTCGTTGAAGGCTTGGGCGCGGGAATGCTCTTCGAACCTCCACTCATCGCCATGCAAGCCTTGGTCAAACAAGACGACGTGGCCACTGCAACGGCGACTTTGGGTTTCATCCGCAATCTGGCGACTTCAATGTCCATCGTCATCGCCGGCGTTGTCATTCAAAACTCCATGGCTTCGAGGTCTTCTTCTCTTGCCGCTGCTGGTCTCTCGCCCAAACTTCTTTCTGAGTTCACCGGTGGAGATGCAGCAGCAAATGTAGAGATGATCAAAGATATCGTGGATGTGGGCCAGAGAAATGCAGTCAAAGAAGCGTTTGCGTTCAGTCTTCAGAGGACATGGATCTTGATGACGGCGGTCAGTGCCTTTGGGTTTGCGGCGAGCTTCTTCATTGTGAGAAGTCATCTGAGCAAGGAGCACACCGAGACCAAAACAGGGATCAAGGAGAAGGAGGCATCATCCACTTCTTGAGACCGCAAGAGTCAACATGAGAGCTACTGAATATAAGTGATTATCTGCAAAAGTATTGTCATTCTGAGCCTATATCGAGCCTGAGCTCTTGGGGTTATGTAATTATGCTAAGGTCCAAAAATGACGGTCCGTTGAACTCCTGAAACCCCTTTCCGTGTCGGATGAGCAAAGCAAAGCAAAACAATCAAAGTGTTGTTACAATCGTGTTCTTCCGGATGCTACCAGCTGCGCCGCCCGTGAATTCCCTCTCGCCCCGGTCTTTTTGGAGCTTCTTGAAGAAGATATCGCTCTTGTTCATGTTTTGGCTGCTTCGATCTCGGCTCCTGTCGTGTCTGTTCAAAAAGTGCGTCCGACTCATTTTCAGCATTGATGATACGCTCTGCGGTCTCAGGCTCGATAATCCCAAGCTCTGTGGTCTCAGAGCTTCACTGTGGCAACGACAGGGCAAGTGCCTGGAGGAGCCTGATCGAGAACGGTTTGAATGAACTCGTCCCAAAGGGTTTGAGCACCGCCGTCAGTGTTGATCTCGAAATCGGTATCGGCGAATATGAAGGTGATCTCTGAGGGGACTTGGCCTGAGAGCGTTTCTTTGAAGCGGAAGTTGACTGTTTGATGCAAAGCAACAGCATCGAAGCAATCGGCGAGCTTGAGCATTTTGACACTTTTACGGCCATTGAAGGTCAGAGTGCACTTGACAAACGTGTTGACAAAGTGGCTTGTGATGATGTTTGCCGAAACAGGCATGTCGATCGATAGGTGCTTGTTCATGGTGGTTGGAGTTTGACCAGACATTACGTGCGGAGGGTCGATGGGTGCGGGATGAGTGTTTGTGGCACCAAGAACAGTATCGACTGACGATGGGACAATATGTGGGACAGGCACTGGTGGTTGTGCATCCGCGTAAGGAGTTTGATATGTACGCGTCTGATTTGAGAGAGGTGTGAGATTGTTGATACGTTGGGTAGCGTGGTGGTTGGGTGTGGCAGCCGTGTTGTCCGTTGTGCTGTTTGATGGTTCCGGTGCCGGAGTGCGAACATGTGTTCTTTTCATCAACTTCCGGCTTTCGGGGGCGTGACCATCGACAGATATGAAAGACTCATCCTGTTGTGATATGATGTGTGGGTGCGAGGCGTCAGCCGAAGGCGTAGAAGGTAGTTCTTGGGATGGGAGTTCCGTGTCATCGTTCTCCAGCATTGGACGTAAACCGTTCTTTGATCTCTTGGCTCGTCTCTTGCTAAGTTTAGGCCAAGGAATGAATGTGTCGGTGACTTGAGGCTGTGACGACGCCGTCTCGTTGGTCGTGTTTGAAGGTTCTGCATCCACCTGTGAGTGCTGTGGGGGCTTCGTCATCTGTGCGTCGAAGGGATTGTCCTGAGGCAGTGAGTATTGTGTGTGTAGAACGCCTTCGCCAGGAGTATCGGGAAGATTGTGGTTCCCGTTGTTGGATGAACTGTCATCGCTTGAGTGCAGGCTTAAGGTCGTCCTTCCAAGCACGGGTACGTCTTCGTCGCTGTCTAAGACTTGCACGGGCTGCGGCTGCTCGTGCTGTTCAGCTTGGTTGACCGACACGAAACCATGAGTAGGCCCAGATGCTGCTGCGACAAGTAGGTCGTGACCGTTGTCAAGGTTTGAAGGGCTGGCGACGTTGATTGTTTCGGGGTTGGTCGTGGTCCAGCTGGACACATGCTGATTGTAGGCCTGTTGGACAGGCTCAGATGGAGCTTTCAATTGCTTCGAACGTTTGGCCGAGCCCATCGGCGAGTCGGTTTTCAACTTTCTCTTTCTTAGGTTGAACTCTTCGCCTTTGAGAATTTCCTGCAGCTTGGCTCTGTTCTCATCACGCTCGAATTTAATGGTGTGAAGAAGAGAAGGAGGCTCGTCATGGCTGTCGAAGTCGGTCAAGTCAGAGTCCGAGAGATGGTTCGATGTGCTGGCGTTAGCGGCAGCGAGTTCAGCTTCACGTCTTTCTTTGGCCTTGAGTTCTGCGTGTCTTTGGTTGCTGCGATACACTTTCACTCGCATGGTAAGAAGCGTCGCGAAGAGTGGTTGGATCNNCTGTATCTTGTTAGTCGACAACTTCGCATACGAGCAGCTGTTGACTTACTTGTCAATGTGGCGACTGTAATAGATGTCCTCAAGGTATTCGGAGATGTCTCCTGCTGGAAACAGCCAAAGCGTAGTATCTTCGCTGCGTGGACCATCGGGCCATAGACCAGGGCCGTGTTTTTCCAGGATGTCGTTAATGTCGGTGTTGAACTCGACGGGATACTCCTCTTCCCTTTTCAGATAAGGCTCGTACTTTTGATAGAAAGCTCTGATGTCTTCTTCGAGGTCTTTGATCTCTTGGGTTTTCCATTGCTCGCCGTATCGGATGATGGCGCCTCTTAGGCCTAAGCGCTTCAGAATGTCCCCGACTTTCAACGCCATTTTGAATGAAGGACGCGTCGAGAAGTTGACAGAAGATTGTTTCAGATGCAGATTGCAGAGTCGCAAAAGATCGATTATAATTATGATGGTGCTGAATAGTCGCGAGCGTGAAGAGCGCAACTGGTGGGCGAGCAAGAGAGTAGGGTGCGCAAACGACAACCTCTCCTAGTGAAAGTGAAGAGTGTCAGATCACTAAGGCTAAGGATGCCTATCGTTTTAGTCAAAAGGCAAGGGCAATCGGGGAAGCGCGTTAAGTGACTTGATTGACCTGTCACATGAGAAACTGCACAGGCCACGCTAGCGCTTCACTTTGAAGTTCACGCCATCGTCTTGATTGAGAAACTATTCGTTTGTTGTCACTGATCGGCCTCGAGATTGTGTTGCGACAAGCGCTGTCACGGAATGCGGTGGACTGCGATATCAGACTCTCGTCCAGACAGAATATATGGGCTGGGAATTAATCTCTAGTGAAGTGATACACTCGTCGGTGCCTCACTTAACGCGGTGGCGAAGGCTAATGAATGCTTGGCAAAAACCTGGAAAATGGTTTCGCCGACGATGGCTGACCTCCTGATCCCAACGAAAGCAAGAGAGCTCCTATCCGCCTGCATCCGGTCGCCGCCTGACCGTAACAAGACAGACAGACAGTAGTAGCTCTGCAAAGATGATGCAAGTCTTGATACGAATTTAAGAGTGATAGAAACATCTTCGCCATCACGGCTTGATGTGGTAAGAATTTACAATAAGCTATGTACAAAATCGTGTAGGGCATAAGAAACAATGAAACTCGTGAGACATCGTGAAAAAGCAGCAAGCAAGCAAACAAAAAATGCGTCAAAACACGCCAACCTGAAATGCAGGTTAGCAACTCAATTCGCAATCAAGCATCAACTTTCTCGTTGTGGTGAACCTCAACCTTCTCTACACTGTCGGCGAAGACGTCGACTTGGGTCTTGGAGAACTTTCTCGCGCTGATCTTCTTCTCGAAAAGCAAGTCAAGCTCGGCGAAAGTACGACCGCTAGGCTCAGGTACGCGGAAGTAGGTGTAGATGATGCACAAGAAGCAGCTACCAGCCCAGAAGAAACCGGCATAGTTGCCCCAGTTCCACGCGCTTGGGTTGAGCATGTATGGGGTCAAGACACTGCAGACAATGCCGACTATGTTGTAAAGATTACGTCCGAGAACAATGGTCTTGATCTGCAAGCGACGGGTCGAGATTTCGGAGACGAGGGAGTAGCAGACGGTACCGACCGACAGCTGGTAGCACAATGCCCAGATCAACATCATTGAGCCAGTAGCGAGGGACGCAGAGTCCTTGTGAGCTTGAGGGACAAGTCCAAGGAAGCCCATGATAAGAAGCATAGTGAAAAGACCACAGAGACCAACCAGGTAGAGGGTTCTGCGACCGATGCCGACACTCATAAGGAACCAAGCGCCGAACACGCCAGCCATGTTGATACCGTATTGTCCGATTGCGAAATCCATAGCCTTTCCAGGGTCGAGGCCAGCTTGTTCGAGGAAGTAAGTCGAGTATCCGGAGAAGGAGTTGCCACTGAGGTTCTGAATACCCCAGACCATGCAGACGATCTCGGTACGGCGGAGATCGGTTCCCTTGAAACAATCCCAGTAACTGGAGCCGGTGGTGATCTTCTCCTCAAGCTTTGTGGTGTGGATCATCATGTCAATGGTCTCATCAGCGTCAAAGTTGGTCTCGCGGTTCAGACTGGTCAGGCGGAGAAGGGACTTCTTGGCTTCCTCGACCCTGCCCTTCCTGACCAACCACCAAGGACTCTCGGGAGCAAAGGTGATTCCGATGAGAAGGGGAATAGGCCACATCCACTGAAGGGCATAGGGAATGCGGTATGCCCATTGGTCGTTGCGGTGCAGGAGAGACTTCACAACGCCGATACCAATGGCCTGGCCCATTCCCCAGCAGAAGTTGACGTAGGTTGTAAGGTATCCACGGAGAGCAACAGGGCAGACTTCGGAAGCGTAGGTTACGGTGAGGGTTTGGAAAATACCCCACGGAATACTGTCATGATGGTCAGATGCTTGTACTGCTACAAAAGTCGGCGACCTAAACTCACCCNNGCAGAGGATTTCAGCAACCAACAAGGTCTGGACGTTTTGTGCAGTGAAGAAGACAGCAGTGATGGCTGCGATCATGACCAGGCAAGTCATGACAGTGTAGCGGTAGCCGAAGCGCTCGGAGACGAAGCCGTTGATGAAGAGACCAATGATTTCTCCAACATTGGCACCGTTGCTGAGACCTGCCTGCCAGCGTGCAGGTACCTGGTATGTTCCATCGGCCAGCAATACACCATATTTCTCGTTGAACTTGGGGTGGCCGTAAAAGGCTCCGAGGAGACAGACGTCGTAACCTTCCATTGCGATACAGGTTGAGATGAGAACACTCCAGAAGACAGCTTTGGGATACAACTTGATACCCTGCAAGAGGGTCATGTTGTGTTCCTTCTCAGTGGCAAGTTTGGCATTTGCGATCGTCAGGTTGTTGGCTTTGGTATGGGCGACCTGATCCTTCTCGGGGAAGGTGAGCGGTTCGTTTCGGATTTCCGCCATGGTGAAAAATTGTTGTCGTGTTGGAATGAGAGAGAGAAGGTGCCTCCAGAAAAGAAGGGGCTTTTGAGGATGAACTGTTGGGAGATTGCATCTTCCAAAGCTTTACTTATACTCCGTAGAGATGATCCGGCTTCTGTCATGGAACTTTTTTCCGAGACTCCTTCCCCGCCCTTCCCCCGCGTGTTAGAGCACGAGGCCTCCGATCCACTTCTTGAGGGTCGTCTATGATTGGCCTGATCAGCCCGGATCGGCCTTTGGTTTCTCCTAGTTCCTCGGGAGGGACGTGCAGAGAACCAAGGGAAACGGTCTTAGAACGAGGAGAGCGCCACAGGATTGCACACACGCACAGGCTCGATAAGTAGAGCACTTATCTTGTTGCTCTGTATGCTTTTGTTGTTGTACCTTGAAAGTGGTCCAAAACATTCGATCTGTCGAGACGTCGATACAGCCTGTTAGATGTCCAGGTATGATTTCTATCGGGCCTGATCTTCAGCTTGGCGCGTCCTAGGGCAGATATCGCCAATGGAGTAAACACTCCAGCATATGCATATAGAACGAATCGACGAGGAGATCAGGACCGCAAGATCCATTGATGGCGCTGCATCAAAGGCCGACAACTTTGGTACTCGAACGCGAAAAATATCCGGAGAGTGTTTACATCTGGGGATGAACTGAGGCTGGCATTGTAGATCCTAGGCATCTCAAGCAACCATGTCCGCGTGACCCGTGAAGCAGTAGTACGGTCGATAGACAGGAGGATCAAACCAACCAGCTGAACGAACTGGGGCCCCAGGTTAGCATGCACTGGTGGCGGGGGTGCAAGGACCATCGTATCGAGCCATGCAACTCGCCGACAACGTTAGTAGTAGTTGGGGTGTGGTTCGGGTCTGTTGGAGCGACCATGGATAGATTGACCTATAACAAGTCAGCAAAAGGGCCGACTCAAGCTGCCTGTTTGATGAATGTTAGAAAGCCGCATCACTAACCAACCATTGAGTTTTGGAGACCGTGGGAAAAGAGTTCGTGAGGGTGAGGGAGGAAGAGGAGTGTGGCTTGTGGGTGTGGGGTTGTGGATCGCGACTTCCTGGAAACCTGTCTCCGCTACCTTCCTCAGTAAGCGGGATGCCGATGCTCGAGACAGGGATATGTCCGAGATGATGACTCCATGCACCTCCCAAGTGAACACCCGCGAGATAAACTCATGCTGTAACGAAGATCTCCATACAGTTCATGAGTATCTTCGCACATGAGCAGGTTAGGCAAGGAAATGTACATCACAAGGACAGGGCGCCACGGTAGAAGTACCATACACATTGAGACTCTATACATTAGGATGTTCTGGTTATATGAACGGAGTGTGTGACCCCAACACCAACACTATCAAGATGACAACCATGCTTCACATGGAATATCGAGTTTCCTTAATACGCACCTTCTCTCTTGGACCATCCAGTCATGGGGCTAAGAGAGATAGGTCCATATCCACTTTGAATGGCAGGACCGACAACCAAACTCAAATTCGAGATCTTTGCACCTCCTTCGTCCAAGGCCCACAATGAGACAGCAAGGTAGTTGGGCCCGTTGTAGTCAAAGATACCTTGTGGCACAGGGAACACGTCTTGAGGGCCGATGTTCGAGACGTACTTGCCAAATTGGTAGCCGTTTACGTAGATCTGACTTCGGTATGCAACAGGAGCTGAGCCGTTGCTGCTTGATGTGGCGTTGGAGAAAGAGATGGCAATGGGAATATCGTAACCAGAAGGCATGTCTAGATCGAATGTTGTGGAGTAGAAAGAGACACCAGGAGAAGTGATACCAGCCATTGGCCCGGAGGTGCTGTTGGCCCAGCTAGATGTAGGTGCGCCTGGAAGATGGTAACCCTGTCTCTCAGCATAGAGACCACCCTCGTTGAGAGGTCCTCTCGTGCGGTCTTCATAGTCCTCGCCGTGAAGGTTGCCAGTCAACTTCCACGTGATTGCAGAAGCGTTGCGACCGCTAAGAGAATAATTGAGAATACCACGAGGGGTCTTCATCTCACTGGAGCCTCCTTGTCCATTCTCCTGGAGCCCCATGTGGTCGATGAGAACAGTCAGGACATACGAGCTGCCTGAGGCAACATTGGGTAGACTGAAAGTCGAGTTAGCATTCGAAGCGGCGTCGATGCCACGAGCGGAGCCGAGGAAAGTGCCGTTCAACCAAGCGGACATGCCAAACGCTGATCCGCCCTGAGTCTGGAGGTAGATTGAGCTTTCACTGCCACTTGCAGTGAAGTGGCCACGGAAGAGGAGGTTTCCAGCGTTGTAGCCATAGTCTGATCCGTACAGCGACACAGGAGTGGTCAGATTACGTTGAGTATTGTTGCTGTAGGTAAGGTCGGCATTGGTCCAGAGACTATCATCATATCCTGGGGAAACCTCGGGTAGAGAGTTCAATACCTTCCAACTCACGGAAGACAGGTCAGGAATGGAGAAGGACGGCTCTTTATAGGCAACAGAGCCTGTAACCACACCAGAGCAGCTATCCTGAGCAAACTTGATGCTCTCACCATTGAATGTAAGCTCAGTAAGCTTTGCTGGCGCGCCACCAATGACTTCAATGTCGGTAGTGGAATTGAGATCACCAGTGAGATGCAGAGTGTTGTCGCTGACCTGGACGGTGCGCAGGAGATAGCCTGCTTTAACGATAGCGGCAGAGGTCTCGAGGGTGGCATTAGTGTAGTTGCCAGAGACAGTGCTGGAAGGCAAGTCAAGAACCCAGTAGTTGTAGGCATCGTTGCGGTCGAGGATGTAAACGTAGAGCTCGCCAACCTTGACAATTCGTCTCTCGGAACTACTCTTGAATCCAATGATAGTAGTGCCCTTCTTCTTCACAATATTGACACCAGATCCTTCGATGATCTCACTGCTGCAAGACAGAGTGAGGGCAAGTTCGTGGTTCTCATTGGGACCGGCGTAGACGACTAGGATTTGCTTGTCACCGTAAGACTTTTGAGTAAAGATCTCGGCAGATGAGTAGAGCAGGTTGGTGCCCGCAGCGTCATAGTCGGTCACTGCGAACTTGGAATCACGTCCGTTCAGGACAAGAGAGCCATTCAGCTGGGGAATCGTGATGTTTCCTTGGCTGGTAGGTAGGTTCAATTTAAACTGAGTCGAGGCACGAGAGTTGTATGCTGCATGTCTAATGACGAAGAAGTTAGTCCTGTTGCCTAGCAGAGCAGTAACAGCAATATCAGGGCTATCGGTGTAGGATCCATTGGCATGGGTGTTGTTCTGAGGAGTAGCCGTCAAGTATGCTGGCGATGCCTGCAGGAAGTTTGCTTCAAGCTTGGCTTCGCTGTATTTCTCGCGGGACACAAGACGATCCTCGGTGATAACAGCTCCATAATCGTAGGAAGTATAGCCGCCTGGATGTCCGAGGTTTCCCCAATTGGTACCACCATAGGTCATGTAGATGTTGAAGATCGTCACTCCGAAGGAGAAGTCGTTCTTGTAGAAGACTCTCTGAAACTCGGAGTTGAGCAATTCAGCGCACTGGGCAAAGCCAAGCCCACCCCATGGATCGAAAGAGCCACCTTGGAACTCAAGGATTGAGTTTGGTGTCGAAGGGCTCTGTTCTTCGTGCAGGTTGCCGTAGTACGTGGGAAGATTGTTATCAGGCCAGGTGGTCGGGTTCGCACAGTCGAAGCCAAGAGGGTATCCGTCATATCCGTAGATATCCACTGCTCCAACTCCGGTTCCTGGTGCAAAGTATCCATGTGGGAAGGCATCGTTTAGAATCGATGGAACGACGATGCCGGCGTCTCTGAACTTCTGCTCAACGGCCTCCATGTATACCNNTAATGACGTTAGCATGTACCGGAAAGAGATTGGTCGCAAAATTGTGATTATCTATGACACTCTAGCATGTAATAAGGGACTTACTTGATCGGGGAACTCGGGGTCGCTGGAGACAGCTTGAGAGTATTCGTTCTCGGGCTGATAGAGAATGACCGGACCTCCTTCGGTGATCTGAGCCTTTGCAATGATCTCACCAATGTTGCGGGAGTAATTGTCAGTCGCGTTAAGGAATCGTGGGTCTCGTGTGCGGAGAGGGGCTGGGACTCTCGAGAGCCATCCAGGGAATCCACCACCGGAGACCTCGGCGTTGATGTATGGTCCAGGTCGCTGTGATGTTCTGATCAGCAAAATGTATGACTACGAATGTGGCCAACTCACGGCAATCAGATATATGCCTGCCTTCTGGGCAGCTTCGAAGAAAGGTTCCCAGGCAAAGATACCTTCAGCGGTGAAGTCGCCTTGCTTTCCCTCGACAAGAGCCCAGTCGACGTAAAATGAGACTGCGTTGTATCCCAATGCCTTAATTTTCTGGAAGACATCTAGCCACAAGCTAGGTACGGGTAATCTTTATAGTATCAGCATTGTTGACACACTCGAATGCGGCATTGGACCTCATACCTGAAANGGATGAAACTCTCCCGAGTATATCATAATTCTCTCACCACGCACAAAGAGAGAGTGCTCGTCCCAGGTGACAAGACCCTGTAGAAGGTTTTTCCCAAGGTCTCTCTTGTATGGCTTGATGAGCTCATTGAGATTGGGCTTTCTGACAGCGAGAGCATCTGAAGTGATGGCCAATCCTGCCACCAAGGCGGCGGCCTTCATGAAGGTTTTGCCAAGTACCATCTTGTAATGTCTTGTTGGCTTGTGGTACAAGACATGGAAAGGGCTGCGAAACTCTGCAGCTTTATGTCCATGGCCGTCGTTCTGCATTCACCCGAGATCAACTCAATTCATGTCTGCCAACCCCTCTTGCGAGACCATATTCCGGAGAAATCTGCAGCTCACAGCACTGCATAGGGAAATAGATCTGTAGGAAGTGAAGATGGGCAGGTACATGATGGGGGACGTCATGCGGAGACCCCACTTCCGATCGTGTTGACTCGGCTGAATTGTGCGATCAACACTCGATGCAACCCTGGCTCTTTCCTCTCCAAAGCCGATTGCATCGTATATAGGAAATTAATGCCTTCTAGAAGGGATTGATCTCCGCAGAGAGACGTTGATCTGTATGTGTCCATGGCCATACGTTTAGTTTAGCAAGCAATTGTGTATTTCCCAATATCAGCATATCCACCGCGGGAGAGGGGTCGATCGTGAGATTAGTCTTTAGCATACAGGAACAGATGAGATCTCACGCCATGTAGGTATACGAGCTCTAGCGAGTGGCACATGAGGGGTGCAGCTCAGTGTGCATCATCGTTATCACGATGGAGACGGTCTGCTCGATGCAGGGTGGGCTTAGTCATGTTGTTGTTGACCAGAGTAACTATTTGATCAAGCTTCACTCTGACCTCGAGGAGGTCCTCGAGCATATTCTCTTGTTCTTGTTGAGCAGGTGGATTACCGTAAGTGGGCTCGCAATGGTCGGTGAGTTGGTACGAAGACTGAAAGAACGCGTCGCTGTGAAAAGTGGCTGGCATTTGATTAAATAAATGGCTGGTAGGAAGCAGGACCACCGATTGGTGGCAGAAAGCAAAACAGGCAATCGAGTATCGAGAAGAGCCAGCTGTGACCACACACGTGCACTCTTCGATAGACAATGGATGCTGTTGCCAGGACAATTCATGATTTAGGGCGTCGAGCCGGACCGGCAACAGGAATGCAACGGAGGAAGGTGGTGATGGCGTCAGCGAGGTCGCGATACTGTCTGCCAGCGCAAGAAGTTCAAGGTGCTATTATTCAAGCAATTGATAGCTTGGCTTAAACACGATAGGCATGTATTGTAGCGATTGCTAAGGGAGTGATAAGCAGTAGTAATTAGCGAGCAGAAGCGATTCATCCGCCAGAAAGTTTGGCAAGCGCAGGCACAGCCTCTGGCAGCTTAGCAAGCAAACCCCGGTTGAGGCCGATGCAACCGACTCCACGCTGACGCACTCGCGGCAACGAATGGCCAAGTCAACAGCAACAGCATGCCAACCGCGACTCAGTCCAACTGACCAATCTCGCGTCTGCATCCAACATTGTCTTCTGACCCTGACCGTCTCAATTGCAGCGTCCAATCTCAGACACCACCACCAAAACACGCACAACAGCTTAAACTCGCTCACGGCTCTGCTCGCTATCGAATGGCGGCTTAACTTCCCCGGGAACACCCTCCGCCACGCCGAAGCATAACCCTGACCCGCTGTCCTCGCTCGTTCGCGCGTTCTGGCCCATTTGACAGCTGCGACACCAGACGCAGACTCCTCCCCTTACTGTCTCCACCCTCCTCGACCGCAGTGCGAATCTGCCTGCTGCGACGGTGTCCGCTACATCTTTGTCGTCGCATACCCACACTTGTCGTCCCGTCTCGCCCATCGTCGACACCCCCGTAGCCCGTCATGCCTGGAGACCGGCGCACCTTCTCAGGCGTGTCCATGTCGACCAACAAGTCGGTCAACGGCTCCAACTCGCAGGTCGGGCAGAAGATCAAGAACTTTTTCCGCATCACTTCATCCTCGACCAAGGATGACCTGATTGGCCCGGGAAAGACCAGTTCTGAGGGCCCCTCGACCCCGCGCTCTGAGCACAAACTCCGCAACAGTCGCTTTCTGCCACACATCGGTCGAAATAGGAGTCAGACCGTCGCCAGCGAAGGCAATGCCCTCGACGAACTGAGCCCTACCGCCAACGCCAATCCCTACTTTGCACACCAGGGCCCGCCGGCTCTCCGCCACCACAACGCCGACAGCGTACCACCGAGTCCTCCAGACACACCTATCAAGAAAGGCCAGGAAGCCGAAGACGAAGCCGCTGCTGTTGCCGGCAAGGAGGAGCTGGCACGGAAACTGCGTCGTGTCGCTAGTGCTCCCAATGCCCAGGGCCTGTTCACAAAGACCAACTCCAGCGACAGCCGGCCACAGACTTCCGACATGATGAGCAAGACCTCTCCACTCGCTCAGCAACACTCAAACATCTCGGTGCAGTCAATGGTTGAGACAGTTCCCATGAGCAGCTCTCCCGATCTTCTCCCTGTACCTGGCATCCCCAGCCCTGGCAAGATTAGAAGTGCGGCAGCCTTCCGTAGGACATATAGCAGCAACAGCATCAAAGTACGCGATGTCGAAGTCGGCCCTGGAAGCTTCGACAAGATCAAGTTGATAGGCAAGGGTGACGTCGGAAAGGTATACTTGGTCCGCGAGAAGAAGAGCTCCAGATTGTACGCCATGAAGGGTAAACACACACGATCACTAGATCTTGATACCATCCACTGACAGTTCACAGTGCTCAGCAAANAGGAGATGATCAAGCGCAACAAGATCAAGCGCGCTCTGGCCGAGCAGGAGATTCTAGCCACCAGCAACCACCCATTCATCGTCACACTGTATCATTCTTTCCAGTCAGAAGACCATCTATATCTCTGCATGGAGTACTGCAGCGGAGGCGAATTTTTCAGAGCTCTTCAGACTCGTCCAAACAAGTGCGTCGACGAGGATGCCGCTCGCTTTTATGCCGCAGAGGTTACAGCTGCCCTTGAGTACCTGCATCTTATGGGCTTCATCTACAGAGATCTCAAGCCTGAGAGTACGTTAAACTACCAAGTTACTCTCATCTCAGTAATCATATGCTGACACACACTTGCAGATATTCTTCTTCACCAGTCGGGCCATATCATGCTTTCAGACTTTGATCTTTCCAAGCAGTCAGACCCCGGCGGTGTCCCTACCATGATCATGTCGGGCCGTAACGGCGTTTCGAACAACCCCAACAACATGCCAGCCATCGACACCAAGTCTTGTATCAACAACTTCCGCACCAACTCGTTCGTGGGTACAGAGGAATATATTGCACCTGAGGTTATCAAGGGCTGCGGTCACACTAGCGCAGTAGATTGGTGGACTTTGGGAATCCTGATCTACGAGATGCTCTACGGCACGACGCCCTTCAAGGGGAAGAACAGAAACGCTACTTTTGCCAACATCTTGAGAGATGAGGTGCCCTTCCCCGAAGGCAGTGGCTACCCCAACGTCAGCAGGTAAGTTACATGGTATATCACAGGTACTGCTTCAGACTGCTAACAGCTCTTANGTTTGTGCAAGTCTTTGATTCGCAAGCTACTCATCAAGGACGAACTTCGCCGACTAGGCTCTCGCGCTGGCGCGTCAGATGTCAAGGGTCATCAGTTTTTCCGTACAACACAATGGGCTCTACTACGACACTCTAAGCCCCCGATCATACCTAATCAGGGCCGTGGTGTCGACACTGTAAACTTCAGAAATGTCAAGGAAAGTCACAGTGTCGACCTTGGCGGTTCCAAGTTGAACAAGGGCTTTGGCGTCAACGCCAGTAAGATGAAGGGTGTACCCCTTGATAGCAATCTGGCCACGCCTGGTGGTGAGATCGCAGATCCATTTGAGGAGTTCAACTCTGTTACGTTGCATCACGATGGAGACGACCAACATCAGGATCACCAATATCACGAGGCGCGAAGATAGAACACTGCCCCTCCGTGCTCGAGAGGTGTCACGCTATGCTGACAACGTCGCCATATATCAACTGGCGACTTAAAAGCAATATCATGTCGAAGCAAGTCGGGCAGTCTGTATATCTATGCCATTATTCATTAACGCATGCAATCCGGTGGGAGTTTCTAGGGGGCGTTGTTACTATTTCTAGCCTTTGAGGCTCAACACGGGAAAGCGAGGAATGTTCTGCCTGTCTTTTCTCTCCGCAAGGGGTGTCTTCGCATCCTATCAGAGCGCCTTTGACGTGTTTGAGTTTGTGAATGATATTTTCTACATTCTCCGCTGAGCCTGTACTACAATATGTGAAACCTACCAGTCTGCTGAGAAACGGTTATCTACTAGAGTGACGTACATCTCAAATAAAAACAGGAGTAATATTGTCAGTTCAGCAGAGAGGGTGAGAGTTGTTGACCAAGCTGTGGGCACTTGCTAGCCAGGCAGCTTAATATACTTCATTCAACCACCACACGACAACCTTCAGTTCAGATACATATCTATTGGAGATTATGGATCCAATCCATCGCAATGATACTCTCCCAAAAGATTGAAGGACTTGGCAGAGATATTGACGCCGCTATCTCAATGACTGTCTTTCCAGCAGTGGTCTAGGGGAGAACCCTGTCAAAGTCTCGAGTCTTGGCATCTACGAACCCAAAACACTCCGATGGTCTCTTGTTCTTCACAAAACACAACAACAAAACCATCACTCCTTCTACCAAACCACAATCTCAGAGCCAAGCCTGTTATCTCAAGAATCAAACGGCTATTTGGACTGTCAAAGAAATCGAATCATCACAAACCCACAATGTCAGGTCTCGACAGCAGCCCAGGAGCCACTGGCGAGGAGTCCTTATCACCACTGGAGCAAGAAGTACTCGACGAATACGTGCGGCTAGCAGGAAATCTGGGAGATGTAAGTTGGGTTTCTTTCTCATGCCCCAAGATGCCATATGCGCTATTCGATTCCACATTGCGGTTCGATCCATAATAACGCCATTTCCACCGTATCCCCTATTCACGAAGCGATGAAAACTGATAAGATTGACAGCTCTCTGCTCTACTCAGTGACTTGGCTTCACGTCCCAGCGCAGAGATTCTTGATGCGTTAAGGGGCTTGGAGAGGAAGACATCGACGGTGTTCACGCTGCTTAAGGCTAGTGTTTACTCTATCGTTTTGCAGCAGGAGATTCGCGATGACGAGGCTGCTTGATGCATGCGATTGCTCTGCGTATCATAGTCAAGCATGTGGGCGGTGCTTCGAGGTTCAATCTGGGGGTTTCGGGGTTTGTGTCGTTAAGCATGGAGTTTTGCATAGTGCATAGCAGGAGTTTGGGACTGGTGGTTATGGCCTGATACCCTCATCGGACGTATACAGCCATATGTGATCGCAACATCATAATCACATAAGCTAAATTTGGCTGCTGTTTCGCAGAAGCAAGCCTCAAAGAACTTTACAGAGAGGCCAAGTACTTATCAAGTGTGAGCTCAGAGTCGTAGGTGTCTCGTTGGAAATCTAGTTGGTCTCTTTTATCTTGCCAGACTGATCAAACGAGTTGAGCATTTCCTCACTCAAAGTGGTGAGAAGAGTCTGAAGAGATGTTGGCTACAAAGTGCCGATTTGGGTCATGTTCATTCCGATTGATCCAGACACACCGTCACAATCTAGCGGCTCCCTGCCGTGAGCGTTGCACAGTACGTACCACACGTACACCGCATGTACCAAGCCCCGAGGCAAGCCTTTCATGTGGCCATGGTTCGGCAGCATGCAGCACAATGACCTCGCACACGTCTCACGGCGTCTCTCTCGAGCAAACCACAAGGCGATCCAGACAGCCCAGGAAGGCCACAGCCGAACGATGCATCGATTGCTTGCTATCGACGATGAACAAGGCTGTAGAGTACCTAGCTCGTCCACCTCCCCGGGTGTGACCCGCGGGTTCTCCCCTCGTTTGGAGATTTGGGGTGAAGTACTTCGAGGACTCGAGATTGAGATACGTCCTACGTACAATCAAGCGAACAAGGGTAGGATGCACCTACCGAAGTAGCCTTGCTTCTGAGGTTGACATGAAGAATTTAATCAATCCTCTTTCATCATCTCCTCCGAGGTACGCTGCTCTCTACAAAGGATATGTTCGAGGAAGAGGAAGATACACAATCAGACTCAGACTTGGAGTGCTCCAAGCGGCGAGGTGCGCCCCTCCCGCATGTTGCTCTCCGGATTGTGCCATGATCCGACATGTGGGGACGCGGAGCACGCGAGCTGGCCTGACTTGCCTAGGGTTTCTGCCCAGGCGCTCAAGGTAACCGGGTGGAAGAGCGAGAAAAAAGCAAGGGCGCTCACCTTGTGGGTACGCCTCGTCGACATGTTTTGGCCTTGGACGTTTGATTGAGGAGGATACGTCTCGAGCAGCAATCTAATTCTCCTGCAATGTGATGAAAGTAGGAATGGGAGACAACGGCAAGGCGTACCACTCGTTTGCTGGCATGGCTCTCGTCTGGGCTCTCGTTCGATGAGAGTGTGGGATCGGCACTGGCGGCGCATCACAAATCCAAATCGTTCGGGACCGCTGAGACCCTGAGCAGCCCACGACGCGATAGCAAGCCGCCGCAATCCTTCCAATTGCGCAAGAGGGTAACATGAAAACTGCTACTTTTCGCACAAGAATCTCCACAGTCGCTATCTTTTGCCTCCCAGCACACAGAAGATCAATGTCGACTTGACAAGAGCATCGCACAAAGTAATCTAGCCACGGAGATTCGCCAAGGGTTCGCGCCAATGGTGGTGTCGTGAAGGTTCCCCCGTTCACTAACGCCCGTCGTCCCCGCAGTTGGGCGCTCGGACGATCCTCCTGCCTCGAATCAATCACATGTACGGGAGTGCCGCTGTCCCAAAAGTATTACTTGCAGTTCCTCAACCATTCTGCTCTGCTTCATCAATACCAGTGTCGAGTGGGCGGCAATTGATATAGCCCTTCTTGTTCTCTCAGTGCCCTTGAACTGTCCATCCGTCAATCTTTAGCATCTCCGCTTCGCAGATCACCTTATCTCCACCTTCTTATCAGTTCCAGTAAACAAAACAGAGCGTACGCAAGACGTCAGTCTTTTGAACGCGCCATCTCCTGACCTCAATCGACGTTAAGTGGTCCAATTCTCGACGTCAAAACGCAACCTGAGTGTAGGCTGTTCCTTCATCGACCGGCGTTCAAGTTCAAACCAACGCTCTGATGGCTACAGTCTGTGCAAGACCAGCGCTAGTGGGTCCGCGAGCATCAGGTTCGCAGCAGAACATCAACACCTCGGTCAGAGGGAAGCCGACAGCTGTGCCAAACAAGCACCTCCCAGACACATGTTCTCCTGGTCCTACACCGACCAAGCTACAACAACAGCAGCTCGAGACTCCACCAGGGTCTCCCGAAGCGCCTGGCAGTCAGCAAGTAATAGACATACCTTCTCTCCTAGTTGACGCCGACAAACACCCCAGAGTTAGCGATAGTCCACCCGTCTATGCATTGAGCGCTCAAGAGCTTTATGGAGCACTGGAACACACTGCTACGCGCCCCTTACCAGACACAAAGACCGTCTTCCCCTGGCTCCACGGCCTACACCCTGATAACAACATTCAATTGACCTACTTCTCGGCGCGCAACAAGAAACAGTTCCGACGGGCTCCTCGCACTCTGCGTGGCATAACAGTCGTCAAAGCAGGAGGCGACCTCAGCCACTCCAAGATCAGGGGCGCTATTTCTCCTGATGAGCTACTGCTCGCAACAAAGACCGGCGAACAAATCTCAACCTTCCTCGATGTCGATCCAAAAGATGGCTTCTCTATCCGGAACTTCCAGATTCAAGCAGTCAAGATGGCTACTATGAGTGATATAGTCATCTATGCTGATGACAAGACGCCGAAGACGGTTCTCAACAAGTTGGCGTCCATAATCGCCAGGGCTCAGAAAGTGTGGAGAGAAAAGGACAGAGACAACGACGTCGAAGTCCCCCAGTTCCACACATATGTGATGANNAAGGTAAGTAAACCAAGTCCTGGATACCGGGCTGTCTCTGATTCTCGTCCAGATTCGTTCGCAAAGTTACAAGCCGAGCATCCAGAGATCGTAGCGATCGACGACAATGGAAACATGACCGGTACAGTCATGGACTTTTGTAAGCGACTCTTCGTTCGATCGTGGGACGACATAGCTGACTCATGCAAAGTCCACTCGGAGAGATACGAGATGCACACCATGTCCTCGGCCACTGAGATCGCGAACAACGTTTGGCTTGGCCCCACGCCTGACGCTTCGTTGACAGTACCGTCGGATCCAGATGCAGCACTACCTTCCGCAGCACAAGCCTATGATCTGTTCGTAGAAGCAACCGATCCAGCTCAACTACCGGACAAGAAAGCGTTCCACCTAATGGAGAGTCTCCTGTCAAACCCGAAAGTATCCAACAATGCAATTCCTCAGCTCGAATTCCCAGGTTCTGGCTCCATAATGCCTCCGACTTGGTCTCAGGCCGAGGTAGATGCTTTGATGGACACGGTAACATGGCTATACAGACAAGCAAACCCGGACCACGAAGAGCCGATCCACCGCAAGGACAGTCAGCAGATGACCCCACCCAAATATCGAGATGTTGATGGTGACATTGGCATGATGGATCTCGATCTCCGTGCTGAGCGTGAAGGCCGGAAAGTCCTGATCCACTGCACAGACGGATACACTGAATCCTCCTTGCTGGCACTCGCCTACTACATGTACGCCAACTGTGCGACAGTAGACAGGGCTTACGTGGAGCTTCACACCAAGCATCATCGCAACCTCTTCTCATACCCCACCGATGTCGCTCTTCTGAGTTCGATTCAGCCCAGAATTCTGCAAGCATCGCCCAACTCGACCAACTCAATGGCAGCGCTGTGCCAGCCTACTCCTCGATGGCTCGGCAAGATGGACGGCTCTTTCCCTTCTAGAATCATGAATTACATGTACCTCGGAAATCTTGGTCACGCGAACAACCCAGACTTGTTGCGTGAACTCAACATTGGACAGATCCTTAGTGTTGGTGAGACGATTAGCTGGACCAGTGACGAGACCAAGAGATGGAAAGACGACGCTCGCACGAAAGACAGCATTCTCTATGTCGATGGCGTCCAAGATAATGGTGTAGATCCGCTTACATCGTCCTTCTCCAGGTGCTTAGAATTTATTAGTAAGTTGTTGGATCTCATATGCCAGCGCCGACGCTAATCATATTGTCAACAGGAANAGGGAAGAGAGGCCGGTGTTGCCACTCTAGTCCACTGCAGAGTAGGTGTATCCAGATCTGCAACAATCTGTATCGCAGAGGTGATGAATGAGCTTGGGCTCTCGCTCCCTCGCGCCTACTGTTTCGTTCGGGCCCGCCGCCTGAATGTCATCATACAACCTCACCTACGATTCACGTAAGACACAAGGGCGATAGATCCAGGACCAACCAGCTGACCAGATCCAGGTNACGAATTGCTGAAGTGGGAAGAACACCAATGCCTCAAGCGCGGCAAATCAGTCCGCAGAGAACTCGAGTGGGGCACGATAGCCCGCGAAATCGCAGCCATGAACCGCCCTTATTCGAGGCAGTAAGACTCCGCCATTACCAATTTGTTACGAGAGACGCATTTTTAATGAGACGACGACGACGACGATGCTTTTGCAGCCTCGAAGCTGCATCCTTTTCTTCTTTTTGCCTGGCATTTTTCTTTCTTTGGAATGGCTGGAACGCATTCACACGCCGCGCTTCATATTTTGATGTCTCCGTTGGGGCACTCGTTTTCTGGGCGTTATCTGCAAAGTTCTCGTGGTTTATGGATGGGGATCTTTTTTCGTGATGGTCGATGGGGAGTTTGAGAGGATGATATACCAGAATTTTCCAATGTCACTCGACATTTTTGTTAGGTTAGGGACAGGACGGTCGCTGCCAGTCGAATGACCATCGAGGACTTCAAAAGTCTTTGGGTCGTGGGGAAGGGTGTTGAGGCGTCTTCTTGAGTTTCGCTCGAATGCATCATCTTTTCTCGAATGTTGTTGAACGTGTTGAACAAGGTGTCAAGATGTGAATTCGTCAGGGATAGAAAATCAGGCCCCACATTTCCTGACAAGCCAGGGTCACTTGAAGCAGATGGTAGAAACACATTCTTCATGTACAGTTTCACTACTCGAGATGCGGTCCAAGATGCATGTACCTAGTCAGGGCGAACACTATCGAGTTCGTGTACACAACACCAGCGCCAGGGAGTGATACGCCCAAACGCCAATCCTTTTTGTCAATGATATAAACCTCAACATGCAAAGAAGCAGCGACAGCAGCAGCAGCAGCAGCAGCACAGAAAACCAAATCTACTGGATATCAACCATGGTGTCATCGCCATCCACACCAGCCATGGTCACCTCGGGAGCCAAAACACCTCTACCTCTACCCTGCAACAACTCCCTTCTGATCTCCGGTCCAATGGCCTTGTGGCCCTTGACGAGCAGCAAGTCCAAAAGCGCCTCTCTCTGATCTTCGGTGATGTCGTTTCTGTATCTCTGCGCAAAGGCGAGGAAGCATTGATGCCACAGCACGGGCAGTTTTTCTCCGCTCTTGATGGTCAGAGGTGCATCTGTCATTGCATCTGCGTCGACGGCGCGGAAACGCAAAAAGTGGAAGACGAGTGCGTCGACGACTTTGTAGGGCAGAGCGTATTTCTTCTCCAACAGCACGCGGATGAAGATGTTTGTCGCGCCGCCGGCCTCGAGGTTGTCGGTCATTTGTTCAGCGGCGATTTCGCAGAGGCGGTGGATGGCAGCCGCAGAGTGCAAGACGGGGATACTGACGCGAACGAGCACGGAAGAAATAATGTGTGCCTCGCGCAGAGTGCAAGTGCCCGAAGCCAGCAGAGGAAACAGCAAGCCCTTGAAGAAGCAGGCGGGTTTGTAGAGGGACTTTTTGAGTGCTTTGTAGAGGTGGACGTTTAGCTTTTTGGTCTCGCGGATGTCGTCGCGGACACGGTCGAGGAGGATGTCGTGGATGAAGGCTTGGGCGACGGCGGGGCGCGAGGAGGTGAAGAGGCGAGTGGCTTCGTAGGTTGCGTTGGGGGTCCAGGAGTCGGGGCGGGTGATGGAGAGGAGCGTGTCCCATTGGGGGAGGGTGGGCAGGATCTTGAAGGGCTTGGGGAGCTTGCCGGAGCGGAATCGTGAAAGGATCATGCCGATNTCTGGAGGGTTGTGTTAGTTGAGGTTGTCTTCCTGCAGGATTCTTGTTCAGACGTACTGGGTGTAGACCTCGACGACCTTTGCTGGCAGCTCAATGGCATCCTCGGGAGCACCACCGCCACGGATGATGTGCCCTTGGGCCTGACTGGCCTCGTGTTGAGCAATCTTCTCCAAAATCAAGTCTGCGAGGTTGGTGCTCTCTCCTTGGTCGTCTGCCGACTGCGGTGCCAGCAGCGTCGCAGGGTCGAACTCGGGGTTGAACTTGTTGAACATGGCCAGATCCTCGGGGTCCACTTCGACCTCTTCTACCTCCTCATCTTCCTCGTCTCCCCATGCCTCGTCGTCTTCTGGCACACCAGCCTCTTCATCAGAATCCTCCTCGTCGCGCAGACTTCTCTCAAACTCGAAAGCTGATTTCGTTCCATTTTGCGGCCTGAGCGCTTCGAGCTCTGCGTCCTCTTCGGCGGTCAAGTCCTGTCCTAGAGCGATAATCTTCCTTGACGCTTTCGAGTCGATGTATGCTTGTTGCTCATTGTCGTCGTCGCCGGCGTTGGAGCGGCCTTTCCTCTTTGGTGCCTTTTGCTTGTGCGGATTCGAGGGTGCGTAGTCTTCCGACAATGGGTTGTGACGTCTCATTTGACGCGCGTCTCCTCCGGGGGCTTTGGGCATCTTGTGTGTGTGATGTTGCGGTGTGGTATGGTAGACGGGCAGAATTGACTGGTTAAGCGCGGGCGGGCAACAAAAGTTGCAAAGGGAAAAGGGAAATTTTGTGGAGCTTTGCGGCAAGCTGTTATCTAATCTCCGCCGCTGCGGATCTACCCTGCCCCAATCTTGCTTCGCCAATCACCCTGTCCATGCCCTTGCACAACCATTCCCCTTCTTAAAACTCCTGATATTGTTAGCGGACAGCCATCATCTCAAGGACAAACATACATCGTGCGGGTTGGCATGAGTTCCATCGTTCATCTTGTAGCTTCGGACAGGTCCAATGCTATCGACACGAAAATCAGCCTGGATCAAGCGACAAAATTTCTTTTCCTGCTCTCCATTGACAAAGTAAACGCTGTAGCCGTTTACGAAGCTGCTGCGCACAACATCAAAGAGCGGGAATTGCTTTCCAGTGATGCGGTAAATGTGCTCGTCAACAGTATATCCCTCTTCAAGTCTGACTGTCCATGATAGATGAATCTTGCTGATATGTCTTGTAAGCAGTAAATCAGTCAAACAATGCGATCAAAGCACTTACATCCCTCCGTCGTCGGTGGTGATAATCTCGTGATCTCTGTCCTGCAGATCATGCCAGTGGTGATGAGGATAGGTCATGTATTCGTACAAATCACGGTCGTCATCTTCCCACCCATCCTCTATGATCTTTTCGATCTTGCGAAAATAGTCTTCCGGCATCTTGACCACGAATCCGACGGTTGGATCCTTGCGGATGGCTTTGAATAGCTCCGTGTCGGCATCTGCGATGGAAGCCGTGTATCCATTGATCTCTGGCCTGCGTTCTTCAACTGCTATCGGGCGGCCTACGAAATCGAGATGTTTTTCGACAGTCTGGCTTTCTCTGAGCCCGACAATCCAGACATGAGGTGTTTGTCCCTGGATTTGCTCGAGCAGGCATGGAACAAGTAAAGTAAAATAGGCTAATCCAAATGTGATTCGAGCCATTGTACAGAGGTTTCTAGCAAGAAGGTAACGTTCACCAGCAGACGCCAAACCTAGTGGGAGAAGAAAGGTCAGCAGCGGAAGTTGAAGCACGGCCTTATGTGCTAGTGGCACAAGAAACAATTCCGGAACCATGCGAATCAGTTCAATACATTGATAAAAGAAGACTAGTCCCTTGGCGATAGGGCCTTAGGCGATCATAATCCAACCCCAACCAAGTCTACATATTGAGCAGACTGAGCCTCTTCAGGCGTCCTTGGGCATGATGTCTGGAACTGGACCTTTGGGCACAACTTGCATCTTCTTTGCACCAGCGTACCCGAATTTAATCNNTTGCCATATCATGTCAGCACAGTCATCACACACGACCATAAAGAATATACTCACGGCATCCCAGTGTGTCGCCTTCCTGAATGCACCTGCTCTGGTCTCTTCTCCCTCGTCGTAATAAATGTTTCTGTACCACTTGTCGATCCTCGGATAGTCATGTCTGATCATTTTGAGATTACACTTGAAAATGTTGTGATATGCGACGTCGAATCTTGCGATTGAAGGGTACAGCCTGATATCTGCCTCGGTGAGATGTTTGCCGAACAAGAACGGTCCTTCTGATCTCTCAAGATGAGCTTCCACACGATCAAGGCTGTTGAACAGGATTTCGACATTCTTGTCATAGGCTTCTTGTGAGCTGGCGAAGCCACACTTGTAAACGCCGTTGTTGATAGTGTCGTATACCCACTCGTTGAATTCATCGATCTGCTGTTGTAGCGAGTGTGGATAGTATCCGCCATGGGGATGGTTCTTTTCTTGAAACTTCTCAGGCAGCAAGTCATCGAACTCGGTGTAGAACATGCGAATAATCTCCGAGCTCTCATTGTTGACAATGGTCTCATTCTTTTTATCCCATAGCGTGGGTACCAAGACACGGCCTTCGTAACCTGGTTCTGCTTTCTCGTATAGTTGGCGGTGACGAGTGAATCCGTAAAGNGGATCCTTGTCGGCTGTCCCGTCGCGCCCACTGTAGCCCCAGCCTTCAGGAAACATCACGTAGTCCATCACGACTAGTTGGATGATGTCTTCGAGACCCTTGAGCATGCGGACAATGGCTGTTCGGTTCGCCCAAGGGCACCCCCAGTTGATGTAGAGAACCTGTTGGGTTGTCAGAGATATGTTTGGATGGTTCACCTTGTACCATCGTGATAGATTCGCAGCTCTCCTTTTCCTTTCAAAGATATAAATGCTTTACACAGAACATACATAACGGTCCTTCTCGGGTGGAAACTTCGCTCCTGATTCTCTCGAGATGGAGTCGCGAAACTTCGATGGCTGTCTTCGGAAATGGCCATCCTTGTCCGCAAAGGCTTTGATGTCGTCGTCCTTAGACATGGTATGCACGATTTTGGTTGTGTTGTTCGTCAAAGAAGTGGTCCTTGTCGAAAAGTATGATGATAAATTGGACGGGAAAGTAGGTACCTCCTTCCATACTTGGTAGCTAGTTTACTAATGGCGTCAACAGCATCCCCGCAGCTGACGCTTCTGCCGTTCACAGCAGTCCAGAAAACGACCTGCAAAAATAGTGTGAAGATCAAAGATTCTGAATTCGTGAGTAACCTTACAATACCGATAAAAATAGAGACACAACTGTAGCGTCTAGCGGAAATTGTAATGACACCATCCGAGTGTCTGGCAAAAGCGAAAAAGAGCCAGCCCAAAAACAGCAAGAGCCACCACCTCAACTCCATGCATAATGCAGATGCAGATGCAGGCTTGTACGCATCCTTCCCACCGAGCTAAGTATTGCCACGTAAAAGCACATAAACGCCAGCCTCTCGAGCCATGCGGACAGCTAAAATACATTCCAGCAGAGGGCGAGTCCAAGAAAACATTACCAGTTCGTCAAACACGTTACGCTCGGCTATTCTCAAGCCTTGACAGGTCTGTCTGCTGACCTCGATCGTGGCGAATTGAGCCGGACGTCTTTTGCGGCCACGTCGTCGAAAGCGGCACCGCTTTTNGTGTTCTTCTCCACCTTGATTGCAGCAGTAGAGGTTTTGGTCGACTTGAGCGTCTGGTCGATCCTGACCTGTGGTTTTGGCGGATCCGTCTTTGACGCGTTCTTCTTCGTAGTAGCCTTTGCTCTCGTACCTGAAGCTTTTGACGTGGTTTTTCTTTTCGCGACAATCGGCTTCGTCTTGCCGAGCAGATTGAGGAGATTGGGTCTCTTCTCGGCGCGCCGTGAAGGAGTTTCGATCTCGACCAAATCCTCTTCCTCGCTGAAAGAGTTGTCGACGATGTTGTCATGGCGGCGGCCGGTAAGAGGTGTACTCGCGGGTGCTTGAGGAGAAGGCAAAGGCGTAAAATCCTTGGGCGGAGCCTTGAAAGTTCGTACTATTGAGACCATGGGCTGGTTTTGCCGGGCCCTCTCCAGACTTTCCTCGGACACAGGAATACCCATATCTGGTTCATTCCATTGTCTTAGAGCAGCGTGTCTGGCAATCTCATCGCAAGTGCCTTTGACTACAATGTCCCAACAATCCTCGAATTCCTTGCCAGAGGGTTCAGGGCCCGCGTTGATCCAGATTGCTACACCGTCTTTTCTGTCGCGTACAGTTGCGCACATTTCGCGTACAATTCTCTTGACACCAGGAACCTTGAGAGTAGTACCAACCACTATGATAGCATCCGGACGCTTGCGAAGATCCTCACGCGTTACGGCTCCAATGGCTTCATCATCTGGGTTGTGCTCGTTGTACAGAACCATGCGGGGACGCAGCATACCAACACCGTGGCTGCGCTTGCCTGCAACCTCGGTGCGAACCCTGTTAAGCTCTTCACAATTGGTGCAGACAGGCGGCACAGGACCATCGAAAAGGTCTGCGTGGAAATCGGAAAGCTCGTGACACTTTGAGCAGACCATTTTGTCGAGTCCGCCGTGTAATTGGATGGTCTTTGGCCATTTACCTTCTTCTTTCTGCAGAGGTATACGCGTCGCTAACGGCTCCAAGGACGTGTCAATTCCATCGACGTTCTGTGAGTATAGTCGTAAGAGGCGATCCTGTTGGGCAAGCGTGGCTAACATCTGGTGGAACGGGGTGGGTCGAGCGGATTTGGTCATGTGGGACATTTCTCGAACCATCTGGTGGAAAGAAGCGGTGGAAGAAGCATCCTTGTAGACATGCGACGCGTCGAAAAGATCTTTTCCGGAACCTTTGAGGTTGTGCTGGGCGCGGAGAGAATTGAAAAGACCGGTTGACGAGCGGAAGTCGGGGACTGTGGAGCGTTAGTGACGTCTTGACGCGAGGTCGAAAAGGAGTGTGGGCTTACTGCCAGCCGAGACGGAAATACCAGCGCCAGCGACGACAACGATCTTCTGACGCTTGTGCAGGACGTTCAAGACGCGATCCAGTTGGGTCTTGTCGTCCGGGCGCAGACCCTGTGTCAAATCGAGGTACTCGGTGATGCGTGAAGGCTTTTCGCTGATTCGGCGTCGCTTGGCTGGGCGTTGGCTGTCGGAAACGTCCATTTGGTCGTCGGGAGAAGGAGAGGCAGATTGCGACGAGTGTTTTGACCGGGGCGGAGAGGGGTAGGGGTTCTTCTGCATTTCAGGAGGGGGAGTAGGGGACTTGGGCGAGCTCAATAACGAGCTGCCGTCCGAGTCGTAGCCGTCCATAGCAGCTGCTGTCGACAAGGAAGGAGCTCAGTCAGGAAGTCGGGCGCGCGGTCAAGAAGGCCGCTGTCTATTCCACAATCACCCGGCAGCAGCGACCATTGGTTGGAATAAGGCGAGGGAATAACAAGGGACAGAAGCGCAGAGATAGAGGAGCCTTCGAGAAAGAACAATGCGACCGGGTGCAAGAAGAAGCGTGACAAAAGCGAGAGAATCTGCAAGGAGCGGGCGTGGAGAACCTTGAAGTGGTGCTGAGACAGAGTCAAGAGTCGAAGCCGCCGGCAGCGCCGCGGCACGACGACCATCTCCCGCACTCGCAACCAAGCCCTGCTGTTTGTTTTGGCCGTCGCCGAGAGTGACCGAGTGACTTCATCGTTCTTTCCTCAGATTCCTCTTGGCACCAATTCCAGTCCGCCATTCGCATTCCTTTCCATACTCGTTGTCAACCGCCTCTGCAGACAGCACACGCTCTCCAGACTCCGGCCATCTTGTCGGTGCAAGTCGCTCCTTCCAGATCCCAGAGGCCGCTTTGTCTCTCTGCGATTCAGGCCTCGACTCATTTTGAAGTCCGCAAAGCCTTTGTCTTCTTCCGAGAAGCCTCGATATCTCGGCTCTGCGTTTGTAAATCTGTAGAAGAGGCACATTGTCGCATGCATGGACAATTACGTTGACGACTTGTTTGGCGAAGACGGCATCAACGCCGCCATCGCTGCCACTTTTGATACTGATGCACTTTCTCAACGGATCGAGCGCTCTCACATCGTAGGCTGTTGCCAGTAAGTCTGTTCTTTTGCCGTTTCGTCCTTGCTTTGAATATCCAGTAACCTCTCGCCAGGANGGCTAGCATGGTCCAGGACCAGTTGTGTTGCTCAAATATCTGCAGATTCTCGCAAAGTCTTCGTACGCGCTCTCTGTCGCGACAAGAGTACCGCCAAATGGTCCTTGTCTGACGAAACCGAAGTCAATGTGTCAGAAGGTGCCATCTTTACCCATGTTGAGTGGAGCAGTTCTGGTCTGGATCTGGTCATTGCGGATCAGTTCGGTCGCTTTACACTGTTCAGTTTGACCCATGCCTTGAATAGTCTCGAACGCCGCCCCGTGAACTTGACTAGTACCGTCGATGATTTGAACCAAGTGGTCGGCCTTCACTGGCTTCCTCTAAATCTTGCGGGTCAGACGCGTGTAAGTCACACATGTGTTGGCTCTCGAGGTGTTGTCTGACTTTGGATCATAGNNACTGCACTGATACACCCCGCTGCCAAAGAGGGTAACAGATGGAGCAACACAATGAGACTTCATGATATCCATGGTGTCTCAAACCCAATCGACAACAAGGCAGCCTTCTTATGCGTTACTCGCAGATGTCATCTCAAACTCATTTACGAACAGCCTGGCCAGCCATGGTCACAATTTGTCTTGACTCTAGACAACCTGACCGATTCTGGAGACGTGCTTACGCATGCCGCATTCTGTCAAGCTAATCGTCAGTGACATCTGCCTCATGATATGTATGCCTTTACTGACCTTAGCANNGAACATCTTGTCATGGTTACATACGATGCTTCCAAACGATTGCGTCTGTATAAAATCATGATCAACTGGAATGCTAATGCTGGTGACGGAAACACCCACAAAGCCACCCTTAATCCTCAGATGGCCATCCTGCATGTCGAGCTTCTCGATCAATGTGTCCCTCAATCCTCGGAACGAGCAGCAAGTGCTCAGCTATCATCGTTGCATGTAGAACCAATCTCACAAGCCATCGAAAACAGCACATTCACTGTTGTGGCCGTATTTACTAGCGCCGCGCAAGATCACGGCGGCAAGTTCAGCATTATATCTCGATGGGACCTTCAACAGACCGACGTCGCGTTACACGACAGTTTCAAGGGCTTGAAGCCGACAGCTTCTCAACCTGCCGCCAACAAGCCTGTGCAAAGATTGCATCGAATGGAAGATGTTTTCTCACAGAAGGCTATACTGGCTCTCCAGAGCAATGTATATCACAACACATTTGCCTTTGCGACGAGCGATGGCATGGTCGAGTTCCGTTCTCGAGAAACCATGCAGATGATCGTGCCAGATGGGGACACCAACAAGGCTACAAGTCTGCCTCAAAACGGATTCTCTTTCCTGGCCTCAGAATGTATAGACATTTCCCTCTCGCCTAGCATGGCAACTTCAGTCATCACCAAACCAGATGGCACTCTCAACTTACACAACGCTGAGTACTTGCATGGTTGGAAGGATGTCAAAGATGACAATGGTATGATCTCACGTTAAACGCTCACCGAACCTGAGGCTGACTGCTACANNGATCTCGCACAAGCCGCTATTGTGTCTCTGGCTCGAGAACTTGGCATCGTGACCTGCTACCAGATCGGCTTTGACGACCTACTATCTGTGGTTCCGACGGATCTAGACAGAAGTCTTCGACGCAAGTTCATCAGCGAGATCTTCCGCACGATAAACCGCAACCTTGACTTTTCCCTCGATGACCCTAAACTGCAGTCTGGCAGAGTCTTGAAAGACAGTCTCTTGTACAGAATTGCCAGTGCACAGCTGATCATCAGCTACCAGATCGATCCCAAACGACGAGACATCCCTGCAAAGGCAGCATGGGTTTTGCTAAACCTTCGCTCAGTATGCACTAATATTGCACAAACACTGAGCATGACTTTGCAAATCAGGGGGATGAACAACTTGGAGTCCAGCTTATTCGTTTCGCTCAAAGGGTTGGTCAAATGGTCGTTGGACCTGATGACGCTCATCTTCGACGACATGATTGAGCTGAAACGATTTTGCAAAGGCAACTTCGACCGAGAGAGGATTCTGGCTTATGTGCATGAAAAGAATACTGCAACTCTGCATCTTCTGCTTAGCAGTACATCACGCGCATTGTTGGGCATGCTGGCCAACTTGATCCGTAACTTTGCCATGCGGGTTTTCAAGACTCAGGAGAAGGTGAGTCACAGCAGCAGAACCAACGACATCCGCGATAGCATTGAACTGCTACACATGGAAGCAATGATGGGATCAGAGTTGCCTTTCGAAATCAGACTATTCGAGCAGCTCGTTGCAGAGATCGACGGCAATATCCGTGCAACTTACCAAGCTGCGCAATCATCACCCNCCNAAAGAAGTTCCTACGAGCAGGGCATGCTCGTCGACGCTGACATTCCTGAGGCGCTGAGCCCAGTGCTACAAAGACTGTTTGGCGAGGTCATTCCGCGTCTGGAGAACCAAATCGATGGCGTTGCAATCTACACTGCAGATACGGCTTGGTTGGGTCTGGGCGAAGATGAAGAAGCGAACAAGCGAACCGGCAAGCAACAGTACGATGTGCTGCGCAAGTGTGTCATACCACCAAATGCAAAGGTCAGGCAGTGTAGGAGATGTGGCAGCGTCATTGAGAACCTGGTAGACGGTCACATGGCTGCTTGGGTGCAGAATGCGCACAAGATGTGTATCTGTCTCTCACACTGGGTTCTTGCTTGATGCAAATGACTTGGTGCGCCAATATCGAAAAGTTCATTCATAGCCACGTACAAAGAAGCTGTACAGCGAAAATTACGAATCATGCATCAGACTATCTACAAAGGCGACTTGAGCAAAAAGAAACACCGGTCTGACGGGTTGGGAACTTGTGACTTACCATCTCTCAATCATCAACCCATCCATGTTCTCCTCCAGCCTCCGATGGTGACCTGACCAGCTTTCCACAGGGGCGTGTCTATCAAGAGCTGGTTGTGCCCATCGAATGGAGATGAGGGTCTAGGGTCTAGCGACTGATACTTGCTTGCAAGTGAATAAAGACGTCTTCACATTTGCTTTGTTCTTGCAATCGCTACAAAGGAGCAATCATGATGCTTCTTCCCCTGTCTAAAGCCTTGATGGAGCACTATTTTCAATCAACTTTCTGCATCTCGTATGCTCGAATGCAGCCTCTCCCTGTCGTGGCAGCAATCGAGACGATGATGGTATATCTTTCTTACGTTCCCACACTTCTAACCTCTATCATCTTCTCAACAGGCTTTACCACAAGATGGCCAACCCCAATCAAGGTCCCCTCCAGGCCCAAAACCTGATACCAACACAAACTCCAATCGCGGCAACAACACAGGTCTCAATCTTCCTGTTCGTGATGTTGATCTCAGCGACTTCACGATCAACAGCGATGGACAAGCACAGCAGCCTCAAACCACAGACCACGTCAAATTTCTCGCTCACCTTACCCGTATCTTCAACCGCAATTCTCAGTACACCACAACCCTTGGTAGATCCCACACATTTTTTTTTGGCAGTTTCAGAGACCGCATGCTAAGATCAGCTGTTCAGNGTTACACCGTCAACTTCATCGGTGGACTTCCTCAGGGATATGTCTTGGAGAGCCGGGTTCGCGCCCACCAATCTCCATTCTTCCCCAAAACAGTCAAAACAGATCTCTTCATTCGTGGACACCCTCGTAGAGACTTCACATCAGTTATCCAGTTCGCTAACCATGTCTATTACATGATGCGCAACGATCTCGTCAACTGCGACTGTTCTAGCTGCTAGGAAAGTGTCGAAGGATTGGCCTGGTAGCTGGAAAGAACTTGAGGAAGCAGACGACTCGGAACTACTCTCAAGTCAGTCAGCTAGTGTTATGGCAGGTCTGGAGGTCATCACGTCTTGTTTAGAAGGGACGAAGCAAAGAGGCTTTCGGATGAGAACACAATGTCATGTATCTTGAGCAACCGCAATCACACTCCTTTGATCTTACCATTTGTGTCTTTGTATGTGCATCAATTTGCTTACTTCTCCTGTGATGATCGTTCCTGTCTGGCTTGGTGGCTCCTTCTATGTCTCTTGAATCATGCTTCCCTTCTCTATCGCACATTGCCTCCATTTCCCCTTCTCTCAACACCCACTTGCCCCTTTAGACAAGTCTGATAGAGACTATTCCGATCGCATCATGAGTTCAAGGCGAAGGTGCACTTATATATTTTTGGTAAAAAGCGAAGTCGATTCATACCGAGATATAAACTAAGACGACTGTTTTATAGGCCAAAAAAGGAGTGGAAAAAGAAAGGCAAACCATCAAGGCAAGGAAAGGAGAGAGATGAAAGGAAACGAAAAAAGCCCTTCAAGATTAGAAGTTCCATCAGGAGGAAAGAATTGAAGGAGGAAAAACAAGAGAGCAAAAATTTCCATCAACAGGAGGTCATCAACATGTGAAGAGAGCGTGATCTGTGCATCGAGAGACCAAAAAAACATGAAAAGCCATTTCTCACTTCAGATTGGCAGGGAAGGCTGGAAAGGAAAAAAAGAGCAGCAGTCTTTTCTTTCTTTTACCAACCGTAGCCGCCGCCACCGTAAACGGGGATAGCGGGGACGGTGGTGCAGACCTGCTTGCCGGAAGTGTATTGGGTGGTGAATGGCTTGGTGACTGTGATGGTCTTGCTCTCGACCTCGGGCTTGCTGACGGTGATGGTCTTGACCTGTAAGGTAGAAGAAGATTAGCATGATTCTTGATGGAGCGAATCAATCTTGACCGACCTCAGTAACAGTCTTGGTTTCAGTGTGTTCGACGGGCTTGGTCTCAGTGACTACGTTGGTCTCGGTCTTGGTCTCGTAGGCTGTTTGGGTGACCGTGACTGGCTTAGAGGTTACGAGACAGGTCGAGTAGGTGCTCCAGGTGGTCTTTTCGGTGACGACGGGCTTGGTCTCGGTGACAACGGTGGGCTGGGTGACTGCGCATGGAAATTAGTGTGTTTCCGAGTGACATACTCATGGAGAGGCCACTTACTAGTGGTGTATCCAGTAGAAACGTAAACGCTGGTGGAGACGTAGGACGAAGTGGAAACAGTAGGAATGTAGATAGTGGTTGCCGAGTAGGTAACTGTGGTCAAATAGCCAGTGGAGGTTGCGGTAGTGTATTCGGTCTTGCAGGAAGTGCTGACACTGGTGGTCTTCTGGCTGGTGGAAGAGCTCTTGCTCTTGGAGGAGCTCTTGGAGGTGCTGTGGGAAGTGCTCGAGGAATGGCTGGAGCTGGACGAGCTCTTGCTCTTGCTAGTAGTCTTGCTGGTCTCGGTAGTCTGGCTCCAGGTGGTCTGCGAAGACTTGGATGTAGTGACTGGAGAAGTCTTGCTGCTCTCAGTGGACCAGGTGCTGGAAGACTTGGATGTAGTGATTGGGGTAGTCTTGCTGCTTTCAGTCGACTTGCTGCTCTGAGTAGACTGGCTCCAGGTGCTGGTAGTGGGTGTGGTCTTCGATTCAGTAGACTTGGACGAAGTCGATTGAGTCTTCTTGGTCTCCGAAGTCTGTGTCTTCTTGGTAGTGGTGTCGACCCAGGTGCTGCTGGTGGAAGGAGTAGGGAAGTTTCCGTAGCCGGCGGAAGAAGAAGTGGTCTTGACTTCCTTGGAACTGCTGCTGGGGACAAAAGTGTCGTAGGGGAGAGCAACAGCGAAACTACCCGGTATTAGCTCTATGTGTGTTGTATGTTCTCTCAAGAGTCCTACCTGGAGGCAAGCAGTGCAGCGACTGCGACTTGAGTGTTGAAGATCATCTTGAAACTGATTTTGGAACAAAGTTCAAACGATAGTGTATAAGCGAGAGAACAATGATTCTGCTGCTGAATTGTCCTGAGATGCTGAGGATGGTTCTTCTTCACCACGAGAGGAAGCCGTCTTTTATATCTTCAATTCATACCCATGAACTATATATGATCTTATCTTCTTACCCTTAGTGCAGCAGACATTATCGTTTTCCATTGTCTAGCGTGATGGTCATACAGCCTCGAGACCCAAGTACTCGATTGCTGGGAGGTGACTCTTGGGCTAGCTACAAACGTGGTGCAGTATGCAAGATGCAAGCTGTATTGGCAATCGGAGAAGTATTCCCGTGGAGACCTTGTTTTGTTGTACCTCCAAGAAGAAGATGGACACCAGAGCAATGGATCGCCGTGCACACCGTCACCGGGAGTTCAACAAGCAAGAGGTTGCTATCACAGCTTGCAGTGTTATCTCTAGATTGTTCTTACGGACATTGAAGATGCTGTGCGCCTCGGAGGATATACCAACCTGTCAGGCACAAAGAACAAATCTTGTGCCTGGCATCGGACTCGAAAATCTTCCATTCGGGATATATCTAGGTTCAAAGTAAGCAGCGCAGTGCGACGACACGGTCCAAGGATAGATCTTTGTGCCATGAAGGCGACCAAATCATCGCGAACGTTAGAGCCAACTGCATTGATGACTGTTTCGACCGGTAGACCGCTTGTCCACCGCGGCCCAAGATGGGAGCAGATCTGAGACCAGAGAGCTCGGATGTAGATATGGAGACAAGTAGCATAATGTCTCTGCGATACTTCACAATGTCCAGTCTGCCCTACGCTTTCACAAGATTTCTTGAGAGTCCCGTGCAAGGCTTCGCATGAAATGATTGGATCTGATCCGGGCGGAAACCTGCATGCATTCCGCTCGAGCACGTGCAGTAGAAGCGCCCGTAAATAGGTGGAACACGAGAGTGGCCGAGTACTTGGGTGTCACAAACCCACGGAAGAATGGTAGTTGAAAAGGCCAACGCAAACTGGTTCGGTTTTTGTGAATTATCTTCATTGACATTGACGAGAACGAATCAGGCCTACTCACATGTCTGCGTGATTCCTGCACGTTCTCATCAGATTCAGCCCTTTACATATCGCTTAGAACTCGGAACGCGATGTCCAATGCAGCGGGTGCGGGGCCGTCGTACCCTTGCGTGCGGCGCAGTGGGTCTGAGTTGATCCAAGATCTCACCTCTCCTGCGACAAATGCGTGCGCTGCGCACAAAAGGCTGCAGGCTCTTTGGGAAAGCCCGCCAGGTACGATGATAACATCGTCACGGGGAACAAGCCAATGAATGACAGTCGGAGGGCGTGTTGATCTCATGACGAAAAGAAAAAGGCATTGCCGTTCACGTCCTTGCGCACATGATTGGTATAATCCTTTGTTGGGTCGAAGTCTTCCCATGTGCTGGCAGGGAAGATGTGCTTGTTCCTTTCGTACCAGCGTCGATCGACAACCTTTGTCGAGTTTGGGTCTGAGTTGAAGCCCTCGAGGTCCGCATCAGGGACTGCGGGTGACAGCGTCTGCGTCTTTGGCGTCTTTGACGCTGCCGTCGGTACGGACAGACCACCCATGGGAGTCGAAGCCGACGGGTCCACAGGAGTGGTTGCGGTAGGCTCGGCAGAGTGAGCGAACAGGGGTCCGTTGTAGCCATTTGTCTTGTTGACCATGAAATAGTAGAACTCATAATGCTGGGGCAAGGTTAGTAAGCTGCATATTGGGACTCGATGGCGGAGACATACATGGGGGATGATGATATCGCCCTTTACCAACATCAAATCGTCGACGCCCACGCGGGCCCATTCGCGTCGAGCCTTGTCACTGCCTCCAACCTCGGCACCCACCTTTCTCGCACGATCGAGGAAGAGCCAAACCATGTCTCCCTTCTTCATTCGGCATTGACCGCCTGGGATGTTCGTGCCGTCGTAAAAGACAAACGGAAGGAGAAAGTCCGTCTGCTTGACTGCTTCTTGCATGACGAGAAACTCTTTACGAAGCTGTTCCCGTGTCTGTGCCTCACGCAGGAGAGCTGACTTGGACATGGACTTGGCCATGAAGCCAACATTTGAGTTTGCGGCAAGGCGTTTCTTGATGGGTGCCGCTTCTTCATCCTCTTGTGTGCTTTCCTCTTTCGTGGCGGCAGGTGTGATGGAGCGAGACTTCAGCGAGTCGCTCTGAGTCTGGCCGTCGTCTTCGCCATCGTCTCCGAACGACAGGGCACCCTTCTTGACGGTCTTACGCTTCTTCTTGGAGGGCTTGAACGTCGGGTCANNCTGCACTTGTTTTCTTAGCCACCAGCTCTCGGAAGGGCGGGAAGATACGTACGGGCTGTCTGTGCCGCTGGCAGGAGTAGCGCGGTCAGACTCGAGTGCTTCTCGCTCCTTTGCATCTATAGCATCTGCGCGTCGTTTTCTGAAATCATCAAGTTGGACGAGTCCGACCGTTTGCGCCGAAAGGATGTCGTCGGCCGTCTTTGCCTGGGTCGTGAAGCGCGAGTTGGGGGTAGATGTACCCGAGTTACCCTCAGATGCCATGGCTGAGGCTGGGAATGCTCGATAAGGTGAAGATGGTTGATTCGCTGCTCGATAAAGCAGTCGCGAACAGCAGGAAGGAGCGATAGAGGACGCCAAGACCTTCACATGCGAGAATCTCGGTACGTCATTCTACCTTTTTGTTGTTGACACCTCCATCGCCGCGCTGGTTGTACAGACCTCGCCATGTCAGGAGAAGACTATCCTTCAGACGACGACAAGAGCTTTGTCTCGGCCAAGTCATCGCACAATGTAAAGACCGAAACCCGCTTCGAACCAGAGGAGGAAGCCGTATGTCGCAAACACTGCCTCCTGCTAAATCATGTGCTGACCATCAAAGNNTCACTACTAGCAGAGTCGAACAAGCTCAAGGCAGACGCCAACTCGCTATTCGCTCACGGGTCTTTCGAAGAGGCTGTGCAGACCTACGACCGTGCTCTCTCATCCTGTCCCAACTACCTTGAGTATGAGATCGCCGTCTTACACTCCAACATCGCCGCATGCCACATCAAGTCGGAACAGTGGAAAGAAGCAATAGACAGCGCCAGCAAGAGCATAGAATCGCTGGAACGGATTGACCCTCTCCCAAAACCCAAGGACTCTCAGGATGCCGCCAAAGTCAAATCCCAACCCCAGTCTGCCGTCGAGGAAGTCGACGATGAGACGGCAGAAAAGATTGAGGCCCTGGAAAAGAGTGGAAGAACACGGGATGATGTGCAAAAGATCCGTGTCAAGGCTTTCTTGAGACGGGCGAAAGCAAAGTCAGAAACGGGAGGCTGGGCTGCTCTGCAAGGCGCCTATGAAGGTAAGAATGTCTCTGTGACTTCGTTCTGTGGGCCTATATCTAACGCTGCTANNGATTATACCTTCCTTGCAACCGTAACGAACCTATCGCCATTAGACAAGAAGACTGTGCAGAAGTCGATGGCCGACATTGGCCCAAAATTAGAGGACGCCAAATCCAAGGAAATGGCAGAGATGATGGGCAAGTTGAAGGGTCTAGGCAACAGCATCTTGAAGCCTTTTGGCCTCAGTACAAACAACTTTCAGTTTGTCAAGGACGAGAACAGTGGAGGATATAGCATGAATTTCAATCAGAACACTTGAACATCCAAAAGCAGACCATGCGCATTCGAGAGTGATGCACGTGAACACCGATTGTGCTGTGAAAACTATTTTGGTATCTCGTTGAGCTTCGTGGTGATTATCATCCGTGTCTATGCCCGAATGCCGTAAAAGCGCTTCTTCGTCACTGGCGGTTCATGATTTCTTTTCCAAGGCGGTGATGGGTATCCATCCAGAGCCATCTCTTTACTCGACCTCCTCAATCTTGCTTGACTTGGAGGCACCGGCGTTGGTCTCCTCGGTCTCCTCGAGCTCGGGCATGTCGTCGTCGTCATCATCATCATCGTCACCCTCCTCACCGCCCATACCGCCCATGCCACCCATGCCACCCATGCCGCCCATCATACCCTGCAGGGCGCTGAGGTCGGGCATGCCACCGGCACCGCCGGCACCGCCAAGCTTGGAGAAGTCGATGCCTCCGAAGCCACCGTCGCCGCCGCCCATGCCTTCCATACCACCGGGCATGCCGCCGGCACCACCACCCATGCCACCCATGCGGGACATGTAGTCGTCGTCCTCGGCAACGGCGTCCTGCTCATCCTCGTCGACCCACNNTCGAGAGAAAGTTAGCATGGTTTTATGACGATCTGTGGGAGATGTATCGCGTACCTTGTCGAAGTTGGTCTTGATGTAGTGGACCTTTTGCTTGTCCTTGAGCAGACGAGGCCAGTACTCCTCGTTGAGCTCCTTCTTTTGCAAGACCAGCTCGATCCAGCGCGAGGAGTGGTTGATCTTGCTCTCCTTGGGCTCGATCTCGGCGAACAGGTCCATCTTGACGTGGTAGGTGGCCTTCTTGCTCTCTGAGTAGCCGGTGAATTCGAGCGATGAGGGTTGCAGGTCAAGCTTGAGGTTCTTGGGATCGACATCGGGGACAACAATGGTCATGTAGATGTGGTTCTTCTCGGGCTCGGTGGTAGATGAGCGCTGGGCCCAGGTGACTGCGCATGGGGGTTAGCATGTCCCGCAAGCATGGAATTGGTTGCGAGGCGGCTCACCCTCAGGGACGATCTGCTTCATGCCCTTGGTGTCGGTAGTGTTGGTAGGCTGCTCCATGATGTGTGATGTTGTGTGTGTATGGATAAATCGAGAAATGCGACAGAGATGTCTTGATGGTTGAGTATGTCGAATGTCGACCGAAAAAGACCTTGCAAGTCGTCAGTCGCTCGTGTTTTGTGGGGTAGTCTGCTCTAGAAGACGATGGAACCTGCCCGAGCGATCTGCACAATCAGACAACAAACAGTCGACGGGCATGGGACATCAAGCTTGCAGAAGTGCGATTTACTGACCAGTTACACTCTGTCTTGTAGCAAACTTAGCAAAATCGATGTCTTTGAATTGTGCTGCCTGCTAAATTCACATTGAAACTGCTGTGAGCTCCTGGAGCTTTGATAGTTTGGCCAATCGCGGGGGAGGGCTCGCCGACGTAATGCCAAGGCTCCGCCGATAGCGACCACCGAGACTCAATGTCCAACTCACTTGCGCCATCTTCACTCGCGTGTCAGGCCCTGTTCGACGAGCACTTGATGAATTCTGACATGCTATGAACAAGTGCCACAACTCGTACCATCCGCAAGCATGCAGTCGGTGAAGAGCTTCCTCTGGGGCCCAACTCCCGAGGAGCAGGTTAGCCAGCACCCATATATTCCCACATGCTGCCGTGGTCTGTCTAACGTTTACNAGAAAAGAAAATGTAACACACTGATGCGCCAACAAACACGTCAACTCGATCGCGAAATCATGAAATTGAAGCAGCTTGAAGGCAAGACCAAGACCTTCATCACCCAAGCCGCCAGACGCGCCCAGCGCAATCCATCGCAAGCCAAATCGGCCGCTCAAGAGACTCGTACCTTTGCGCGTGAGCTCATCAGGGTACGCAAGCAGAGCGCAAGATTGGCTACTAGCCAGGCACAGCTGCAGAGCGTCGGCATGCAGATCAACGAGGCCTTCTCGGTACGGAAGATCGAGGGAAGCATCAAAGCAAGTGTCGGCATTATGAAGGACGTCAACACTCTGGTGCGCTTGCCTGAATTGACCGGTACCATGCGAGAGCTCAGTCAAGAGTTGATGAAGGCGGGTATCATTGAAGAGATGGTTGGGGACAGTCTGCCTGACAACGAACTCTTGGAAGATGAAGACGAAGAGGCAGAGAGTGAAGTTGACAAGGTCCTCAGCGAGGTGCTCAAGGACAAGCTGCCGACAAACGCACAACCCATGGACCTTCCACCCGTGCAATCAGCAGAGCCCGAAGAGGAAGAAGACCAGGAGGAGCTGCTCGCTCAAATGAGAGGGCGTCTCGAGGCTCTGAAGAGTTAGACATCAGCGACGATGGTATGGCGTTAGGCGCGACGGATCATAGGGACTGGCTTGACATTCTCTTTCGACTACGCATATTTCCCGAACGGAGTCTCTACAATACTATGACACCTAAGTTGTTGTACGATGTGTTTACCGACGTGTTCTGGACTGAATCTCAAGTGAGCACAGAGTGACTGCAGAACGTAACCCAAACTTGACTCAATAGGGTCAAAGAGGCAACTCGACAGCTGTTTGTACAATATTCAACGAGAGACAATAACCGCTCACTTGACCAGGCAGGCGCACGTTGGTGTTGCAGACCGGATCCGGCAGGAGCACAGACCCGCAGCTGCCTATTAGCGCGGCTCCCTCGTTCCTGCCAGCTCCAACACTCACTCTCTCCTTTCCCCTCTCACTTCCATCAAAGCCAACCTCTCGAAAGACACTTCCATTCGTCTTTCTCCATCCATCTTCGTCGCGACTCGTCTTTTACTTCGCGTCGCCTTCTACCATCTCGCGCTCTAATACAGCTCACGCGCCGGCTTTGCGACAAGGCTACTGTCAGCCTACTCGACCTCACGTCTTGCACATCAACAGACATCACACTTGCGCTTTGCCAGCCACAAACCCCTCGTCGCCCTATTTCGACCTCCATTCGGGCTCCCTGTCATAACACGGTAGCCAACTTTTCGCGCACAAACATCCATAACTCACACATCTCTTCTTCGCAAACAAACATCCACAATGTCTTCCAAGCTTGACCAGTCCCTCGAGGAGATTGCCGGCACTCGCCGCAACGACGCTCGTCGTACTCGCCGTGGAGGCAAGCCCAGAACGTCCGTTGGAGGTGTCACCAAGAACACCGCCGCCGCCAAGCCCGTTGGTCGTCAACCCAAGGCTGTCGCCGCTGCTGCTGCCGCTGTCGGTGCCGCTCTTCCCACTACTGGAGAAAGCAAGATCATTGTCAGCAACCTGGTATGTCGACCTACTACCTCAACCAACTCGCACCCGCTAATACGATCAGCCTTCCGATGTCACGGAGGTTCAGATTAAGGTACGTTGACCGAACATGGCCGAACGGATATGGCCCATTTTGCGCGACTCTTTCTTTCGATCGTACCTACATTGCGCCTTCCCTTCCCTTTCCTGGAGATGGCGAGAGCACCTACCTGTACACTCTTCGCGAGTACTGCCAGACCAGATGCACTCCTTCCTAGCACTCTGCTCGTCCCAAAAGGCTTGATGCAGTGCGAAGACGGAACGGGAGTAGCACGCGCGCTTTGCGAGAAACCTATACTTGGCAATGTACTGCTTGGCAAGCAGATTCATCCAGATAGGTGCAAGCGTCGAAGGTCAGAAGGCTTGGACGTATGTCCAGAACGCCACAATGTGTCTGTGGTTTACCTCGGCGCCTGTGGTCCGAGCGACCTACTTTTGAGCACCATTGAGCACAGCAGCAGACGCAGCAAAACTTTGGGATTTGAGTTCAAACACCGCAAGTATTCTGGCATATGCTCCAGATCGGGACTACATGGAACGCAACAATGCGCTTGGCTTGATCGTGATAGGCCATGTGGGTTCATGGCTCTCTACACTGGCTTGATGGAGCTGTTAGTTGCCAGGAGTCTTTCTTAGGCATTCGCTGGAGATCTCCCTGGGATTGAGTGTTTAGTGATTGTGGGCGTCGGATACTGACCTCTGCTGCTCGCTCATTGGTGCTCAAGTATCAAACTTGATGCGTCGACTGCCTATGGCTGGCCTTGCTCCGTTGTCTGCTGGATTATCGTTGCGATTCGAAATTGCCTCCAGATGTGGACTAACACCTCGCCTCCAGGAATACTTCACAACGGCTGTCGGACCCATCAAGAAGGTCCTCCTCAACTACAACAAGAACGGCCGTAGTGTCGGCGTCGCCACCATCATCTTCTCTCAGCCACAAAGCGCAGCAGAAGCTGCCAAGAAGCTCGACTCTGTTAAGGTTGACGGAAAACCCATGAGAGTGAGTTTCAGCCGAAGTTGTGCTCCATGAGGCTGGAAAGATGCTAACACAATTAATCAGATTGAGGTCATCCTCGGTGCCAAGTACGCCCCTGCTCCCGTTGCACCCAAATCTCTTGGTGATCGCATCCAGTAAGTCGAGAGCCCGGCTATAAGCCCTCACCCTCTCTAATCGTTTCTCAGGGGAACCAAGGCAAAGAAGGAGAACAACAAGCCTAAGCCAGCTGCCGCTGCACCCAAGCCTGCTAACGCTGCTGCTGGTGGTGCTGCCGCTAAGGCCGCTGGTCGTGGTGGTCGCAAGGGCCGCGCTGGCCGTCCCAAGCCCAAGACTGTCGAAGAGCTTGATGCCGAGATGAGCGAGTACTTCGACCCCAACGCCGTCGCGCCTGTCGCCAACGCAAACGGCGCACCTGCACCCGCTGCTGCCCCTGCTACCGGCGACGCCACCATGGAGGACGAGATCATGTAAAACGAGCTGCACGATTCCTCAGTTTCAAACAACCCTTTTCTTCTTTCTGATTTTTCCTTCTTTTTGAAACGCAAACCCACAAAAAACATTTTGTATCAGGGAGGTTGTAGCATGCTCGCACAAGAGCATAGGGAACTCGCTGTTAAAGGCTGCTCAGGGGTGTACGGGACGGCGCCAAGGGCAGATGGACGACAAGGATGGTCTTCGGGTGCTGCATGCTTTGTTCAGAAGCCGAAAAACAAAAACATCATCAAAACTCAAAATCTGTTGGAATGTATCCGTGATTTGCGACACGTGTGCTGAGAAGCAAGACTGGATGAAGTGCACATTTACGAATGGTGCTCTAGAGTCAGGAAAGGACTGGTAGTGTTGAAGGGACTGTAATTCTTGGGTTTGCTCTCTCAATAGGAGAGATTGCTATGTAAGGTAGGTTCTGGCAGGCCATCGTCCAGAAGGAACGAGAACCGAAATCAAGCATTGTGAGTCGAGTTTAGGCACGACCCTGAAAGCCGATTCAAGAGAAAGGAGCTCTAGAGGCTGGCCTCGGGCAGGTGCATACCTTCCCCTCTGCTCGTACTTGTTTCAAATGACCTGGACCGGAAACTTCGACCCAGACTATGCATACCTGGAAGCAAAACTGCCTGAACGGCTGATGGTTGAGAGTCTGAGCGAGAACGATGCTGAGGTTGCCCCTGGCCTGTAGTCATTTTCGGCATATCGCGCCGATGCACAACATGCTTACTAGCAAGGCTGGTATGTATCTGCTTGTTGATTTGAGGAAGCGCACGCATTGTGCGTTACGCAGACCAATCACAGCACTCATGTGGCATCGGCCTTGTTGCCGTTCGTGGCGACTGCTTGTCCATTACCATTGGTAGTAGGAGTGGTATTGCCGGCAGCAGCACCACCTCTGTTGCGTCCTCCCCTGCCTCTATTGGAAGCATTACCGTTGGCGCCTCTAGGGCTGTTGTTGGATTGAGCGTTACGTCCACCTTGGGTTTGTTTGTCTCTGAATTCGAGCACTTCGACAGCGCCCTGAGCGACGGGGACGCTCTTCTTGGACATGGCGGCCTTCAATCCTTCGTTGTCCTTGAATTCGGCCAAAGCGGTACCCTTACGCTTGTCAATCTCAACCTTGACTACAGGGCCGAACGCGGACAGAGCAGCGAGGAGGAGCGGCTCAGTCACACCCTGGGAAGCATTGGCGTGCTTGAGATAGGCCTTCGTGGTGCTGCTGGCTGCATTGGCCGAAGCCTTGGTTTGTCTGTTGGAAGAAGCGGGCGCGGAGACGGGAACTGGGGCAGCGGCATTATTTCCTTTCGCGGCCTTTGGTGTCTTGGGCGCAGGTGGCTGAGCGGGCTTCTTCAGAATACCAGTTGGGGCAGGCGCTGCGGGTTTCGAATTCTCCTGTGCAGTGGTCTGAGTGGTTGCTTTCTCCTTGTTGCGGCCAGATCTCGATTTCGCAGATTTCGCGGGAGCAGGCGCAGCCGCGTTAGTTGCAGGCTCAACAACCGGAGCAGGAGATGTCGTCTTGGAAGCGTTTGCGGTTGAAGCATCCTTTCCACCACGTTTAGTAGGAGGGTTAAGGCCAAGATCTCTCTGCAGCATAGACTTGATGTTGTTGTTGGGAGCGGCACGATCGCGCTTGCGACCAGACGTAGAAGTAGCAGCGGCCGGTGTGGCAGGAGCGGCAGGTTGGGCAGGCTGATTCTTCTTGTCCTTTGCGAGTAGCTTGACGGGCTGTTTGGCGTCGGACTTGTTGTCGCGGCCTCTAGCAGAAGACTTGTCTGACTGCTTCTCTTCCTTATGTTTCTGGTTGGCTCTGGCCTTGTTTTGCTTCTTCTCGCGCAAGTCGTCCAACAGAGGGGTAGACGAGACCTTGTCCTTGGGCTTTTCTTGGGCGAGAGCCTGGTCCAGGGAGAGAGGCTTGGTGACGGGCTGGGTCTCACGCTCGAGGAAAGCAATGAACTCGGGATCCTGATCGATCAAGCCTTGGCGATTGTCCAGACGTGGTTTGAAGGCAGGAATGCGCTGGTTGGGAGCAAAGGCCAGAGAGGGCAAAAACTGCTTGAGCTGGGGATCCTTGTGGGAGCCTTTGGCATCGTGGAAAGTGAGCTGCAAGAAGTGGGCTTCGAAAGGCTTGACGTGCTGCTCGTTGGTCAAGTGGACGTATGCGCGCGACTGCAGAGACAGCTTTCCAGGAGCCTTTGTCTTTCCGCAACGATAGTCCAGCCAGTCGATCTTGTTGCCGGGAACCTTCCAGTCTTCACCGAGGGTGCTGAGGAACTCATCCTTGCTAAGGGCGGGAGGTAGACGGCGCACGACGAGTTTCAGGCGGGCCGTGTTCTTGGGCTGGTGGTTCTGCTTGCCGGAATGTTGGTGTTGAGACGGGCCAGACGAGTCGGCATGATGGGCGCCCTTNTTGGCCAGAAGGACCATGGGCTTAGGCGGCATTAGGAGCAGGACAGGTAGAGGCGGACGTGGTCATGAGGAACGGTGACAAGAGGATAACAAGGGCAAGAGCAACTGCGACTAGAGTATCATCATGTGCCTGTGTGGAGTACTCAGTGCCATCACCGGGAAGCCACGCACGGTCCACCCGCCCTCGCTGCTCCCGCCCACTGTCTCTCTAACGCCGTCGACAACCACGAAACCATCGCATTTTTTGGTATTTCACGCCCCTAAATCACCCACGACGAACTCCTTCTCCGCCGTGGAACCGCCAAACAGAACATGGCCAGAGAAAGTCAAGTTCCCCAACCGGGTCCTGCCCGCCTGTCTCCCGGCGCTGGCCCCGACGAATGGCTGGAGCAGGCCAAGCAGTGCAAGTACCTGCCCGAAGCCGACATGAAGCGCCTGTGTGAGATTGTCAAGGAGTGCCTGATGGAGGAGTCCAACATCCAACCAGTCAACACTCCCGTCACTGTCTGTGGTGACATCCACGGCCAATTCTACGACCTGCTCGAGCTGTTCGCCGTCGCTGGTGGCATGCCTTGTGACAATAACCCAAACGAACCTCAATCAGAAGCCCCAAAGCCCGAACCTGCCAAGTCTCCTCTGCCCAAAGGCTTCTCTGCTGCCGATATCGAACCTCCATCCCAGATCAATGACCCCCGCGTCAAGCGCAAGATGAAGCGTCGCTTCCAACGCGATAGTGCATACACCTCTTCCGCCTCAAATGCTTCAGATGATGCCGGCGACGACCAAGAGGGAGATGATGGCCAAGAAGGAAGTGAACTCAGAGGTCGCGTGAGGAGCCGCAGCAGCGGTTCTGACCACAGAGGTCCCCCTGGAGGTGGCGACGTCGATGAATCAGACCAAGAAGACGACGAAGACGACAGCGATAGCGGTATTGGCGGCAGTCCAGAAGCCTCTAGGAAAAAGCAGCCTGGTTCCAGCAGCAACAACAACAACGGAAAGCAGAACTTCATCTTCCTTGGTGATTTCGTTGACCGTGGCTACTTCTCCCTCGAGACCTTTACTTTGCTTATGTGCCTGAAAGCAAAGTTCCCGGATCGCATCACCCTTGTGCGTGGAAACCACGAATCAAGACAGATTACTCAGGTTTATGGTTTCTACGAAGAGTGTCAGACCAAATACGGAAATGCCTCGGTCTGGAAGTCTTGCTGTCAGGTCTTTGATTTCCTTGCTCTTGCCGCAATAGTCGATGGCAAAGTGCTGTGTGTGCACGGTGGTTTGAGTCCCGAGATCCGTACCTTGGATCAAATCCGTGTTGTTGCTAGAGCACAGGAAATTCCTCATGAGGGCGCTTTCTGCGATCTAGTATGGAGTGATCCTGAGGAGGTCGATACATGGGCTGTCAGTCCACGAGGCGCTGGTTGGCTGTTTGGTGATAAGGTCGCTACAGAGGTATGCCGATTGCTTGTTCGTTCACCCTTGAATTACATTTGGACTGACAACTGATCCAGTNTCAACCACGTCAATGGCCTGCAACTCATCGCTCGAGCTCATCAACTGGTCAATGAAGGTTACAAGTACCACTTCAAGAACCAAGATGTAGTGACGGTCTGGTCAGCACCAAATTACTGCTACCGTTGTGGTAATGTTGCCAGTATCATGACCCTAGGCGAAGATCTAGAACCAGACTTTACCATCTTCTCCGCTGTGCCAGACCACAGACGCGCCGTTCCTGCAGGCAGAGGAAGGACGGGAGAATACTTTTGTAATCATCCAACCGTCTCAGTCTCGGCTTGTTATGGCACATTTGCTAGAATCCTTTTGTGCTTTTGATGTTTTGGGAGCATTGCAAAACGAAGCGGAGTTTGGGATAGGCAACATGGATCCAACGAGGCCATTTGTTCCATGAAGGCGTTTGAGGTTGGTGGGTTCCATTATGCACGTTAATGATCAGTTTCGAAATGATGCCAGCATTTTGGGGAGGAGGTGGGTTCTTACAGTCCTTTTGCATCCAGATAAGGGACCACATTTTCTCCCTGTGTACGATATACCTTTTTGTTCTCTCCCTACTGTTCCCTTCCCTTTTAGTCTCAAGCACAGTAAAACGAGAAACGACAAACCATCTGCCACACAGTGGGTTGATGATGATTGGGACCATGACTTTTATTGTCAAGCTCATTGCACCAATGAAGAACGGAATGGTTTGCTGGACCGCGTCAAACATATGACACCAAACTGAGCGGCGGCATTGTACCACGGATCTCGGCAGACCTCATGTCGGGTCGCATTTTCAGAACACTATGCACCAGTTCATCTTGCTCATGATGCTAAGGACCGTGGGAGAATGATTCCCACACGGTCAGGGATGCGGTTGCTTTACTCGGTATGTATGTCCTCTCTGGCAGAGGGTGGAGAGGAATAGGATCGATAACGATGTTGGTCGAGTGTCCGACGACACGATATTATGGGTCGAGTGTCTGGTAGATGAGAAGGAAGAGACTCGGATACCAGAGGTCGTTCTTTTGTACGATGGGGTGCAAATATGAAAGTGCTAATACACCTATCAAGAAGAGCAGAGACGGCTATCTCCCAGACTCTCGTTAGACGAACTCTGAGTGATGTATACCTTTCTGCATCTTCAAGATCTAATCTTCTGCAGTTGAACCTCGATGAGATGGATGTATCTGACGAAGAAGGAGCAATGGAGTGAAGTCGCACCTTCCTATACCATGGCACGTGCAGATCAACACCACCCCACCAAAAGACTTGGCACGAGCATGTGGAAGGTGTGACGCCGACCTTGTCGTGTCGATTCACGAATCTACGAGTTGAACATTGAACTCCTTGTCAAAAAAACAACCCGCCACATACCGCAAACATGGACATCCGCGTACTCCGATCGAGCGATATCCCCCATGTCCAACAGACCAACATCACCAACCTGCCGGAGAACTACTTTTGCAAATACTACATGTACCATGCCATGAGCTGGCCGCAACTCAGCTATGTCGCCGTCGATGTGTGTCGCCTTTTCGATTGAAACCCTCTTCTCGATATGCCTTCTACGTTTTTGCTCATACTTTGTCTTTTCTTTCTTTCCAGGNTATCGCGCCCTCAAAAGACACCCTACGACCCACCCAAGATTGTCGGCTATGTTCTCGCAAAGATGGAGGAGGAGCCCAGTGATGGTATCCCGCACGGTCACATCACCTCGCTCAGTGTCATGCGCACGCACAGAAGACTAGGTCTTGCGGAGAAGCTGATGAGACAANAGTCGTGAGTTTCCCTTGGCTCTTGTCTTGACTTGTTGGTAGCAACCACACGCTGACGAGCACTTCTCTCATATACAGAACGAGCAATGGCAGAGACCTACGGCGCCAAGTACGTCTCATTACACGTCCGTGTTTCCAACAAGGCCGCCCTCGCCCTCTACCGCGACACCCTAGGCTTCAAGGTCGACGGCACAGAGGCCAAATACTACGCCGACGGCGAAGACGCTTACGGCATGAAGATGGAACTCGACCACCTGAAGCCCAAGCCCGGCGACTGGGATGACGAAGACTTCAGAGAGGAGGAGACCAGTGGAGACGCCGACGAGGGTGATGCCGTGGGCTCGCTGGGGAAGAACAACGAGGAGCAAGAGCTGTTGAAGAAGGTCAAGGTCGGTCGCGGTCTTGGTGTCGGCGAACTGGTGGAGAAGAATGACTCTGCGGCATAAATGGTCCAGACGACATGACACGACTAAAAGCATGGGTTTGGAAACAGTAATAAAAAGTATCTTCCCCTGGTCGCATGGAGCGGGACTCCAATTTCCATTTGCTACTCTTGTCGTGAATAGGCAAGGTTTCGGGAGTCGATGAGGAGCACCTTCTCATTCTCGAGCCCTTCAATTATGCTTCCAGGGTCTCGAGAATTTCCTCGTACTTATTACTGCCCACTAGCTATGAATCGTCCATTCTCCCAAACAAACATGGAAAGAGATAAGGGCATGTAGACATAGAGCAAGAGGCCTTGGTCAATGGCCTTGTGATGATTGTACATGCGAACACTCCAGCCACGAGAGATCGAATCTTCATGTTGTAGAATCCAGATCTTGAAATCTTACTGGGAAGGTATACTAAGCATACTCTGCACCCATTTTGCCATTTGCTCTGCTTCGGTTGACTCTGAAGCAGCTTCTCTGAATATAGCTTCCCAATCTCTGATTTCATGAAGATGCTTCTTCTCGAGCAGTTGGGCAAGGCGCCCGCTTTGTTGGGTGGTAATGCCTTTGGTTTTGAGTCGACAGCCAGTGACAGCGCCGTAACGCACATCCAGGCGGAACTTNGTCATGTCAGCTATTCGGCTGGATGTAATGGCAGAATATCAGCAACACACCTTGGCATCTGAGTAGTCGATTTCTCCTTCCTTCTGCTCTGGCTTCAGAGGCAGATCGGAAAAGGTAAACTGAGGTGTTTGCATATATGTCCATTCCAAACTNCTGTTGCGTCTCTGTCAGCATCACGTTTAATCAAAAAGTAGACTCTGAGCAAAACTTACACTCAACTCAGCATGTCCCTTCTTGACCTCCTCAATCTCAAGACACTCGTCTCCCAACCCCACCGCTTTCCCAGCACCAGAATACAACTCTCCAAACTCTCTCTGCACGTTTTCGATAAACTCGTCGTTGTTGAGCAGAATGTTGCCCACGGGAGAGCTAACACTATCCACACTCCTGCCCTTGATGTACTGCTTGGCCGGACTGCGCAGATACGATGGAATAGTGTGCAAGTTGGGACTATTCAACAAAGCAGTTCCATGATGCAATGCCCTAGCTCTGGTGAGTTTATACGCCGACCCTGACACTTTCAAAGGCCGAATGGTAGAGCTTTGCCATGGTGTGGCGTGAGTGTCGGCGTCAGGTCCCCAAGCACCAGTATAATCAGAAGTTCCCTGGTCCAAAACGATGTCATGGCGCTCATTTACTCGCGATCTCGAAACACCGCAAGAGCGTAGAGCGCGTGTCACCATCTCGGCATGTTTGTCGCGGGTAAAGGCCGCGGCTGGCGAAATGACAGTCCAATTGACATTTCCGCCATCGTGAAACACTGTACCGCCACCACTGCGTCGGCGCACTAGATCCACATCTCCCAAGCCTGGAGGTTCGTTTTCGATTCTCGAAGGAGAACCTGGGCTCGTCTGTGCGGCATTGAGGAGTCCGAGGTTGACTTCCAGCCATGGGTTTTGGTTCCTTCCGATGATGACGCTGGGTCGGTTGACGTAGAGAAACAATATTGACGAGTCCGGGTGTGACTTTTGGAGCAGATAGTGCTCGATGGAGAGGTTGACATACGGGTCCGAACTCCGAGATATATAGGATTGGACCGGCCGGTCGAGGTTTATGCCATTATTGTGAGCAGAGCTGTAGCAGCGAACACGTATGCCGACGGGTGCGACAGAGATGCGGTGCGTCCAACACCGGCGTAAAATCATGTACCTTGATGTGGATTTTATGTAGTAGTCGAGTGTTGACAACGAAGAAAGCTCGAGGTTGGACTTGTTCTAGACTTCAAAGTCTTGGCATCAAACTTAATGGTCTACCAGATGATCAATGGAAGAGCACAAGTGGTTTAAAGTCTGTGCGATTACTGTATCACTAACCCCATGGTAGAAGATAGCCGGGGGAATGCTTTTGAGGAAGAGATGGAGAGAAAGAAGATGCTAAAACAAAAACAGAAGATGGTATCTCAATCAAGCGCTTCCCGAGAGACCTGGATAATGGCCGGCCCACAGTTCCCTCTGTCAAACACCTTGTTCTGTCGCATGAGCGCCCGTTTAGTTGTATCCATTCATGGTCATTCTGTTGCTGTTGCGGCTGAGCTCGCGGTCGGCGCTGGGGCTGATGGGTCTGTGGCGTGTTAGTACTGGCACTCGAGAAAACGATTGGACGTAAACTCACCTGCTAGAACTGTGAGGAGCAGCGGCACTGCTCTCCTTGAGGGCGAGCAGTTGCTTGGCTCTGAATGATTCGTAGTGGATCTGGCTGGTGGTCTCGATCAAGTCTTGCAAGTGGGTCTGGGTGAGGAAGTTGCGGAGGTAGATGAACTCGCAGTGGTTCTCATCTTCGACGTTGATGACACCCCACTTGTTTTGTCTGCCGCGGACAGCGCGACCGTTGACATTGAGAGTCTTGTCGCTACCGATGACGGCGAAGGGAATGAGGTTCTTGATCTGCTGGTTGACGGCGGTCTCCTCGTGATCGTACTCGTCGTTGTCGTAAGGGTAGAGGCGGATGTTGTGGAAGGCAAACTCGTCTCTGATTCTGTCCTTGAAAGCCTGGCGCTCTTCCAGAGTCAAGGCATCGGCCTTTGCGATGACGGGGACGACGTTGACAATCTCGCTCAACTTCTTCAGGACAACTATGTCGATGGGCTTGAGAGCGTGGCCTGTGGGCTGGATGAAGTACAGGCAGCAGTGGATGCGGGTATCTTGAATGTAGCGGTCGCGCTGGGCGGTGAGCTCCTTGCGCAGGTAGGCCGAGTGCTGGTCCTTGATGTACTTGACGATGGGGTCCCAGCATCTGTCGTTGTTGACCAAGTCGCCATATCCGGGAGTGTCGACAATGTTCAAGCGCAGACGGACGCCGTTCTCCTCGATGACGTGAGTGACGGGGTGGATCTCGGTGGTGGAGCGGCCTTGCTCGTCGGGGGTGAAGCGACCCTTGGAGTCGATCAGGTGCGAGGCGAAGATGGTGTTGATGAGGGTCGACTTGCCCAGACCGGTCTGGCCGACACAGATGACATTGAACTGGAAGCCGCGCTTGAGGAGCTTCTTCTCAATCTGGTGGGTGATGCTGTCGAAACCGACGTGGCTCTTGGGGAAGATGGACGATGACTGCTGCGAGGGTGCAGCGGCGGCGGCCATTGTGGATGTGTGGGAGCGAGTGACGGGGCGTGGAGGTTATTACAAGGTAAAGACGGTCGAAGAGACGATGACGCCGAGAGTTGCAAGATGGTAGAACAGAAGAGAACAGCAAGCGGTATACACAAAGGCGAGTCTGGGGCACAGGGTCTGTCCGTGGTACAACGAAAGGGGAAGCTGCCGTGCACGGCCCCGGCCGCCGCAGAGCCCTCGGTTGAGCTTTCCGAGGAGCTCTTCGGCGCGTAGCCCTGAGACCTTGCGGCGGTTGATTCCAGCACGGCGCATGCTCCATCTGCGATTTCTGAGAACTTGTCGATGCGACACGCCTGGAGCAGCGCCTGATCAACTATACCAACCACAATGTCGCTCCGCGCCGCGCCCTCGACGGGCTTCCTCCAGTCTTTCTTCGCCGTCGCCTCAGCATCTCTCCGTCCCGCCGGTCCTTCAAGGAGCTTCCTCCCCCTCGGCGCTCGGTTATGGCCCGCCCCTCTACTTCCCTCGATCGTTGTTCCAATTCCTAGCCTGGTCTCGGATATCTGGGAGTCAATCCTCAAGGCTGTACCAAAGAAGAAGACGTCACACATGAAGAAGCGTCACCGACAAATGGCTGGCAAGGGTCTCAAGGATGTCACTTCGCTCAACAAGTGCTCTGGCTGTGGAAGAGTCAAGCGCGCACATTACCTGTGCCCTCACTGTGTCATGAGTATGTTGATGCTCTCTGCAAGGATACCTGGTCGGGCGCATTGCTGACAGCCCATAGGCATTAAGAAGTGGTTCAGCAACGACTTCGGTCCCAAGAGAGAAAAGCCCGAGTGGACTGAGTGGGAGAAGCAGGAGTACAAGAAGAAGTTGGACCGAAGAGGTTACAAATATGACGAGAGCGAGTTCGAGAAGCCCACGGCTGAGTCGTCGGCCGACATTGTCGAAAAGAAGTAGACGGGAGAGGACGGAGTGTATACCTGTACAGTTGCGGACAAGGCGTTGTAAAAAGGACATGGGCATTTGCGGGTGTTTAGACTTGGGCTAGGGAAAGAAGACGACCCGGCGGCGAGAGTGTCGCGCGTGGCATGAATTGACTGTATTACTATTACTACTACTATTCTTTGTCTGTTGCATGTGAAGATATTCGGATTTTGTCCAAGCCGAGCCAAAGACCATGACCTCATTGCAGCTCTACATTTCTCGCTAGACAGACAACAACCAAACACTCCACATCCGACACCATGGCAAGTCAATTGAGAGCCTCTGATGCACACCATAAACTAACACGCGCATCCAGTCGAAACAATACCTCCAGACGCACAGCATCCCAGACGCCTCGCCCGCCGACATCTACAGCGTCGCAACCACTCCCACCCAGCTCATCACTGCCTCTGGCTCCTCTTCACTACACGTCTACTCCACCGCACCCACCAACGACGAGAACAACCCTTATCCACTCGTCCAGACTTTGCAGAATGCCCACAAGCTCGGTGCCCATCACATCGCCGTCAGCGCCAATGGCAAGACCGCCGCATCAGCTGGCTTTGGTGGTGAGGTGAAAGTCTGGTCCGTAGACGACGAGTCTTCACAATGGGCACTCAAGGGTTCAATTGTAGGTGCGACCGCCCTCCGACCCTTGTCTCCCACCACAACATCCAAACAGACCACTGATCACTCAGAAACAGACGACTCCAAAACAGCACAAGCGAAAAACGCAGGCGAGATCTGGGCCATCGCCCTGAGCGAAGACGGCCAATTCCTCGCCGCCACAACCTTCGACGGCCGCATCAACGTCTGGGACCTCAACACCTTGACCTCAGATTCCGCCACAAAACTGCGCGAGTACGAGACAAAAGGCAGTTTCGGCATGAGTGTTGCCCTGTCCGCCGATGGCGAGTTCACCGCTTCAGGACATGCAAACGGAGCTGTATATCTCTTCAACAACACCACTGGCAGACTGGCTCATTCGCTGCAAGGTCTGGTCAAGCCCGTGAGGACGGTGGCTTNNTTTTCGCCGGCGAGCAAGTTCCTGGCTGCCGGTGGTGATGCAAAGGTCATTGCTTTGTATGATGTCAAGAATGGCGAGCAGGTGGCCAATCTCACTGGCTCGCAGAGCTGGGTCATGAGTCTGGATTGGAGCACTTCGGGTGAAAACCTGTTGAGCGGGTATGTTTTGCATTTCTTCTCTCTCTCTCTCCTTGAAAGAGAGAGCTCTCTTCTCGAAATAGAATACTGACTGTGCTATAGTGCTTACGATGGCAAAGCCAAGGTCTGGAGTGTCGAGCGCCGCGAATGTGTCGCTACTCAGACCGAGTCGGACAAGACGCTTTGGGCCGTAAAGTGGCTCCCCAAGACACCCATGACGAGAAACGAGACCTTTGTCACAGTTGGCGCAAACAGAAGCATCAGCTTCTATCGCGAGGCTAGCGGTGGTTGATCGTCTGAAAATTGTCAATCTTCACATCCTAATGGCTAGACATGAACACTCTCTTTGCTCAGACGTAACACAGACACGAGCTCAAGGAAGACGAGATGTTCAAGATAGACTGATAATAAAAGCTTTTGTCCAATTTCATGTCTAATAAGAACACTCTGACGAAACGAAAAGTCCTCCATCTTCATCAATAAAAGTACAGTGATAAGCTTGCAACATTCCATCCTTCATGTCATCCACGAATACAGTCCTGTTCCTCATTCCATCTTTTAATGATGCCTTCACTTGGCCCTACTAGGGCTACCGCTCGAACGCACCTGCAGGCCCAGGCTTCGAGGTCGAATCAGTACGCTGTGCCCATTTGCTTCATCGTCAACGTCAACTTCAAGGTCGACATCCATCTCATCCCCACACGTTCGGTCCCGGAGAGCGCCGAGTCCGCTCACTGCGGCAGGAGATTCGTGGCGTTCTGAACGCACATCGTCTAGATCCGAAGGTGCATCATCATCTTCGTGATCAGACACGAGACCTGGGTTGCTGTCCACAGCATGAGGTGACAGAGTAGGTGGTGAATCCATCATCTCTGCAGGAACGTGGCGAGCCATGATTGGTGTGGGACGAGGGCGTGAGATAGGCGCATACCAACCCTTGTGACCCTGCGATCCTTCATGGGCCGGCTTACCAACAGGCTTGCTAACACTGGCTGCCGACGTGCCATTCGACTTGGGCGTCTCGTCCCCTGGCGAGATCGATTGCTCGTCCTCTACGGGATCTGGACCAAGATCAATCTTCTCACGAGCTTGTGTAGTCGCAAGCTGCAAGTCTCCACCGAGACCTCGCTTGGCGAAACGAGCAGAGAGATATGGCGCAGATGAGCTTCCTATCAAAGGCTTGGCGTGGAAAACAGCTGCCGCGGTTGGTGTACTGGCCTTGCTTGCAGCCGCGCGACGACTGTGCGACTGAGATACCGATGCTCTTGCTTCATCCGCCTGTCTCTTCCAAGTATAACGCGGCAGAACTTGCGCGTTCAGAGGATGGACAAACCCAGCTGGGGGTGCGGGAATGGCTTGCGGCACAGCGAGCTTGGGAACCTGCTGCGATTTTATGCCTCCAGGTGTTGGCGCAGAGGCACCCTGAGGGATTAGATGCGTCTCATCATCCTCCAGCGGCTTTCCGCAATCCAAAGCCGCAGCTTCGTGGCTCTTGTAATCGACCTTGTGCGCTATACGGCAGTGGTTCAAGAATCCTTGGACACTAGAAAAGTCACCTCTTTGACAGTTGTTGCAAATCAACTTGACAAATAGGTTGTCGGCTAGTCTTCTTATGACCAAAGGACCCTGCTTGCCACGAGACTGAGAAGGATAGTTGGGTAACGCTTGGCTGAGGTTTCCGAAAGAATCACGCATAGAGCGAGATCTGCCAGTCTTGCTAATGCCCGCACCACTATTGCGGGTAGACCGGCCCTCGGGCTGTATCGCGTAGTTGTCCAACACCGGCATGACTTGACTGAATGGTAAAGAGTCAAAGGTCGGGTCGTTGAGAAGCCATCTTGCGTAGTGCCTAGTGTAAGGACCATCGGTAACGCCCCATGGGGAAGGCGCTTGTGGTTGGGTGAATCCAGGCTGAGGCTTGAGCGCAAGTCCAGTACCGGCAGAAAGAGACTCAGAGAGACCAGAACTTCCAGGATATGGTATGACCTCACATCTTCGTAATTGCTCGAGCGCAGTCTGGCATTTAGCAAGCTCTTGCTCAATCAGTCGGAGTTCGCGATGTTTGAGCAAGATTTCAAGATTGAACTGATGTTCGAGAACCTCTTCCAGCTTTGAATCCTTAGTCTCCTCCAGAATCTCTGCCTTGTCGTTGGTCTCTAAAGGCTGACTTGGCTTGGCAGAAGGTGGCGGTGTTGGAGCTGTAGGTTTTGTGATGCTAGAAGCGGCAAACGACACATCCGGAGTAAGCAGTGGAACATTTGCCGTCGAACATTGAGGCCCGAAGTCAGCAGCGTCGTATGATGTGGGCTCGGAGATCTTGACATCGATCGGAGAATCAGACTGCCATGTTCCAGGCAAGAATAGATCAGTATCAGCATCCGAGATTTTGACCCGCTTTGGATGGTCAAAGGCAGACAGAGATTCGAAGGGCGGACTATCCGCTCGTTTGCGCTTCGATTTGCCGGTCAGGGACATATCGACCACAGATGGTTTGCGCATTTCCTGAAATATGGCCTTTTCGGACTTCTCGCCACCTGAAGGATCCGTACACCATGGCAAGCGGAAGATGCTTTGCATGACCTCAGAAAACGTTCAAAAGACTGATCCCTGGCGGTGCATCTGCAGTAAGGCGAGCGTCGCGTACGGGGATCGGTTTGCGCCGAAGAGTATGCGGAGTACAGAGGCGATGACGCGACAGTTAAGTGCGCAAAGACAGCTGTCGCAAACAATCTCGGATATTGGCGCAAAATTTGGAAGGAAAAAGGTGGTATACAAGAGAATGACGAGAAAGAGACAGATGGTGGAGAAAAGAGGTGGGAAGGCGTGATGCAAGGCTGCTACGAAGCCAAGGGTTTACAAATCGTGGGGAAGGAAGTTGCGACTGCGCAAGTAGGTTTCGGGAAAGTTCTATGGTCCGGTCCAGCGATAACGTGTCCTCTCAAAGAACAAATGGAGGACACGAGATGACTAGGTGAACGATGTGAAAGGGGAAAGGGGAAGAAGAGCGAAGCAGGCTGCAACGTGGACGACAAACAACAAGACAACACCACGAGATGAGACCGGCGCAAGCCTTCCGATACAGACTGACGCTCCTTGCTTTCTTTTTCGATGGCGACTTTAAACTATTGATCTACACCCCTTTCGGAGCACCTATCACGTGCAATATTCAACAACATGATGTGGCTCTCCAAACCTGCTATCGATCCTCACTTTCACAGAGCAAACCTTTGTTCTAGATCGCCAGAACATCTTGTTGCAGTGTTGTGAGACCCCTAATGATCACTTAGATGCAATATGCCAAACAGCGCTAGCGTCAGTCCCACTATGTCGGGGTAAGATCTGATACGTCAAGCGGCATCATGCAGACTGGACATCCATTCACGGCCTTCGGGCACCGTGTTTTGGCGCTAATGTCTTCCTGAGAGCTATGTATACTCTCGGTCTTGCGAGCCACCAGATTGCGAGGCAAAATGTTTGCTGCGCGATATTGGACCTGCAGTAAGCAGCTCTCCAAGAGCCTGAGATAGACGCCTCAATATACACTCGGAGATAAGCTTGCTGGTCCGAATTAGCTAGCGCGAAGCGGCTTCTCCTTTGGCAAATGGTTCAATCTCATCATCCGAAGAAGCTCTCCACCGCTTTGGTCTACCGTATTGATGAGCGGCGGACGAAGCCTGCATCACGATCTAATGCAGGGGTATCGGATCAGTTTTGCTTATCAGCGTCCTCGTCACCCTCATCTCACGTCTAGCAATCTCACGGTGGTCGAAATCGGCCCAGGAGTGGTTACAGATACGTTTCGTACACTTGTCTATCTGCTTCGAACTACGGTATGCTGAGGATCACCAGTCTGCTTTCTTGAGACGAAGATAGCACTTCTGGGGCTGATGAGTGATCTTATCGATTGCGAGGTAAGTACCGAGCTCCGCAGGAACTGGCTGAAGCTCGAAGTTCCAAACGATGAAAACAACAAGCATGCGAAGCTCGATGTATGCCAGTCGGCGTCCNTGCGCAATGGTTAGAAAATTTGCCTTCTTCGTGAGGCGACAATACGTACCAAAGCAACCGCGCACTCCTGCGCCAAATTGAAGTGTTGGACCAGCATTTTTCTGAAACTCGACTTCTCCTTCTTCACTCATTGTTTTCAACCAGCGCTCTGGCTTAAAATCGCTTATATCAGACTCTTCCCAGACGCCAGTCTTGTCTTTCGATGCCTGGCTGCTGGTGCTGCGCTTGTGCTCCTCTACGGTACCGACCGATGGCGCAATATAGCCGGCGTATGTCAAGAAGTTCACATCAGTACCCTTGGGAATACGTATACCAAATACCTCAGTATCGACCATGGCGAGTCTACTATGGACTGCCGCTGTATCACCCAAACGCAAGATCTCTTCTAACACACCGTCGATATAAGGATGGTGCAAAGTGGCGACCTCTTTGGCAGTAGGTTGTCTCTTCTCCAAGGTGGCATCGATGTAAGTTGAGCGTAGTACTTGACGCAGCTTGAGTTGTGCTTGTGCATTGTCACTCAGCAGCTTCACCCCNCAAGCGAATGTTGTAGCAGTTGTTTCGTGGCCAGCGATAAGGAAGCCAAAGAGCTCATCTCTCGCTGCAGGGGTGTCGTANTCTTATGACAGAGTCAGTTTCTTCATTCTTGAAATGATCGAGGAAACGTACTGGGGACTTCTGCCTTCCTTCCGGGATGCTAGGAGCTCGCGTCGAATCATGAGATCGATGGCCGATCGATCTTTACCTTGCTTCTCCAGAGCATCGACCTGATCCTCAGAGAACTTGTCAATCGCTGCCTTCATCATGGCATCTATCTCCTGGTCTTTATATCGTTTGGCGTCCTTGTACGACTTGCTTTGTCGCAAGATCCAATGGTGAAGCTTGGGAAATGGCGAGGCTATCATCGGAGTCATCGATTCCGTCATGGTCAGAACAGCATCGAAGGCCGGTGGATGAGGAGCTCTGGGGAATACGGCTGGAGTGTCCTTGCCAGCTGGAAGCTTGATGGCCGGTATGGTCTCTAACATGTTCGCCTGACTTCCGATAGTATGTGCTGAGGAGCCCAAGGTAACAATCCAGATTGCATCGAGCGTGGTGTGTGCTATGTCTTCGTGGGCCTCGAAAGGATGGCCCTCTGCAAGATCTGCTTTCAAGTTCCAGAGGCGCACGAGATCTATCATGGCTTCATGAATTCGAGGAGCAGCAACCTTTTAAACATGTTATCAACAAGTCCGACCACAGCAAATCCTAGTTCACATGACTTGCCTCGTTCAAAAAGACGGCAGCATAGTGTCGGCCAATAGGCGTTTCTGAGCCTTGACTCTATCGGTCGTCTTCATGATGATGTGGTGCTGAGGCATGACGCCGCTGAAGATGTCGTCAAAGATCTGGCTGCGATCAAACTCTCTAGGTCTGCGAAGAAGGATGTCTTGGGCTTCACGAAAGTCGGCCACAACGACGATAGGGCGACCAAAGGGCTTCAAGAATAGCTGAATGATAGGAGATTCATGCTTTTCGATTTGTCGTTGCCACCAGTTCAGAGCCTGACCATTATTTTGTTTGATGTACTTGAACCACTCGGGCACGTCACCCAGAATAGATGTTATGGCGTTCTTGTTATATGGGATTCCAGGGATGGGACGGGGCAGGGCGGCGCGATAGACAAGATAGAGTAGAGTCAAGAAGAAAGCACTCAGTGACAACACAGTTGGAGAGACGAGCAGGAGCGACATGTTTGCAAACTTTATGATAGAAAGGTAGACGAAACTAGATGGAAAGCAAGTTCAAGGAGGACAAGGCAGACTCATTTGTAGGCGTGCCTAGAGTCCCAAGCAGCTCTCTCTCTCTCTTTCTTATTCCGGTCAATGGTCTGACGTGAGAAGATCGCCATTGCATGGCAGACTTGGTATAAACTGAGAGATAGTTTGTAATCCGACCAGACCAATGAAGACGGAAGGAGTGGAAGGAATGGAAAATGCATGGTCAAGAGATGAAGCGGCTGAGGTGCCTTGAGGGACGCTCGGCTGGGGTTGTCCCGACGGAGTCAGGAGTGCGACGCAGCCTACAACAGGTTCCAGGACAACAAAACGTACGCATCAAGCTCGGATAGATTAGAGGAAAGAGCGATGGATTGAAATTGGACCGAACCAGAGCGCAATGTCATGGCTAGCGAGCACCCGAGACACACGACAGGCTCCGGCCACGAAGACGACGAGGAAGGAGCGCACCTGCTCTCCTACGACGAGTCCCCACGGGACGCCTCTCCCGACAGCGACACTGTAGCCCATGCTGCATCCGAATCGCAACCACACCGCCCACCTTCCTTCCCACCCAGGAGGCAGTCTTCCTTCGCCCAACCACGCCCTGCCGGCACTCCGCGAACCACAAACCGTGTTCACTTCAACATTGAAGACTCGATTCGTGGCAGCATCGACAATGTCCAGCAAGACGACCAAGACCTGATCGATGAGGAGGACTACTTGACCGCAGACAACTGGAGCGAGAGGAGACACAATGCTGGTCAACGCGCTCCCCTCCTGACAGGCATCGAGGCCCCTGCCGTTACCCTGGCCGAGTCCGACTTCAACCCCGACGACCTGCTCGAGAGCGCCCGCCCGAAGAGTTCCATGTCTAGCGCGTTTATGAATATGGCAAATAGTATCATGTGAGCATAGATGCTAACTTAGCCTCGTCGACCATCGTCTGACAAGCCTCTGCAGTNNGGTGCCGGAATCATCGGACAACCTTACGCTCTTCGCCAAGCAGGTCTGCTTACAGGTGTCATCCTTCTCATCGTCTTGACAATAACCGTTGATTGGACCATTCGCCTGATCGTCACAAACTCGAAACTCAGTGGTACCAACTCCTTCCAGGCAACAGTCGAGCACTGCTATGGAAAGTCAGGCCTCGTTGCCATCTCCATTGCTCAATGGGCCTTGTAATTCATCCTCTAGAGCTTTGTACACCATGTCAAGATTACTAATCCTTCTAGTGCTTTTGGTGGCATGATTGCCTTCTGTATCATCGTCGGAGACACGATACCACACGTCATGTCGGCCCTGTTCCCTTCGTTAGAAGACAGCCATTTCTTATGGCTTCTCACGGACAGGAAATTCGTCATAGTCGTCTTCATCATGGGCATCTCGTATCCTTTCTCATTGTACAGAGACATCTCANAAGGTTGGTCGAACCCGTTGGTACTATGTTCGCTCTTGCTGATGGATCTCTAGCTTGCAAAAGCCAGTTCGCTCGCTCTCTTTAGTATGCTCATCATTGTCATCACAGTCATCACACAAGGTCCAAGGGTTCCTGCCGAGATGAAAGGGCCCCTTAAAGGTTCTCTTATTATCAACAATGGTGTCTTTCAGGCTATTGGTGTCATATCTTTCGGTACCTATCCATCATTCACACTTTACGATCAATCATCTAACTTGTATCAGCGTTTGTGTGCCGTATGTTTGTACTTGTCCTAGACCTTCTATACCCTACTGATTGTAATTGCCANNGACCATAACAGTTTACTCATCTATGGATCGTTGCAGAAGCCGACCATGGACCGCTTTGCCAAAGTTACCCACTATTCGACCAGCATATCAATGCTTGCTTGTCTCGCCATGGCCCTTTCCGGTTATCTGAACTTCGGAAGCTTGACCCAAGGCAACGTGCTGAACAACTTTCCTACAAACAACATCCTTGTCAATATTGCCAGACTGTCAGTCCTTCATTCGAATATCAAGCCTATGTGACTGACTTTTGGTCCGCAGANNTGTTTTGGCCTAAACATGCTGACAACATTGCCCTTGGAAGCTTTCGTTTGCAGAGAAGTCATGAACCTCTACTACTTCTCTCACGAACCCTTCGACCCTAATCGTCATCTCATCCTCACCACCGCATTGGTCATTTCGGCCATGGGATTGAGTCTGCTGACCTGCGACCTAGGCATTGTGTTTGAGCTTGTCGGCGCCACCAGTGCTTGCGCTCTAGCTTACATCTTGCCTCCGTTGTGCTATGTCAAGCTCACTAAAAGAAGAACGTGGGAGACGTATGCTGCTTACGTGTGCATAACATTTGGTTGCATCGTCATGAGCATTAGTGTTTTGCTCGCTGGCGCAAAGATGGTCAGAGGAGAAGGCGGCGCACAGAGCTGTTAGAGAATGAGCGGCTGTAGTTTCTGGGATTTGGGAAAATGTAATACTTTGGTATCTGAGATTATTTAGCATATCATTTCGAGTTGCATTCTCTTGTTCACTATTGGAAACACTGCATTAACAGCTCAGCAGTGCCTTTTGAAAGCTCGATGTTCTGAGAGGTGCCGTTTACGAGCGATAGTCCTCTTTAACAGCTTGCGCTTCATGGCTTAACGTCCCTATGAGCCATGACAGGCGATAGCAATGTCTAGACATATTGTCCTTGACTTTCTTCATAGTCGCGACTGCCACACCTCCTCATTCTCAAACCAGAATCGACAGTCTGTACACAAGGTCCTCACATTTGGGGCCGCAGACCTCCCATGGAAAGGCTCGAAGAATGAATCCGACTCCTACTCCTCGTCATCCTCGAGGACCTCTTCTTCTTCCTCGTCATCACCGCCTCCAGCGCCACCTTCCTCGTCTTCAGAATCGGATCCAGAGCCTTCGCTTTCGCCTTCAGAGCCAGGGTCGTAGTCCTCTTCTTCCTCGTCTTCCTGGTCTTGCAGCGCTTGCTCGGCCTTTTGGATCTCGGTCATTTCATCGTCGTCGTCGTCATCTGCACCTGCCGCACCAGCAGCATCCCCATCTGTGGCTTCTGTCTTTGGCTTAGGGTTGATGTTGAGCTTCTTGGCACGTCGGTCGGCTGCCATAGATGCATCGTTGAGATCATGGCGTTTGACATATTCGTCGATGCCAGCGAAATCTGCTTGGTCCAACATGGAGAACTCAATGTCTTGCTTTTCGCCAGTGACGGGGTCCGGCATAGTGGTTATGACAATGTTGAAAGTGCGTTGAAGAACAGATGTGTATGAAATCGACTCGATATTCCCGAATGTGAAGAGTGCCAGTGGCTTTTTGAAAGCCCAAACAATGCCGACGGAGAGGAAGAATAGGTAGCCTGTAGTCTGTCAGCAAATCAACAGAGCAGTTTATTTGAGCATGTCTTACCATCCTTGCTTCCCTTGTGAGCCTTGACGTGGTACGCAGCCTCACCCTTTCTATGGCTTTGTGGTATTGCGCTTGCAAACTCTTGCTCGGTAGGGATGATAACGTTCTTGCCATGACCTTTCATACAGACGTTTAGCGACCTCATGGTGCTGGTCACATAGGTATCGACATCTAGTGGTTTGTAGCCATCGGCAGCTGTGACGTTAGCAGGGGCTGTCTCGGGCATGGTCCACACAATTTGTTCAGCCTCAATGGCTCTGTCGCCTGTTTTGAGATCGATAGTCTGGTTGGCAAAGATGACAAAGTTCCACTGTCGCGCCGCTTTTTCGGGCACAGGTAAACAAAAGACTTGCTCTATAATGATCGTCAGCTTCCCATAGTACAGTCCTGCCTGATGGTCATGGATATCGCCTACCGATATTGCTGAAGGGAACGGCCAGATTGACCCCCGATGCCTCATGTACGACCCTGATGGCGCCTTCTTCGAGCCTTGACGGGTCTGCAGCCAATTGTACTGTCATCTTCTTTCGCTGTGGCACCGCAAAGCTTGTTTCTGGCACCGAGTATAGCACATTGGTGACGTCTTTCTGGTTGAGGGTTGTAGTTAAACTTGAAGCCGGCGGTGGTCCTGCAGCAGCAGGAGCGTTGGCTTGCACCCTTCTCTTCTTTGGATCGGGGCCCTGCTCGGCATCGTCTTCCGAGGTTCTCTTTCCTGACATGTATTGCGACATGTACTTGGCGATGTCGACAAACAGTTGCATCTGATCGCGGTTGTTCTCTGCAAACGAATCAGTAACTGTATCGTATACAGAGCATGGCTCGTTTCATCAGCCCATAGAAGCGGTGCAGGGGCCCCAGAGTCCTCGCTAGGCGTGGGCTGGCTCATCGCTTGCCGCGGCATACCAGCGCTGCTCTGGCTTCAGCGGTCATGGTCCATGTCTTTCATCTCTGGGGCCATTCCAATGCCATAGTCTCAGGTAGGCAAGCCAAGAGAGTTGCCACAGACGCATTTCGGCTTCCAGATCTTTGAAGCCTTTCCAAAGATTTGGGCCAGAGTTTGGTCGGGCATGGGACTCACGACTGCCTCGCGGTCGCTGACGATATCGCAGGTAGAACTTACTTGCGGCAGCAAGGATACGATCGCATAGCGCGGTATCGTGTCCGAAGGCTGATTGTATGGCCTCCATATCGTGAGATTTGTTGTATGAATATTTGGGATGTCAGCACGATGGTCCAGGAAAGAGGTAAAATGAAGTGTTAGGTTCCTTCCAAAAACTTGTGTCTCGCGTCATGGGCGACGCGAATCCATCAAAGAAGTCGCGTTGCGCGACGTCACTCTGCACCTGCCTCTTCCAAATGCACACGACAAACCCTCTTCAGACAAGGCACGCGTCATTCAAGACAAGGTTGAAAAATAGAATCAGGTATTGTTCAAATATGTAAACCCTTGGATCAATCATGAGATTGGTCTTGATCTCCAATCTCGTCCATCACAAGCAGCCTTCTGTCCTTCTCTGATGCTACTCAGGCCAGCCCGCCTCCACTTCACCTCTCCTCCTCGAGACGAAATACGATTATAACAGATAACAGAGACTTCCATCGAAAGAGAGCAAGAAGCGGAAAGATAAAAAGTATGAGACAAATGGTATGAACATCCGACCAACGCTATACCTAGAAAATCAACTAAGATCAAATAACAAAGAGAAAAGGAAGAGGGAAGGTCGGAACGATCACATCCCGTGTGAAGTAATGTTCAGAAGGCGCTGGCTGAGCTGACAAAAAAAAGGAGATTCGTAACGACTCAAAGGACACCTTGTCGAGGCAGGACTCAGAAGTTCTGTGCGATACCGCTGTTTCCCGACTGGTAGTTGCCTCCAGCCTCGATGCGTGTGTTTCTTCTAGCGCTCACATCACGAACGATCGGCATGCCACTGTCGCCGCCGCCATACGAGCCATCGCCGTATGGACCGTGCTGCCCAAAGCCACCGTAGCTACCCCCGTACATCTCAGTAGGCGAGTAGGCTTGGCCTGACTGCCCAACACCGGCTGAGACATCTGAACGTTCGCTGTGGTTTCCGGCAGAATAAGAGGAGGATGCGTTGGAAGGTCCGCGACGGATATCGTTGTTGTTGCGGTGAGCACCAGCGACAGGGGCTGCGCCAAGCGCACCAAGGTCATCGCTACTGAAAGTCTCGCGTGGGTTCATCAGAGTGTCACCACTGTGTCCATCCGAGAAGTTGTTGCCAGTTGGACTACTAGGCATGAAGCCTCCAGGTTGACTTCCAGTATCGCTCAATTGACCAGCAGTATGGCCGCCAGAAAGGGTAGTCGAAGCCTTGCGGTTCGACATGGAGGTATTGCCCCAGCCACGGTAGCCCCCGTTAGAGTCCTCGGCCATTTCAGATCCATCGGCAGCGACAACAGGCAGCGTAGGGTCGTTGTTGGGATTGTAGCCGTACTCTTCGACTTCTTTTCGGCGTTCCTCCTTGGCAATCTTTCCTTGCTTGCGTTTCCTCCAGAAGAACAGACCAGCGAGAACCAGAAGCGCGACGACTACGACAGGAACAACGACAGCAATGGCGGTCTTTCCGCCGGTGCTAAGGCCATGTCCATTGTCTGAGCCTTTGTTTGTAGTACCGTTGGGTAGGCTTCCCGCTGCTGAAGATGAGGAGCTAGCTGCAGAAGAGGCCGAAGAGCCTCGGGCGGCAGTGGTGGTCGAGGGAGTGTATACAGACGTCACAACAACTGTGACGGGAGCGTTGGACGAGCCGCCATTTTGAGCGCTTTCGGTGACGACTGATGTGATAAGCTGGGTGGAGGCAGGTCGCGAAGAGGCAGATACGACCGAGGTGACGACGTTGGCCGAAGATGGCTCGACAGTCACAGTACTGGCCGCTTGGGTTGCTGAAGAGAAGACCTCGGATGATACTGAGGATGCGACGAGGGACGAGAAGGACGACTGAGCGGCATCTTGAGTCGAGGATTGGGTTGGCGCTTGGGCGAGGGTGCTCGAGAGAAAACTGGACGAGGCCGGGGTATTGACGGCAGCTGGCACATTGTCAGTCGCAAACAAAGAAGATGGTGCACGGTCGCTTTACCTGTAGAGTTGGACATGGCTGCGGTCTAACAGAGCCAGGTGCGAGTCGACTGTTATCCGGGCGACGGGGTCGCTATCAAGCGAGAGGAAAGTGTTTCGAGCGATACAGGTGTCGACGGGTCAAGCGTAGTAGGCGGCGAAGGCCAGTCGAGATAGGGCTGAATTGTAGGTAGAGTAGTTGAGAATGTTGGTGCAGATGCAGGTCGCAGGGTATGCGTGTTGGAGACGTTCTCCGTTCTCTCAGCTCGGCAGAGTCTTGTCTCAGGCCAAGGGTCCCTGTTCAAAGCAGGGCGGGATCTTCGTGTTGGCCCGCCTATTTTCCAAACCACTGAAATCGTTGATTCGTGCGTGCAGCGATGATCGATGCTATGCTTCTCTGTGCTCTTCTTTGTCCGCCCGCGATATCTGCTTCACAGACGTCAATCGACACGCGAGAATCACTGTCTGGCAACCCAGGACGGCACAGTCTCGCGCACTTGAGGTTTCATCTTGACTCTGTGGGCCTGTCTGCCTCCTCGTTCTTGCCCTTAGCCAATCATTAAAGTTGAAGCCACAAACTATCCCTGTTTCGGATGCCTGCCGCGCCTCGTTCGAGCGTCTGCTGCCGACCAAAACGTCACGGTAATCTGCTTGGTATGCCCATGGCAACCTGCTGCTCTGTTTGTTACTCCTGTCCAGCGTCATCTCTACCAGCTGTTGCACTGTTTCCATGGCCAGAGCAACACCTCATTTCGAGCATCACGACTCGAACGCGGCTGGCCTCTTCTCGAGCTGTAAGGTTCGGCCAAGCTTAATCGAACCCGACTTACGCGAGCACCTGATCGAGCCACTCGTGTTGACTCCTGCTCCTTCCCGAATTGAACCAGGCTATTTTCTGCTTCACCTCTCGACACTCGCACACATTTCGCACACACAGACTCCAGAAACAAGACTCTGCAACTTTGGTTCGACCCCTCGTGATTACTGCGCCAAACAATACTCGCCCAGTAGAGCCTCGCCGAGTCGTTTCTTCCTAACGTCACGCCGGCCCTATTGCGCTCCCAAAATAGATGATCAGTGACGCGCTTGGCAAAGTAGGATCAGCTCTCCAATACAACGTTACAGAATAATCCGATGATGCCACCACACACGCGAGAGCAGGTCAACGTACACTATAGGTAATGAAGTTTCGTGAAGCGACGACGCATAGATGTTTCATTTTGATGAACTCGACAGTAAAAAAACTTCAAACCACATCCCCAAAGAACATAGCAACAAGAAGAGAAGAAAAGCTATCAACAGATAGAAACGAATTGAATTGACATGCCACCGTTTTTGTTCCCTGATGCTCAGGCACTGCCTGTCACATCTTCCTTCTTCCAAATTCGTGTATAAAAAATCATGCAAAGCACCGAGCTCGCGGCGCTAGCGAAAGAGAGGTACGAAATGAGTGACTGATAGCCAATCTATTTGACTTCGCGGAAGTAGCTGAATAGACTGGCATCCAATTTGGTTGCGGATGTTGGCTTAGTTCCATGTCCAGGACATGCCAGAAACGCGACCATCACCGTTGCTGGTGACCTTATTGAAGAAATCCTGGCTAAGGTCAAGGTCTGCCTCGGCACAGCCAACGCAGCGGTCGACAACCTTGGCCTGGTAGGTTTGGCCGCCCTTGCCAGTGATAGTAACGTACTTGCCGCACAGAGGGTTGAGGTTGGGGTTGGCAGTCTTGTATTGGGCGTTGTCGAAGATGTCTTGGGAGATTGCGACAATGGCCTCGTCGGAGGTGCTGGTCAATCCACAAGCACCGAGACCGACATCGTACCAAGTCAGGTCTCCAGTGTACTCAGTGCCAGATGCGGCCAGTCCACTGCTGGAGCCGGATCCGGAAGAGGCGCTGGTAGTTGCGGCAGGGGCGCTGCTGGTAGTGCTGGTGGTGGGTGCGACATAGACTTCCGAAGTGCTTGCAATGGTGGGGGCGACGTAGGCTTCAGTGCTTGTCGTGGGAGCAACGTAGACTTCAGTGCTGCTAGTAGTAGGAGCGACATAAACCTCGGAGCTGGTGGTGGTAGGAGCGACATAGACCTCGGAGCTGCTAGTGGTGGGTGCAACGTAGGTAGAAGTAGTCGAGGTAGTAGGAGCAACATAGACAAGGGTGCTCGAAGGGGTAGGTGCAACAAAGATAGGAGAGCTGCTGGTGGTGGAAACGATAGCGACAGGAGTAGAGCTGGTTGAAGCCTTCGAGTGGAAGAACTTGTGGCCGTGTCTGCTCTCAGTGGTTGCGGCCGAGCTGCTCTCAGTGGTTGTGGTCGAGACAGTAGTCTCCTCGGCAGCATCAGCCCAGACGGTCAATGTCACGGGCACAGTCACAATATCAGTCTCGATCTCCGTGACCCAGACGACATCGCGCTTGTTAAGAGGCGCAGCGTTGACAATGGCTCCAAAGAGCGCAGAGGCAGCGATGATTCCGAAGGACTTCATTCTGATAATGATGATAAAAAGGCTTGAAAGAGTGAAGCTGGTATTTCCTAGATTGGTCGAAGGATTGAACGAATTGGCTAGCAATTCTGATGTGATTGAGACCGTGTGGGTGTGTGGATAAAGAGTGAAAGAGTGTGTAGAAATGCTTGATTTCTAGAACGAAGAAGGAGTGGATGGGGGAAAAAGAGAGTGAGAGTGAGATACACAACCGTAAGACTTCAAGCCTGCGAATAACGAAGGGAAGAGAGCGCAACTGGGTGGAAGCAGAGTTCCTTCTTGTAGTGTTTGGCGACACAGTGCTAGAGCTCTGCTGTGGAGTTTAATCGGATCCTCAATGCAAGGCCGCTAGACGGTCCTCTCCTCCCGAGCTCAACCGGTACCTGTCTAGCGCACTCTTCCCCTGGAGGCTTTTTCAAACGGATCCAATAACATGCGCCACGTCCCTCTCTGGGCCGGGTTGCGGGGTGGTTAGAGTCTTCTCTTGCAGCTCAGCAAAAGAGGACGGCCCATCTGCATCAGTCATGTTCTCCACTGTCGCATGCTAGTCTCTCCGCACAGAGAAAAACTCTGCAGAGCCGGCCGATGCAGAGACAAGATGTGACAAGGTACTGTCCTCAGTTGCGGTGCAACAAGTCGGCCCAATCTGCCAGATAGCCATGCAACCGCAGTGCGGTCTATTGTGTCTGTGTGGCCATGCTTTTCTCCTGTGCCTGGAGCCACACCAATTCAGGTCTAGAGCCCGAGCATCGTGCAAAGCCACAAGTCGATGATGTGCGTGGGGTGAACAATAATTGGTCGACATGTTCGGTAAAAAGTGATTAGCGTCAGGGGTGGGGATCTGACAACGAGGGCAAAAAACGTGTGCATCGTGTTCGTGCGCGTCCGCCACGGCGCAGTCGACTTTCATATTTATCGATTGTCCCAGAAAGACGTTCGCGCTGTCGCTGTCAAGGCGCTCGCGCAAACTATTTTGCTGATTCGAGAACAGAAGTGATCCAGAAGGAAGCCAACTCTAACTTCTGAGCATCTATTGGCAAACGACTTGGATGTGGCTTCTTGCAAGATCGAATCATATCCTCAGAGCATGATGCTTGTTCCAGTTCGCGCTGGGTAACCGCAAGCTCTCTGCCCTTTGCGGGACTTGTGTCTCTCGCCAGCCAGTCGTTATTCAACAACGCAAAGTCACCTCTACAAGTCACGAACGCAGGCCGCGCAGCTATGCACTGCATACACCGGTTATGTTGGCCCGCCTTGCGTACCTGGTGTGATCATTGCCAGCCCGGTCTTTGTCTGCAGGTGGGGAACGCGGCATGAGTGGTGAGCCGACTCCAAGTGTCCAACCATTCACAAGAGTCGATGGACCTGTACAATAGTGTACAATAGTACAACTCGAGACGGGCCATTGTTTCCGAAAANGCGAATCGCCATTGAACCAAGATCCATGTCGANAAGTCTGTCCGTTTGTTGAGCTCGAAAGTGTTCCAGATTTGGAATTTTCGAAAGCCNGAGCATGTCCCGAGNAGGTTTGTGGTTGCACAGCATAACTATGCACGACATGAANNTGAGATATGTCGACAAGGCAAGGACGACGCAGTGCGACGTCAATCTGAGAGTTTGGCGGTGCAACGCTCCTGGGAGTCGACGCAAAGCAGGTACGATCTTTTCGTGTTCCAGNNAGGCTCCTTGCATTTCGATTGGAAGATGGGCGACTTTATNGTCAAGAATCTGTGTGGCACGTATCGAGCGTCTGGCGCTTAGGTCTGCATGATCTAACAACAATCGAGTGTCTGATTGGTCTCGATATACTATCTAACCGCTGAACAGCATACTGATATGAACCATCACGCTCAAAGGCGACGACTTGATCGACATCCTCGATGAGCTGAAGAGCATACCAGGCAAGTTGCGCAGCTGTTGTGGAATGTTGTTGAAAGACCTTCATATTTAACATTGAAAGCCTCAACATTGACCAACTTCCCCTAGCCTTTCAAGATGACGAACCAAGTCTATCCAAGACACCCTCCCGTACACTTCGAGCCAACTTCAGCCCTCGAGGCATGGCTGCTCAGGTCTGTTTCAAGCATGATCAAGGCCACATGGCCCAGATGCACGGCGACCAGAGTGTTGGCCTGAAGGATTGTTCTCTTAACAGTCTACTTCTGAGATCACTGTTTTTCTCTGACGTGTCAAAGATCTTTGATTGATCGCAGTAGGCACTCCCGAAAGTCGTGTGGAAAACAACGGGCAAACATCCAAGGTTGTCGTTTGCCGCCTGGTCGTTCTAGTCTCTGTCATCCTATGCACGGCTGGCGCTTAAGCTGAGAATACTGCATTTTACTGGCCTCGTTGATTACCACGATCTACTTCTAGCATGTCAATTGCGAAACCCAGGCATCATTTATAATCTTGCGTTTCACTATATCAGACTATGTCTCCCACAGTACTGTCTTCTTGTCAACCACAGAACGCCATGAACTTCAGTCAAAGTCCTTACGAATCTCTCGCTCAAGTACCAGAACGAAGAATTGGATTGACGCCGCCTTCCTACGAGTCGCTCCAAGATGGTATCAGCCACACAACTGAAGCTAGTGATATCCCTACTGTAACACAACCACTATCAGGCTTCGATCCAGCAGAACAGAGAAAGTCCCATGTTATTTCAATGGTTCGGGTTTCTAGTGAGCAATCCCGTATCGAAGGATGGCCAGCAGAGCCTCGAAGATTGAAAGACAAGACCTTGTTGACGTTGTTCTTCAATCTGTGCGAAGCGTTAGTCACCCTGGCGCCGATAGCTTTCATCAGTACGTCGCTTCCGAAACGGGTATAACTCGTCGCTTATGTTTCTCAGNTCATTGCTATACTTGCGGCCAAGCTAGACGGCGAGCCAACTGGTGGCAACGGAATAGGTCACAACATTAAGACCATTACACGCCTCGTAAGTCATTCTTCATGCATGTCAACCTGGACTGAAGATCTCTTCTCCCCATGCTTCGCTCCTCGTATCTGAAGTTTGCAAAACTTGCTTGTCCAAGGTCGCATCAGTGACCTCTTATGCTAACATAATCTAGNNGGGCCTTCAATATATCCTATTATGTTTGCAGCAGTGGCCGGCAAATCCCTCAAGATCTTTGCAAGGTACTATGCTGAGCGAGGTACGAAGCTTGGTGTTCTAGAATTGCTTCTAGCAAGCCAAACGGTATGGGGCACGTTCGAGAGTCAGGTCCTCTTGAGACGTTTCACTCTCTTCGGTGCTCATCTGTTTCTTCTCTGGTGCCTATCTCCTCTCGGCGGCCAAGCAACTCTCAGAATACTGGATATCTCCACGGCAGCTCAGGTTGCTGGCGGCGAGTCCGTTTTGTACCTTCCAACAGGTGGCATGAGCTCTCATGGCATAGAGAATGGCGTTCTGGCTTCTGGTGATGCGGCTACCTCATTGGCAGCCATTAATGCTCTCTACAGTGCCAACTTGCTCGCGCCTCTATCTGTCAAAAGTTCTGACGCGGACACATGGGGAAATGTTAAAATTCCATGGCTACCAGTCCCGAATTTGTCTGCACACAACCCATTGCCCGGCAACTGGAGTACTGTTCCAGACCTCATCTCAGCTGATAACTACACTTCTCTTGTTGGACTACCCCTGGCTGGCTTGATCAGAAAGCGTCAGATCTTCCAAGAGTTCAGCTTCGACTATGCTTACATGGATCTTAAATGCCATCTTCCAGCCTATAATATATCGAACAAAGATCCCGACTTTGTTAAACACCTCGGCCTCGTCTGGTCCTCCAACAACAAATCAATGTTCACGAATGATGCGAAGAAGACCATCACCTCATTCTTTCTTGACACCCACACGCCAATGTCCGACAAGCGAGTGGACAATGTTCTGCTTGACCAGAACACTACAGCACGTTCAGATGTAACCTTGCAATCTCCAAGAAACATTCTCTTCGGCAGCTTGGACTCGACTTCGTCAACAGTACTTTTGCGGAATTGTACAGTAGAGCAAATCTACCTCGAAGCTCAGGCTCAATGTACCGATGATGGCTGCAAAGTGCATACAGTCCGTCCATCTATCAAGTATCGGAACCGCAATCCGAATCTAACACTACTCGAGTCCTTCGTGTTGAGTTATCATTTCATGCAAGATTTTCCGCTAGCGACTGGCAGTATACACAATGGCGATACATCCCCTACAGAGTATTATGTTAGAGGAGCGCATATGCCTTTTGGTGCAGCAACAGCAGGGCTGTCTGGGCTTGCAGACATTCCGAACGATATCTTTGCCATCCGTATGGGACAGCTGATGAATACGTACTTGCAACTCTCACTTGCTCCCTTAGCATATACAGGCGATCTCCCCCGTCCTAGCGGAGATATCTGGAAGACTTCGAACCAATCTATCATCACAGAAGTGTACGACGACACTCTGCCACCATTCCTACCAATATCTTCCAATACCACAATCACGAGGACCACTGAAGTATACAAATGCAATTATCTATGGCTCGCATTTCTTCTGGTCTCATCGTGTATACTTCTCCTGCTCGGATCAGCAGGTACTGCTTTGAGCCACCTGTGTAACGCTCCCGATATGATGGGTTATGTCTCCAGTTTCACGTACAACAATCCGTACATGAGTGTACCGTCTGGTGGAGAATCTCTAGGTGCTATGGAGAGAGCACGCCTGTTGAGAGACGTTAAAGTCAAGATTGGCGATGCCAGAGTCGACGACGAAGTTGGCCACGTTGTTTTCGCAACTCTCGACCGTGCTGACACTATCGGAGATTTGAGCCTTACGAAGCGTTACAGATGAGGCGAAATCATAGAGCATGTAACCTCATCGATGTTGAGTCCTTCTATCTCAAGTCTTGCTTGAATCAAGATCTGTCGTTGGGAGCGATGGTACCTCTGATTCAGAGTGTGTCCTAGGTACGGAGACTTGTAGAACATGTTAGCCGCAACAATACTTACATGCAATTTCCAACAGGAGTAGATCCTATGCGAGATCTGATTGTGAATGTCAGAGATGCGACATAGGAGGCCGACGTTGGACATGTTGTCTTTACAACCGTACACCGCTCCAACACTGTTGGAGATTTGGATGCAGCAAAGTTGTATAGATAGAAAACCGACGGTGTGGTAGATCAAGAGCGTCATGCTATCAGACGTCTCTTATCTGCTTCGGACACCACCAACACACCTACCACCTCAAACGTTTGTCCGTCTTGCAGGCCCGGGCAACTCGCTTCTTCACGTTGCACTCCTGACTCACGACGTAAAGCAGACTTGTGTTGGCATGAAAGCTTCGAACAGAGGGATGCTGATACGAAGGTCTTTTAGGTCTCTCACCCTCGTAAGGAATGCAGAGTAAAGCGGTGTGTCGCGTGGCTGCACCGTCGCTGAAGGCTTCGCTAGTTTGATGATGGCGGATTTGATGATCATGACAATGGCGATGAGGGCGAGGATGGCGTTGAGGGCAAGGATGATGGTGTTGAGGGCGATGAAGGTGAGGTTGAAGGTGAGGATGGCGATGATGGATGGGAATGACGATGGTGAATGGAGATGGCAAATATAGATGAGAGGATGAATGGGGATGACCAGGATGGATGAAGATGAGAGGAGTATCGTGATTCATGTTTGGAAAAGCTTTGTATGTTGTCTCGATACAAAGTCGAGGAAGTCGCGATGGGGCTGTGTCGTCAGCAGGTTCTATGGAAGGAAACAACCAGCAATTTGCACCTTCCCCCTCCACGCCTTCCTCTCCGTATCTTCCTCTCTGCTTTCGTACTTTGACCTAAAAACAAAACCCTCTGCGACTAATAAGAACAATGACCAGAAGACTTCCAACACCGATTCATCAACTTTATTTATGCTTCCTGTGTGTCCAATAATCATGTACTCTCACCTTCGAACATGTGTTCATTGTTCAGAGCAGACAAGCATATCAAGCTGAACAGTTGCTTCATGTTGCAGTCTGGTCTGTGTCAGACTGAAAGTATGCGAGGAAGTAGACGGATACATACCGTCAATCATCTGCAGTCAGGTGAGCACACAACAGTTTTTATCTTCAGTCATGCATCATGATTATACTTAAGGAGGGGCTCCGATACCACTTCTCTGATATCTGGTCATTTCTCTCTTCTCCTACGAGCACCCATGATCGACCTCTCCTTGAATTACGTGTTGAGGGATGGTCATGATCTTGAACCTGGTAATTGTCATCTCGCCACAGCTCTTCATTCCCCTGCATAGATCAGATATTTCATTCGTGACGTGCAACCGTCAGGGCGTGTTTTGTCTGATAGTACACTCAGGTCAATAATCTAATGATGTCTTTCGAGATTATCGGTTGGCGGTATGACCCTGGTCAAGACGTACTTGCCAATGTTCATATCCTTATCATGTAAGCATGGCTTTAGTATCGCGACAGTATGCTCAGTAATCATTAGAACATCAGCCGTGTGGGCATACAGAGAGATTAGACTTGTGACCATCGAATGCGATTCGGTTTGTTGACGAAGAAGGGAGAGGGTTCTGTGCTGCTGAACGCGGTTGTTCGACCTGCTCGTACGAGAGCTCCAGATGAGCAACAATACTTCTAATTTGAAATACAGAAACAGCGCTCATACGGTAGTCGTTTTCTAGGTTTAGTACATGGGAGAGTCCTTGGTGCTACGGAGACACAAGACATGAAAAGGAAGCTTGACAGCTCTGACCAGGATGTGTCACCTACTGTGTACATCGAGTTTCTGCTACCGTGACTGTGTCCTTCCAGCCTCGTAGAGGCTCAAGACGTACTGTGCTAGAGGTTGTATGCTTCAAACCATGTAACTTTATTTGAAATCTTGAGCAAGATGTACAACGTGGCAGAAGCGCAACTTCTCGAATACACGTTTTGTCAGCAACAGTGTACCAGCAGACAAGTGCTCACTCTTGAGAGCCCAAAGGCTCAGGTTGGCCCCTCGACCGCCAGCCAGCGCAGATCAGGAGCGCCCAGATGATACGTGCGAGCGGTCAGCTGCTCTCAGCCTTCCACATTTCAGCTTGAGGCGATACCAAGACCAGGCAGAACTGCATCTCGGACTTCGCGAAGAATCATTGTCGTTAAAGTTCCGAGGCAGATCAGGGCAAAAGATCTTCCGTGAACAAATACGGCAACTGAAATTGCCCTGGCTCTAGGGCAGTGTTGTGCCGGCTCTCATGCTTGTGCGTAATTTCAGGTGTGTTGACTGATCAGATAGCTCACTCCTTGACTCGGTATCTCCACTTGTTGAGGAACGTGCTTTGTTTCTTCGTAGAAAGCCCTGCGTGGAGGCAAAGTACAACCCGACGCTGAAAGATTTTACTGCATAATGGTCGAAGGAATGGACCTTTTGTACAGCTCGAGTGCCTGCCTGCCTTTTGCCGAAGACCGAAAGTGGTGTCGTCTGCATGTCTGCATGTCGTCTTGAACCTTGGCCGTCCTTCTCTGCAAGCAGTAGTTGGAACGCAGCCATTTCCGTCAAGTACAAGGTACAAGCATCATGCTCGCTGCGAGTCGTTGGTGACTCGGGAATCCTTATGCCTCATGTAGAGCGGCTCGAGCCCGGAGACCAGGTAGTGAAAGATGCATACTGTAAACAATTGCAGGTTGCAGAGCCTTTCCTGCAAGTGGGATCATCATCGCAGCCGTGTCGTCCGTGGCGTATGCACTGCCTCCGCTCGAAACTCGTTGTCCTGGACACGAACTTGGAGCTGGGACACAGGTCGAGGGCACTTGATGGCAATATTGGGTGAAGATTCTGGGCGAGACAGACACCGTCGAGCGCCAGCCAATGTAGCATTGAGATCGACTCGAGACTTTCCGCGGCTCAAGTCCATGTGCACGTGTCGACTCGGTAATGGAGAAAAAGGAAGAAAAAAGAGGGTTAGAGGCAGCGGGCCGCAGCATATGCAAACCACAAATCGTGGTACGATAGACGGCGTTACTTTAGTGGTTTTGGAACTTGCTTCCAAGTCGGCTCTTGTTGGACCCCCGGTGTCAACGGCAGTCCACGATGAGCTGTGAGCTTCCAAGGCAAGGAATGAATGCGAGCCATTGGTATTCCTCAGCTTAAGCAGGGGCTACTACAGTAGATCATGAATGGCTTCAAGACTGCAAGTTCGTTGGTGACAGCTACATACAGTAGGAACAGCTGAGACAGACCGTCTGATGCAGCTCCTCTTTTTCCCAACGGCGTCGGGGCTTGCACGCCGAGTTCTTCAAGAGCTGCATGAGCGAGCACGTCTTTGGCTCATAACGGGAAATTGGGACCTTTGGGGCTTTCTATGCCAGTTCTTACTTGCTCGAGACTTTCTCCTGCAGCCTTCTCGACCGCCCAATAACGGATCTGCATCGTAATGCACGCTTGTATGCGCGACATTCACGCCGGTCGACTCCTTTATTGCTACGCGATGGATCTCAGATGGTGTGCAGACTCTTGCAGCCGTCAGCAAGGTCTTGTTGGTAAGGGGATGGCCGTCACTGGTACATTGGCAATTTAGTACACATGCTCCGCTTGTCCATCTCGGACCGCTGGGACGATCTGGTCGGCATCCAACGGCGCGAAAGGTTCCTGAATCCTGAGTCCTGAGTCCTGACTACTGCGATGAATCAAGAATATTGTCTCAATGTGGAGCTATTGAAATGGCTTCTTGACTCGCATGTGAGTCTGCTCACCAATGCAGTCCTCAATGTTTGTTGTCACGATAGAGTCAACCAGGAAACAAAGGACTTGCAAGTTGTTGATTTTCTACTCATACTTCAGTCGTCTCGTACCATGAGTGAATGGGGAAAATCATGTGAGGAATCGAGGTGCAAGATGCTGTAGTAGATCTCAAAAGTGCCTATGTACAGACGATTGGATCGACTGTCTATATTCCAGCCATACTGTGGTTGGTAAAAGTTTATGAACCCGTTTTCCATCCGTTTCCCACCCATAGCTGTACAGCTGGGAACGCCGTCCAAACACCATTGCCACCTCTGCCAAATTGAATCGAATGTGGAAACAAAAGAAAACTGAAGTTGCTCTAAAAGTTCTGCGCAACTTCTGCCAGGTTGAGGCGCGCTGTCTACGCTAGCATAATGGGGAAAGCGCTGTGCAATGAAATTGAAGAAGCGCCGTATGCGAATGCGCTGCAGGGAAATAAAAGATGATGTGGATATGTGCAATATGCAATAGATGCAGAACAAAGGTGATGCACCTTCTTGAGCAAAGATCGACAAAACGGTGGTCCTTTCTGCTGGAACCGGGGTATGAAACTGAAACTGGTAGCCGAAAGGAAATGTGAAAACAAAAACAAGATGCGGATGTGACGCTAGGAAATGCTGATAGCTAGATGATGGTGATAATCAAACTCCAGAGTGTGGCGAGCACATATCCGGTATGTACAACGCGTGATAGCCAGATAAGTACAAGGTATGTAAGACGGACAATGCTTGTTAGCTCAAAGGTAACAGCGGCAGGGACGAGGAGCGCATAGCAACGAATCACTTGAGCTTCTCCGATTGCACAGCAAGGATGGATGCTGCGGCTGATGAAGCCCATTCGTGATCGTCATAGGGAGGTGTTGGCCATTGAGGATTCAGACTGTCGCGCTGCCTTCGTGGTGTGATGACCATGGACTTGGTAGGAGTCATGTCCGTTTGACCAAAACCAATGTTGTTGTCCTTGGACGGAGAGGGTGTTAGGTAAGGAGCTGAGTAGCCAGGATCCGAGGTCACGTGTGTAATCGGAGGCCTGGTGTTCTCTTTACCCGAGGATGGCTTCGTTGGGGTGGGCTTTTCAAGACGTC